TACTCTGCTGGAGATCTTGAACTCCTAGCCATTGTCGAAGCCTTATCACATTTTAAATATATGCTTCATGGCATGCATTTTATATTGAGAACAGACCATATTAGTTTACTAACGGCACAAAAGAACAAAGAACCCTCTCGTAGAGTAATTAAATGGTTAAATGAATTAGCCGAATATGATTTTAAACTAGAATACTTAGCAGGTCCAAAGAATGTAGTAGCTGATGCTATTTCCAGAGCAGATTACAATATTGCTGCTATTGAAGATGCTGCCGTCACATTAGATCCGAAAAATTGGTACGAAGAATACCTAGCTGACCCATTATGTGCTGCCTGTTTTGTTTATATTACCAAACTTGATACAAAAGACTTACCCATTTGCAACTCATCATTGTTCAAGAAATATATGAAGAAATTGAACTTATCAAGAACCTTTCGCCATTGTTTTACAATTAATGACAATATTATTTACTTTAAAGAACGCTATGTTGTTCCCGACGCTAAACGAAATGAAGTCCTTCGAATATATCACGACCATGGCCTTTATGGTGGTCATTTCGGTTCAACCGTTACATACAATAAAATTGCAAGTCGTTATTATTGGCCAAAATTACACCACTCTGTTAATGAATATGTCTCTTCCTGTATACAATGCCAGTTGATTAAATCTCATCGCCCTAATAGACAGGGCTTATTGATGCCTTCTGAAGTTCCCGAAGGTCGATGGTTAAATATTAGCATAGATTTTGTATCTGGTTTACCTAAATCAGAACAAGGTAACGACATGATTATGGTTGTAGTCGACATGTTTTCAAAAAGAACTCACTTAATTGCTGGTAGTTACCCATTTGATACTACTTCCGTTATTAATGCTTTATTCCGTTATATTTTCGCTTACCATGGATTTCCATATTCCATTACTTCAGATAGAGACCCTCGTTTTACCTCTGCAGAATACCAAGAAATGGCAAAAAGGTTGAATATAAAATTGAAAATGTCCACAGCAAATCACCCACAAACAGATGGTCAAACTGAACGTACAATACAGATCCTTAATAGGTTATTAAAGACTTATACTGGTAACAATCATAGACAATGGGATCGTTTACTTCCTCACATCGAATTCGTCTATAACTCTACTCCCAATCGCGTAACCAAGACAGCTCCTTTTGAAGTAGATATTGGATACATCCCTAATGAACCAATCATAGTTACAGGAGATGCTGTTTCTTCCCGTCATGATTCAACACAAGAACTAGCCACAAAGTTGAAAGCACTTACTTTACGCACAAAAGATTTCTTAACTGAGAATCAGATCAACATGGAAGTTACACATAACAAAGGGAGGAAGGAAGTTACCTTTGAAATTGGTGATTTTGTACTGCTACATCGTGATGCTTATTTTAAGAGAGGTCAATATCTAAAGCTACAACCCATATACGTTGGCCCATTTAAGGTAGTTAAGAAAATAAATGACAATGCTTACGAATTAGATTTACCTTCGATGAAAAAGACTCACAGAGTTATTAATGTTGAAAAACTAAAACCGTTAAAACGTAGAAAAGACCGCTATCCAAAAGATCCGCCTAATACTGCTGCCGAAAGGAAATTAAGAGTACATGAAATTATTAATGTAGTCGGTTACGATAAAGATAACAAAGTGTTTTATTGTCATATGGAAGATGTTGATCCGACTATTACAGTAGAATATCCAGTAGAAGAATTTAACTTACTCCCAACAAATATTGGTCAATCTTTAATTGACAATTTCGTACAATTATGGAAACAAGGTTCCCAAGAGAGAGAGGAAGATGTTGTGGAATAGAATAGTTATAACCATCAAGATTACATAAGATCCTGAATGAATCTAGAACCAATTAGTGTATTAATAAGCCATACATGTGCTACAACATTAGATGCTGCATAATAAAAAGATTGGATTACATAAGATCTTGGCAAATCTAGAATTTACCTATTGTTTTATTAAGTCCCACGTGTATTACTAATCACCATGATTAGAGAATTGGGATGCAGTTCTAATCCAGTAGTGCACCTAAATTAATATAATAAATTTTAGGGTTTGAATCAGTCAAGTCATTAATGTAGTAATCTGAATAATCGATCGAGCTCCAGAAAACATATAAAAGGACAACGTTTTCAGGAGATAAAAGATCATCTTCCATAATCGTTTCTTGTAAATAATTTATATATTATGTATAAACAAAAAAGAAACAAGCAAGTAACAAGTCAAGTAACTTCGAATAAGTACATTAGCTCGATATAAGCCGCTTAATATATAAGACCGTTTTAGTAATTATACTATCGACTATAGTTGATTACTGTCTCGATTATTTGAATTACTATTAATATTATTTGCGCTTCCCTGGAATACACAAAGAACTTCACCACACCATACTACAACAATTATACACATCGCTGTAATATAATATAATTAGAATTTTGTGTTATTCGGGGAAGCACTAGAAATATCAAACGGATAATCTATTAATAATCGAGACAATAATTGATACAATCGGTAATGCAATTATTAATACGGTCTTATATATTAACGGCTATGTCGAGCTTATATAATTATACTATTTACTTATTGTATTTTCCGTTGGATGTTCGTTGGTTGTTTTGTTTTATATATAATATATTTAAATTATGTGTAAGAGAGGAGTGATAGAAGATAGTTCCATCTACAGAAAACGTTGTCCTTTTATATATTTCTGGAACTCGATCAACTATTCAACTTGATATATTAATGGATTAGTAGTCCATATCTTTATTATTAGTTACAATAATATAATCGAAGATCATAGAACATTTAGGACAATAGGTTATGGTGGCGTAGTAGAACTATAATGAACACGGTATACATAAACATAATATGTTATGGTGGCGCAGTAACAAAGATATGTAAACACGCTGTACACTAGGTGGCAAATGGACACGTTGTTCTTAAAACACAATAGATCACTCTAGATTCAGATAGAATCTTACGTAATCTCGGTGGCGTTGCCTCTTTATTATACAATACACACTCCGTGATTAGTGTTTAATATAATTTATATTAAGCATACTATAATTTATTAAATTTATTTATTTTATTTATTGGTTGATTGCCTGATTAATTGTTATTATATATAATACTAGATACTGCTGAACTTTAGAGAATTCAGTTTTCATATTAAAGGTAATGTTGGAATTTGGAGCCCTCAGCGTCCGTGGTAATGGAAGACATCATTAAGTTATATATGCTTGTTATTTTTATCTTAAATTTATGTGTATATTAATTATAAAGTATACATAGTAGAAATACTTGTATTTATTTCAAATATTAGTTTAAGTCTTTCATTTTTTTTCAAATCTCTGAAAAACATATTTGCTGAAAAATAAAGTGTCTTTCTAATATTATGGTACATCTGTTCACCGCATATCATACAGAAAAGCTAATTAAAAAATAATTCTTATGAAAATGACAGTAATAAACTCTCATTTTCCAACAATCTTTTTTGGCACTGTAAACAGTATAGTGGTTAAAATTGACTATTAGTTCATCTCCAGTTATTAAGCAAACCATCTATATATATTTATCTCATATGTTTGTTAAAAACTATTATATTCTAAGTTCGTTGTTCAGACTGGAAACGCATTAGTAGACTTATCGATTTATTTATTTTTTAGTCTTGATACATATTTTGCAATTATCAATTATCTCTCTGTTCATGATTATTTGATCATGTATGATTTTATTATAGACGTGGATTATAAATTGCACCAACTTCCAAACAGAGAAATGATACATTTTCAAAAACACTCTGAATTTATAATAGTAATTTTAATTTTAGCGAGTATATATATTCTAACGTTTGTACATTTATATTATCTTGATAATGTGAGATGTATAAAATTTCAAAAAAAAATAAAAAGAAGAAGAATAAAGAATGAACTAGTACTCACTAATCAAAAAACCGCATACATTTATTTTTTCTATACGATTCAGTAAACAAAAAAATCTTAGTTGTGAATAACAAACATTGGAAATTTACAACTTTCCACAGGCATCAATGCTCATATTTTGTAGGATAATTATTTATATATTTTATATATTGGTAAGACTTAAGTTTAATATTACCCATATTTATTCTTCATTTTTGTACTTCTTCGAATTGAAATCAAACTACAATCACAAAGTTTGTTAAGCACAGGTGTATTTAATTAAAAAAGCAATCGGTGTTCTAAGATATCACAATAAAACATAATTGATTAAAATCAGACGGAAATAAAATGGGAAGGGTCATATAGAGTTATAGAATGAATTTTTATATAATAGAATGAGCCTTCTCCAAAAAAATTGGCATCTGGAAAGGGGTTCCTAAGCGTATTTTCTTCCCTCTTGTTCGCAGATTTTAAAAAGTCATTATACTAGGACTTGCAATTTCCTGATATAATCGTTTCAAGACCATTCCAAATAATATTTGATCTAATAATTTGCAAATCGGAAATCAGCGCATCATTAAAAACTCAAATAAGCATGAACAATGTCTGTTTATTCATATAATTTCTATGCACCCATAAATTATTATTAGTTGCTTTTGAAACACTTTTTCATGCTTTATAAAATTTCAAATTGACTTATAAGTGACTATTAATATTCGAATTTTATACAGCAAAAACACAAATAGTATCCAAACAACTATTAATGAATAAATTTTCCATATTTGATATAATTTCTGTGTAAGTTATACAACCATTAATCAATTCACCATAAAACAATTTTTTTTACTGTAAAATTCTGACCTCTTCTATTTTTTTTAATATAAGAATGTTTATACTATTTTTGAATAAAAACATATATATCGAATAAGCAAACAAAGTTCAAACATGATCGATATTATAAGGAAATTGTTAAAAAAAGAAAAAGCAAAAGACATATTGACATGTACTTTAAATCTCTTTTTTTCATAGTTCGTTGGTTTTCTTCAATTAAAAAAATTAATATTTATAACTGACTTGTGCACCAATCTTGTGATTGCCGGTAGAAAAACTTCTGAATTGCATAACCTCTCCATTTTCAATTTCTTTGCCATCTGAATCTCCCCATTCCATTGGCACTCTAGCGTATGCATCTGTATATGCTAACACATTAAACGTATAACGCCCTTTATTGGATAGATCAGGTAAGAACGTAACACTAGCAGTAATTTGTCTAATTAATGCTCGAATCTCTTTTTGAATCTCTTCTTTTGATAGTTTAGATTCTGATTGACTATGATTATTTTCATTTTCATTATTTTCAACAGATATTCTTTCAATATCAAATGCCCAACGTTCCACCACTTCACCTTCATCCTTATCCACAATACAAATAACTAATTTGTTACATTTACCTCCAAGCATCCATTTGTGAACTTGTCCTAAAATCCTACGAATATATGATTTCAATTCATCATCATGCGTCTTCATTAATGTTAGATCATACTTTTTGACAGTACCAAAATCTTCTTCAGGATATACACCTCTCTGATAAAGAATAGAATTAACACAATATTCAAAAAACTCTGTTATTATTCTTGTGGAACCTTTTAAAGCAATTGAGGAATTCATTGTGTATCTTTGTTTGTAATAAAAATAAAGGAAAGTATACTAAATTACAAAATAAAAAATATAAGGACAAATATAACTAGATATGATTGATATATGTGTTTTGAATTATAGTGGCCACCTGTGATGATTAGCTGTTTTAATTGGATTTTTTTCTCTTTAATGAGTGCTAACTGTAATTCATATACAAATATCTAAACTTTTCTGTTTTGATTTTTTTATAGAGATTATAATTTCTTGAAATTATTTGTTGACATCGTCAAGGATTGTGAAAAAGAGTAGGTACTATCATAAGGATATGGAACAAAATGTATACTTCTGTATTTAAAGTAGCTCATTTTCTCTATATATAAGAATTTTTCAGAGAGTACATTTAGTGTTATTATATGAAATCAAGTGAAAGACAAAAATACGAAATAATAACAGTAATATTGAAAAGAAAATAAGATTGTTGACTTGTCTATTAGAAAGTTTTAATCTGTGTTTATTATATCAAGTAATTTTTGAATAAAGTTGTCAGAATATATCAATATGCAGCATGGAATTAAGAGAAAACAATGGACAAAAGAACTGTTGAGACATAAAAGAGAGGAAGATAAAAAGAAGATAGAAACATACAGGGCCTTGGTGGAACAAATGCTTCAATTTCGTGACAATAACAATTATTCAGTAGAAGCAATGCGGTTGACCACAAAAGTGTTAGATATAAACCCTGAATTTAATACAGCTTGGAATTATCGTAGAGATATTATTACAAATATAGGTAATTTGATAGATGAAAAATTTTGGCAAGATGAATTAAAGTTTACTATGATTCAGTTGAAGAGATTTCCTAAAGTTTACTGGATTTGGAATCATAGAGTTTGGATATTAAATAACATTCCTATAAACCAACTAAAAATGTGGCAAGGTGAATTAATCGTAGTTAATGCATTACTGGAAATGGATGCGAGAAATTTCCACGGATGGCATTATAGAAGGGTTGTGATATCCAATATAGAAAAATTGACCAAGAACAGTCTAAACAAACAAGAGTTTGAGTATGTAACTTCAAAAATTAACAAAAATATTTCAAATTATTCTGCATGGCATCAAAGAGTTCAATTAATTACAAATATGCTATCGAACGATCAAATTGCGGATAAATATGATTTTATGAATAAAGAAATAGAATATATCACAAATGCAATATTTACAGATGCAGAAGATCAGTCTGTCTGGTTTTATATAATATGGATGATAAAATTCCCTATTGTAAAAGAATTATTGGGTCAAGATGGTTATTCAAAATTTTTGAAGGAACTTAGAGAGAATGCTGAAATGATTAACATGGATGAATTAGAGTTTTCTGGTAAGGACAACTTTTGGTGTTTGAAAATTATTCTAGAGATAGATATGATTCAAAATTCTTTCGATAATCTAACTGATAGGTCAGTTTTTAAAGGCTACTTAGAAAAGCTTATAAAACTTGATCCACTTCGTCAAAATAGGTATAAATATCTTCTATCAAAGTTGTCTTAATATATCATCTACATAATACTATATATATATATATGGTTACACATTCTGTAAGGATTCTAATTCTTCCTTTAAAAACTTAGAGGAAAGGACATATCTTCTTTCTTGAACAGAATATTGTCTAGGTTTATTCAAAAATATATCATATTTTACATAGTTATTCGGTACGTCTTCAGAATTGACTTCAGGTCCCAACTGACTCTTTATTTGAATGAATGTTTCAACGCTAATTGGATCCAAATCTGCTGGTAAGTTATACTTCAAATCGCATAAATCAAATGCATTAATGTAGAAATCTATTATATGGAACATAATGTCATCCACTATAACTTCATCTGCACCTATCGCTTCATGACTATTCAATGGCCAATGTTTTAAATTATAAAGCTCGTATGCAATTTTTATTGTAGCTAATGCAATTATAGGTGGTGGTACCATGAGAATCACATCGAGTTTTAAAACATCGTACGCTATACACCACGCTAAACTACAGACTTTAAAATCAAAGGAATACGTTTTACCAATCTTTATAATATATTCATCAATATAGACATTGTTATTGATACGATAATCAAAATTACATGATTCCAGTATCCTTAATTCGATTTGATATAATCTTTTCTTAAATGATTCCAATATATTAGGATTTATTTTAATCATATTACGAATTTGTAATGATAGAATAGCAATCTCATTAACCTTCTTGACTGTTTCTACTTGCTTACAACTTAAAACTAAACAACTTGTGGCTACTGTATAACATAGTTCTGTTTCAAAACTATTGAAAAGATGGTACCGTTGATAGAAATACATAGCGGTTTCTAAAGTCTTTCTAGGTAACTCCAATTTGATACAAAGTTCGGATAAAAAATTAAGAATACCAAGCTTTTTCTGATTATAAGTTCTTCGATCAGTGATTGTATTCCTTTGTGCACACATAATTTGGTTTTTGGTGAGATACGGTCTAGACAAAAATAACTGGGATTCAAAAGATGATGGCATGGTAAATGGATAGAAGGCTTTCGTAGTGATGATAAGTATAACTTTTCTGTTTGATATTGTTGAAGTATTATAAAATACAATATATACAGTAACACGTTGATTGCTTTTTCTTCTCTCTTTTTTTCTGTATAAATTAATAGCTTTAAATGCAACACATTACTAGGTACAATCTATAGTTTTATAAAGTTCACTGATTCAAAATAGTGAGGAAAAAAATTATTAATATAAACGAAAAATTTCACTCGTCAAAATAAAATGGAGAGAATCAACTTTAAAAAAGATAGTACAATTCTAAGGTAACACTCACACAGTGATAACAGAATAGTACATTCTGTTTTCTATCATTTTATGGACATTTACAAATTATAAATTTGTTAGAGTAGTTGTAACTCAACTTTTATGTCTCCTGTGTATTGAAGGTATTAAAATTTTGATATTAGCTTTGCTTTTTGGATATTAGTTAATACGATATACTATTGCTTCTGCAAGATGAGACGTCCTCCTTTTGACTACGCACCAAGACATTATTATCAGGCAAAATATTCGAGTAAAAATATACCCATATTTGAAAAATCAGGGTTATTAGATGAGTGTGAAATTGTTAATGGGATCCAATTGAAATATTCCGAACCAGCTGATGCAATTTCTCCAAAACAATACTTTAACACTCACCATATTCCATTACATAAGAGACCAATTTTGAAGGCAAAATTATATCGTAAAGCATCTGCCTTCCCAATCAAAGAATTTAATCTTGAAACCAAAAGTTCCTATCTTATTGGTCGTATTAGTATTAATAAGACCTCCAATGGTATTTACTCTTCAAGAAATAGTATTTTAGATATAGGTATACCTGATAGAAGTTACTCTAAACAACACTGTGTAATACAATTTAGAGAAATAAAAGGTAGACTTTGTGCTTATATCATGGATTTAGAATCTGTCAATGGTACATCATTGAATGGTATTTCTATTCCTACTAGAAGGTATGTGGAACTTTCAAATAATGATACCATATCATATCAAATAGAAAATGATATAAGTGCCGATTATGAGGTTCTATTTCAGCAAGGCTAATCTATCAATATAAATATTCACACAACCATGCTTTAAGATTCCTTTTTGTTCATCGTAAGCTAAACTACAACAAAAGCAACTGATTACTTATTACAGACATAGTGATGAACTGATCTAGATTTTGCTAGTGCAACTTTGGGATAATGAGTCCGCAAATCTTATACTTAAACAATTCTAAACATTTAGTTTTGTTTTTATTTTTTTTCCATAATATCCTCCTTTATTTCTTCAGACTTACATTAAGGCTGTTTTTACCCTTTTAACTTACGACATAAGGTCTTTCTCATTGATTAGAAAATGTTTTCTCAAGAGGATATTGTTTCCGTGGAATATGTAGATTTGATGTATTGATTTTATATTTATGGGATAAAATACTATTAACACTAGTGATATTATCTGAATGTGTGTCTAAATATGGAAGTAAAAATGTAACTATATAGAAATATTATTGATTGTTACTTAACAGTATCAATGGATTAAGAAAATAAAATTATAATAAATTTGAGACCAATTTAAAAAAAATTTAGGAAAAATTTTTGTTAAGATTACTATAGAGTATTACTAATTAATGATTTATCTTTTCTTTTGTATTTTACTAAAAGGTAGTGCAGCATATAAATTTTCTGTCTATTATTATGAAAGGGTGATACTTCATTTGCTTTATGCTATCTACAATTTACTACTAAGGATATTTTAGGAGGGATAAATATATTTAAAATTATTGTTAAATATTTTTTATAATAACAAAAGAACTGTTAGAATATTAAAAATAATATATCTGGGATTGTTAGCCAATATTTTGTTGTATACTGTCATCAGAATAGCTTTTGTCACTGCGATATTTATGTTGTTGGGAACGTTTCTTTAAGAAGTTGGATAATATTGTTGTCAAGACATTTGATTATATTAATAATAGGATTGTTATATGATGTTCATTTAACTGTTATGCAAAAGAACTTCCTGTTAGTTAGAATCTCTTGTAATATAGTTCCTGTAAATGCTCTTGTTATATACCAATGTATTGTCTTGTCACTGCTGTATTACTACAGCTTGTATTAAAAATAGGTGTCTGTCTAATAGAAATTATGGGAGTAGCTATATTGTTTTAGAAGTTCAAAATATTTTTATATGGATACTGATAGCTAGCTTCTGTATGTAACGAGATTAATATTCCTACATTTTTTACAATCTGATAACGAAATATTGACATACGATATGGTACTACTATTTTTCTATATTATCCTTACCAGTAATATTAGTGTGTCAACTTATAATTCAACAATATAACATTTATCAATTTTAATTTTAAAGAGTGAAAAGCAATACGTATCAATAAGTTCAATTTTAAGCATATTTTAGTGGTATATTTTACTGACATTTAGACCAGTGATGTTTTGATGAAGATAAACTGAAATTGGAAATATTTACGAAAGTAAACTCTTTGTAAAGCGAGGATATGGCTAAATCTTAACAAGTTATAATTAGAATATGGTTTTCAAGACGAAGATAGAAAATTTTATTATTAAATATTGAGAGAAACGGGAATATTGATGTCTATATTATATGTACTTATAATGCATAAATGAAGAAAGTCCAAAAAAAGATGAACTATGTAACAAAAAACTCCTCAAGGAAAATATGACTAATCTGATTGGAAAGATTTAAGCAAAGAATACAACATTGAAAAGTGGTGGTTTTACCAACATGAAATTTGACTCAATTATTGAGGTGTATGGAATTTGGACACTTTTTTATAATGGAAATACTGTTGGTCACCTTTCTTTATGTGAAACTTTCTAATCTTTCCTGAAAAAAACGACAGTATTTTATTAAGTTAACCTTAATGCTGATGTGAATTGAATATATAATGTAATCAACATGACGAATAACAATGCAAAAATTGAAATCGAATAAATAGAGGTAATTCAAACAAAATATTAACTTCTAGTAAGTTAGAAAATAAAGAGTGTGATAGTGCTTAAAAATCTCTACGCTAACATATGAAATCTAAGCTGACAGTAATAAAAATAAAATTGTTGTCTCTAATAATGAAAGAGTGAGTACAAAGAAAGTTCCCTTCAAATATTTGATTAGAATATTATCTGGGAAAATCTTGTTGCACCACAATTTTATGTTACCTGTTAAAGTAAAATACTTTGTAATATAAAATGCAATAGGACAAAAAAATTAAGTGCAAAAAAAAAAATTAAATAATAATAAAATAGAGTAATTTTTTGCGAAAGTTGTGTCTTAATCGTAATCTGGTTTACATTTTCTAATAACCCATGCAACACTGACATAAATTAAGCAAAATGGAGAAACTAGAGCACTGGCACCAAAAAAAAGAATTTGAAATAAACACATATCAAAGGACAATGAAGGCAGAACGCAATTAGAAGATTTTAAGGCTGAAGTTTTGATTTTTTTCAACTTATAAAATTACCGAGTACCAATTATATATTAACTGACACTTGCGATTTTTCCTAATACAAAATTATGGTAGAAATTTAAAGGAAACAAACGAAAAGATTAAGTGAAAAATGAAAAAGAAAGAACAAATTATTGTAAAAAAATTAGAATGGTTCTGTCCTTTTTATATATTAATTTTTTATGAAGGATATTGGTAAATTAATTGCTATAATATATTCTTAATATAATTAATTTTAGCAAAAGTCCAAGACAAGAAACGACATTTTTTAGCAAAAAAAAATTAATTAGTTGCGTAGAGTGTCACAAAATCAGGAAACCAATTATTTAATTTTTTTTAAATAAGAACAAATAATTAAGACTTTAAATGTCAATGTTTTAACCTTTTTTTTAAAATTTATTAATAATATTTATAATCGGATTATTTCATTTCATTTATTGTTTATATTTTCGAGTAATAATATAAAAAAAAGAAAATATTAGGAAAGAAATCCGTACTGTAGTAGATCTCAATCATATATTTGAGATAATTGTTTTTTAAAAGAACTAATATTATATTCGCTAATTGAAAAAATTAGAGATATAAAAATTCAAAAAAGAATATTGTTAAAATATATAAGAATATATAAATATGGAATAGAGAAAAAAGAAAAAAAATGAAAGAAACATTCAATGAGTAGTTTTTATACTTACTACTATTTCTACTCTTTTTCAATGATTTCTTTCTATAATTTCATTTAAAACTCTTTTAACGTCCTCCTTGCTAAGAATTCCTTGGTGTAACAAAGATTTGATTGAATCAATATAATCAATCCTTTTTTCATCAGGAATATTCATAAAATTAATATTTTTGCTTCTTTGCCATTTAAATGGAACATTGGCCAGCCTTAGTTCCTGATACAAATATTTTGGATGTTTTAATTTCATATGTTGTAAAAGGTTATCCTTTCTTTTGTGTCTACTTAGACACCATTGGCAGAAAAAATGTCTTTCTGCACTATGAGATAATAAGTGTCTTTTCAACCAAGAATGCCTTTTGAATGATTTCATACATTGCTCACATTTATGAGGATAAACTTCTTCTTCTCTGCTCTTTTCAACGGTAAAAATAGCATCATTATTATTTCCATAATTCCTTTTATGGGTGATTCCATTATCTTGAGTTAAAGTGTTGCTATTAAAAGTACGATAAGTTGATTTAGGGCTTAAATTTCCATTTATAATTGGATTTAGATTAGCAGCAGAATACTCACTGTTACTATCCGTGTTTATTGTAGTGGTGGCAGGTACAGAAATAGTATCGCCCACAGCTGCTGCTGTAGGACTAATAGTTGTACCCGTGAAAATAGTTGTTGTTGCTAATGTGGATGGATTATAAGAACTTGAAATAGAATATCTAGGATTCACAACAGTTGGCACTACAGTCCCTCCATTTAACACTGTTGGTGGATTAGAACTAATAGAAAGGCTGCGTAAAGGAAGTTGCTGAGAGAACAATTTTTGATTATTTTGTCGTTTTTGTTGACAAAGTTGAGTAGAGGCCATAGAAGATGCAACCCCTGGAGAATGTGCAGAGAGTGCAGATAGATTAGAGGCAGATACAGTGGTAGGGCCAGAGAAAGACAAGCTATGTCCTGTACGATACTGGCTTAATGATTCTGTCTTAATGTTAGGAGTCATTAGAGGTGGTGCTGGACCGTTACTAAATATAGTTGATGAATTGAATTGTTGAGAGGATATAGACAATCTAGGATGGTTTTGAGAGTGCTGGATGACAGGAGAGTTTTCTGGGAGATAACTATTGTAGTCTATTAGTGAATTGTTATTATTGTTATTTTCATTGTTACTATTATTTCTTAAAACAGGATTGCTAAGCAAAGAAAGGAATTTTGTGTCTTTGGTATTGTTACTATTAACAGAAACGGGAGTTGTAGTTGAGCAATTAATGCTGGTATAATTGTTATCGTATTCGCTATTTTGATAATAGTATTGGCTATTTTGAATAAATGGGTTTTTAAAGTCATATGATACAGAGGGACGTGCAAACAACCCATTCGTATTCTGTGGAGTATAATTGTTATTATTGTTATTGTTAGTATTAATATCATCTGCTTGTAAATATTGAGTATTAGAAGGATTTAATTTTGGTACAAAGTTTGAGAAATATGAATAGTGTTGTGACTGTGGTTTTTGATGCGAGGAAGTATTACCACCATTATTGGTATTAGTACTTGGATTATTTGGATTGAACTTTGAGGCAGAACGATAATAATTTGAATGTATTATATTTGGATTATTGCAAGAATTACCTGATGTATAGTTATTATTTAAGTTAGTGGTAGGAGGTGCAGTTATTGTAGCAAAAGATATGTTATGACGACTAACGGACGCCCTTGGTGTAGTAGAATCCAGCATAGGATGTAATAAAGTTCTAGAACTAAATATAGCCCCATTATTTGGATGTGTGCTGTTATTATTAATATTATTACTGTTATCATTCATACCTGTCATCGTGATACCATTATTATAAATATTATTAATATTATTGATGTTATTACCATTTGAATTAAACGTATAGTTCAAAGAGGTCATTTGGAGAATGTGTAAAATAAAAAAAAATAAAGGATAGAGAAAACGGATACTTATAAATAATGAAACGTTTAATATGTAATATTTGTATGTTTGAAATATTGTAATGTTTGCGATAACTTTATAGATCTCGGAGTACCGTAAAAGGAAATTTACAATTTTAATGGAGAGAGAAAGCTTTCTCGAAGCAACGTAATATTTGTTATTATTATTAAGCAAAATAAAAAATAAAATAAAATAAAATAAAAAAAAGGGAACGAAAAGAAAAAAACAAAGGAATATTGACACAAAAAGTATATTTGAATAGAAGAATAACTTTTGAAGTAAAGCCTGAGTACTTTGTATGTATTAGTTCTCTAATCTATATATGTAGAACAGTAGTGTTATATCAGTAATAGTAAGTCTTCTTTGTATGAATATCTGTACATAAAAAAAACTACGAAAGAAGTAGAATTAGAAAGACGTCTCTTTACAATGTTAGACAAGATAGCACTAAACAAATCTTGAGTAGAGTGTGAGTCTGAAAAGTAGAAGTGAAAGGTAATTAGTTGATGCGAAGTTAGGAAAGTTGAAAAGGCAAAAAATGTGACTAAATGTCATCATCATCGACCTCCTTCCTGCTTTTCTTTTTATATAAGTATTCGCTAGACATCTCAAAATGAAATGAAATGAAAAGACAATAATTGTGACAAAACATGTTGAGATCTGAATGATAGTCCCATTTTGTAAACAATTACCATGTCGAAAAAAGAAAAAAAGAAAAAAAACAGGAGTTGCGGAACAAAAACAAGTTATTATGATTCAAACTCAAGAAGAGAAACAACAAAAAGAAAGTATGAAAAAGGAAAAAAAGAAAAAGAAAAAGACAAAAGTGTATGCAACAGGAACTAGGAAACCAATCAATAGACGAAAAGAAAGAAAGAAAGAAAGAAAGAAAATATCTAAATATATCTTTGTATTGTTTATAGGATCATTATTGTTATTAACCTACCCAATATTGGGAACTTTAGGGACTTATACAGTTCCTTGATTAGGTTTACTAATAATTTTATTTTTTTCTCTTTTATTATTTTAAATTTTTTTTTTTATTCTCTTTGTTTACTTTCTTGTCCATGTTGTTTACTTAAGCAATGAATAAACAAAAAAAGATTCTAAGTTAAGGTACTTCGACAGTAACAACAAACAGAGGGACAAACAGACAAATCTACAAACATGCGCTTCATTTTTTCTTCTTCTTGTTTTTGGCTTGGTTTTCTCCATTAATTCTGTAATCTACACCAACTCCTTTTTTATTTTTTTTTATTTTTATTTTTATTTTTTTTCATTTGTTTGGTTCAGCTATTTTTACATATTACTACGTTTCTATTGGATCAATTATAAAATCGGATTTTTTAAACTTTTTGTTTTTTCCCTTTTTTTGTTTTTGCCTTTTCCCTCAAAGACAATAACAGAAAAAAAAATAAATAGAACAATAGCTAGAAAACAAAAAAAAAGTATAAATCATATTCAGCCGTTTGCTGTTGTTTCAAGTTCTTTTATTTATTTATTTATTTATTTATTTATTTTTTGTGTGTGTTTCTGTTTTGTGACAACAGGAAGAAAAAAAAGGGGAACTCAAAACTGAAAAAAGGGTATTCTTTTTTAATTTTTTGTTGCCTTTTCTAGAATCAATCAATTGTTAATCAATCACTTTTTATTTTGTTTGAAGAAAAACAATAGTGAAGAATAGACAAGTCATCATAGTGACACTATTTCGTAATAGAATAAAACAATTGATTACGATATACACATACATACATTTATTATATATGTGTGTAAACAAACAATCTGATCAAACCAGTCAGAGTAAAAAGAGTCATCAATCTGTACAAACCCTTTTGTAAAATTAAGAAAGCTTGATGAGTGGAGTTTTCTATATGTCCCTCTCTTTTTTTTTATTTTTATCTATTTATATAGTCTATAAAGGTAGGTGTAATAAGTAATATATGGGTTTAATCACATGTTGATTGGTGACACTGTTAGCTGTACTTTGACGTTTTCTAGTTCTATTAGCAATTCTATCTATTAGTTCATCCCTTGGTGATCCCACAGTATATCTAAATTGTAATTTCTTATAGAATCGTATTGCAACTTCGTTTTCGCTGAAAACTGTCAGTACAATTGCACTTATTATTGTATCATTTTTGAATACAGATTTGCTATTGCCATCACAATTATTGTACCCCATTGAAGTATCTTTTAAGCAGCCAAGTAGCCTCTGTCCAATTCCTAGTCCACGTAGTTCAGGCAATATTTGGATTTCATATAAATACACCACAAACTCAATTGCTCCAATCCTTGAAACATCAATCTCTTCTGTTAGCATAAATGATAAAAACAACACAGGTTGCAAATCTGTACTCTTATCTCTATCTGTGTCTGTCCTCCAGTAACTAACATAGATTAATCCTGGACTTAACATCTCTTCCCATTTATTCACTTCCCAAGATTTCTGATTATTGTATATTTGATGACTCACTTCTTTATATATTTTGCCAAGATTGATGTCCAATATATTTAAAAATTTCTTTAGTATCTCTACATTTGTTTTATTATTCACAGCGTCCAATGATGTAGAATATGGCTGGATTGAATCACCATCTTTATTAATAGTTGTGATGGTTTTAGAATCATCTATATACATCGTATGACGTCTAAGTAATCTTTTGACACCAATATCTCTATCCTTTTCCTCATACTCAATAGTTTCAGGGAAAAATAATTTTAATTTAGATATGAAAGTGTTGATATTGTCTAAATGACTCATTTTGGCCTGCTATGCATATCTTGCTATATATCGACTATCATTCGATATTTTTCATGTTAAATTGTCTTCTTTGTTTCTCTTTTTTTTCTATCTTTCTTCTCTCTCTTTTACTCTCTTTTTTCTTTGTATATGATAATATTAAGCAAGTTTTCGTATTCGAGAGATTGCAAAAAAAAAAAAAAAGAGAATAGAAAATAATAAAAAGGAAAATAATGCAAAAAATAAACTGATAAATAATATAGAAAGCAATTCGATATATGTATAAAATGTATAATTATATAGAATCTTACTATATATTTACCAGTTTTAGCACATAGTCATATAAGTAAGTGATACCATCAACTTCAGACTAAACTAAGACCTTGTTGTGGTCAATAAAATTATATCAGAATTTCAATCAATTATAAAGGATGCTTTTTAGACTGACTTTTATTTTTTTAATTCAATTATTAGCAATATATTTCTTCAGTTTAGGTTTTTTCCCAAAGAAAAATGTATTGAATGGAGCCTCTACTTTTAATTACAATGTTTCATTACAAAATAATTCTAAACCTGTATTCGACAGACTAATATTGGTTGTCATCGATGCCTTACGAAGTGACTTCATTTTCGATAAACATAATTCAAATTTCCACTTCGTTCATTCAAAATTAAATTCAGGGGAAGCATGGGGGTTTACTGCATTCGCAAATCCCCCAACTGTCACATTACCAAGACTAAAAGGTATTACCACGGGTTCCACACCTAGCTTCCTTGACGCTATTTTAAACGTGGCTGAAGATGACAATTCGTCATCTATCTCAGAACAAGATTCTTGGTTACTTCAATTACGTAGGTTTTCAAACCATAGGATAAGGTTCTTCGGCGATGATACTTGGCTGAAATTGTTCTCTCCAGCAGAAAAATTTTTTGATGCGTGGGAAGGAACAAATTCTTTTTTCGTTAGCGATTTTCAAGAAGTAGATTATAATGTGACTAGGCATATACAGACCCAAATAAATGAAAGAGATCAATGGGATACTTTGATTCTACATTATTTGGGTCTGGATCACATCGGGCATAAAGGTGGCGCCTATTCCAAATTCATGCCTAAAAAACAGATTGAACTGGACACTATCATTCAACAATTATACGAGGAAATCATTGATGAGAATTCTCTTCTGGTGTTTATGGGTGATCATGGGATGAATGATATAGGTAACCATGGCGGATCTTCTGCTGGTGAAACACACGCTGGTATGGTGTTCATGTCACCGAAATTACTACAATCCAGACCTTTTGAAAATGTAAGTGTGCCTCTTGATACACCATTAAATGATGATGGTGAAGTCAATTTTGAATATATGAAGCAGATTCAACAAATTGATTTGGTGCCTACAATCTCAACATTATTTAATGTACCAATCCCTAAAAATAGTGTAGGAATAACAATTTCAGAATTTTTGCCGTTTTTAGATAATGATACAAGATTAATTAAGGTTTGGGAGAATTTTAGGCAGCTTTCTATCTTAAATAATGAAATAATCGATAAAGACTTTAAATTGTGGGATATAGATAAACTTTATTTATATATGAAGGAGGTTCAACAATCTTTAACAAGATCAGCCACTAATTATAACTATACAAAATTGGCTATTGGATATGTATTTGTTGTTTTATCTGCTATCTTAATATCTCTATTAACCATAAAAGAAATGCAGTTCTCGTCTATTATGATAATGCTAGTTTTCATATCTTCAATGATAGGTATGTCAACCTTTAGTAGTAGTTTTGTTGAAGAAGAACATCAAATTTGGTGGTGGATCATTACTGGAACTTTATTGTTAATAATAGTTTCAAGGCCAAAGAAAAAAACTACATATTTCTCAAGCTTGATTATATTTATTTGTCTTAGACTTATTCGTGGATGGAATAACACAGGCCAGAAGACGGTATATTCATATGTTATTGGTAATCTTTTAGATGAGACTCCAAGTATTAAATGGAGTTTGAATTGTGTTACAATTTTATGGTTAAGTATCCTATCCACTTTTGATTATTTATCTCCTTTAGCTCAGCTTATTTTACCAGTAATAATTCTTTCATATAAAATTAATTGGACTATCGTGGACAAAGAGAGTATTCCTGATTATTTGAAAGAAATGGTCAAAGTTATTACAAAGTATTTATTAAAAGAAGATCATATGGTTTTATTTGAAAATGCTTTGATCCCAACAGCATTAATTGTTTATAAGTTATTTTCCATCTTAATGCTTCTACGCATATTTTTATTGGTCATTAAGGGGAGTAATAAAGAGAAATTTATTAAAAGTTTATTCAGAGATATCACGATGTTTTTACTATACCTTTCACCATCAAGGAACATTCCTCAGTACTTATTATTTGATATAATAGGAAGGTGTGCAACCCAAATATTAAAAGATGAATTCAAAAGTTCATTATACTTGATCCCAATTGTATCCATGATATTACAGCATTTTTGTTTTTTCCAGTTCGGCGGTTCAAATTCTATTGCAACTATAGACCTATCTAATGCATACCATGGGATATCTTCGGATTATAACATATACATTGTTGGATACTTAATGACAGTGTCTAATTTTGCTCCTGCTATATATTGGACCTTATTTTCGTGGCAATATCTTTACAGTAAAAGTGTAACTCATAAAAATACAAATAAATGGGAGATATTTGCAAAGAGTAAATTACCCTTCATATTTTTTAATTGTATTATTGGGTGTTGTTTGTTTGCTTCCTGTATAATATTAAGATACCACCTATTCATTTGGAGCGTGTTTAGTCCTAAGCTTTGTTACTATTTTACTTGGAATTTATTTATGCAAGGAGTAGTAGGCTGGATCTTTGAGATGATAACAGTGGCCTTTTTATAGACTGTAATGACATGCGTGTAGATAGAACATCTATAAAAATTATATATTATTATATTCTTGTCCATACAATTAAGAGATACTATCTACATTAAAATCCTTCCTAATTATGGTGTTAGCCGAGTTTAATGAAACAATTATTTTTTATTTAACAGATCAATAACGTCATATAACGCATGCATGAGATCTCCTCTACGTTGTAGTGATAAATTATTGATTATGTTGATGGTAATAATGGATGCACAGTGTAACTAGTTTTGTATTTTTATTTTATATTTTCGTGCTTGGTTAATTTTTGGATATATCATACCAGACGAAGATTGGACAGATTGGAAAGGATGACAAAAAAATTAAACAAATCATTAGAAACTCCATCGAAAAGATTGGAATTGCCTCACATCTTGATTACTCATTTAAAGACCTTCAAAGAAGTAGTTATAAACCTAGGAAAGGTTCCGCATTTCGCAAGACAAGCACCCGATTTAGTCAATTTAAGGACTAGTATTATATATATATATATGTATGCACATTTATAAACACCTATATATTTACATAGCCTTTTGTTAGAGATATGAGTTCATTAAGTGTGGGTAACTCCAATAGAGTAGATGATTCGGTTTGTAAATCAATTGAATCAAAATCAATTTTTAGACTTCCTGCACTAAATGGGCTTGATAATGGTGATAGGTATGTTTTTACCACACATAATGGAACTCGATTTGTTCAATTGGAAACATTGACCAAATTTGTAAGATGGGCTTTTGTTAATGGTGGCGAGTATAATTCTATGCCTGTAGATATACCGGAAAAAGCATCAGATATTATTGATGTTATCATAAGTAATAATTCCAAATTTATTGCACTATACACAGGTATTGACATATACTTAATAGAGATCCCATGGTTATACAAAGATGTCTGCAATATGAAATCAATATTCCAAAGAAAAATTCTAAATATCAATAGCATATCAAAGATTAAAAAAGTTATATTTCATCCAAAGGCTACCAATGATACATGTTTAGTTATTTTGTTTCATGATGATTCAATCTGGTTATATGATTTAGAAAATGATAACAAAGTTGTTTTAAATGAGGATACTGGTCGATTAGGGCTTGGGGGGAAAATTACATCAATTACAGATATGGAGTTTAGTAACGATGGGTTAACTTTATATCTTTTAAGTGTTGCCGGTGGTGGAGACATGTACGCTTTATACCCATGTCTTCCTTCTCGACTTTCCATCTCGAATAATGAGACTCAAGCATTAATTAGTAGGTCGGTTGTATTGTATAATTCTATTGATAAAGATACAAAGCCTGAGATAAAGAGAAATATCATCAAACAAGTACAATTTGCTGCTCAGTTGGATATTAAAAAAGGAGATGAAAGTTATAAAAATGGAATAAATATTGAAGATGATTATAGACATGTAAAAATACAAGGTCCTTTCACTATCGCACCATATCCCAGTAAATTATATGACACAACTGCAAAGGAAATATCAATTATTGACATTGGTCAAGGTAATGAATTATTAGCAATGCTTTTTGATGATAATACTTTGCTATTTTTATTTAAAGACTTAGAAATATCTATGGTTTGGGATAGTTCAAATTTCTATTACAATAATTCTCTGGTTTTAATTGAAGACTTGCAATTATCCACGAGGGATGATTGCAAGATTATGAAATCGTTTGTGAATATGGGTAATATTTTGATTAATGATAACAAGAATATTTCTTTAATTGACATTACGTCTTGGTCATCCTTAGTCTCTAACTGTATTGTAAAACAAGATATGGCTCCATTAACAAATGTTGCATTTAATAGTATTGTGACTACTCTAAATTGGAACGATAAATTTCTTTCAGCTGGTATTTGGAATTTCAATGGTAGTAAAGGCTTACTTGTATCATCACCATTAAGAATATATGTTAAAAACTTGTCAACAAAGACTAATGGATATATTTCTAAAGAAAATACTATTAAAAGGGAATTAGAAAATAATAACAGTAAATCCAATTATTCAGTGTCATTTTCTCAACCAGCCAGTGAAATAATGGAATTGACCAAGAGGTATATAGAAGAATGTAAAAATCCATTCCCAGATATAATAGAACCAAAAGTTAGACAAGAAGTTTTGTCCAATGATTCGAACGAGAAACAATTAGAGATCATGACAAAACTTTCTGGTGATGTGATTAAGAAAATTATTAAAGGACAAAGTTTAGGGATTACTTTACATAGTAGGATTTTGGAACAACAATATGAATTGACAAGACAATTGGGATATACTCAAAAATTGATATCTAGACAAACTACAATCGAGAATTTAAATCAGCAACAATCGTTACAATGGAATCAAAGGTTAGAGAAACAAGTGGAACTTCTTGATAGATTTAAAAAATTAAATGAAAAATTGTCAATTATTGAAGCCAATGATAAATTTAAGGACTTAGTGATTAGTAATGAAGAGATAAATTGGTTTAAAGAGATTAGAAATCAAGCAATTAAATTTAATGATTTCGTTCATAAACAAAAAAATGTCCAGGAAGATTTAGATTTCATTAAAAAGGAACTTGTATTGATCCAATCTAAATCTCAAGCTTTGGAAACTAAAACAAAGAATGAATGGGGAAGTCTACGTCAAATGCTCAAAGAAGATTCAATTCTTATAAAGCAGTCATACTTAGTATCAGAAAGTAAGTAATTATAAATAGATCATATTTAATATTGATAAAAAAGCCATCTGCTAGTATCTCAAAAAACTATTTCTCTTCTTTTCTATACCCTTTTTTTTTTCATCATGTGTATATCTATATGTATTTAATCCTGGTGCAATTAAAAAAGTAGAGTTACATAAGAAACAAAGTAAATGAGAAGTAGGTACAAAAATCTTATAAAAGAAATACACTAAAGGGATAATTAATGATTTCGGGATGTGCTTCGTTTAAAGATCCCACAACTCTCTTTAGTATAAACTGGTATTCTTGGTTGTACATTGATCAGTTAGAGACAACATTTTGTAGCATTTGTATAAATACAGTATCTAGTTTGTAAGTTGTTCTTTAAGTACATACTTGAATGTGGGTATGTGTTCGTGTATCTGATTATTGTTCTGTTTTCTTTCGTTAATTCAACAAATTTTATTTTATAGGGAAAAAGCTTTAACGGCTTGGAAAATGTCTCTAAATATGAATTCACAGATAAACGATAAAACGTGTCTCATCAATAAATTCACAATAAAAATATAATTTTTCCAGTTCTATCGTACACAAAAGTTGTTTACTGTCAGTAGTAGTGAGAACTTCACTTTAAAGTACACATAATTAATAGTATTTTAATAACCAACGCTTTAGAAGTGTATATAATTCTTTTCGATCCCTTTTTCTTTTTCAAATCAAAATAATATTTGTAATCCAATTGGCATGTCCGACAACTCATAATTAGTATATAATTAATTAATACATGAATACACTGTCATACTTTTCACAATACATATTTAATCCATTTAGTAATAAGGAAGATCCTCCCCAAAAAAATGGTTTTGAAGATAAACATAATGAACCATTGCATACACAAGATCCCTTAGAAAATGTGGATAACATCGACTTTGATAGTTTGGTACCTCTTACAGTCAATATTAAGTCAAGTGACATAGAAACTCTAGAAGATACGGACTCTTTAAATATAACAGAAAATACTGAACAAAATAATGAAGAGAAAACTGCTTCCAATATGAAATTGAATGTATCCCATGATAAAGAAACCTTAAGTAATATACAATATGGTTTTAAGAGAATTTTGATGTCAATTATTTTCTTTTTACCCTGCTATTTGATATATAAACCGTTTTGTTTCATGTGGCGGGTTATAACTTTACCTATATCTTTTGTTGAAAGAGGTATAAAATTACGTACTAGATCGCGTCTAAAATTCTTAAATACCAAGAAATCAAATAGCATATCTTCAAAAAGTTCAACGTTAGAATCTATTGGTGAAACACCAGAAGAGGATTTATCATCTGGCGAAGAATTTTATCTACAAAGAGATACAGTCAAGGGATCATTATTTAGAGCATCGACTATAAAACGAGATAATTCAAAATTGAAACAAGGTAAATCATTAGTTAATTCTGATGGTGCCAGTCATGTTAGTACAACTACTTTAGGCACTAAAAAAATGGGAAGGTTTTTATTTCCCAAGAAATTGATACCTAGATCTATTTTGTATTCAAAAAAAAAGAAAACTTTAGTAATTGATCTTGATGAAACTTTGATTCATTCGATATCTAGAGGTACAACTCATAACAACCCATCACAAGCACACATTGTTGAAGTAAAATTTTCTACTAGTGGGGTCTCTACATTATATTATGTCTATAAAAGACCATACTGCGATCAATTTTTGAATAAAATATCAAAATGGTACGATATTATAATATTTACTGCTTCTATGAGGGAATATGCAGATCCAGTTATTGATTGGTTGGAAAGTTCTTTTCCAGGTAAATTCATAAAAAGATTATATAGGAATGATTGTACACTTCGGGATGGTGTGGGTTATATTAAGGACCTCAGTATTATATATGGTGGAGGCAAGAATTCAGTATCTGCAGATAGATTAAATGAGATAATAATTATTGATAATAGTCCAATAAGTTATGCAATGCAAGTAGATAATGCTATACAGGTGGAAGGTTGGATCAGCGATCCTACTGATGCAGATCTTTTAAATCTTATTCCTCTTTTGGAAGCTTTAAGATACACGACAGATGTACGTAATATCTTAGCTTTAAAAAGCGGCGAGAAAGCTTTCCATATTGAATGATTTTGTTCATTATATTTTAAAAAAATGTCATCCCTCACTGTTCTCTATATTTATTTTCACATCACACATATAAATATATAAATTTACATATGCATATATTCAAAAAAAAATGTCATTACTCAGGTAAAATATGGATAATCAGTTGTTAATGAATATATTAAACTTGTTATTCTCAAAAGTACATACATCTTTCCACCAACTTCTTTTGGAAGTAAAATGTACACACACTATATACATGAATATCGATAAATGCGCAAAAAATAATAAAAAAATCATAGAATATCATATATTTCGAAATAGAATAAAGTAAAACATGATGACCAACAACGTATCTATTTAAATTCCAAAATAAAGCTTCATTCTCTCATACACAAAAAAACTGCATGCAACCATTGGGGTAACTTTAATGTATCCAATACTTAAACCAACAAAGAATCCTCTCCATCCACGTTCTACATAGATAGTATTTGCAATGTCTAAAATACCTTGGAACTTATGTGTATACAAATTTTGAATTGATAATGTACTAACTTGCAATCTTCTTCGTATGATTTCGAACGGATACGATGCAGTTTGAGATAGCATACCTGCTAACCCTCCTGAAAATAATTCAGCCCATGTCTTCAATGGCGTTCTTTGGTTTCTTTCAGCTATTAGGAATTCATCATCTTCTGATAATTCTAATACAGCGTAAGGTGCCAATATGGGATGTTTAAGCATGTCATGTAGGAAATCGTGAGCGAAAAAGGAGACTCCAGCATATGGAATCATTCCTAAAACTGTCGGTACATAACCACGATAGAAATTACACCAATGTGCAAACCAATTAGGGATATAAAATTTTGATGTTAACGTGATAGATGCAGGCTCTTGATATATTGTTTTGACAATCTTTAAGATATGAGGCCTTTTATGTTCTGTAACATAAGCCAGCCTTACTCTAGTCAGATCTAGTGGATAAGTGACAAATACACTACATAAGCCTGCTAGAGACCCACTAATCAATCTTCTCCAATGAGTTTCATATTCCTTGGACGGTATTAAGTAGCCTCGAATCTGTTCATATGCAATAAATTTGATGGCAGCATATGGAAATATCCTTAAAAGAGTAATGGAATGACCTTGATAGAAGCCTCTAACACCATCGTTTATCCATATATGTCTTGCAGCTTCATATAAGCCCATCAAGGAACCTGAGTATTTAGTATAATGTGGATTAGAGGTTTGGAACAGAATTTTTATACGATCTAAAGGAGCTATCAAAGATTTTGCACATGCCCCAGAGAGACCGCCCGCAATCCCTGATCGTATTACATAATCCATTGAATTTTTATTAATTATATTGCGTTTATTGTTTCGAGTATCCATATTGACACTAGTTTTATCATTGGTATTGGTATTGTTTGATATAACATTTTGTTTCCTGTTCATTTAAAAGTGACTAATGAATTCTTTAACTGGCTGTTTATTTTTTTTTTCTATTTTTCTTGTGTTTTCCTATATTATTTTTTTAAATGATATTAAGTTGTGATAATGAAGTTATATGTATTTTATATTCATTAAAAAGTAAGAATGTTATGATAATCAAAACAAATAGTATTACTGTTGTGGATTTTTACCTAAATTAATTACTTATTATTGAAAGTAATACTATTCCTTGTGTAATGTTTCAATGCAAAACATTTATATCAATGTCATGTGTGGATGGCTTATTTCTTGTTTGAACTGTGGTACTATAACCTATCAAATATTGTTATTATTATTTTGTTCAATGCGTTTTCAGTTATGTTGTTTGAGAAAAAAAACAACCCGAGGAAAAAAATAACTAAAGCCAAAAAACAAAAGAAAAAAGAAAAAGAAGGATTTATGAATCAGAACCGAGACTGCAACACAATTACCTAAATAGGAAATATTCTCAAATATAGCATCTAAGATCTATTTAAAATCTTGTACTTTATAAAGATACAGTAAGAAAATTTAAAATAAAAAAAAAAGAATAAGAAGATATTATTTGATTTACATATGTTATTTTAATCAAATCCTATTCATGCCATTTTCTTTTATTTTTTTTTAGTGTTCTTGAGATACATAGGAGACTTCTTACTGAATCACCGATGAGTCCAAATAATAATCTTTAAATGTTATAAAAATGGCAGAAACCAAGGAATCAGTAAAAGAATAATGTTACTTGTATATCATAAAATTTTCCTTTGTATTTGAACTATCCTGTTTTAAGCAACTGATACATGTGCAACAATCAAATTAATACTAAAAGACAGTTACTGTTTGTTTCATCGAATTATTTTTCAAAATATTATTAACATTCAGTAAATCATCACCCATAGAGTTTATTTATTTATTTATCTGCTATTTATATTTGTAATATTTCTAAGATTATGTTGAACTTTTCTGTTGATCAGATAAGTTAGTGTATCTATCTTTATTTAAAACAATTATTAATTTCATCTTCATTATACATATAGGTTTAAATACATTATATATTTACTTGTGGCGGTGATCCTTGCAATAAAATTGGGTATACAAAGGCAGGCAATTATGGTACATTAATTATAAAAATTCATGATATTTAATAATCTGAGTTAACTTTAGTAGTACATAGTGAAAATAAAATAAATTATTTCTTTTTACGGTAAAACAAATATTTATTAATCGGAAGCTTTTTTGGAAAAGTTAATGTTGATAAGATTGTGAAGGAATATACTAGTACGAGGTTCTACTTAAGTTTCACCCTTAAGTTCTACAATAATGCTAGAGAAAGAATATCTAAATATATATATATATATATATATATTATACTAGTAAAAAAATAATCATTCTACTAGTAATAAGTTCATTTAAACAGAAAAATTGACAATTATATTTTTTATATTATAATACTACACTATTTTTATATCTAATATATTTATTGATAAACTTAGTGAGTTTCAGATGGAATTTCGAAAACAATTTGCTTACCAGTCAACTTGTTGTAGACAGCTTGGAAAGATTCCAATTTGTAATCAATTTGTTGAATGTCCTTGGAGTCTAACAAAACCTTTTGGATTTTGTTACCACCAACTAAGTATCTAACTCTCTTACCGACGATTTCAGTTGGGAAAACCATGTCTTCTAAAATCTTGTCGTGGACAGAGGTTAAAGTTCTAGATCTTGGTCTCTTTTGTTGTTGTCTGGAACCTCTAGATGGCTTTGGTAAGATTCTTCTTTCAGCTAAGAAAATGACATGACGGTCTGGGAATTTCTTTTCTAATTCACGGGTCAACTTGGTTTGAACCTTGTGGTAACCAGCCAAGGAAGGAACTGGGACAAAGACAATCAAAGCTTTCTTACCACCAGCAACATCAATCTATTAAAAATAAAAATAAAAAAAAACACCAATAAAAAGGGCAGATTTATCAAACTAATACGCAAAACAAAAAAACTCCATGAAATCTTCCATTTTATTACTTGCATATTAATCAAAAAACACTTTGTTAGTAAAGTTGAAACTCATAAATTAAATACATAACTATATCATTGGATTGATTAGATACAACAACATGTGTTTTCTTTCACTATTTGTTTAATCTTCTCTTTTCTTCACAAATCAAACATTATACTATCAAGCTTTATATGTATAAATATATACGTATTCTGCCATTTTTTTATCCTTACTTCTCAATCACAATTTTCCACACAGAACTGTACAAATGCTTTTTCATATTATATTATAATAGCTCTTATGAAATTTTTAGATATAGTTATTTCTTTTGAAATGATCCACTTGTATTTTCATTACAAATAAACATACTTCTCTAACGGACTTGAATTGTAATGGTCTTAATTCAGCCTTTAATTCTGGAGAAGAGTTTTCCAAGTCAGTGAAGGCCTTAGCGAATTGCAATTCCAATTCAGTTGGAGCTTGAGATAAGATCTTGTTAGACATTATTCCTAGTGTACTTGTGGCGTCCTTTCACTGGATATACACATATCAAAAAAAAACGTGCATATTAAGACGAAGGCTTACGCCATGTACACGTATATACATACATATGTAACAATACAGCCCTATTTTGTATATATCTTTAAGTATTTACCATAACGATATTTGGTAAGATGGTTGAGCCTAGAGAGGGAAAAGAGTAAGCAGTCTGGGAGCATACCTAGAGTTCGATACAAGGAGGGGGAGGGAGGCCATACACAGAGAAAGAGGACACACACAAAAGAAAGGTACTGTTGGTATAATGTTGTTCTGCCTGCAGATGATGACGATAATATTTCTCTAAACCGCTTTGAAACCAAGTATTTACTACAACTAACTATCGAACAACACTGGAAGTTGAGTGAGGCAGGAAAGAGAGAAAACAGACAAACTCCTTGCTTTTCGAATTTTCCTCTCAAGACCGCTCCTTTCATTTTCAAACCAGTCTATCAAATAATCATTAAAAATTTCCTCTTTAGTCGATAGACAGTGTGAAAATTAAAAAGACCAAAAAAAAAAAAAATAAAACACTCAGAAATCTTATCTCAAAGTGAAAATACAAATCTTTGTTTGGTGTACGGATGGAAAGCAGTCACTAGTTGCTTGTATTTTATTTTAAAATGTAACAAATCTTTATGTTATGATGTATATGCACATTTATCATAGATACATTCCATCATTTGTTGTTATGTTAGTAGCTCTGTTGAAGTTCAGTGATTGGTATATAGTTCCCATTAATTATGTAAATTCAACACACGATAATTACAATAGAATATGCACAGTGGAGGGAGATGGATACAGTAAAAGCGTAAACCAATCAAATATATGTGACAATTTATAATTTACAGTGTGTATGGTTCCTCTTTGGAAGCACTCACTCTTACAAGACCCTCAGGTAATGGCATAGCTTGATTTTCTAACTGATTTGGAGATTTGTTATTATTTTCTTCTTTCCAATCCCCAACCTTATAATTATCTTCTCCGTATCGTAATAACCCTAAACCAGCGGCTGAAATAGATTGTGTTACTAAATCCCATATACGCATGATGTCAGCCACACGAGAACCATCTGTTTCAATCTGTTTTATTTGTTCACTTAGTATAAATAATTGGGACTTCATGGTCTCCGTCAAGTCAGCTATACGTTTCAATGACTCTAATTCCCTTTTTTTAGATTCAATTTTCGATTCAATAGTTGCCATATTTGATGGAAGTTATAACTAATATTGTATGCTCTCTTTGCTACTTTTTTTATCTTTTAATAAAACCTTTGATCTTCCCACTTGGTATTAGTATAGTTACTCATATCTTAGTTTTTTATGTACTTTAATCTCTGTAGAGAATGTTTTCTTATTCTTCTGTCTTACGTTTTATTTTTCTTTTATTTTTTTTTTTTACTGTCAGTATTCTCTTCTACTTTTAATATTTTCCCGTTTAAGGAAACAAATCAAGAAAATACAACGAGAAACACATAAAGGTATTTTGATCACAACCAATCAATTTGTATAGATAAACAACTGTGCTTGCTTCTATATGCAGTGAATATGTGAAACATAATTACTATATGAGATAGTTTTATGCGAATCCTTGATTAGAATATGTCTATATATATGTGTGTACATATATGTATATGTACATATGTAGAACAATTTATATGAAATAGTAGGGTAGGTTTGTGTGTTATTATTCTACTATTCTGGTTAAGGGAGAGCAAGAGGGGAAAAATAAAATTAGGAATAGAGTTTATTTGAGTTGACACCTCGGTGTATTTAGACAAAGTGTTATATCCAATTAGAAGGATTGGTGTAACTCGTACGAGTCTATTCCAAAGATATAGTTGTTTGTGGATTGGCTCTTTTTTTAGATCATTTATTTTGAATACCTGGGTGGGATATAGGTACAACAGTAGTAAAAAGCAAACACTACGCAACTTTTTGAAGTTATCTCGTCATTGGAGGAATAGAGCTATGAATATAGGTAATAATAGTCCAGTTATGAGTAAAAGGGAAAAATTTATGAGTTTTGTAAAATCTACGAAAGATGTATATCTTCCCACTATATCCCAAACGATTAAACAATCAACAAATTCTGTTTGGGATCATTCTAAAAATTTATCTTCCTCAACATTATCTAGCCCTTACAGAGAATTACCATCCAATATGAAGATTATATTTTATCCAACATATTCTACCGAAAAATATAATAGATATGAAACTAGAATCAGATTTTCTTTACAATCACCTGGAAACATCACTAGTAGAAGGAATAAACTCTTAGTAATGTTAAGCAGACAGTATTTGAAATCTGGATTGAATACAAAGTCTAATATTTATACAATATCGCCTAATAGCGACGAAGACTTTACTTCAAATGACAATGCTAATAATAATAATAAGTTCTCTTCAGAATACAGTTTATATAATTCAAATGGTGAATCTGAATATTTTAATTCTATAAACACAGATTCAAATGAGTTGAAAATTCTTAAGGAAAGATTAACAGGATTTATTACTAAAAATATTGGTAATGTTCCACTTAAAATCACTACATTTAATAAAGATTGTACTATTGTACAGCAGATTATCTCTGATTCCAAAGGTTTTGTTGATACCAAGATAGTAACTGAGTTCGTTCCAACAGACATTAAAATATCTCTTGATGATGATCCAACATTAATTGTTTCTACTGATATAACAGAAACATTTCCCAATTGTCTTATCGATCCGAAGGGTGTTGCAATAATTAGTGACATTGATGATACAATAAAGCACACCGGGATAACAGGAGATAAGAAATCTATGTTTAGAAATGTGTTTGTTCATAATGTGGAATCCTGGGTAATTGATTATGTTCCAGAATGGTATAATAATTTAAAACGGTTTTATAATGCTGATTTTTTCTACGTATCGAATTCACCAATTCAATTGTATTCAGTATTGAATGATTACATATCGAAATATTTGCCTATGGGTCCTATTTTTTTGAAACAATACTCTGGGAACTTATTGTCTGGAATAACTACCTCGAGTGCAGACAGAAAATTAAACACGTTAAAGAATATCATTAACGATTTCCCTCAAAAGAAATTTGTTCTTATTGGCGACTCTGGCGAACAGGATTTAGAGGCATACATTTCCATTGCATTAAATTATCCTGATCAAATCGTTGCAATTTATATTCGTTGTTGTAAGAATTCAATGAGTGATGTGGAGTCGAATGATGAAGAAGTTATTAATGAATTAAATGAAATGATTTGGGAGGAATATACTAAACCATTTCAAGATGATAACAAACAAGATTGTAAGTCTTATAATAGCATAGGAGAAAGTAATAACACATTCAGGCAATTACAATTGATGAAACCGGCAATTCCTAAGAAAACTATTCAGTTAGAGAGCAACCAGATAGATTTAATTAAGTCATCAAGAATAAAAAATTGTGATAATAATTATATAAAAAAAAGTTAATCTAGATAATGAATTAGATAATAAACGTTTTAATAGTCAAGGATCACAGTCTTCACCGGCAACAGAAACAAATATAAAAGTTAATGAACAATCAAATTATAACAAATTGCAAATGAGTAATACAGTTCCATTAATGAAAAGATACAGACCAAGTCCACCACCACTGCCGTTTTCTTTGCAGAAAATTCATTCAGATAGTGAATTAATAGAATTTTTCAATAATCGTATAAATAAGTCAAAGTATGAATTGTTACATGTTGGAAATAATAATAATAATAATAATAATAATAATAATGGTGGTGATAACCCATACATGATGCCATCAAGTCAAAATGATTATAACACATATAGTGGATATTTTGATAAAAAGGCGGACTTATGGCATAAAAGAATTAAACAAAGTATATCACAATTGATTGAAATAGAAAAATACGATCTTGCATTAATGTTTTTTTCTGATCCCAGAGATGCATATAAGGATTCTATCGAGCATATCAACAACTTAAGGAATTAGTTTGAACTGTTAAGGTTTAATGAAATTTATTATCACAGCATATAAATACCTATATATAGACATATCCATGTATATATATGGCATAGCTTTATAAAAGTAATATACTGTTTACATAAAGAGATGATTCTTCTCTAATTTGATAAATAAAAATTTATATAACTTTATATGTTATTCAGGAGCATGTTTGTAAGTCTTCTTGGCTTAACATTTTATAAAAAAAAAGGAAAAACAAAGCTAAAAGACATGTAGTACTTCATCTATCAAAATATACATATATGTGTATATATGCACTGTTGAATAGATCTTTTATGTAATTTACATAGTGTTATTGCACCCTTTTATATTCTTTTTCTTATAGCGTTTTAGTTTGCAAGTAAGTTTTTAAACATTTGTTTGATGTTTTCGATCAAAATATAAATGCATTACTATCAAAAACCTATTTGTATTTTCAGTTTTTACGTTTGAACTAACGAATTCCATTGTATAACCCTAACTATATAATATAGAAAAACTCATAATACGTTATTTTTATTCAAGAAGCGTGGTAGCCTCTTTAAAACAAAGTAACAATAAAATGAAAAATAATGGGGAAAATCTCAAACAGCCCGCATTTTGGAAATTTACTTGTTTAATTTTTAACAAGTCAACAGAACACAAAACCTCATGTTTTTTTTATCATAGTAGATTTCGTAAATTAAAAATCCCAACATCATCTAATTGAATATATTTTTTTCTTTTTTGTCTTTCTCTGTTTCTCTTGCTGTTCTTTTTTTTTTTTTAGTTGATTTTTTAAGTTTGCCATTATTTCTTGTTTCAGTTAGTTAAAACTAACTGTAAACAAATATTTACAGATAGCTATAGAAGTACGTAGAATTGGCATATCTAAGGTGGCCACCCTTACAAAGTGTAGATTGATTTTTGTTAAAGTTTTTCCTTTTAGTGAAAAAAAAAGTATTACCGCATTTAAACTACCCCATCAACCATTATTATTATTGATTTGTACATTACAATTATACTTTCTAGCAAGCTTTTTTTAGTATATTTGAAATAACTCTATTTTGCAACGATGCCGTCGAATTCAAGGAATAAGAAAAAGAAGAGCAAATCAAAGAGTAGTGGCAATAATAAAAAGAATAACAACAGCAACAGAAATAATAATAATAATATATCAAGAGATATAAGTGCTGAAGTTTTTGATGAATCTGAGGATTATCCAACGTCACGAGTGATTAAGAGAGCCCCAAATGGTGATGTTATTGTGGAATCAATAACACCTACTATTCCAACAGAAGCTTCCAGCAAAAAAAAGAAGAATAATAAAAAAAATGATACAAAAGGTGTTTCCAATATGGCCAATGTATTGGATCTTCACTGGGAATCGTTATCATCAGAAGAAAAAAAAGCAATTTTAAGAATTGATAGAGATGATGTCTTTCAAATAATACAAAAATATCAATCCGATTATAGTTGTAATTGTTCCGTTTGTGGTAAACGCCATTTGGCCATGGATCAAGAAATGGAAAGAATTTATTATATGTTGTACGAAATAGATAAAATAAAGGATCCAGAAATTACTCCTATCAAATTTCATTTAAGTATCATTAAGGATTTGCAAATATCAAACAGTAACAGTACTAGTAATAATAATGATGATAATGATAATAATAATAATAATAATACCAATGACAATAAGGGCCTTTCGGCAAGTCCGCAAACTGTACCCGTGATACCTCGAGGTTTAGTTAATATAGCTAATGATGATGAAGATTTGAAGGAATTCTTGGCATCAAATAATGGCAATTCTTTAAAAGAAGAAATTCTTCATTTTAAGCAAGCTAAGCAATTAGAGCATCAAGAACATAAAAAGAAAAACAATATATCTAACGACAATATTTTTGAAGAGTTTTCACGACAATTACCTTCCCCTTTACTTGAAGATGAACCACAAGGAAACCAAATAAAGCAACAGCATAACAACCCTGAAGCATCCTACATTGAAGATAAACTTTTTAAGAACAAGTATTTGCAATTTACCCATAAATATATTTCTTCTTATCCAAAAATTGCTGAAGAATATGTTAAGAGAGTAATGATGTATCCAGAAATGAGACAAGTAACTGATCAACTAATGGCAAGTGATGGCGATGGCTTCTTGAAAGCCATTGAAAATTTTGTTATTGAAAGGGCTAGAGATGAAGACGGTAATATTGATGAAGGTTATTATCAGAAATTAGGTGATGTTAAATCGTTTACTACAATGCTGCACAAAGGTCAACCATTGACTCAACAGGAATACACTGATCTACAGAGAAATATTGCAGAGAGAATGACAAGCTCATATGATACTAAAAGAAGAGAATTCAGGGAAATTTCGCCATTGGAAAAAGAACTTTTTACTCGTTTCATGTTTGGTGAGGATAGAGAACAATTCGGTGAAATGGTTATGCAATCATTTAGAGAAAAATTTGATCATGCGTTCGGTGGTGCGTCAGTTAGTGCATCATTGGCTGCTGCTGCTGCTGCTGCTACACTGACAAATCCGTTAGGTGTCTCAAATGAATATTCCTCCATGCAAAGTGAAAAAGATGAATATGACGAAAGTTACGATTATTCTGACTATGAGGAAGATGAGGACGAAAGTGACTTTTTTTCTGAGTATACAGATGAGGAAGATAATGATGGGCTTTCAAATTATGGAGAAGAAACCGATTCTGATAATGAATGTCTTAACCCATCTCATCACCATCACTCTAATGACCAAATATTTGTACAGCATGGAGAAGACGTTGATACAGATGATCAAGAACATTATTATCATGATAATGATGATGAAACCCATCATATGTCTCATGAAGAAGATTATGAAAGTGAGATTGATGAAGCCACAAGACTAGAAGAAGGTAGGAAGTTAATTCAAATTGCTATTACTAAACTATTACAAGGTAGAATTTTAGAATCATACCATACAAAACAAGCAGATGTAAATAGATTGAAGTTACTTCAGGAATTAGAAGATGAAAAGGAAAAAAAGAAAGCTAAAGAAGAGAAGAAACAAAGAAAGAAGGAGAAAGAAAAGGAGAAGAGAAAGCTACAGCAGAAAGCTAAGGAAGAAGAAAGACGTAAAAAGCTTGAAGAGGAAGAACGTTTAAAAAAGGAATTAGAAGAACGTGAAAAAGAAAGGAGGGAAGCTCAAAGGAGGAAAGTTGAGGAGGCTAAAAAGAAAAAGGATGAAGAACGAAGACGTCGTTTAGAAGAGCAAAGGAGGAGAGAAGAACAACAAGAAAAACAACGTAAACTTAAAGAAGAAATGAAAAAGAAGAAGGAAGAAGAGCGCAAAAGAAAGGAGAGAGAACAGAAGGAGAAGCAAGAAGCTGAAGCAAGAGAACGTAAAGAACAAAAGGAAAAAGAAAAATTAGCAAAAGAAGCAAAAGAAAGAGAAGAAAAGTCATTACGTGAAAAGAAAGCTGAATCTCAAAATCAAAAAGATGAAAATGTAAAGAAAACGAATGATATAATTGAACAAGAGTCTATAATGATAAATGACAATGCAGATGTAAAGATCAGTTCCAATTCTCTTAACAGTATTAATAATTCACAGTTCCACTCGGGACACTTTCTGGCTAATGGCAAGGCAGCCAATATCGATAATGTAGGATCAAATAATGATATCTTACCGATAATTGGGGAGTCCTTATTAGGTAATGCTACACCATTTAGTAATACTAATTCGTTATCTCTTAATAAATCAATAAGCCATCAAACAAATATTATTCCAACATCACAACCTATATCCTCGTCTACCGTTAGTAGTTTGTTACCATCTTCTTTATGGAATAATATTACAGACCCTCGATCAAGTAACACCATATTTGATTCAGTTTCGAATCAAAATGCATCGTTTCTATCTTTATCAAATAATGATCGGTTTAATTCAATAACTCAAAAAATAGGAATGCATGGTTCGTATTATCAACATCCTCAACTACAGCAACAGCAATTAGTAGCAGATACAGGTATTTCCAAGTCATTGAGTGATGAGTTGAATAATTTAACATCATTACTACAATCAACCAATATCAATGATTCGTTATATTCAAGAAATAATACATTGAACTCTTCTTTTTTTATGGACTGATCCTAAATTGACAACGGGTAATTCAGGTAGTTCTATAAATAATAGCAATCATGCATCCTCATTAATGCCAACTAACAAATTATTAGGACATGATATACCAGTTTCAGCTTCTATGTCACATAGTGACCACAGTGTACATCAACGCAAATCTATTTGGGACGATGATTTACCTCCGGTAAATAGTGTAAGCGTTTCTACAACTACCAATTTCCCACTTCCGTTGAATAGTAGCAGTATACAGCCACATTCTACAATGGATAGTAACGATAATAAGAATACGAATAACAACAATGATAATGATATTTTTACGTCGAATAGTTCTATTTGGGACAATACAGATTTTTCAAATACACCACAAATAAATCCAACATCAGTTGGATTAACGACTACCATGACTACAATGACTCCTCATGCAGATATAAATGGAATTTTACAACCAACTCTCTGTACGATTCAATCAAATTCTATGAATGATACAAATGGTAAACCACTTCCAATGAGCATGAATTTAAATTCCTTAAATGATCATGTTATCTTTGATTTAATCTGTAGAGCATACAGCACAGTGATTCAAAAACAACCAACTAATCATAATTTTGTTCCTGTAGATACACTATATCATCAAGTTAATTCGATAATGCCGTTGGACTATCATACTTTTATAAATAAAATATTAGAGATACGTATTTTACATGGTTGTGAGATATTAAATTCATCCATGGGGACAATTAGTCATATCAAGATAGATCTTGACACAATACCTCATAGCAATACTCCCTCTCTACTTAAACAAAGAAGAGATACACAAGAAAATGGACAGTCGCAAATGAATTCATTCATGCTTCTAAATGCAGTAGGTTCAAACGGCTCATAGGGCCGGTGTATTACATTATATGATGATTAAACATATATATATATATATATATATGGTACCTAATTACGTATAGGAAGAGTTTTGTGTCTTCTTTTTTTTGTTTATAATATTATTACTGTCGTAAATAAATATTCGTTCACTTTGTGTGTGAAGTATGGTGAATTATATATTTTATGTTATAGGCATGTTAATGGTTTGCGTTAATTTATATACTGGTTTCCTTCTTTTGTTTTTCAATGCGTTCTATTTTACCTAAATAATACAGAAAGGATGTAAAGAAACGGAAAAAAAAAACTAAAGAATAATAGTGTGGTGTTAACATGAAAAAGCCACATATAACGCTTGTGTGTCATATACATATATACATGCATACATACATACACACATACATATATATATATAAGATTGAATAGATTTATAGAAACTTGTAAAAAGAAGAGAAAAGAAGGGAGAAAAGAAAAAAAGGACATAAGAAAACAAGAATCAGCAATAATAATAATAGAATTAATGTCAGAAAATAGTGTTAGAAGGAAATTGGTAATAATTGGAGATGGAGCATGTGGTAAAACATCATTACTGTATGTATTTACATTAGGTCAATTTCCAAAAGAATATCATCCAACAGTATTTGAAAACTACGTGACGGATTGCCGAGTAGATGGGATCAAAGTGACCTTAGCATTATGGGATACAGCAGGGCAAGAAGAATACGAAAGGTTGAGGCCATTTTCATATTCTAAAGCAGATATAATACTAATAGGGTTTGCTATTAATGATAAAGAATCGTTAGAGAATGCACGAACTAAATGGGCAGAGGAAGTGTACCGATATTGTCCACAAGCACCTATAATACTTGTTGGATTGAAAAGTGATTTGAAAAAAGATGAAGATCCTAGAAATATAGTAAGTAGAGAAGAGGCCCAAAGGATAGCTGATGTGATTGGGGCTAAAAAATACATGGAATGTAGTGCCTTATCTGGAGAGGGTGTAGATGATGTGTTTGAAGTAGCCACAAGAACAAGTCTGCTGATGAATAAAGAACCTGGTGGAAGCTGTTGTTCGATTATGTGAATAGTGCCCACATGCACACACACACACACACATATATATATATATATGTATATATATTTATAGAAATAATAAAATATTTTGAGAATAAAAAGAGAAAAGAGATGATACAAAAGCATGTCTTAAACTACCCCTACAACACATATTGGCATTTTTATTGTCTTGTACTCATATAAACATACAAACACACGTTTTTAATGTCCAATCCACAAACATCAGACACTCAGGCACGTATATATTTGTATCTTGTACTTATTCCATATAACATAGATATTCACAGTCACAAACAAAGTACAATATATTGGCGCTATCAAAAGTACATACATATTCGCAATATAAAACGTATTTTCCTGATCTAACACGTTTCTTTTTTTTTCTTTTCTTTTTTTTGGCTTTGGCTGTTCTCTTTTTTTTTGAAGAAGAAGAAGAAGATCACTTTGGGCGGGAACTGAGTTGAATAAACTGGAAGAAGAGGAAGAATCGACTTGATACGTGAATAAATAATTTTATCAACTTGAGTTAAGCATTGATATTACTTTATTATAGGTGTGAACTATTTGAACATATATATAGGTACACCTGTAGATATTAGCTAGTTTTACTTTTTCGTATTGTTCTATTTCGATTCGCTGTTTAATTATTGTTTTTGGCACACGTGGCTATAAGAGAGAAAGAAAGAAAGTTCATATATATTTTAGGATGGCTGGGGATGACAAGAAGAGTGCTTCTGAAAGATATCAGAAGATATCTCAGTTAGAACATATTTTGAAGAGACCAGATACTTATATCGGTTCTGTAGAAGTTCAGGAATCTCAACAATGGATCTATGATGAATCGATCGACTGTATGGTAGAAAAGCCAGTAAATATTGTCCCAGGTCTTTTCAAGATTTTCGATGAAATTTTGGTTAATGCAGCAGATAATAAAGTAAGAGACCCATCCATGAAAAGGATAGATGTTAATATCATGCCTGAGGAAAACACAATCGAAGTACGCAACGATGGGAAGGGGATCCCAATTGAAATTCATGATAAAGAAAAAATTTATATTCCAGAACTGATTTTCGGTCACCTATTGACTTCTTCCAATTATGATGACAATGAAAGAAAAGTTACAGGTGGTAGAAATGGTTATGGTGCAAAACTTTGTAACATTTTCTCCACAGAATTTATCTTGGAGACTGCTGACCCTAAGTCCGGTCAGAAATATATTCAAAGATGGGAAAATAATATGAACGTATGTCATCCACCAACTATTACCTCATATAAGAAAGGCACATCTTACACAAAAGTTACGTTTAAGCCGGATCTATCTAGATTTGGTATGGAAAAATTGGATGATGATATTTTAGGTGTCATGCGTCGTCGTGTTTATGATATCAATGGTTCAGTACGTGATGTCTCTGTTTATCTTAATGGAAAATATCTGAAGATTAAAAACTTTAAAAGCTATGTGGAATTATATTTAAAATCTCTAGAAAAGAAACGTCAATTAGATAAAATGCAAATCTCTGATAATAATAATAATAATAAGGCTACAGAGGTTGCTGCACCAAGTAATATACCCACTATCCTATATGAAAGGATCAATGATCGTTGGGAAGTTGCATTTGCTGTCTCTGATATCTCTTTCCAACAGATTTCTTTCGTCAATTCTATTGCAACAACATCTGGTGGTACACATGTCAATTATGTAGTAGATCAAATTGTCAGAAAAGTAAATGAAATATTGAAAAAGAAGAAAAAAAAATATTAAACCATTTCAAATTAAAAATAATATGTTTATATTCATCAATTGTTTAATTGAAAATCCAGCATTCACATCTCAGACTAAGGAACAATTGACTACAAGAGTCAAAGATTTTGGGTCACGCTGTGAGATTCCAAATGACTATGTTAATAAAATTATGAAAACTGATTTAGCTACCAAAATCTTCGAGATCGCTGATGAAAATGCTCAGAATGCTTTAAAAAAATCAGATGGTACAAGAAAGAATAGAATTACCGACTATCCTAAATTGGAAGATGCTAACAAAGCTGGTACAAAAGAAGGTTACAAATGTACACTTATCTTAACAGAAGGGGATTCTGCCTTGTCATTAGCTGTCGGTGGATTAGCTGTTGTTGGTAGAGATTATTATGGTTGTTATCCCTTACGTGGTAAAATGTTAAATGTTAGAGAAGCCAGTGCAGATCAAATCTTAAAAAATGCAGAGATTCAGGCAATTAAAAAAATTATGGGTTTGCAACATAGAAAAGTTTATGAAGATACCAAATCATTAAGGTATGGTCATTTAATGATCATGACAGATCAAGATCATGATGGTTCACATATTAAGGGTTTGATTATCAATTTTATCGAAAGTTCATTCCCTGGGTTATTAGACATTCCAGGCTTTCTTTTAGAATTTATTACCCCAATTGTTAAAGTTACAATTACTAAACCAAGAAGAGAAGTGCTAACTTTTTATAATATGCCAGACTATGAAAAATGGAGAGAAGAGGAATCTCATAAATATACTTGGAAACAGAAATATTTCAAGGGTTTGGGTACCTCATCAGGACAAGAAGTGCGTGAATATTTTGCAGACTTAGATAAACATTTAAAGACGTTCCATGCTTTGCAAGGTGATGACAAAGAATTAATTGATCTTGCATTTTCAAAGAAAAAAGCCGATGATAGAAAGGAATGGTTAAGACAGTATGAGCCAGGTACGGTATTAGATCCGACAATCACAGAGATTCCAATTAGTGATTTCATTAACAAAGAGTTGATTCTTTTCTCCTTAGCAGATAATATTAGATCTATTCCTAGTGTCTTGGATGGTTTTAAACCTGGTCAAAGAAAAGTTATGTTTAGTTGTTTCAAATTTAACATTAAAAATGAAATTAAGGTGGCTCAGTTGGGTCCTAAAGTCGCAGAAGCGACTGCATATCACCATGGTGAACAATCTCTAGCGCAAACAATTATTGGTTTAGCACAAAATTTTGTTGGGTCTAATAACATTAATCTATTGATGCCTAATGGTGCTTTTGGTACAAGAGCCACCGGTGGTAAAGATGCAGCAGCAGCAAGATATATTTTCACGCAATTGAATAAATTAACCAGAAAAATTTTTCATCCTGCAGATGATCCATTATTCAAATATGTCCAAGAAGATGAAATGACTGTGGAACCGGAATGGTATCTTCCTGTTATTCCAATGGTTTTGGTTAATGGATGTGAAGGTATTGGAACTGGTTGGAGTACAAACATTCCACCTTTCAATCCTTTAGATATTGTCGATAATATTAGAAACTTGATGGCTGGACGTGAGCTAAAAGAAATGCATCCATGGTTTAAAGGTTGGAATGGTTCTATGGAAAAGATTGAAAATTTGAGATATCGAATGTATGGTAGAATTGAACAAGTTGGACCAAATAAATTAGAAATTACAGAATTACCGGCTAGAACCTGGACATCCACCATTAAGGAGCATTTACTATTAGGTCTTGGTGGTACTGAAAAGACTAAGCCATGGATCAAAGATATGGAAGAACAGCACAGTAACAACATTAAATTTATTATTACTTTAACTGATGAAGAAATGAAGAAGACCAAAAAAGTGGGGTTCTATGAAAGATTTAAACTTATTTCTCCAATAAGTTTACAAAACATGGTTGCTTTTGATCCTCGTGGTAAGATTAAGAAGTATGACAGTGTTAATGATATTTTAACAGAGTTTTATTATGTTAGATTGGAATATTATCAAAAGAGAAAGGATTACATGAGTGAAAGATTACAATGGCAGGTGGAGAAATATTCTTACCAAGTTAAGTTTATTAAGATGATTATTGATAAGGAGTTAACCGTAACTAACAAACCACGTAAAATTATTATTCAAGAATTACAAGATTTAGGTTTTCCAAGAATAAATAAAGATGGTAAACCTCATTATGGTAGTATTGATGAACAAGTTGATTTAGATGGTATTGATGAAGATGAAGATGAAGGGGAGGAAAGAGAAGAGGAAGATGTTAACGTCGGTAGCACTGAGATAATTAATGGTCCAGAGGAGATTTACGGTACATATGAATATTTGTTAGGTATGAGAATCTGGTCTTTAACTAAGGAAAGATACGAGAAATTATTGAAGCAAAAACAAGAGAAGGAGGTTGAATTAGAAGAATTATTAAAACTTTCGGCAAGTGATTTATGGAATATTGACCTTGATAAGTTCTTGGAAGGCTATGACGAGTTCATAAAACTGGATGAAGAATTACGTAACGGTGAAATTGTAGGTAAAAACGGAAAGGTAAAGGGCAAACGTAAAAGAAAAACAGACGATGATGATTACGATCCATCAAAGAAAGGTACTGGTAGAAGAAGAACAACAAAGAAAATTAAATTAGAGGAAAGTGGCTTTGAAAGAGTATTGTTGAAACCAAAGGCAGCTACAGCACCTAAGAAATTAACTATAATTAAGACAGAGGCAAAGCCATCAACTGTACCAAAGACTTCTTCCAAAAATACTACCTCTGAAGTAAATAATAACCCCGTTAAAAGCGAAGATGGAGATAACAATAAAGCATCTAGTAGTTCATCCACTATTTTTGATGAAGTAGGAAAAAAGGAAGAAAATGAAGATGCAAGTTTAAGTACTTTTTCAAGCAAATTTAAAAAGATTAGTGCAGCATTTGATAAAGTTGATGAATTATCGAGCAATACTACACTAGATAGTGTTTCAAGTGTAAAGCTCGAGGAACAACCCAAGAAAGTAAGAGGAATCACCAGTAGAGGCAAGAAAGTTGTTGAAACAAGTGATGAAAGCGATATAGAAATATTATCTGATAAAGATGATGATGATGAAGTTGTTGTTCAGTCACGGAGAAGAACACCTAGAGCCACTTCTAAAGCAAGAAAGTCATACCGTGAACCTGCATTATCATCTGAAGACAGTTTTGTAGATGATGATGATGACGATGTAGATTCAAATGAATCTTTTGTAGACGAATAGTGGCGTACTTCATTTACAAAGAAAAAAAAATTGGTGCAGATATGTAGATTGTAAGGTTAACGTCATCTTTATATTGTTTATTGGCATATATTTATATATGTACCTGTATAGAAAGTTAGTATTATAATCAATCAGTAGTTATGATATCATATTAAGGTAAATAAATGGCAAGTATGATGTATTATATTGTGATTATTTTTATTTTTTTAATTTTTTTTTTGGCATTTCGTTGTTTTATTAAGTTTCTTACCGAATTTTTTAGATACTTAGTTGTTAGTCATTTTTAAGTTATGAAAGTTTCTCATTTTAAACTTAATAATCGTCTTTATAGAAAGTAGGATTTATGTTAAAAGAAGTGAAAAGAAAAAAGTAAATGGTCAAATATATTTAACCCTTTCAATCATTATTTATCAGAACTAAACTTGGTTTATCATGTTGTTTGAAAAAACGATTATTCCTAAAAGACTTTTTTCCAGCTATTTAGGAATATTACAAAGGCAAAACCCGGCTATTACACAAGCTTACATTAATTTATTTGCACACCCATGCTTTGATCCAATCAGAAATCATATTCCAATCACGTTTGAGAATATGGATCCTTATACAGTCTCTCAAAAAGTTGGTGAATCGTTAAAATCTATCAGTTCAGTTACAAGAGAACAGTCTGCCTTAATTCATAATAAATTGATTGAAGATTTAAGTCAATATGAATATGGAATTGCTTCAATCCACTCTCGTCATTTAAAAGACATTAACAAATCTGTATCAAATGAGGCTTTGATTGCTATGTTGAAATATAATCCAGGCAGAGTAAACAGTTCATGGGAATTATTTATTAAACATATGGATATCTATGAAAAGTATATACCAGATGATGTTTTGTTAACTGTTTTACATAAGGTGGTATATTTTGATCCTGTAGATATTAAAGATGGTAAAAAGACTCTTGATTTATTTGATTTGATACATTCTATACTGATTATAAATAAAATCCAGAATTTCCAGAAGATAAGTAATGAGATTATTGAGAAATTGGTATCCAGTTGTATTGATTTGAAAGCAACTTTCTTACTACCATATTTATTTAAATTTTCCCCTCAAATGGATTTGTTTGTAAAAAAGCTATATGACTTAACATCATACCAATTATTTTTAATATGGAAACATTTCTCATTTGAAGATATAATGTCTTATAAGAAATTGATGTATAGGTTAGTAAGCACTTTAGGTAGAAATGAAAAAATAGTAATTACAGATGAAGAAAAAGCTGCTTATATCAATATTCGTAAACAATTGGATATGGTTAAAGGGCAATTAATTGCAGATCATGATCTTGAAATTAATGCTATTGAGATATTTAGTACATCAGATTCATTCGAAAAGTTGTTGGAACAAATTGTTTCTGTTGAATTACATAAAACGGATATAAAATTAGCTAAAAGCATTTTGAGAAGTATTGGTGTTTTTAAGAATGACACTAAATCTTTCTTGGAATTGTATCATATTTGTGTGTCTGCATTTCCAGGAAAAGAGGAAGAATTATTTTTTGAAGCCTTCCTGTCATTAACATACCAGGGATATAAGACTTCCAATGAAACAGCTCTACAATTTGCAGAAGCTTATATTCCAGAGACAGCTACAGATCTAACAAGAACAAAGATACTTTGTGTTCAAATTCTGGCTAATGCTAAATTTAATATTGATGAATCATTAAATATATATAACGCCAATATACAGAAATTGAATAGGGACAAAGATGAAGTTACTAATCTTTCACAAGCTGATGCAGTTACAGAATCCTTAATATTAGCGTATCTGTCAAATAGAGACCTAGACTTTGCAAGGGTAATTTTTGAAGGTGCAGCTAATGGGAAACTTCTTAGCGGGCCCACAGCAATTAAAAGAATGAAGGGATGGTTATCCATGTATGGTGAAGCTGTAGAAAATGGAGATGTAGATGCTACCATGGAGAATCAAGTTAAACTTTATTTACAAAATATATAAAATGATAGGTATTTAACTACACCAACATATATGTATATATATGTATGTATAATTCTGTCTTAATAATCTCACACTAATTACTTATGGTGTGTATATCAATTACCAATTTGAGACTCTTTAGTTATCCTTTCAAAATCCAATTATAATTTCATTATTGGTGTATAATTTAGTCGTCTGGTAGAACAATGGTGACGAATGTTTTTATATCTAAAGGATTTGAATGAACTTTATATGAGAGAAATTATTTTAGGTCAAAATTTGCTCTTTTCTAATCACTCAGTATCTATCAAGGAGAATGTTACTTGGTGAACCTCAATGACCATCTAGAAGTAAAGTTGCTATGGAATTAGAGGATATATTAATGAATTATCTCTTATATAATAGTTAAACAAACTTGATATGGATTGAGAATGGGACATACTAGAATATTATTGTTGATAAAGTAACATTTTACAATTGTAGTTGGCTTTTAATGGCGTTATATAGTAGATTCTTCGATATGCTACAAAATACAGTATTCTATATCAGATTACGATTCTTGAGCGGTATGAGTTTATAGAACAGAGAAATACAAAAATTGCATTATCTATTGTGGATCTATACATGTCTGACGTGTTAGACAGTTGATTTAATTAAGTTGTTTAGTTTGAATGATTCAAATATTAACTAGCTTGTTGGAGTGGATTACCATCTTACCTATTGGTGTATCTTTGATTTGAAGATCATTCCAAATAAATATTAGATATATTAAAAATAAAATAATTAATTGGTGTCTCTTTGTAGTTTCTAGCCTTATGTTAAATTTCTTTTGTAGTAAATGATGTTAAATATACTATTTAGATTTTGTCAAGATCAAGAGATTCGTTCTCAAAATTTGAATCTACAGTGGAGGATTTTAGATATCAAATAATTACTTTGGTAGGTGTCAGATGGCTTAGGTAGGAAAAAGGTTGGAATTTTGTTATTCAGTAGATCTCTATATATTACATAATCGTTTATTTTATAATTATGCAAGATTCTAAAACACTACAAAGAGGTCAAAAATTTTGTGATTGTCATACATATAATGAAATCTAGAGATTTATTCCTTAAAAGTTACATTATCTTGCTTTTCTCTTCATAGTATCAAGCATAGATATATATACTAAGAAAGAATTAGATACTTCTACAGGTCTATATTAATTGTCCCAATACCTTTTTTTTTTGCCAATCAGTTGTTTAATTAGATCGAGATGTTTTATGATACTGTTTGAAATTAACTTTTTGGAAAACCTATTAGTATTAAGGAAGTACCATGGGTTAACATATCACTTGGTTTATTCATGGAACTATGAAAATATTGACGATGGTCATGATTGATATACTGTTCGAACCTTGAATTATGACAAAAAGAAAGGAAAAAATTTTTTTTATTTGTGTTCCTCATCTCATCGTAAAATGAAAAAAATAAAAATAAATATAATAACAGAGAAGAATATTTTAATATTTCAGGTAGTTTGGTGCAATAGAAAAGGTGTACATTGATTAAATTTACTTACTAAAACCGCTCTAAAAGTTCTAGGTCCTGTTCCACAAATATATCTCACCATTTTGGTTACTGGACACATAAAATGGCTAAAAATAAAAGATTACAAGAATCTATTAAGAAGAGGACCGCTGAAAAAAGAAAGCATGAAGATATTCTTTTAGAGAGTGGTTCATTCAAGGATATCGGTGAACTATCTGCGGAAATTACAGATACATCATATAGTGGCACCAGAAAGAAACGTCGTTCCTCTTGGGATAGTGAAGAACAAGAATATGAATTAAAGCCAAGAAAATTGCAAAACGAAGAGGAGGATATGGTGGACAGTTTACCTATTAAGATTGATGGTAAGGTGGCTAGAAATTTGGTTAAGAGGCAAAAAAAGACACAAGATAATAATAAAGAAAATGATGAGGAATCCTTTTCTTCAGAAAGTGATATATCTGATACTGAAGAACAAAATATAGATCACGATGATGAAAAAGATGAAAATGAGCCAGATACAGAAGAAACCATAGTTGCTTTGAAAGAAGAGATTGCAGAGTTAGTTGAAAAAGTCATGGAAGATCCAGAGGAACATTATGCTTCACTAACTCGCTTGGTTAAAATGGCCCATTCTAAAAATCCAAATACTTGTAAATTTGCTATGTTAGCCTTAGTTCCCGTCTTTAACAGTGTTATTCCTGGTTATAGAATTAGACCATTAACTGAATTAGAGAAGAAGGAAAAAGTGTCTAAAGATGTGGCTCGATTAAGAAATTTTGAACAAAATTTAGTAGTAAATTATAAAAACTACGTTGGTCTTTTGGGAAAATTGGCGAAGATCCCAAATAATTCAACACCAATTAAGGTGGCTTTAGGTAATTTAGCCATGAATGCAGTAAATACTTTGATACCTAATGTTTCTCATTTCAATTTCAGAAGTGATTTACTGGCAATTTTGATTCGCCGTGTTTGTAAACCAAGTATTTCTTCTGATCCAACTGCAATCCAATCTATTAAAACTATTGAGACATTATTTACAGGAGACGATGAGGGTACAATATCTGTAGAAGTGATTAGAATATTTTGTAAGGTTGTGAAAGTAAGGAATTATAACATTGAGGAATCTGTACTTAACACATTACTATCATTAGATGTATTGCATGATTATGATCCAAACTCAAAAGAGGAAACTGATAACTATAAGCCAATGAAACTTAAAAAGAAAAATAGAATTCATTTGTCAAAGAAGGAAAGAAAAGCAAGAAAAGAAATGAAGGAGATCGAAGAAGAAATGCGTAAGGCTGAATTGGCTGTATCTGCTGAAGAAAGAGAACGGAATCAAGCAGAAATTTTGAAAGCTATTTTAACACTGTATTTGAACGTTTTGAAAAGTGGGAATACCAGATTGATTGGTTCAGTGCTTGAAGGTTTATCGAAGTTTGGTAATATGGCCAATTTTGATCTATTAGGAGATTTTCTTGAAGTCATGAAAGAGATTATTTATGAAGCAGAATTAGATAATTTATCATCTGAGGAAGTACGAAAAGTGCTATTATGCATTGTTACAGCTTTCTCTTTAATATCAAATAATACTCACATGAAAGTAAATATTGATTTATCTAAATTTGTGGATGCACTGTATTCTCTGTTAAGATATGTGGCATTGGATGCCGATATTGAACTATCTTATAAATCTTTAAGATTAGCTGATCCATTAAATATAGAAATTGTAAAGCCCTCTGTTAATGTTTCCACAAAAGCAGAGTTATTATTAAAGGCATTAGATCATGTCTTCTTTAGAAGTAAATCAGGTACAAGAGAAAGAGCATCTGCATTTACTAAGAGATTGTACATGTGTATGATGCATACTCCAGAAAAAACTACAATTGCTCTTTTGAGATTTATTGATAAATTGATGAATAAATATCCAGAAATTGGAGGTTTGTATTCCACGGAAGATAGGATTACCAATGGTAAATTCAACATGGAGACAGATTCTATTTCAAAAAGTAATCCAGACGCAGCTACTTTATGGGAAAATCATCTTCTTTCAAAACATTACTGCCCAGGTGTCATAAATGGAATTAGAGCATTATCAAAGAGATCAAAAGAATATTCTTCTTGATCAATAATATTACAGATATTTCAAGAAGGTGAAGCGATTTCAGGCAACTTGTTGAGCCTATTACACAATTATGTGCGTAATATTCTATAGATACAAAGCATTATTCAGTTTTCATCTTTGTTTTTTTACTCCCTTTGTTTGTTAATTTCTATTCTCAATTTAAATAGCATTTTAGAAGATAATAGAAGTGTGTACAATATAAAAGATATTAAAAAGTATAAATCCACGTTGAAAACTGAACTTAAAAAGACTTTTATAAAATATATAGACAAAGGAAAAAGAAAAAAAGTCTAAATATAGAAGATAAGTTCATATAATACCGCATGGCTATATATATGAATTAAAGATGATTACATATATTCTGTTTGAAGTCGTTTTTAAATTTGACTTATGTGAGAGATAGATAAGAATGAGTGATCAAAAATATGTCGCAAATGACGGGATAATAAATGGATATCACGCAAATATAGCGGCGCCTACACCCAAAATTGAGAATACAACACTAATAAATATGGTAGTATAACAGGTATATTTTTCCCATGGTTTGATAGTGTTGGAACAAATTCTAATATAGAACAAGCATGGTAAGATTAAGCATATTGCAAAACACAAACCAGCGCCTAAGAAGGCAATTATTTTATCGAATTGTGGGAATATAATAGCAATTATGACAAAAATAACATTCACCACTAAACAGTTAGTTTTTTGAATAACTTTAGCTATTTGTAATTTTTTACCTTTATATTTAATTTCTGAATTTTGTACATTACAAAGAGAATCTAATACAGATATAATTGGTCTTGCGTTTAATGGTGTCTTTGCAATTGGAATTATTGTCATTAATGCAGATATTAACCCATAAATAAAAGGTGGGTAGTCTGGCAATAAAAGAACATTTTTAGTGATTTCATCTTTCACCATTTCACCAAACATTAAATATCCTACTACAGCAGTACCTATATCGGTAAAAGAAGTAATTTTATATGTTTGTTTTAAACAATCTTTAAACTTAGATGGATGTCTCATATCAGTTTTCAAATTTGGGAATACGGCATGGCCACCCCAACAAGCACTTAAAAGACCAATTGATAAACAAAAATTTTCAAAATTTGTTGGCCATAGTTTAGTCTCCATGGGATTTAGCAAAGAACCAGGTTTTGTATTTTTATATATACCACAACAGGTGACAACAAATACTGTCCCAGTTGTGGATAGAATTCCCAACAATGATATATTTGATAAGACACTTAAAGGTAAGAAGACAGGGGGTGTAACTACAAAAAATGCCAATATCTTAAAAAAATTGACAGAATATTGTGGAAACAGCGCATTTAAGGAGTCAGCAAATAAAATGACTAATGAAACACCACATCCCATCAAATCAATTGTGAAAAGTGCAGAGATTAAAGCTCGACCTTTGGAACCGAATGCAGCATAGCCTAAGTCAGCATATGACATCAAAGTTGGATCAGTGTCTAAACATCTAGATAATAATTCAGCCGTACAAAATGTACCAAACGCAAATATAGATAATAATATTAAACCAGGAATCCATCCTGCATATTTTAAGCCTAAAGGCAAAGCTAGTAAACCTATGCCAATAAGTACATTAATCGAATTAAAAATGGTTTGCGGACCTGTTGATTGACCAGCGAGAACAGTGATCATTTCTCCATCTTTTCCCTCTACTTGTTTTAAAATAATTGAGTCCTGGTCAGGAGCAATATTACCAGTATAACCATCAATGCCTAAATTTGATGCTAATTCAGCTATTGAAATAGCCGGTTTTAAAATTGACTCATTTGGTGATAAATTATCTTGTTGTGAAGGTAATTGATCAGTAGCAGAATAAATAGAACCATAATCTACTGAATTTTCGTCTATAATTGATGTATCAATACCACGAATATTAAGTATTGATGGTCTCTGTGAAATTGAATGAATACCAGCTCCAAGAAGAGTTTGTCCATTGGATGTCAAATTTGGTCGTAAGGCCATGGAAAGACGTCTGCCTAAATGTGATGGAGCCATGGTATCGGGATCAAAAGTCTCATCGTTATTATCTTTAAAAAAAGATCTTTCTAGATCAGGATTAATTTCAATATGTCTAAAAGAATTTGCTCTTTTCAAAGAAGTTGCAAAACGACTTAAAGAATTTGGACCACGAAAAGAACCAATCGGCGTGTCAAGAATTGACTGCCTTCTTCTTGTTAAAGACAAGGAATTAATTTTATTAATAGTAGTATTGTGATCATTTTCAACAGTTTCAAGATTATTCCTTTCAATAGGAATCGAAATATAGTGAACTTGACTATGATTTTGTCTCTGATTTGATCTATTGTTAGAAAGTAGGCCTAGTTGTTCTTCTATGTCCTCATTTTCTGTTGAAGAATGGTTCTCATGAATATTAATATCGTTAGTACTGTTGTTGTTATTATTATGACTTTTCCACATTTTAAACTAATGAATGAAGTGGACAAAAAATTTTTGTAAATATTATTTTAAGTAATATATACTCTTAAATTTTTTTGAAATAGGGAAGACTCTATGCTAAAATCTAAACAATTAATGATGTTATTATTATAATTATTATTCTTTATTTGTTAACGTGTTTTTTTATTTTATTGATGTGTGGATGTGGTGGGATAGTATACGTTTTATAGGCTGTATTCTCTAAGCTCACATATTTTCGTTCCACAATAATTTGAATTTTGCATAAAGCAGAGAACAATATATATTTAAAGGTTTTTTGTGAAGTATTCGGACTATTTATATCTCTTCTATTTCTATATATCAAGGTTGTTGTAATAAGATCTGTTTTCACTATTGTTTCCTCGAGAAAATTGCCCAAAGGGGAAAAACATATACACAAAAACAAAACAAAATACAAAAAAAAAAGAAGGAATTTCTCGATGGACACTTTCTTTTAATTTTTTTCTAGGAAAGTTTTAGAGGGTTCCAGCTATATAGACAGTGGTAAATACATGTGATGATAAGCATTTAAAGTTAAGTGCATGATCTGTGAAAGAGACAGAGAAAACTCTGTATTGGGCTATTAGGAAAATATCGTACAATATCAACAAGAATAAAAGCAGTAATAACAATAATAAAAAATGCCTATTCAGCAACCATCAGGTCAAATTAAATTGACTAATGTGTCTATGGTCAGATTGAAAAAGGAACGAAAAAGATTTGAAATAGCATGTTATCAAAATAAAGTCCAAGACTACCGAAAGGGCATTGAAAAGGATTTGGATGAAGTATTACAGATCCATCAAGTGTTTATTAATGTAAGTAAGGGACTTGTTGCGTCTAAAGAAGACTTAATAAAATGTTTTGGTTCGAATAATGTTGATGATATTATTAAAGAAATCTTGATGAAAGGTGAAATTCAATTATCTGAAAAGGAAAGACAACTGATGTTAAATAAGATTAATAATGAAATGTTAACAATAATTAGTGCGAAATGTATTAATCCAAAATCAAAGAAAAGATATCCTCCTACAATGATTCATAAAGCTTTAGTGGAATTGAAGTTTAGTCCAGTTCTAAATAAACCTGCAAAGATCCAAGCGTTGGAAGCCATAAAACTTTTATGTGCTAAACAAATTATTCCTATCGTTAGAGCTAAAATGAAAGTTAAAGTCATCTTAAGTAATAATGCTAATGATAATAGTAGTGATGATGACTTAATCGAAAAATTGACTAGATTAATTGCAAGTGATAATGGTACAGCTACTAAATCTGCTTCCGTAACGGCATCCTGGGAACGTGTTGGACTAATTGACCCAATATCTTATAGAGATTTGGTAGCATTAGTCAAAGATCGTGGAACACTGCAGGTGTTAGATATGGCTGTTATTGATGAAGGAGGTAAAAATTAGGCAAAAAAAATAAAAAAGAAAGAAAAGTAAGCAGATTAAGATTCAGTTAAAAGACTCAGGTAAGCATTTGATATTAATAAAAGTATATATGTATATATATATGTTTAAGTGTTGTGTAGCAGCTATCAATATTATTGATACATTTGTTTTATAGATTTTAATACAAAAACTAATTTGGCAAAGTCTTCATTGCTATTATTATTATCATTATTCGTCCCTTTAATGTTCCTATTTTCTATTGACCATATTTTAGAGCTTAACGTAATTGTTAGATTAATGTTTGAAAAATGATCAGGAAAAGTATTTCCTTTATGTAAGTTAGGGATAATTATTCTTTGGTATAATTCTGCAATCTGGGTGGCAATAACTGGTAATTTAGGGTCATTAGAATCACCTAATTTAACCCGTACAGTATAATCGGATAAATTATCTCTTATGAAAAGCTCTTCTTCCTCCTGATCACAATTGCTTTCTTCTTGGTTTTTTTCTTTTCCGTTAATATTATTTATTCCTGCAATAGGTCTATGCATTACATCATGCTCTATTGGACGTAATCCTGCTGTTGTTATGTCTAATGTACAGTTCATTTCACCATTCAACCTAATTTGTAACAAAATGGAATTCGAGAAATGAGTTGCACTAATATTCAGCTCTCCTGGTGCAGGAATACTCTTCAAACTGCTATTAAATATGTTATAACTAGTATAGTGATAAGAATCCATCCTTACTAATGTGTAATGTATGTCTGTTGAATAGCTAGTTATAGTATATGTATATATGTTTGTGCATGCGTGATATACTTCTTGTTATTCAATATCATTTAAGTATTATTTTTTTTTACTTTTTTACTTCTAAAAGATATGTGCATATACACATCATGAGGAATATGTATTTACAGACATAGGAAATATTCCTTTAATTTATCTCCCGTGCTCCTTCTTGTGTATGCACACATTAGTTAGTTGGTTAATTATTATGTGTTTGTTTCTTTTTGCAGGTACGTGAACTATCGGGAAAAAAATCAATAAATCAATATATAATTAAATAATTAAATAATTAAATAAATAAATAAATAAGTAGACAGGTGAGTAATTAAAGATTTCTCGAACGTCGCTTATAAGTTCTTAAAGTAAGAGGTTATTTGAGACGATAGACACATAAGATTGTGTGTTTGTTTGTATAGATGACTAATAGTTAATTCTCTTTTGGAGGAAGTAATAATTAATAAATGATAATCGATTTTTTACAGGAAGTTATTTCAACACTTATTTTGAACAGTTTCTTAGCTGGATTGTTTATTCTTTCACTTTGGCATAATTATATTACAGTTCATTTCAAGAAGAAACATGATCCAAGAGATATTCGTAAAGCTTCGACCACTATTCATCGACATGATCATGAAGGGAAAACACACGAGTTATCTCAACAAACAACAAGACGAGGGACTAGAGCATCAGTATCTTCAAGAAGTCCATTGAATATTGAAATAAATGAAGAAAATAATATTGAATACGATCATACTATTAGTGTTATTACGACAGGGGATACCATGGAAAGAGTGGATAGAAATGATAATGGTAACATCAATAATAATGATAATGGTAACGTTAATAATCATATAAATAGTAATCCGTTTGATGATGTTTTGGCTATGGAAGATAAAAAGTTGGTCCCAAGTTTGAAATATTATTATAACCAATATAACATTGATATTGAAGAATATCAGGTTGAGACTGATGATGGTTTCATTATAGATCTTTGGCATTTTGTTCCATTGAATATGACAATCCAAGAAAAAGAAAAAACTTACAATGAAAAATATCCAATATTAATGGTCCATGGTCTTTTACAGAGTAGCGGAAGTTTTGCATCCTGTGGGAGAAAGTCTTTAGCTTATTATATGTATGAATCTGGGTTTGATGTTTGGTTAGGAAACAATCGCTGTGGATTTAATCCTAAATGGAATATTGATAAATTAAAAAAATTTTATGGTAAAGAATCTAAATTAAAATTTAAAAAATGGGATTGGGATATAAATGAAATGATAAAATATGATATTAAGTCATTTATTGAGTTTATTTTGGATAAAAAACCTAATTTTGATAAATTGACTTTGATGTCTCATTCACAAGGTACTACTCAAGCATTTATGGGTCTTGTTAATGGTCCAATAATTTATAATGGCGAGAACAAAAGCGAGGATGATGACAATGAGAACGTTGAAGGTTTTTCTCTATTGGATAAACTTGATAATTATGTTGCGTTAGCTCCCGCTATCTATCCTGGACCATTGCTAAATGAAAAAATTTTTGTTAGACTAATGGGAGCTGGGATTGATAGTCCATGGATTTTTGGTAAAAAATCATTTATTCCATTAATGATGCAAATGAGAAATGTTTTTGTTGGTAGTAAGCCATTTTCATTTTTGTCATATGTTATGTTTAACTATCTTTTTGATTGGAATGATATGCTATGGGATAAATCTTTACGTGACAGAAATTTCTTGTTTTCTCCGGTAAACATATCAGTAAAATTAATGCAATGGTGGTTAAGTCCTGATCCAACTAAGAACAGTTTTAAGTATGGTGCAGATAAGATTTTTCCTCCAGAGAAGACATGGTTTCCTATCTCTTCCAAAAGCAATGTTAACGAAGATGAAGGCACAAATACTGATGGAACGAAGCCATTTAGATCGCCCCTTCATCTAAATAAAACTAGAAATGGTAGCGAATTCTTTCCTAGGATTATGTTATTTATACCAAAGCAAGATAGATTAGTTGATGGTGAAAAATTAATTAATCATTTTATTAATCATGAAGATAAATCACTTTATAAGATTTGGTACATTGATGAATATTCACATTTAGATGTCCTATGGGCATATGATGTGATTGATAGAATTGGGAAACCAATTTTAGATAATATGAGATTACCCTATGACATGTCAGAGTAGAATAAGTGGAATTAGGAGAAAGATATAAGAATATAAACATTTAGGATAGTATTTCTGTTATATTATATATACATTAATAATTTTGCATGAAAATATGAAAAGTTCAAGAGAGATGAATGACGAAGTAGGAAAATCTAAGATCCTATGTTTTGTGTTGTTTTGATAGAATGTTTCAGTTTGATATTGTAAAGACTGGTTAAGATTAAGGATGTGATACATACATTAATTATGGTTTTTTAGTTTTATATATATATATTTATTTACCTGTTTTGTTCTCTAAGTGCTCTTTGTCCTTTAATATAAAATGGTTACTAGAATATAAATAGCAAAATATGGTTATACATTATAAAAAAAGTATTAGTTACTAGTCTAAATGAAGGATAAATTCCAAATTTTTTTATACACTTTTGGAAAATAATTAATGGTGTATTTTTCCAAAGAATAAAAGAAGTATTTAAATGTTTAAACAATGTATGCGCTTATTATATCCCTAAAAATTTTTTAGTTGAAATTAATTAATGTTTTGTTTGTATCTAAACAAATTCTTAAAAAAACATTTTTTTAAAAAGAATGATATTTCCCATTTTGTGAGACTGACCCCTTCCTTCTCCAATCTGTGCTGTCCATGCCTTTGGTATTAACAAAATTTATCTTAAAATACACCTGATGTCAGAAATCACTTGATAAAAAATCAGTATGAAACTAATGTAATTCATGCATAAAATACAATAAATATTAGATAAATCGGGCTCTTTTGAGACTAGCCTTTCAAAGAACAAAAAAGTTAGTAGCAAAAAAATAGCAATTTAATCAAGACACAATTAACAAAATGAGACAAAGATACCTATAATGGTACTCTTTTTTAATAATATGTATTTCAAAAACAAAAAAATAAAACAAATACACACATAATATTTATTATAAGATCATGTCAAAAATAAAGAAAAAGTTTATTTCAAGAATATTGCGATTACATAATAATTTCATTATATTTCTAAATTTCTTAATACTAAATATGTTTAAAAAAGCATTTTATAATAATAAAATAAAAAATATATTTCACCATTACTTTTCCTAAAGGTAAATATAGTATAAGTAGTAGTATAATCAAAAGGGTGACAGCAACAAAATGAATCCCATCGAATCCCAAAAAAAAATAGAAGAAAATTATAATCAATAATGAACAACCCTAAATAAAATTGCACAACTTTTTTGTAAAAAAATTACTCTGCTTTGATTACCCTAATAGTATTTAACTTTTATTTCTTTGCAATGTTACTGCGATTACCATTCTTTTTTTTTTTTATCTTTTTCATTTTCACAAAAAAAATGAAAAATAAAAAAATTTTCAATAGAATTTAAAGAACCTAAAAGCTCATCTCATCATCATTATGTTACTTACCTTCGTATTAGAGTAACAACTTCAAAACAAAGAAAGGCACCTAAACTGCGTATTCAACTATACTGATTTTGTCAATATGAAAATCAAAACAATCAAGAGGAGTTCAGATGACTATGTTCCTGTAAAGAGCACCCAAGAATCTCAGTTACCTCGTAATTTAAATCCTGAATTACATCCTTTCGAAAGAGCCCGTGAATACACAAAGGCTCTTAATGCCACTAAACTGGAAAGAATGTTTGCTAAACCATTTATTGGTCAGCTAGGATATGGCCATAGAGATGGTGTTTATGTTATTGCCAAAAATTATAACAATTTGAATAAGTTAGCTACCGGCTCTGGTGATGGTGTTATTAAATATTGGAATATGTCTACTCGTGAAGAATATGTTTCATTTAAAGGTCACTACGGTATGGTGGCAGGTCTTTGTGTAACTCCACAAATCCAAACTTTAAAAAACCAAAATTTCATGTTATCATGTGGTGATGATAAGACCATTAAATTATGGTCTATCAACAATGATGATTTTAGTAATATAAAATCTGATGAGGAATTGATAACATCAATCAACGGTTCAGGTGCTTTAATAAAAACATTCTATGGTGACCATGCATTCCAAGGTATTGATCATCATAGGTCAAACTCCACTTTTGTGACAGGTGGTGCACAGATCCAGCTTTGGGATTCTCAAAGGTCCAAACCACTGTCCAATCTTTCATGGGGTGCAGACAACATTACATCAGTTAAATTTAATCAAAATGAACTTGATATATTTGCTAGTAGTGGTAGTGATAATTCTATCGTTCTATATGATATAAGAACAAATTCACCAACTCAGAAGATTGTTCAGACAATGCGAACCAATGCTATATGTTGGAATCCAATGGAGGCATTCAATTTTGTCATAGCAAATGAAGATCATAACGCCTATTATTATGATATGAGAAATATGTCCCGTGCATTAAATGTGTTTAAAGATCATGTTAGTGCAGTTATGGATGTTGATTTCTCACCAACCGGTGATGAAATTGTGACTGGTTCCTATGATAAAACGATTAGAATATACAAAACTAATCAAGGCCATTCAAGAGAAATTTATCACACAAAAAGAATGCAACATGTGTTCCAAGTTAAATATTCAATGGATTCCAAATATATTGTAAGTGGGTCTGATGACGGTAATGTTAGATTATGGAGAAGCCAAGCCTGGGAGAGATCCAATGTCAAAACTACAAAGGAAAGAACTAAATTAGAATATGATGCTAAATTAAAAGAAAGATATAAGTTTATGCCCGAAATCAGAAGAATATCAAGACATAGACACGTTCCAAAGGTTATTAAAAAAGCGCAAGAGATTAAGAATATTGAATTAAGTTCTATCAAAAGAAGAGAAATGAATGAAAGACGTACCAGAAAAAATAAAGAATTTGTTCCAGAAAGAAAAAAGCAAATTGTTGGTACTGTTTTTAAATACGACGATAAAAAGCATACAAAAAGTAACAATGAAAATAATGATAATTAAAGTTAATAGCAATAATATATAAGTTATTCTTTTCTATTCCTGTTCTTATTTTTTAACTGTAATATAAAATACTTGCATTATATAAAAAAATATAAATCTTTTTTTTTATTCATGCGGTTAATGTTTAATAGTCTCTTATACATAAAAAGTATTATGGACAAAATGATGTAGTTGGTAAGTTTAACTATATATATATTTCTATATATTATTAGAAATGTCTACCGAATTTGTTATTATGATAGTATTGAAATTACAAAAATATGGACAAAAGATAGAGTAACATGACAACTTCAAACAGACTAGAGAAAACAAAAGAACAAAATGGGAAAGGATATAATTACAAAATCTGCTCTTTGTAAAAGTAAGTCATGGCCAGGGTTATTTATCATTTATTTATATTTATTGAAGAATAAATATAATAGTAATGAAGGGAAAGGAGATGGGGAGAAAAACAAACTAAAAAGATAATAACTATCAAATAGAGACATCTAAAACCTTCCCAACATCAATGATATTTTGCTTAGCTAAATCTTCTAATAAAGGTATTATATCTAGTAACTCGTTATCATGTGTATCAGAAAACCATGAAGATATGGGGATAGCATGTTGTGGATGAAATATATAAGATGCAGGGGAGTTATCCAATATTATGATATCCGAAAGTGGTCGACCTAGTTGTGATAAATTTTTAATATAATTACCTTCATAATTATAGCACGCCTCCCTAAATAATCTATGATGTATAGACTTATGCTTATCAAGTATATCTAACAAGGGATCACCATATCTATTAACACTTGCCGTAAAAACCACAACTTCAAACAATTCACCGACTTTTTTCAAAAATTCATCGACACCAGGTCTTTTTATAACATAAACGTTATGCATCTGATCATCTATATCTACAGGTAAAACAAAATCAGCAGATCTTAAATATTTGAATGATGAATGAACCAATGTTTCATCTAAATCTAATACTAATAATTTTTTATTTTTAAAAACTTGATCCTTTGGAGATAATAATGTATTAAATCCAGGTGCATGATATTGATTGGGCTGCAACATGGTTAAATCTACAAATTCTTCATTTTCATCAAATGGATGCATCATATCATAATCTATATCATCATTACTATTATTACTATTCATTGAGATATCATTTTGATCACTGCTGGAAATTGGACTTGGCAAATTTGTAGTAGTATTTGTATCAGATATAGTTAATGTTGTGGATATTACAGGTTCAGTATTGATATTGTTTTCATGAATATTATTATTAATTTCATTATTAGCATTTAACGTCTTTGGAGTGTTATTGTTGATAGAAGAAGGTGCTACAATGTTAGGGGATGGAATATCATTTTCATTTGAGGATATAGTTGTTAATTGAGATAATTCATTTTCCAAATTTTCTTGTTGTAATTGTTGTTGTTGTTGCTGCTGATGCATATAACCATAATCTGAACTTCCAGTACTTCTATCAGTCTCATTTGTATAAACATTTATGGTATGTTTTTCTTTATTCTTTAGATATTCACCATCGTTATCGTTATTATTAGCATCATAATTATTATTGCCATTACTATTGTTATTATTATTTTGATTTTCATTTGAGTTTAATTTTGTTTTATAGTTATCATTACTACCGCCACCAATAAGAGCAACTTCATCATCAATATCCATATCATCCGAATCTTCATAATCTTTTTCTTCATTTGCATACTCTATATCCGCAAGGATAACATCATTATCGTCCTTTGTACTTCCCCTTTTCATAAACTTAGTTTCACTTTTAGTATTTTTCTCACTAGATTGCTGTTCTTTATTGCTTATCACAGGTTTATCAATATTTCTATTATTTCTATTCTTATCTCTTTTAGATATCATTTCTTTATTTTGAATGGATCTACTATTATTATTTGTATTCTTATATACACTCACCTTTTTTGAGTAATCTTTATTATCAGTTCTTATATGACTATTTCTGTTTCTATTATTACCACTATTATTGTTATCGATATTATCAGATGTTATGTCACTGGTACAACACAAAATAGATGAGAATAAACTCATTTATATTAAAATAGAATAAAGAAAAGAATGATAAACAGAGGGAATTAAAATAAAAAACAAATTAAAATGTAAACAGTTAAAAGCAAAGAGGGTGTCAAGGAAGAAATAAATGAATGAATTTGGATTGAAAATTCAAGTACCTTTCTTTAGCTCTTAACTCTTATTTCTATTAGTTTGTTTTTTTTATTTGATTTTGTTTAGCAGTTTTCTCACACCTATTAGTATCAATATTCCTAAATATTAACAGATAGAATAAATTAGTAAATAATGTTTCTTTATCTTTTATAGCCAATACGTTATATCTATGCTAACCTGCTAGATATAAGTAATAGAAACAGTATTAATAAGTTAAGCACAGGTTGGAATACCAATAAAAAAAAAGAAGGAGAAAAAAACTTCCTACCGTGAACAACTGCGAAAAAAAAGAGCGTGTTTAAATCTACAACTTACCTTCTGACCTACTTTTAGTTAATCACTTTGACAATATTCTGGTTTTACTCTTTCTCATAATAAAAAGCATAGCGGCATGCCTACCATAACAATATTTACCTAATTATATTACTTCTTTCCTACATTACCACCATTATTAATTAATTGTTAGTCACTTTGCAACAGAGAAAAAAATAAATGATAACAAAACTCTCCGTATAGAGTGATAGATCCAGATGTTGTCCGTACATAATGACACTACGATATCTTTTTCTTACTTTTTCCTTATTCCATTGAAGTTTTATTACTTGTTGATGTTGAGAATTTATCTTTGTATTATTAGAGTTTCAATATATTATACAATAAAGAACTATAGTATATTAGGTTAATAGATATTTCCTGGCAACTTAAATAAAAACTGTTACTGTTTAGATAGTCCCACATTATATTTTCAGTGATAATTCTCTTTTATTTTTAATCATTTTTTCCTGAAGTTCTTTAGAATACCAAAACAATATCCATCAACTAAAGGTGAAATTAAATTAAATCTAGTATGGATTCTATATATGATTTTACGATTTGTAGCTCTCCAGTAAAACAACTATCTCCAATTCAAAAGGATCTGATTAGATCTAAAATTATTAAAGAAACTCCACAAAGATTTTATTCGAACCAAAATATTTTTAATAAACAATTAAATGTTTTAACAAATTCATATTCAATCGATAATAACAACACTATCCATGAAAATTATCATAATAAATTTAAACAAAATAAAAATATCTATCATAATACCCATAGAAAGACTACTACTAATCGTAATGATCAAAACACATCGATTTTTATTGAGAATCCAATCTTAAACAAATTTATTGATAAGTCGATTAATAAAGAATTTGAATTTCATAAGTTAATTATTAATATTATTTCATTATTTATAATAACTTTATTTATTAAGGTCTTTAAATTGGTTTATCATATTTTTAATAATCATAATATTAGTAGTAACATATTCTTTTATTATTTTAATTATAATACCACTAATAACGATAATTTGAATACTTTGAATTTTTATCTGATTAAACTCATTAAACTGTTTCAAATGTTATTTAATAATATCGATAATATCAAATATTTAATTAATTCAATTATATCTTTTAATATTATGGTTTCATTAATAAAATTATTATCATATTCAAAAACTAGCAGTAATGATAGAAATAGTAGTAATAACTATAATAATAATAATAATAATAATAATAATTTCAATACTTCTAATATTAAGTCATACAATCTTTCCGATAGACAAAAAGATTTGCTAGGTTTAAATCAGGATGAAGCATGTAATAATTATAAGAATAGTAATCAATCTTTAATGAAGAAACCGTACGAAGTTCAATTAAATAATAACTTGCTACCTAGTCATAATAACAATAAGATTAATAGAGTTACTGAAGATTCGGAGAGTCAGGGAAATAACCTAGTTCCAAAAACACCATATATATTTAAATCTTTGAGGACTCCATTAAAAAAGGATCTTCAATTACAATCTCAACAAGATAATAAATTTATTCAATCTACATTTAGCAATCATTTAAAAGACAATACCAATAGCACATTTAATGTTACTAATACTACTACGACTAATAATAGCAATAATCTCAACACTTTTACTACTATGGAAACTCCAACATTGTCCAATAACAAAAAAATCGGTTATATTCCCAGTAATAAATATGCATATTTAATGGATTCACCTAGTCCAATAAAAAAAAATTATAGATAAGAAGGGAAATGAAACGCAAATAAACAAACGAATAGCAATACCCTTTTAAATCATAATATACAACAAATATAACTATCTTACTTATATGTATTCATATATAGATTTTACATACAGATTAACTTACCAATAATCTGGGAATAGGAATCTTAATTTTTCAAGGGTCTCTTTTGACATTGCATCTGGTTTGGTTGAAATTGACATTTTAATTGATCCAGTCAAACCATCACCGTTATTTAAAAACTTAGGATTCAATTTAGCCATATTTTCAATTATTTTGGAAGCTAATTTATTTGCGTTTCTACCATTGTTATTTAAATGACCGATAACTGCTTCAACAGAGACAGGTTCTTCATGATCCATCCATGCATCATAATCTGTCGACATACAAATCATTTGGTATGGTAATTCACATTCACGTGCCAATTTAGCCTCTGGAAGTACACTCATATTAATGACATCACCACCAAGCATTCTATACATCTTTGATTCAGCTCTTGTTGAAAATTGTGGACCTTCTATACAAACAACTGTCATATCACGGTTGAAGTGTAAATCACATGGTTCATTTGTATCCTGATTGACTAAAATTGGATCAACACTAAATGATTCTTTAACTAGGTCATTAATAAAATTGGCAATGTTAAAAGAGAATGGATCACCAAAACCAACATGTCCAACAAGTCCAATATCATTAAAATATGAAGATTCACGAATACCTTTGGTACGATCAATGATTTGTTGTGGTAAGATAAAGTCTCTTGGTTTGATTTCTTTTCTTAATGAACCCACAGCACTGAATGATATAACAGCTCTACAATTCAAATGTTTCAATGCTGCTATGTTAGCTCTGAATGGAACTCTACTAGGTGGGTATTCATGATTTAAACCATGACGAGACAAGAACGCGACATAAAAATCTCTTTCAACACTTTTAGAATCAGACTTTATATTATCCTCTTCTTTCAAGATGTACTTAGCAATTGTGATTGGAGATGATGTGACTCCCCAAGGAGTGACAATAGAATTTAATCTAGCAATAGGTTTTAAGCAATCTAAGTGATAAAGACCAGTCCCACCAATAATACCTAAATCAACTTTTCCTTCAAACTTGTTGGAAACTTCACTGTTGGTCATTTTCAAAATTAATACCTTTTTTATTTGTATAAAAGTATGTCTATATGAATGGCACAAGTGAATTCAACACAACCATAAAATAAGAATAAAAATATATAATAAATATGTGAGATTTCTTCTGTCTCTTCACTTCAACAAAGCTATGTACACATTGTATATAATTAAAATTTTTCTGTTTGTTTATTTTTCCTCTTTTTTTGCTTTATACTCGAGAAAACTCATCGCAGAACTTTTTGATACGAAACCGAGAAAAAGAAAAAAGAAAAAAGAAAGAAAGAAAAAGTAAAAAATTGTATCGTCATAACAACGGAAAAATAGTTGTTACCCTTGTTACTCAGAGAGTAATTTGTTCATTTTTTTTTATTTTTTATAAATACCCTACTTCATTTTAATTGAACAAAATTGAAAAGATGAAATTTTTTTAAAATAAAAACGATTAAAAAAATTATTAACAACAAATAAGAAAAAATAATTATGAAAGAAACGTAAAGGACTGGAGAAAAGGGGCAAAGACAACAAAATGCTATTAAAAATAATAAAAAAAGATCAACTCAATAAATATACGTACCCTTAAGTGTAATCAACAATAATATTTACGTACTGGAATAAAGTAAGCAAAGCAATAGATATTAAATACTTAGTTTACAAGCAATTTTTTAAAATCAGTTCAGTCAGTATACATTATATAAATATATCTGTATAATAAACATTTGATCTGAAAAGAGAATTGATTAATTGAGTAGTGATATTTTCATGTTTTCTTTTTTGTTTTATTTGCTTTTTTATTAAGATTAGTTATTATACAAGTACTCCATAATGCCGTCTGATTCTATATATTCCTCCAAAAGTAACCAGACCACAAACACCACTTCTAATTTTAATGAGTCTGTGCACAATGAAAAGCCAACATTTAAACCACAATATTTAGTAGATTCAGTCATCTATAATTCCTCTGATGCTAAGATGTCTTCCGATAAGCCAAGATATACAGATCCTTTAATAAGTCCAATTTCTAAGGAGAGCGCATCAAATGAAAACAAAAAAAGGAGAAATACCCAAAGTGTACCAAACAAGGGGGACTCAGGGCCTGTGAGGACTGCATCTATAGTTTATTACGAAAATGAAGGAAAAAAGAAAGATAGTATATTGAACTCAAATCCATTAAACATATTAAACGATAAATTTATGCCATCTGGTATTTCCTCTTCAAGGACAAAGAAAACAAAAAGAATCCCTCAAAATATTCTAAAAAAAACGCTGAGTAGTTTATCAATTAATACAGATAATGAAGGTAACTCTATTCTTAATGATTTAGATTTCATAAATAATCTTACACGATCCACATCTAATTATACCATAGTAAAAACCACTAGTCGAGGATCGCAAAATCGAAATAGTATATCATCTCAAGGGCATTCTACCTCAAAAATCTTACCCTCTTCTGTTTCTACAAATCCTTCATCCTCTTCATCTCATCATTATTCCAACATTATGCATATTCCTTCAAGGAAAACTTCATTTGCAGGTTCTATTCTAAAAAGACTATCGGGAAATACCTCTTCATCCGGCTCTCATTCATCAAATAGAACAAAAAGTAAGGATACAAATACTACATCTAACAATAATAGTCAATGTTCCACCAAAGAAAAAAAGAAATCAGGGGATAAAACATCTATACCTATTAAGAATAATTCATCTTCATTATCCACTCGAAGATCTTCTATAACAAGTGTAAGTGCTGCATCACTGAGGAAGCAGAGCAAATCATCTGTTTTGACTAATGATTCAGGCTCATCATCTGGGAGAAAACCTTCTGCAATAACTAGTACTGATACTACTCCTAATATCCCTGGTTTACTTCCATTAGACACAAATTTAGACGACTTGACAGATATTACCAAAACAGCATTACTTCCTTCTAAAAATAATCAAAATAAAATAATGACTAATAATGAAAACAAAATACTAATAACTGATGAAGACAACATTGTTCCAACTTCAAATCAGAAGGGAACAGATTTTCCAATAGCCTTAACCATTTCAAGCATATCTCCAAAAACACACATGTTCAACAAAATATCCGTTGTTGATGTTGACGATAATGATAAAATTCCAAATATACCACAAACACAGAATGTAGATTCTATTCTTAAAACTTCTTCTATTGGCAATGAACAACATTTATCACATGACAAACATTCACCAAATGAGCAAATTACAAATATGACCTTGTCCAATAATTTACACAATTCTACAACCAGTTTTAGCCCTAAAAAATCATACTCTGTTGGAGATTTTACTTTATGGTCACTTTCAGCTATGAATGATTCAGCACCTGGTTTAAAAGGTGATAAACGAAGCTTTTTTGGAAATAATTTAACCAATTTATCAAGAGGAGTAAGCAATGTAACATTAAATAATGAGAATAAATGGATTGCTCCAGAGAGTTGGGATGTAGATCCTGCTGTTAATAGGGATAGGCTTAAAACAAAAAAAAAATTGAAGAAACAATTGAGGAGAGAAAGAAAAAAATTACTATTACAGCAAGAGAAAGATAAGCATGTCCCATCAATGATGGACCCACTGGCTAGAGCATCTTCTATATCATTAAGTCTAACAAGTTCGGCATCATCTTATCTAGATACAGAATCTGACTTCTTGACTGATTCTGATTCATCATCAAGTAATTCCTTACCTTCATGGCATGCAATACATGAAGGTAAATCCAATCAAGATAAAACAATAAATTCCAATAACGTTGATACTGAAAAAGTACATAACATCACGAGACCATTACAGAGTTTTTCAACAAATAACATAAACTTAACAACAGCATCACCAGGAGGTTTTCCTGCCAATGAACGTGGAAATTCAGTTGATCCATTATCACCGGGACCTCATAAATCTATTTTAATGAGTCATTCAGATAACCCTTTAACACTTGCTACTTTAGAAGATGATAGAAGTGATCGTGCAGAACGTGATTTAGAACATTATTATAAAGATTCAAGTGACTTAGATTTTAATAAGCATTATGCCATTCGTATTTTTAATGTTGATGATACATTTACGACCTTGTCATGCACACCTGGGACTACTGTGGAAGATATGATTCCGATACTTAAAAAGAAATTTAATATTACACTCAAAAGTAATTATCAAATATCATTGAAAGTTGGTAAACTGTCAAAGATTCTTCGATCTACTTCAAAACCAATCATTATTGAAAGAAAATTATTATTGTTGAATGGCTACAAAAAAAGTGATCCCTTACATATTATTGGTATTGAAGATTTAAGTTTTGTTTTTAAATTTCTCTTCCACCCAGTGCATCCTTCTCATTTCACACCAGAACAAGAACAAAGATTACTAAGAAGTGATTTTGTTCACGTCGATCTAAGAAACATGAATTTAACTACTCCACCGATTATTTTTTATCAACATACTTCAGAAATTGAAAGTTTAGATGTCTCAAATAATGCAAATATATTCCTCCCCCTTGAATTTATCGAAAGCTCTATTAAACTAATGAGTTTAAGAATGGTCAATGTAAGAGCATCTCGATTTCCAGTAAACTTAACAGAGGCATATAAATTGGTATCTTTGGAGTTACAAAGAAATTTTATAAAAAAAGTTCCTAGAGCAATTTCAAAACTTGGAAATTTAACAATTTTAAATCTACAATGCAATGAATTAGAACGGTTGCCACATTCATTTGGGCTCCTAAAAAATCTTCAATTATTAGATTTATCCTCAAATAAGTTTATTTTTTACCCAAATGTTATCAATGAATGTACTAACCTTTTACAAATAGATTTGTCGTATAATAAAATATATAGTATTCCACAGAGTATTAACCAACTGACCAAATTGGCTAAAATCAATTTGTCACACAATAAATTAACAGAAATTCAATCATTAGCTGAAATGAAAAATTTAAGAACTTTAAATGTGCGTTATAATAGGATAACAAGCATCAAAACGGTTGCACCTAATTTACAAAACTTATTTTTGACAGAAAATAGGATATCCAATTTTGAGGATAAATTACCCAAATTAAGAACATTGGAATTACAGGAAAACCCTATTACCTCTATTTCATTCAAAGGTTTCTATCCGCTAAATATGACAAGTTTGATTTTAAGTAAGGCACAGCTATCCAGTATTCCAGGTGATTTATTTACTGAATTATCTCGATTGGAAAAATTGGAGCTAAGTGAAAATAATTTAAGTAGTTTACCAAAAGAAATAGGCTCTTTAAACAAGTTGATTTACCTATCCGTGGCAAGGAACAAATTAGAATCATTGCCTGCAGAATTTGCACAGTTAAAATCATTAAGATCATTGGATTTACACTATAATAATATTCGTGAATTTTTTGAAGGTATTGAGGAAATTGAATTGACATACCTGAACATCTCATCTAATGCCTTTGGTAGCATAGCTTCTATGGACAGCACAATGTTTACAAACCCTACTGGTTCTAACAAATTATTAAATAGTTTATTATTTCTTGTTGCAGCTGACAACCAATTTACAGATAAGATGTTGCCATTTTTTAATAGTTTTATCAATTTGAAATTATTAAATTTGTCTTATAATAGCTTTGCTGATATTTCAGCATTGAATCTAAAAAATCTAACAGAATTATATATGTCAGGCAATAAAATTAGTGCTATTCCAAGTGAATGTGTTTTAAATTGGAAAGAGTTGAAAGTCTTAATGTTAAATGGTAACCAGTTAGTGACACTACCAGCAGAACTATCTCAGCTATCACAATTGACTACCTTTGATTTGGGCTCTAATCAATTGAAATATAACATTTCCAACTGTCAATATGATTGGAACTGGAGGGAAAACAAAGAACTTAAATACTTAAATTTCTCGGCCAATAGAAAATTTGAAATTAGATCATCAACAGATCATGATGATGGTGTTGACTATTCCAATTTGAGCATTTTACCAAATTTAAAAGTTTTGGGTTTAATGGATGTCACACTAAACACCAGTAAAGTTCCAGATGAAAATAGTAACTTCCGTTTAAGAACAACTGCATCTATTATTAATGGTATGCGTTATGGGGTTGCAGATAGTCTTGGGCAAAGAGATCATGTTTCTACAAGAGATGTGACATTTGAGAGATTCAGAGGTAATGATGATGAATGTTTGATATGTCTTTATGATGGTAAAAACCAAAGTTCAGATTACGGGAATAATATTTCAAGAATTGTAAGAGATATATACGATAAAATATTAATTCAACAGCTTGAAAAATATGGAGATAGTAATGATGAAGATATCAAAAGGGCATTACGTTTTAGTTTTCTACAATTAAATAAAGAAATCAACACGATGTTGAATTCTGTAGACAACGGTGGTGATATTGAAAATTTAACTTCTGCAGATTTACTGAGTGGTTCCTGCTCTACAGTTGTTTACATTAAGAAAGAAAAAATCTTTACAGCCAATTTGGGTGATTGTATGGCTATTTTATGCAAGAATAACGGCGACTATCAAACTTTAACTACTCAACACTTACCAACAAAAAGGGAGGAATATGAGCGGATCAGAATATCAGGAGGGTATGTCAATAATGGAAAATTAGATGGTGTAACAGACGTTTCTAGAGCAGTAGGTTTCTTTGATTTACTACCTCATATTCATGCTTCAGCAGATGTTTCTATAGTAACACTATCGCCAACAGATGACATGATAATAATTGCCACACACAAACTGTGGGAATATTTAGGCATCGAGATGGCATGCGATATTGCAAGAGAACATAGCACTCAACCGATGATTGCTGCTGAAGTAATGAAAGATCATGCAATTGCATATGGGTGTGCAGAAAATATTACAATTATCTGTCTTTCATTACACACTAGCACTGAGCAAGATAATCAATTTACATTGAATAAAAGTGCCTTGTTAACAAGAAGAAGTACATTTGAGGATACTGCATTGAGAAGATTACAACCAGAAATTACACCACCAACTGGTAATTTGGCAGTTGTGTTTACAGATATTAAAAATTCAACTTTTCTATGGGAGATGTTCCCTAATGCAATGAGAACTGCAATAAAAACACATAATGATCTAATGAGACGTCAATTACGTATATTTGGTGGTTATGAAGTCAAAACAGAAGGCGACGCGTTTATGGTGACATTCCCAACTCCAACGAGTGCCATGGGATGGTGTTTAAATGTTCAATTAAAATTATTAGATGTCCAATGGCCTGAAGAAATTACGTCTATTCAAGATGGTTGTTTAGTTACTGATTCCAATGGAGTTAAAATCTACCAAGGTTTATCAGTTCGTATGGGTATGCATTGGGGCCATCCTGTAACTGAGTTAGATCTAGTAACCCAAAGAATGGATTACCTTGGTCCAGTTGTAAACAAAGCGTCTAGAGTGTCAAGTGTTGCTGATGGTGGTCAGATTACCTTAAGTAATGACTTTATGTCAGAATTTAATAAGGTCATGAAATATCATAAAATGGTTACTGAAGAGGGCAAGTCTTTGAAAGAAGTGTATGGCGAAGAAATTGTTGGTGAAGTTTTAGAAAGAGAAATAGCTATGCTGGAAACTACCGGATGGGTTTTCTTTGATTATGGGGAACAGAAGTTAAAGGGTTTAGAAACCAAGGAATTTATTACAATTGTTTATCCAAAAATTTTAGCAAGTAGACATGAATTTTCTCAAAAGGACACAAAATCAAAAACAATTGATGAAGATTTATTATTTAGTTTGAGAACAATATCTAATAGATTGGAAACTATATTATCTGCTCTCTCAGGTAGTGCATTGGAATTTGAAAATATCAAAGCAACTCATAACTATTTGAATTCTGAGGCTAAAACGGCTATTGTTAAATCTGTGACTGAGAAACAATTATTGGCATTTTTTGACCACATGGTTACAAGAATTGAATCTGCAGTAGTTTTGTTGCAATTACGACAACAGATACAAGACGGTTTGGATTTCTGTGATACAAATGATCATAGTGATCTTTCAGGTACAATTTTTGATTTACTTGACGAGGTTCTGGCTGATTATAAGTTAAGGAAAGAGTAGTACAGAAATTTACTTGATAAAAGAGTAAACTTTTGAATGCTTTGAAAAATATACTAAAGGTGTACATAATACTTCCTCAAAAAAAACATTTTCAGGGCTTGTATATACATATGTCAATATGTAGAATAATAAGTAAGAACGTCCTAATTATTCTTTTTTTTTTAATTAATTGATGAGGAATGGATGATATTCCACTTGACCTTTAATCTTATATTTCTTTTTCTAAAATGAGTATTGGGAGCAATGAACAAAATATATTTCTTTATGTAATCCATGTTATCATACTATACTTCAATCGGGCTATATAAACTTTTAGCTTTTATCTTATTCTTGCATTCACGTCTTGCAATCTTTGTTATATTCAAATATTACTTAAACATATAGATATTCTTCTAGGGCTGGTTTTCTAAATCTTTTAGTTCGATTGTGTTATTATTTTTGGATGCATTGATATCCCCTAAACCTGTAGACATATCACTGACTTCAATCATTCCTTCAAAAAATGTATCTTTTAGCTCTCTCCATCTGGAAGTCCATGTACCAAGGAAGATTAATATTAAAGACGAAAATACTTGTAATATTACCCATGAAAATGATGGCAAAGCACCTGTATAAATACAAACTACAATAAAATTAATTGCGTGAACTGTTATTCCAAAATCCCATGCTAATTTACTCCTTCCTACTATTACGGTTAAAAATATAACACAAATCAGTGAATCAACAAGCCACAGTAGGGATAGCGACAATCCATATCCATTTGTAAAATCAATGTATTTGGAAGAAAATAGCCAATCATTCATTTCAATATTATGTCCAACTAGTTTGGCCCATCCATAGAAAAGAAAACAAGCAGTTACATAATAAAATATTTGCAATAAAACAATTTGAAGGGCAATTTTACTAGGTGACAATGAATCCTGCTTAAATAAATCCGATGGTCTGAGCTCTTTTGGAAGCCTTATATATCTTCTTAATGAAAACATAACTTTTGTCAATTTAAAGTATTTTTGTACGAGGATTGGTTAGAATATCTGCTCAATCTGATCGGTCTAAGCCTGTTCAGTCTACTGATTAGGATCAAACGTACTCAATTAAAAATATAATAGGAACTACCTTTAGGTGATTAAGATTTTATCTTAATTTTTTTGTACTTTTTTTTTATTCGTAAATTATTCTTTGCTTTTTTTTGTAATATAGGTATTATTTTATCTTTCTTATTTAGTTTATAAAAAAAACACATACCAAGAAAAAAATCAAGAGATTCTTTGATGATTTCAAATTCTATTACCTCAAAATACTTTTAAAAATTCTGAATGCAAGGGTTTCTAAGTGGATATAGGGAAAATATCTAGCCCTTGTAAAGGTAAGATCCATGATCATTGCATTTGAAGACTTAACTAGTGCACATATAGATATTTAGATAGACAATAACTAGCATCATCAAGTCTATCTAAAAAAAATAAGGTGATAATAACTATTGCTAGTGAGATTGAGTTAAAAATATAGATTGTCTATTGATAAGTAGTGATTGTATATCAATGTTTAGTGATATCCTTACCTTACCACTCTAAATTTATATAGATGTATATTTATATACTTGTTGTAGGATTGAATCTATTTAAAGTTATTTATCATACGATGATAAGGAAGGTTTGCTAAAGTCTTTTTGAAAATTCTGAAATCATCGGTACATTAGATAGCATTTTTTTGTATATCCTTTGTAGAAAAACCATTAGCGATGATTATGTTCATTATTGATGTATCATCTCTAGCGCATTGAAATTCAAATGATCCAATGTAACACAAAAAAAGAAAAAATACAAAAGTTCAAAAAAATAAAAAAAATAAATAGACAAGATGAAGAGGAAGAAAGGAAAAAAGAAAGGGGTTCATATAAGCTCTTTCCTTATTTCCACGTAGTATTCTAAGTGTGTAAATATTTGTGTCTGAAGTTCTTTTCAATGGATCATTGTGTTATTTGTCTGAAAAATTGACATTTATAAATACTATTAGAGACGTTACGTAACTTTTGTTTTTTTGACAGGATAGTATGGGATTTGGTAATAAAGTATTTAGATCTGCAAGACAACAAGCAGCTTTTGATAAGTCTTTAGCTGGAAAATACCAACGTCTTTTGAAAAAGAATCCTTTTCTTTTTTTTGGTGTACCATTTTGCAGTATGATAGTTATAGGTTCTTATTGGCTGGCCGGCTTTACATCTGTTAAGTATGAGAGGGAGGATCGGAGAATACATGAATTTCATGAAGAAGAAATCTTAACATTAAGAAAGAAACAAAGAAAGGTAGATGTAAAAGAGGAATATTATCGTCTTCAAGGTTTAGCAGATGAAGACTGGGAGCCGGTGAGAGTAGAACGTCTAGAAGGAGAATCAGAAAATGTTTGGTAATATATAATAAAATAATTAAATCAAATACATAAGCAACTGACAAAGAAGACTCTAACATTGAATTAAGAAATACAGCACTGCTTTAAATTAATGTGCGTTTGTTTGAAGATTTTTTAAAAATAGAACGAAATCACATGTTTGTTAAGAAATTATCTATTTTACTCAAAAAATTCCTAAAATTGATATCATTTTCATTTTAGATGGAGTATTCATGAAAAAATTAGTTACTTATGGTATGCACCATATGCCATATGATAATAAGCAATGTTCGAGTAAGTAATTGAAGTTTTTAATTTTTTCCTCTAACTAGTTTCTCTTATAGTATTGTAAATTTATTAAAATGAAGTGTATTCCAGTATTCCAACTTTAAGTATGAAGCGTAGCTTATTTCATGCTCAAAATAGTCAAGTGAAATCTCATGATTTTATTCTTGGAATCTTTTATCTATGTGAAGTAAACTGGATTAAATATTTAATGTAATAATGCTAAATAAGGAAATTGTGGAAATGATTTTAGTGCATTATATATATGAGTGGAAGAAAAGTTATTTGTCTCTTTAGTATTTTTCTAACAAATATAAAAACTTATGATTCTTTAAGAATTATGAAGAAAAGATGATCATAATTATTTGAATAATTATTGCTTCTGCCTTACGCAATCAGATATGTTTAAATCAGCAAGTTAGAAATGATCTTCTGAATTATCCTATATGAATATACAAGGTAACACATGAACGTCACTTCTACTGTTACAATAATCTTTAAAATATACATATTTGAATACAAAAACCAAAACAAGGATAGTGCTTTGTTCGTGCGATCTTTTTACATACTTAAAGGTGTAGTTTTTTTTTTTTTATTCAGGAACGTGATATTTCAAAAATTAACAGCCAGTCTCTGTACTAACAACAACTTAATTGTTACAATTTATTAGATGTGAAGTAATAAGTTGTGTGTTATAACAGAACCAGATAAGCTGTATATTTTACAAGCATTATATACAAAACTATGTAAAGTTTGTATAAAGTGAAATATAAAAGTAACTATTTCGAATTTTTGTATCCTAACTATTAATAAAATTTCTACTATTTCTCAAGGTGCTATTTTTGTTATTTATTAATTGAGGTACATTTTTTTACCTATTTTTCCATTAATTATTGTAATTAAACTTTAAATTCGTTTTAATTTCCAAGTATCCAATAAATTGTTCCCAACTTATCTTGAACAGTTGTTCCTTGTTTTAATTTCATTATAGAGTTTGTGCAATTAAAGTTGATAATAGTGAAGAATTTTGTGATAGAAAATTGAAGGAATTTTTCCAATCCAAAGGTATTAAATATTAATTAACGATAACTCTAATTTTATTATTTTAAGCTTTTGCATAGAAACAATTTATTACATTTTAAACTTTTATTTGATGATAGCTGCTACTACCACAATAGTTGGCCTATCATTGTCATATAAATATTTTCTTTTGTTTCTCCACTATTAAAATTTTCATATAAAGAGATTCTCTTTATTAAATCCCTTAAAATTATCTTATTTTGATGTTACTTATAGTTCAGTTTTTACTTCTTTCAAACTTAATTTCATTTCCAGAATTTTAATTATCGTTATAGGAATTATTTTAGCCTCTAATAATTTATCTTTTTCTAAACTATATCATTTAGATTATGACCCTTACAGCACTGTTAACTTTTCTTTAAATACAAAAAATCACCATGAAACAATAATAAGTGGTATTCCTTCTTAAACTATCAAATCATAATCTTTAATTTAGTGAAAAACAAATTGGTTACTTATTTAAAAAATATACTTCTAATTTTTGTTTTGTATTTTTCTAATATAATACATATAATATTCATCTTGTAGAATATTTAATTTCTTGTTAATTACTATGTTATACTCAAATATAAACTTTACTTAAAACTAAACCTTTACAAGAATTCAATTAATTTTGATGTCTCCATTTTCAACTTTCAGGTATTATTTGATTATTTATTAATGTATTTATTATTAATAAATTATATACAGATAAAACATATAAATATAATATAAATAAATAATGTAATTAAAGGGACAATAATATGCTAATATTATTAAAAACTAACATTCATAAATATTCCAATTACATCAGTATTAGTTGTAACAAAATGTATAATATTATTCCAAAATTCTTACAAGCATTAAACTTTCTGTCTTATATTATTCTAACCAAAATATAGGCTAAGCATATAGAATTCATATATTTATCTGTTAAACCAAAACCATTAAACTACTTGACCACAATTTTAAATCATTATCAACATTACCTAATTTCTATGCAAACATCACATGATATAATTTTGAATAATATGATGCGTATATATATTGTTTTTTTTCTTTTTTATTTTTTATATCCGGTTTGTCTTTTTTAAATATCTCTTCGTTTGTAGTGCTGTTACAAATATTTTATGGAAATATAGTAGTACACGATAGCTACATTACAACCCTAATGAGGGTTTGGGATTTAAAAATCTTACAGAAAAATTGTTTATTTTTATTTTATTTTACTTTTTCCCCATTTGAAAGAGAAGAGATATTTTAGTATGAAAGTAAGCAAAGTAGGTAAGGTTGAGTTATTTATACACCAGTGCACAATTGTGATTTAGTATGGAACATATATGTAAATAGTGAGGTTTAGATGAAGAGAGATATATAATAGAAACGATATTTTATTAGCAAATTGGCAATTGGGGATTTGGAGGGCAACATTTCCCCCTCCCCTTTCACCGGATCATTCAGCTACTAGGCAGTTAGGAAGCAGTGATAACTAAGATACCACAGTCCTATGACTTTTGTCCATCCTAGCAACAGACATGTTGTTCCTTTAGATAATATACACATAAACTATATAGAAGGACAGCTATAAAGAATATTACAGCACCCAGAAAGAAAAAACCTGGATATCGGGTACTAAGGGTACAGATGATAATTGCAATTAATCATGATGAAATCAAGATGCACGCCCGGAGTTGAGTGAGTCGAATAGTACCCGCAACAAGCAATCAAAAAATAAATATGACCAACGTTTATAGAACGCAAAGATGGAACAAACTAAATAAAAGAAAGTACAAAAAACATAAAACATTACAGGGAAGTCACAGGAACTAGGATATCGAGAACGTCGTAACCCAGTAGGATTTGTTGATAATTTACACAATTTTGATGACAATGCATAAAAGAAGAGCAGAGTTGTGTGAAAACAGCCCCAATACGAAAAAAGATTTACGTTCCTACGACTGTTTGCCTAAGATGATCATTACCCTCACCACCATTGGTAGAATCAGGAGCCTTGAACAGAGCCCTGTAGAGAACAAGTCCACTTCCCAGAAGTATCGAGTCCTTAAACAGTTGAGATGGATCAACATGAGATACTCGGGCCAGCCATCAAAACACTACATCTATTTACAAAAAAATAAGTTAGAAAAGAACGGTATTAAGATAGAGCATTCCTTTGATTTAGGAGCTCTTGTATATACAATGGGTATCACACAAAGTAAAAAGATCATGAGGCGAGGAGGAAACATACATTAGGTAAACGAACTGGACAAAAGTTGGAGGGTAGGAAAAAAAAAGAGCGCTCTTTATTTTTTTTTTCTTTGTATGTTTCTTAGTTAAGATGAGAAAAAGACACTAAAGCAATCACACGATAGCGAATTAAGGTTCTAGGTTAATATACAATGGACAATGGACAACACATTAGAAAATGGATGTATTGTTAGTGGGATTAGGAAAGAGGAATAAGAGACATAAAAAAGTAGCGAAAAGAAAATTGCTAGATGATAATAATACAGAAAAAGTGAGGTTAATAATGAGATTGAAAAAGTAAAATAGCGTTAATAATGTGGAGTAGCCATAATGGATGGAAGTAGAAAATTTGGATTGAATTACTGAGGTGTGAGAGATACTTTTTTTTAGCGGGCTATATTTTTTTTTCTTTTTTTTTATTTTCATTTTTGTTATAACTGTTTTTTATTATAACATTTTTTTTTTTTTATTTTATTTTAGCAGTGCACTATTTAGATAAACTGGGACTAGAGAATTAATAATATGAGAGATATAGAAGAAAAAAATAGAGATGAAAAAAAAATCAAAATAAAAAGTAGAGATGGAGGAGGGGATGGTAAATGAAAAGAGAGAGAATTGGAAACGATTTAGGATGTTGTTCATTGACTAACCAACCAATCATTCAGATATACATTATAGCATAAGTATGCCTCTTAGATCATGAAGCATAAAAAAAAAATACTACGAGATATAATTGACTTTTGTTATGCCACCCAGAGGAACAGAACCACCAGTTCCATTAAGATGTGCAAATTATAAGCCCTAGGAGTATCTTCAACTTGTTCAATATTTTATTACGAATAATAAAATAAATTTTGATCAGGTAGGAATAGAACCACCAGTTCCATCTGACAAAGAGAGCCGCGAGTCAAACAAGAATCCAATATTCCTATGTCAATTATTATCTCTGAAAAATTGTCCATTAAAAATCTCAAACACCATTTTCCTATTTCTTGGCTTGTAAATTCAACTACAACTGTAAAATCTGAAATCATGTAAAAAAAAAGCGCCTCTGTAAAACTATCACCTTATGAGTAATAGTGGAATCAAGAACTAAATTCAACTAATAAAAAATATCTTCCTCAAATCCTAAATTTGGGTTAACAATAGTCTTGAACTTGCATAATGGCAATCCACAGATCCTATTGTATTCACTCTCTTGGAATAGTAATGGAATTGAATAAAATTAAACAATAAAAGGGTAAAAAAATCTCCGAAAATTCTCTAGTAATAAAATATATAAAAAGTCTGCACTTGCTAGTATCATTCTCACTTGTTGGTTGCATATATGTCACAGCATATATATATATATATATATGACCTATATTGTCAGTATTCATTATATCAGGATAATAAGGGCTTGTATCCACCCATCTACAAAACATTTTTGCCATGACTGCTATTGAGTATTAGTATTAATATTATTATCGTATGTCTGTTAGTATTGTAAAGTAATGTGTCCTAATCCCTTGGGAGATATTCACTCATCTTAACGGATCTTTTTACCACATGTGGTAACACCACTGGATATACAAGAACTACTATGCCATTAGAATACGCTATCCTAACACAGTCCCTCCAACTTAGTTTTTCTGTAAATAGACGGGTCCCTTTGGTTGAATTCCTAGCACTCACATGAACCACCCACTCTCGTTGATTCTTTCATGTAAGAAATGGAATCCTCTATAAGGTCACTGTCAACGTTTCTAATTCTCCTAGACTGGATTTTTGGGTATGTCTCTTAGCTACAGGTCGTAGCCCACCACTTTTTTAGTATAAAGGAGAACAATTGTTCTTTTAACATTTCCACTATCAGCTTCACAGATCAAGCTATGTATTATTATCTCCATTATTTCATTATTTTAGAATCAAACTGAGAAATTCTTTTTTTTCAATCTTTTTCTTTGTGATCATTCTGACATGTTATATATTTTCAAAATTAATTTACTTTTTCCCTTCCACTTTTGTTTTCTAATAGATGTTGGACATGTTCACTTATTGGTTGGGTGTGACAGGAGCTATTGGACTGGTTTCTTTGTACCTTTTGGAAGAAAATGTGTATAGAGTAAACACCTATTCCTTTAAATATTATTTTGTGTCTCTTTCTTTTTTTTAAAAATAAAAAAAATTAATGTCAGTGTTTTCCCGTAATATTGAAGAAGTGACACAAAATGGAGTGCTCAACGACAAAATAATGATTTTTGCTTTTATTGCATTTTAAAAAGAAAAGACACAGAATCAGGGAGGGTAAAAAAGAAGAATGGGAAATGTGGTTTGTAACCGTATTACTTTTAAAAAACACATATTGTTTTTTATTATGCCAGAGAAAACAGTAATGATAGCAGCAATTTTGCGACAAAGATAAGAGAAATTTGGGATTGAAGAGTTTGTTTTTGTCTACAGCTATAAGAGTTTACACCATTAAGAAAAGCTTGCTATAAAGTTACTTTATTCTTCTTTTTTCTTTTAAGAATCTTAACAAGCTATTTTGGATAGAACAAAAGTTATTACGTTTGTTATTCCATCCTGTATGATTAGTTGACTTTTAAATGTTTAATTAGTTATATGTAGAGTCTACTGTAATTGTACCCTTGAGTTGTTATGTAGTTCTCAGTAATTTGAACAAATGATTTTTTTAAGGCTTCTAGCCAGTATTTTTAGATTTGTTTTCGAATGTTGATTTTGAATAGGGCAAAATTTTGTGTCTAAAATTAGAAAACAGACATTGCACTTTAAGCTATTAATCAAATAAAACACATGAATGAACCCCTTCCATTTTGGGAATTATGTAAACAAAGGGAACAAAATAAAAAGTGGTTACAATAAAGGAAAAGTTACTATTTCTGTTCATTTTTGTTCACTTTAAAAAGATATTACTCGGCGGCTAATTTTACTAGTTACAAGATGCAAGATAAATCTGCTTCCAGTTTTGATAATCCCTAAATCATATTATTGTTTGTGTTTAGTTTTAGTCTTACCTATACCTATATATATTTATATATATAATCCAACTAAGAGTAAACAAACATCGGCTTTCCAAATAAGACCTCACATCTTGAAAAGTATTTTATTTTCTTTAATCTTGACCTTTATTTTCTTTAATCTTGACCTTAATTTTCTTTTTCCTTTCATTGTAATATCGGTATATTTACATACATCTTACTCTTACATATTATTATAATACTCAAGGTTTTATTTCTAACTATATTCGAACTGACTGACAATTTATCACACCAAGTCCACATTAATTATTTTATAGAATAATAAATCCGACTGTCATCAAAAGTTTCTGTTTAAATGTGAAGATACGTCTGACTCTAGTCAAAATAAGCTTGTTCAAATAGCATACCAAATACTTTAGACATAATGATATGGCGAAATTTTTATGAGAACATAGTAATGTACGACATATATGTGAGTAACCCTAATGAGGGTTTGGGATTTAAAAATCTTACAGAAAAATTGTTTATTTTTATTTTATTTTATTTTTGGTATTATAGCAGTTAACTTTTTTCATGTAGTTTTGGCTCAAGTAAAGTTATCATGCGCTAGGAATTTTTTTCATTTTGAAAACTTCTTGGTTAATTGTTTATAATAAATTAACTAAAATGATCACTTAAGCGATTACTTAGTATCTAAGTTGCTGATTTATGATTTTTTAATGTATATATGGATTAGCATATTCAAGATGTTTATTTCTGGAAATATTCCTGAGTTTTCATAATAGAAGAAATGTTATAAATAAACTTATTAAAGGATGGCTATAAAAGTAGATTAAATAAAATATTGAATTTATGAAAAAATACGTGTGAATATTAGTATTCTCAAAACTATAAACTTGTATTTTTTTCATATTAATTTTTTCCTATATTATAATGAGTATTCTGATGATCGACCTTATTTATTTACTGGTTTCTCCATATTATCAAACAATTATTTTAAGACATCATGGTGTTATATGTTATTCTACAATATTATATAACGTTTTACAATCTTCCATATTGTTTCTTGATATTATGTGAACTTATTCCTGAGTTCCTAGTGATAATATTTTGAATATAGGCTGAGTGTTTAAGGTTAACTAATTTTAACTATTATAATTATATAGATTATTCATACTCAATTGAAACCATTCTTAACATACTCCTTTTTTCTGATTTTATTTACTGTTTTTAATTGAACCTTAAAACATAAAATCTTTCTTAACGGAGCAAAACCTATCTTCCGATTTTTTTTTCCCCCTCTTTTGACACAAAAGTTGGATTTCTTGTCCTAATTAGGCAAAAATATTCCATATTCCTATCACTCTTGCTAACGCGGAGCAACTGTTTCAGGCTTTTTTTGTGAAAACTGTTGATAGCGCATCAAAAAATTTTTTTTTATCAATGCGATGAGCTTCGTTTTTACTAAATGAAAAAAATATATATTGAAAGCTTGATCAGTTTGAACTAGCTTTATAGAAGAGTGCATCTATTTTATTCCTCAAGAACAAGTTTCAAAAATTCAATAAGCATAACAAACTTTGGTAGTTGTGTTTACTTTTATTATTGACTACTATTTTACAATAGGGAGAAATGCCTGAAGACGTGACTAGTTATTTTGGCTCTACAAATCCGTCCCATAGTCAACCACAGAGTGATTATCAATTTCTAGATAATGTTTCTTATTCAACTTCAACAAGATACCAAAAAAGAGCTGCCAAACGTGCTTCTTCATTGGAGAAGAATTCAGAAGAAAAAGACATCCCTTCGACTAATGTTTTTGATGAAGAAATAGTAAGTTTTGAAGATTCAGAATCTCGACATGAGTATGAATTTAAAAACGAATCAAAATGGATGCAATTTTATTATCAACATGTTGTGGTAGATAAATCAACTATTGGTGTATCAATTTTAGATTCCTTCATGTATAATAGTGACTTAAAACCAGTAGAAGAAAATCGAAGAGTTTGGTCTTGGCTAAATTTCAGTTATTTTTGGTTAGCGGAATGTTTCAATATTAATACGTGGCAGATTGCAGCTACTGGATTACAATTAGGTTTAAACTGGTGGCAATGTTGGATTACAATTTGGATTGGCTATACTTTTGTTGGTGTTTTTGTTGCTTTAGCGTCCAGAATAGGTGCTGCTTACCATATTTGTTTCCCAATCTCCTCAAGGGCATCATTTGGGATTTTTTTCTCTTTATGGCCTATAATCAATAGAATTGTGATGGCCATTGTTTGGTATTCTGTACAATCGTGGTTGGGTATGGAACCTGTCTCCTTAATGTTAAGAGCTATTTTTGGTAAAGATTTACCAAACAGAATTCCAAATCATTTTGGATCTTCAAATGCTACAACATATCAATTTATGTGTTTTTTTATATTCTGGGCCTGTGAATTACCATTTTTATGGGTTCCACCCCACAAAGTCAGACATCTGTTTACCATCAAAGCAATACTGGTTCCATTTGGCGCATTTGGATTCCTTATCTGGTCTATTAGAAAAGCAGGAAACAAGATTGCTCTAGGTAGTCTAACTGATACTCACCCAACTGGTTCGGCGTTTTCTTGGGCTTTCTTAAGAAGTTTGTTAGGTTGTATGGCTAATTTCTCTACATTAGTTTTAAATGCTCCTGATTTTTCAAGATTTTCTTCTGGAAAACAATCTGCACTTTGGTCTCAATTAATATGTATCCCCCTACTATTCTCTATTACATGTTTAATTGGTATTCTAGTCACTGCAGCAGGATACGAAATGTATGGTATCAATTATTGGTCACCAGTTGAGGTACTTGAACAATTTTTGATTAGAGATTACACTAAGGGTACTAGAGCAGGAGTTTTTCTTATTGCATTTGTATTTGTGGTAGCACAGTTGGGTGCCAATATTTCTGCCAATTCTTTATCTTGTGGTACTGATATGACAGCAATACTGCCAAAATACATTAATATAAGGCGTGGATCTATTTTTTGTGCTATGATGGCCTTATGTATCTGTCCATGGAACATGATGGCCACTTCAAGTAAGTTTACTATGGCTTTGTCTGCGTATGCGATTTTTCTATCATGTATTGCTGGTGTAATTTGTGCTGATTATTTTGTAGTGAGAAGAGGATATGTTAAACTAACACATCTTTATTCGCATAGAAAAGGTTCTTTTTACATGTATGGTAATAAGCTTGGTATTAATTGGAGAGCATTTGTTGCATATTTCTGTGGTGTTGCACCAAATCTACCTGGATTTATAGGTGATGTGGGTGCTCCAAAAATTACTGTTTCAATAGGAGCAATGAGAGTTTATTATTTGAGTTATTGGGTTGGTTATGGTATCAGTTTTGTTATTTATTTAATTCTATGCCATTTCTTCCCTGTTCCTGGCCAACCTGTTAAAAATATATTTACAGACAAAGGTTGGTTCCAAAGATGGGTCGATGTGGAAGATTTTGAGGAGGAGTGGTTAGCCTCTTTAGAAAAAGAGGATCTCTCGAATGATGTCATTAGTGTCTATGAACATAAAAATGAAAAAAAATTCTTTTAAAATTTCTATATACATTCTATGGATTATAATTTCAGACTTCAATCACTGTAATATTCGTATTTTTTAAATATTTCAAATTTATGAGTTCTTATTCTACTTATATAGTGCATTTCATTAAAATATACTGTATTTTCATCGTTTCATATAATCATAACAAAATCTTGATTTATGTGTCGTTTGTCCTCATTTCAGATAGATAATATTTCCACCATTCTTCAAAAGGTTGATTTTTAAAATTCAAAATACGATGAACATTTTAATGTCAGCCAATTTATTTGGTAGAGTGTATCTACCCTGAAATACTAATTATAATCATATCTGTCATATGTTTTTTTACTGTTAACTTAAAAAATTATTTATGACATCTTAATTTTATGTTACGACTTTTTCTATTTTTAGATTTTTGAGATATGGATTATTATAACTTTTTTTTTAAAAAAAAATGAATAAAATTACACCAAGGAACAAGAAAATCTTAATTGTGTGGAGTATATAATGAAGTAAGGTAAGATCTTTTGTAAGAAAGGTATGCATCCATTAAATATAATCAAATATTAAAGAAAAGATCACCATCAGCTATTAAAGTTGTGATATTGTCTTGTTGAAACATGGATAATGATGATTATGTACTCAACTGGGAAGATGAAAACCTTCTGCATCCTAGAAGAAACAGATCATCTAGAATCCCAAATAGACAAAACTCCTTAGTTAGACCTGAAAGAAACAGATTGAATAATCCTAATGATCCTCATTTTTACTATGCACAGACAGCTAGAGCGAATAGCCAAAGAATTAATGTCCAACCTTCTACCACAGGTGTTAATCCAAGATCTGAAAGTTTAAGAGGCTCAATTCGCTCTTCACATTCTAGAAATAAAAATAATACAACAAATACTCCAGTTACCTATCCTTTGGATGATCTTAATCATGATGGTAAAGCTGATAATATCGAGAGTGTGACCGAACTGGGTGAGGATGAGAATGAATCAAATTCTTTATTTGAAGAAGACCCTATTTTCCCTTCACTAAGAAAGAAACCAACTAGAATTGAAACTTCTAATAGCTTTTCTCTTTGGAAAATATATTATCGTGTTATAACCTTTTGGATACCAGGGTTTGTATTAGCTTTGTTTGGTATGCCAGACAAACAAAGACAGATGGCTTGGAGAGAAAAAATCGCTTTATTATCAATAATTGGATACATTGGGGCTATTATTGCCTTTTTAACTTTTGGTTTTACAAGGACAGTTTGTAAAAATTCAGGAGTGACAGTGAAATATAGTGATGTTTCAACAGGGTATGTTACAGTTAATGGTAATGTCTATCTTTATAATGGTACAAGCCCAGCAGGAAGTGATTTGCAAGCCAAAGGAACTAATGCTATTTATGGACCCTGGTACGATGCAGGTAAAGATGCTTCATTTCTTTATCAAAATGTTAATGGAAATTGTCATGATATTATTGTACCTAGAGATAACTGCACTATCCCACACGATTCAAGCAATAATTTGGCATGGTATTTTCCTTGTACATTAATTAACCAAGATGATACATCAAAACCAAATTTTACTCAACCAGGACCTTATGCTGGTTGGGGCTGTCATACAACAGAAGAGGAAAGAAATGCCTTTTATAAATTAAAGCCAACTGCCCAAATATATTATACGTGGGATGATTTGCGGAACTCTTCTAGAAATTTAGTAGTTTATGATGGGAATATTCTTGATTTAGAAAAACTAGCTTGGCTTAATCCAAATGAATTAATATATCCAGTTATTTTTGATGAACTTCGCAATGCTAGTTTACAAGGTTATGATCTATCATTAGTTTTATCTCATGGTTATGAAAGAAAAGTTGCCAGATGTTTGACTGAAATTATTAAGGTTGGTAAAATAGATTCTAAAACTATTGGCTGTATTGCATCGGATATTGTATTGTATGTCTCATTGGTGTTTATTCTGTCTATTTCAATAATTAAATTTCTCGTAGCATGTTATTTTTGGTGGTTTGTTGCTAAAAGTCAAGGTGCTTCGGCCATTGATAATAAGATGCTAACGGAACAGATGAACAAGATTGAGGATTGGTCAGAAGATATATTTACTCAAGGTCCAATTAAACCAGTACCTCCTTCATTAAGACCAAAATATTCTATGTATGGACACAACCGGAATGATTCTACTTTTAATTTGATTAAAAAACAGACATCTAGAATGCTGAATTTAAATGAATCAACGATCGATCTTAATGACGAAGATGAGAACTTGGAAAGTTCAAGATATAAAGGAATGACAACCATGACACTTCAGCAAGCTCAGAAAGATACAGACAAAGAATTAGATGGCACTTATAGTCGTTCTAGGAGCGGATCATTCTTATTTTCGGGAGCATCTCAACATCTTAATTATCCAATTGTTCAATCAAGTATGGCAATAAAACAATTAGACACATCGAATATTCATCCAGATATCGTCCAGCAACCTCCTATCAATTTTGTACCTTTTGGATATCCTTTAATTCATACTCTTTGTTTTGTCACATGTTATTCTGAAGATGAAAACGGTTTAAGAACCACATTAGATTCTTTAGCCACTACTGATTACCCAAATTCCCATAAACTAATGATGGTTGTATGTGATGGTCTTATTAAAGGATCTGGTAATGATAGGACTACACCGGAAATTGCTCTTAGTATGATGGAGGATTTTGTTGTTGAACCGGAAAATGTGCTTCCATACTCGTATGTTGCGGTTGCCTCTGGTTCAAAAAGACACAACATGGCTAAAATATACGCTGGATTTTACAAGTATGATAGTTCGACTGTTCCAGAAGAAAAGCAACAACGTATTCCAATTATTACGATTGTTAAGTGTGGTACACCAGAAGAACAAGGTTCTGCTAAACCTGGTAATAGAGGTAAACGTGATTCTCAAATTATCCTAATGTCATTTTTACAGAAGATTACCTTTGATGAGAGAATGTCTGAATTGGAGTTTCAATTACTTAAAAACATTTGGCAGATTACGGGTTTAATGGCAGATCTATATGAAACCGTTCTTATGGTTGATGCTGATACTAAAGTCTTCCCCGATTCTCTAAAGCATATGAATGCAGAAATGGTGAAAGATCCATCTATAATGGGTCTTTGTGGTGAAACCAAAATAGCTAATAAAAGAGACTCTTGGGTTACTGCTATTCAAGTTTTTGAATATTTCATTTCACATCATCAAGAAAAAGCATTTGAATCTGTTTTTGGTTCTGTAACTTGTTTACCTGGTTGTTTTTCATTATATCGTATTAAAGCCCCCAAAGGTTCAGATGGATATTGGGTACCTATCTTAGCCAATCCAGATATTGTGGAACGTTATTCCAATAACGTTACCAATACTTTACATATGAAAAATTTACTTTTGTTAGGTGAAGATAGATACCTTTCTTATTTAATGTTAAAGACATTTCCACACAGAAGACAAATTTTCGTTCCTAGGGCTGCTTGTAAAACAGTTGTTCCAGACAAATTTAAGGTTCTGTTATCTCAACGTCGTCGGTGGATTAATTCTACTGTGCATAACTTATTTGAATTAGTTTTGATAAGAGACCTTTGTGGTACATTTTGCTTCTCCATGCAATTTGTGATTATTATTCAATTGATTGGTACTCTAGTCTTGCCATTGGCCATCAGTTTCACGGTATATGTGATTATTTTTGCTATTGTATCGCATCCAACTCCAATTTTAACTTTAGTTTTACTTGCTATAATTTTAGGTCTTCCTGGTGTGCTAGTTGTTGTCACTGCAACAAAATGGTCCTATTTAATCTGGTTAGCTATATATATTATTGCCTTACCTATTTGGAATTTTGTTTTACCCGCCTACGCTTATTGGAAATTTGACGATTTCTCATGGGGTGAAACAAGAACCATTGCTGGTGGTAATAAAGCAGGTGGCCATGATGATGCAGAAGGTGAGTTTGACTATGGTAGAATTCAAATGAAGACCTGGAGAGAATATGAAGCCCAAGAAAGATTAGAAAAGATAAAAAACTCAGGAATACCTGCAAATATGAAATAATATATTCCATGATAATAATATAAATTGTATAATATTAAAATACTTAGAATCTTATCTATGTATACATACATAAGGACATATATATATGTGTGTGTGACAGAAAATAACCTGTAATATCGTCATAGACTTAACGAAAAAAAATAGTCCTTTCACTATATTACATAAACTGTAAAGTCTTGTGGGGACACCTCTAATAATTGCTCTGTATTTTCCCAAGGAACGCCAAAGATACCACTATTAATTTTAGGCATAATAATCTGATAGTCTTCCAGTGTTTTTTCTTGATTAAGTTGTGATGATAAGTCTTGTAAAGCCATCTTAGTATACTTTAGAATGTAACTCTCATTTTGATCAGATCCCCCATAAGCAGCGGTAAAGAGACAGCCAATAATTAAGTTTGGATCTTCCTTTGTTCTCAACAACAAACATTTACCTAAAAGTCCAACAACATGTCTGTCACAAGCTTCTCTATACTGTTTTTCTGCATAAGGGTATTTTAAAGCTAACTGATATGCAATTCCTCCTCCCCATGTACCATTACAATTGCAAGAATGCAAGAGTATTCTTGGAAAATCCCCTGCATTTAAAATATCACCTTTCACATATTTAATATTACCCATTTTTGTCTACTTGTCATAAACTCGATCTAATTTCCTAACCAAGGAAACGAATAATTAAGCAGTCAAATATGTCTTCTATTTATTTCAATTCTTTTCTTTCAGTTAGGTTAAGTAAAAAAAAAAAATAAAAAGAGAGACCATTCGTTTTTATGTAATCATAATTTTTTCCTACTTCTGTAAAAAAAAATTATAATACATTATCAGGTCTAAATGATGTACTAATTATCTTTAAGTATATACAATTTTTAAAACATTTATATAAATAATGTACAATTACAAATCTTAGAAACTTATCATATTTTGAATATCGGTGAATTATTTCTAAGTGCTGGTTATTTGAAACCATTCAGTTATTCTTTGAGAATGGGTTGGAAAACGAAATGCCCCATGAACCATTACCTTCTGACTTGTGAATATAACTTACGACTACTCTTAAATATTTAACAAATAAGAAACCCATGGAACCAATAACTCTGAATAAGGCAAGACCTGCTACAGACCACAAAACAAATTTTAAATAGTTATTATTAGCGTCCTCTGGTTCGTAAATTTGAATTATAGACATAATCAATATTAAATTCGATAGCATCCATACCATAACAATTCTTGTTCTAACATCCCGGTAATAATCATTGTGTTTTTGGGCTTCGTCAACAACTTTTTCTTTAAATTCAACTTCCTTTAGACGACTCTTTATCTCCATGTATTTTTTATCAATTTCTTGAGGCCAATCAGTTTGAACGATTTGTTTGCCATCAGGACCTTGCACCACAATTGCAGAAGATAGTTGTTTAGATTCTTGTGTAGAACCTTTAGTACCCCATGAGACATCATGTGTATTACAAAAAGCATAGATTTGTAAGGTACAAGTAATAGCAGGTAAAGTAGCAAAATATTGAACTGAAGAAGTAAATATGTGCCATGGATCTAAATACATAAATGAAGAAAAAACGTATAATCCATATGTTGAAAGAATAGACACAATGATGTTAACAAAAGTATCATGAGTCTCATATTGAGATTTCAAAGATCTAGCTGCAAAGACAAAACCACATATTAGAGAATATAGAGCACAGAATGTCAAAATAATCATTGAGGTAATGTAAAGGTGTTTACCACCCTGTGGACGATTACCCATAGATATGATGAATAAACTAGCCAAATCACAGAATATTAAATATTTTAGGAAAATGAACAAAGGTTTACCATGTTTTATAATATTATTCATTGAACCAGCTAAATAATAAAATGTTAAGACAAAATTGGCAATTGAAAACCAGGAAAATAACATCTGTATGAATTGATAAAAAAATTCAATATGAAAGAAAAACATTCTTGTTAAAGAGTGTTTAGTCTTCCAAATCTGAGCAAAATGTAATTGTGCATAAAGTGCAGCAAACATAGCACCATTCAACCAACGTCTTCTTTGAGAAATGAATTCTGGAATATCTTCAGGAACATCTGTATCACCAGTTGCTTCTTTCACATATTTCAAAACCCACTTTGCATTTCTTTTGGCAACTAATTCCCAACATAGGATTCTATCTTCCGCAAGATACATGTTAGCAGTAAACACATCATGGCTTCTACCTTCTTGTGTTTCACCTAGGAAATATGAATTAAGTGGACCAGTACCATCTTCATGATTCTGTAAAGCACGGTATCTGTATGCAGATAATGCACCTGGAAGCACTGTGATGTAACCAAATAAACTTTCTATTGGTTTATCTAATATATTTGACATTTTATATTCGAAGTTTTGGGATGCTATTAATGGGTTTAACAATTTTCTACCATATTTCCCTTTCATAGCCACAATCTGTCCTGCAGCACCAGCCACATTCGAATCATTGTCAAAGGCTTTCCATAGATGATAAATAGCAGTGTCATTCAATCTAGTACCAACATCGACAAGTATTACAACATTTGGTTGTAAAACAGGACAGAAGGCATTGAATAGCCAACGATGTGAATTAATTTTCTTTTTATTTTCTTCTTTCAAACAAAATACAAATTGAACTGGAACAATGTTCTCTGAAACATAATCTAATTTTTCGTTAATTGACACTTGAGTGGTTAACTCAAAGATGTGAGCCTTAACCGGATCACCATTAACAGATGCTTTTGCCATATCTTCTTGATACACACCAATAGCAGCTAAATAATCTAAAGAACCTTGATTGACTTTAGTCCTACCGTCACTGACTAAGATCACAGATACTTTCTTCCAGCCATTGACACCCCATATATGAGATTTTCTACGATTACATAAATGAGCCACATTTCTCATAATAGAATGAATGGTTCTAGCGATACTAAATTTATCCTCATTATACATTGTAATACACACCACAATTTGACATTCTCTATTCATTTCAGCAAATCTTAAACTATAACCAGCTTCTAAATATTCATCAGGATCCACAGTACATGCTGTATATCTCATTTCTGTAAACTCAGGAGAATCTCTTCTTGGCAAAGTACTCAATAATCCTCTAGGTATTGGATTATCTAATTTAAGAATGGCCTTTTTCAAATCAGAATCACTAGCTTGCGGTCTTCTTTTGCTTTCTGAGTTGGCCCGTCTGACATAGTCTTTACGAACTGGATGGTTTAATTCGAATCTTGTCTCTTTGAATGTTTCATCTGAAAATGTAGATTCCATATCAGTGTCATCAAAAGATTTGCGAAATTTCTCATCCCCAAACTCAAAAGATGACCTTGCAACAGTTGAGTCTGTTGATGCAGTCAATTTTGAACTTTGTGAATAATTTCTTGTTCCAAATAGATTATTTGAATTTGGTTTAGGAATAGTTGGTAGTTTAGGATAATAAGATCCCATTATATGATCATTATTACCATCATCATTATCTTCTTCTTCTTCTTCATTATGACACATCACCCCAACTGGAGGCAATGTATCAACCACAACAGACTTTTGTGGTGATCTAATTGGAGATTTTTGTAAATCATCAGTATATTGCCTTATCATAGGAGATTTATTAGATTCTGCAGAGAAATCTATAATAACATCATTAACTCTTCTTGGGGATTCATTTAAATTTGTCATGTATCTATTTGGATTTATAGGGGAGCTAGGATTACTGTCTCTATAAAATTGAGTTCTATGACGACGATCAGGAGAATATCTTAGAGCAGCTTTCGAAGGAGACTGTGGTAATCCTTGAAAGATATTTGAATCATTATTATCTGAATAGTTTATATCATCATCGATATTAGTACGAGAGTTAGTGTTCCCAAATGTACTATTACTACTATTTGTGTCAAATCTAGTTAGGCCGTTTCTTACAGGAGATCTAATAGGAGACCCAGTGGAGGAATCCACCATAAAAGGATTTCTGGTCATTTTTTAAGCAAAAGTTATTCTTGTTATATTTTGCATAAAATTTTATTTTTAAAACTATGTTACCGTAACTTTGAAATGATTTTGATAGACGAAATTACCTTTAAGGCTGGTCCCTGAAAGGTAGTCTTGAAACGTAAATGTTAAAAAAGATTGAAAAGATATATTAAGATAGATATAAAGTCTGTTAAAATGTACTTTATGAGAGTTTCTTCAAGTGACGACTCCCCAAAGATATCTTTCCTAACTGTAGTCCACACTACTTGAATCTTACAAAAAAATTTCAGATCGATCAAATTTGATGTTTTTCCTAAAGAAGTAATACTATAAACAAACCCTTTAGGTCAACTTTTAACCCTACTATTTCTTGTTCTAACCCTAAACATAATGCGGATTTTTTTTTTCATTTTTTTTCGTTTTCCTCCATACATAATGAAATAAAACTACTTTGAAAATTGTAAATTTGTAAGTGAGGAGTGTCTGAAAAAAAAAAAAAAAAAAAAGGATTAATAATTTGTATCGAAGATATATCTAGAAGTTGCAACTCCGTACAACGATTAATTAGTGATTGCCAGTAAGCTGTATCAATATTAATATTATCAATTAATTACATATTTCTACTGGTAATAAAGTTAATAAGATTGGAATTGATCGCCGTAAAAAGCCATATTTCTTAATTACTTTATTCAGAGAGAAATTTATTATCACTATTTATATATTGGTTTCAGTCGGATTTTAACTTAAAGATATGTTCAAACCGTCAGTGAGAATTTTGAAATATCAAGTCACATCTTCCTTAAGAGTATCTTTGGTCGGTAGGTCTATTCAAAAAGCATTCTCAACTACCTCCTTTAGGTTAAAAAACAATAAGGAAAGTATCACAAATGATACTAATATTTTAAATGAGATTAAAGATATCCCATTAAAGGATATTAAAGTAAATATTAAAAATAAAATAGATATTCCTACTACGGATCCAACCGATGGATTTATGAATTGGAAAAGTATTGGTTTATTTACTTTTGTAAGTGGTGGTCTTTACTATTGGGCCTATAATAAAAAGAAAGAACTTGAGATTATTAAAGAAGATGAGGCTAATAGAGCTGCTGTCGGAGGTCCTTTTAAACTGATTGACCAGAATGGGAACGAATTTACTGAAAGGAATTTTTTAGGTAGATTTTCTCTATTATATTTCGGATTCAGTCATTGTCCAGATGTTTGCCCGGCAGAATTAGATAAATTAGCTATCTGGATTGAAAGAATTAAAAAAGATTGCAATGTTGATGTTCAACCTGTATTTATTACCTGTGACCCTATTAGAGACACACCTGAAGTTTTGCGACACTATTTAAAGGATTTCCATCCATCAATTATTGGATTAACTGGAACACATAGTCGAATTAAAGAGATGTGCAAAAATTATAAAGTATTTTTCTCTACTCCAGCTAATGCAAATCCAAAGGAAGACTATATTGTAGATCATTCAGCTTTTACATATGTTATCGATCCAGAAGGTCAGTTTATGGAAGCAATCGGTACAATTTATGATGACGATGAAGGTCTAGAAAGAATTGAACAACACATTAAGACTTTCTTACCAAAAGCCGAAAGAGAAAAAAGATTGAATAAATGGTATGCATTTTTATTCAGATAAAAGAATTTATGTACTTTTTAATTAAAACTGTATATATATTAATGAATATTTATTGTTGTTATAGTTATGAAGCAGTGTAAGTGAATTTCTTGTATTGATCAATCTATTACTATACACTCATATCATAATGGTGTAGATATAACAAATATCTTCTGTTTTCTTTTCTATAAGAAAATAAGGTAAAAACAGAAAAACAAAAACACAAAAAATTGCCATAGTAGAATATTTAAGTGTAAAAAAATTAATTAGTAGGTCTAAAGATATTTATATAATGAAGATATAAAGCTAATTAATCAAAAACATAATTATATAGAGAGGTAGAAATAAATATATAAATTAATAAACTGAAGAAAATAAGGACTAACTAAAAGACTTTTAAAAAGATAAAAAATAAAAAAAAGAGTGTGATTTTATTTTAGTATTTTTTGTTATCTTTAAATCAATTTCAGTTCTTACCTGCACCAGCTCTAAAGTAAATAATATCACCATCTTCAACAACATAATCCTTACCCTTTTGTTGTAATTTACCAGCTGCTTTAATAGCAGCGTCATCTTTATATTCTACAACATCTTCGTATTTCATAACTTGAGCTAAGATGAAAGTGTTCATTAAGTCATTGTGAATAACACCAGCAGCTTGTGGAGCCTTGGTACCCTTTCTAATAGTCCATTCACGAACTTCATCTGGACCACAAGTGAAGAAAGAGATTAAATCTAACTTCTGTCTCATAGTAGTAATAATCTTTGGTAAAGCAGATTGGATACCAAGTTGTTTTAATTCCTCAGCAGCTTCCTCTTCAGACATGTGAGATAATCTTTCTTCTAGAGAAACAGAAAATGGAATGATTAAATCACCTGGAGAGTTGGCATCAACCCATTCCTTAATTCTTAACAAATGTTTGTTTTTCTTTCTGATGTAATCCTTTTCAGAAAGGTTAATTAAATAGATACATGGCTTAGCAGTCAATAAAAACATGGTGTTGATAACCTCTACTTCCTTTGGAGTCCATGTTTGGTTGTAGACTCTTTGACCGTTCTTCAATAGGGCGATGATTCTTTCAATTAAGGCCATTTCTTCTTTCTTTTGTTTGACTTCCAAAGATTGACCACCTCTCTTGGCAATCTTTGCGGCAGCTTCAAGAGCCTTTTCAGAGAATTCGATATCTTTCAATCTCAATTCATTAGAAATAATCTCTAAATCACGAACTGGATCGACATCACCTTCAATATGGATAATTTCAGCATCATCGAAACAACGTACCACTTGATAGATAGAATCCACAGCTCTGATATGAGACAAGAAAGCATTACCCAAACCTTCACCAGCAGAAGCACCCTTGGTTAAACCAGCAATATCATAGACTGTTAAATGAGCCGGAACTTCAGAGGCAGGTTTATAGATTTTACATAGTTCATCGAATCTTGGAGATGGAACAATGACTCTAGCTTCTTCAGGATCAATGGTAGCGAATGGGTAGTTAGCTGGGTTACCTAATGGACATCTAGTGATAGCTTGGAAGAAAGTGGATTTACCAACATTAGCTAAACCAACGATACCGGCCTTTAAGTTGTTACCTGGACGACCTAAAAGGACTTTCTTTTCTTCAACTTGTTTCTTTGGAGGCATGATTAATCAATATTTGTATTGACAGATTCAATTTACTTATTTGACACTGGGCCAATTGAACCAAGAAAACTACTTTTTCTTTTATTTGTTTTGTTTTAGTCTTCACCCATAAAGATTGATATTTAAGAATGATAGAGATACGACTTGAACTCTAATCGATTATAAATGTCACTAAAATAGAAATGGACTAGATAATAAACATCACAATAGTTAAAGCAATGGTAATAGACACATATTTGCGATGAGTGTCTCTCTTCCTTAATTCGTGAAAAATTTGAAAAAAAGAAAAAAAAATTTTTTTTCTGCTGTCGAAGGAAAACAAAATAAAACAAAAAAAAATTCCACAGACAAAGAAAATAGAAACATATGCGGTGTGTGGGTGTTTAAATATACATATTTTTCGCTCTGGAGGTGTATGGGTGTATCTTAACTTAGCCCTAAAGTAAAATATGTCAGCCCTAATGTTTTTTTACCTTTCTTTTCTTTTTTTTCTTTTGTTTCATCTTCAATTTCTGTTGAAACCTGAATATTATAGCAGAAAGTTATTGTGTTGAATAAGAACTTGTTTAAACATTATGGTGGTAGTCCAAAAGGAAATCTGAGTTGCTAAATAATCTGTGATACAAAAGTAATGTGGAAATGGAAAGTGGAAAAGATAGAACTGAGAGAAGACTAAATTCGTAAATTTACTTATTTATCTTTATAATATTATCGAACTTTTTCTCGAAGAAGAAAACTAGAATAGTTTTTGGCATTAATAATATTTAATCAATAATAATAGAATAAATTTATGAAATTAACTCCAATTTACAAAAGCAGATAAAAATACAATACTTCGTATAGATTTACTTATTTTGCTTTATTAAATATAATAATAATAATTGTAATAAAAGAAAGGTTCTAGCTTGAATAGAATTTTCCAGATGTTTCGGACTATTGCTTGGTATACAGTGGTTGTTGGTTATGCAATTCAGACCAAGGGGTTTTCTATAATCCAATCTGATAAGTTTCTATCGCTGGATTCAATCAGAAGAGGTGGTCACTTAAATGTATCCAAAATTACTATGGATCAAATGAAAAGTGCAATGACTTTTTACTTGACATCTACAAATTTCGTTGCTTTAATGTTAATTTTACCAATTGCTGCATTTCTAAGGAAAGAGCCTGGATCATCTAATCTTAATGAATTCAATTTTCAACCTTTAAATTCGAATGGTTCAGAGGAATACGAATTACAAGATTTACCTTCTGAAAATGGTAACGACAACGGAGATAGATGTATCGAAGGAAGATCACTTTCAATGGATTTATCATTAGATATATCAAATTTAATCTCACACGAAGGAACTGCTCCATCACCATCATCGTCATTATCATCGTCATCATCTAGTACTCATTTAAATTCAAACTCTAATTTTACTACATTTTTGCCTTCACATACAACCATATTTCAAACATTAAGAGACATTGTTGGATGTATTATACCTTCTCACTCTTTTGGATATACAGCTGCATATATCACAAAACTGGTTGTATTGTCCTCTTTATTAGTTATACCTGTATTTACATATATGCTAGCGTTATCTTTATCTCCAGCATTTGATGTAGCATTAATTCAAAATACCTCGATTTTTGAAATTGTCACTTTATTATACGGTGTCTGCGGCATATCTAAGAGAAAATATATTTTTAGGAATTTTCTTGTTATGTGTGCTGCTTTGTTAGGTATCTTAATAATCTCATACACTAAAGCAACATGTGATATCTTGGCTGGAAAATTATCTATTAATCCAACAACAGGTGAAATATCTGATCCTTTCCTATTTGATAGATTAAAGGCATCTTTACTCTGTGGTTTAGGCAACTTACCTGTTGGTTTATTTGCAGTTATGTGGAATTCTTGGTTTGGTCAAAGATCGAACACTATTCAACAACAGAGTGCACACTTGTCCCTTATTGGGATTATTTCTCTTGCAATGTTAGTACCATTTGGTCCAGGTTTTAAAGTGTTTTATGAATGTATCCAATTGTTTAATGGAGATGGTTTATTTTGGTCAACATTGTTAGGTTCAGTATTTTTAGGCACTGTTCCTTTTTTTTGTGCTTTGTTATATTTAAACAGGATTTCATCCCCAGAATATTTGACCACATGTAACTTAGGTTCTATAATTTCTATGGGCATAATGGAATGGTTAGCTGAGCCAACTCAGACTACAATTGTTAGATGGGAAGTAGTCGGTTATATTATGCTTTCTCTAAGTTGTCTGTTTTTGTCAATGATTTTGGTCTGAAGACTTGATATCACTTTCAATAATATCTGTTCCTTTTTTGTTTTAAATCTTATGAAATGATTAATCGTCCTTTGCATCTTTTGAAGAAACAAAAATAAACTACATATTCATAAATTATAGAATATATTTATGCTATTAAAACATACACACATATATATATATATGTATTCTTATATAATGTTTAAATGTATTATGACATTTAGATTAAAAAATCGTTTCAACTTTAAAAAAGAAAAGCAAAGAAAATCCTTAGAGAATTAATTTTAAAACACAAGGCTTTTTATTTTCTTAAAAAGTTTATTTTTGTTTTGTCCTTGTCTAGATGTAGTCTTTTGTTTCCTCCAAATTTTTCTTCCTTGATATTATTTGAAAGTGTATATATATTTTTCAGGTATGGTAGTTATAATTTCTGGAAGTTTTTGTTATTTATACATATATTTCAATATAGAAAGAACCTTTATTTATCGTCAAAATGTTTAAAGTTAAGTAAAAGATTGAAATTATTTAATGGATTAAAAAAAAGTAAAGTGTTATGCTTTTTAAGAGGTTCTAAACTATTTATTTCGGAAATCATTTAATTTATATTCTGTTAGAACTTTTTTTTTTTAAAAAATCATGTGAAGTTTTAAATAAAATTTTTATGTCTTGAATTTTTCTTATAAAAAAAAATTTAGGTATTTTTGTAATATTAGACTTTACAAATTGTTTTATTAAATTTAATTCAAAATTATAACAAGTAAATAGAAGAGTAAAGTTTTTTCATTGATCTAAAACTGAATACATTAAATTTAGCGGTGTTTATTTGACTCACGAATAATATTTTTTTATATTTTCTATTTAAAATAATTGTTTAGTAAAAATAATTGATCTTTTTTGTAAACCACTTGTGTTGTCTACTAATTTGATTGTTTACTTGAATTATGCATTATTTTCTAACTAGAATTTTTTTCAATGTTATAAATGCTAAAACTGTACTGATTATCCAGTGTCTTAAAATTCAGTGGTATATAAAAAAATAAAAAAAAAAACTGATAATCTTCAACATAAATAAAATCATGTTCTTAAACAAATACTTTTATTAGTGTTTTTATATTCTAAAAACTTGGATTTTAAATTTACAGATTCAAAAATAATAATACCATTAATATTTAATGAAACATATAAATTTTTATTGTATTCATACATTGTGTAAAATTAATTACAACAATATTCACTTTTTTAAACAACAACTTGTTTTATTTATTTGCTTTATATCCTTATATTTTATATTTATAGATAGACCATTTTGTAAATAAGAATATTTTGAATTTGTGATACTTTTTAGATTTTTCTTCCTTGTGTCATTATTTGTTTGCCTGATTCACAAAGAATAATCCATAATAAATGAGATTGTATTATATTAACGACACCATTTAAATAAAATTCTAGTATGCATAAACCACGAATATTCAGGCAGATTATCAGTTTCATAGAAACATTACAATTTTTTATAACAAAAGAATAAATGGTAGCCAGTATCTAAATGAAATTTCAATTTACTTACCTACTTACTTACTTATTATTATTACTCTATTTTACAAAGTTTTTTTTAAAAAAAAATATAGCTAAAAACAAATTATAGACATGTAAACACAGGTGCACACAGAGTGTGATAGGTGTACAAATTATGATGAAAAACACTTATCAAACCAAAAAAAACCATGTAGTAATGAATATGTTCATGTCTGTAATATTCTGTTTAACTTTATTTATTATATGAGAATAAAAGAAATAAGGTGAAATAGAAGGATGATTGTTTGTTGTCATTAAAAAATAATAATAATAAAAAAAAACAAATCATTTGTGTTTTTATTTATTCTTCTTATTTCTTTAATCCACTTCTCATGTATCTACCAATAACAATACAATGGTCTCTTTCATAAGGTTCTAGAGTCAATTGTTCTAATGGTTTGATACGTTCTTCACGTAATTTTTGGACTTCTCTAGCAAAGACTGTTTCAGCATCTACAGTAGAGTCGATACAGTTAGCTTTAATAGAAATGACAACACCACCTTTATCCTTTAGGAACATGTGAGAGTTCAAAGCGATAATACGAGCTTGATCCGGTTGAGCAACATCAGCAAAGACACAGTCGACCATATCTACAAGCATTCTGTATTTTTGTGGGTGTCTAGCATCTTCGATAATTGGAACAACGTTTGGTCTCTTCTTAGCCATGGAGATCAATTCTCTACCTGGTCTATGAGAGAATTCAACAGCGTAGACAACACCTTCTGGGCCAACGACATCAGAGACATGTGAGACAGAAGTACCGGAGGCAGCACCTAAATAAAGAACTTTCTTACCTGGGGCAATAAATAATTCATCTAAACCACCCATGATACCAGCTGCAAGCTTAGATCTGAATGGGTTCCAAACACGGTATTCGACTTTTGTTGGTGGAACACCATCTTCTTTGGATGGTTCTTCCACAGAGATTCTCTTTTCACCGTAGACAGATTCGCCTGGAGCCATGTTCTTGGTAACTAAAAGATCTTCCTTACCTCTAGCAATGAAGACACCGGCATGTTTGTGAGGTTCGATGACAACTTTGGCACCACCCTTGGCACCACTTTTAGCACCACCACGACCACCTCTACCACCTCTGGCACCGCCACGACCACCTCTAGCACCACCTCTGGCACCGCCACGACCACCTCTAGCACCACCTCTGGCACCACCACGGCCACCTCTGGCACCACCTCTAGCACCACCTCTGGCACCACCACGGCCACCTCTAGCACCACCTCTACTACCTGGTCTGAATGACATTTTTTTAAACTATGGATTATTTATGTATAAAATTTATTTGTACTTTTTTTTTTTAAATGGCTTATAGTATAATTAAAAAACAACAACAAACAAATCAATGATAAATAATAACTGATCACTAATTATACTTATTATTAATACTTGTTGTGGTGTCCACAGGCAAATTTAATTATACGGTGTATTTAATTTGATAATACTAAAAACAAAAACTTTAAAAAAAAAGAAAGCCAAACGGTAATACCAATAATTGGATATATGAATAGTTCTAAACTAATAAAAGCTAACTGAACGACAAATTAACCAATAGCAAACAGAAGAGTAGGAATATATGAAAGAAGGCAAATGTAAATGGATAAAGCACTTCCTAAACACTCAACATGAAGATTCTGAATCTCAAGACCAATGTTTAGGAATTGACCTTAGGAGTTAACAATCTATGTATAAGAAGTATATTCTAAATACTTTCTATTTCATTTCTTATCGATGATGAAGATGAAATTTTTTTTTCTTTTATGAAAATTTTCGAAAAATACAAAGGAAAAAAAAAAATTTTTGGGCATCTCTTAACAAAAAAAAAAAAAAAAAAAGAAAAAGAATAAAAAGTTTCCTAAATAGGCAACCATGCTTGAAGTAATTTTACACGACACCAAAAGAGCACCAGAACAATTTGTCTTATTTAGATCTGTGGAGTTAGAGTGTATATAACATTAGAAACAGACGCCAAGTATATTATAGTGTCCTCTGTTTCCCTATTGCATAGAACAGAGAAAACCCAGAATTCAATCTATAGGGATAATGATACAATAGAACTTCTTTCCGTTAAAGGAAGAGTAAATAAAGAAAATAAATTAATAATAATAATAAAAAAAAGAAAAACAATAACAAAAAGCATACAGGCCTTAGTTGACTGCGTTTCTTCTTGCTGGCTATTCAATCAAGCTTCCTGGTCAAATACGTAAATATAAACTTAATATAAATGAGGAATTCTTCGATACCCTTGTTGTCATCGTCCATTATAGATGTCTCTAGCACTATGGATGTTACTGCACAATCACCGTTATTTTCTTGGAAACCCTACTCTCAAGAATTGCTTTTTTTACTTACTTACTTACTTACTTACTTACTTACTTACTTACTTATTTATTTATTTATTTATTTATTTATTTATTTATTTATTTATTTATTTATTTTCCTTGTTTATTATTATTCCATTTGGTTTTCCGTTCGATTCTGGCACTCCGCCCTTTTTTTATTTCGATTCTCCGTCCCAGAAAATCACGCCAATTGTTTACAAAGAACAGGCTGACTACTGGTGACGACATTTCGGTAAGCTTTTAGTATGCAATAGTATGTTTGAATGTTTGTACACCTGTGCGTGTGTGTTTACACGTTATACACCATTTGAATCTGTTATCTGTGTAAGTGATATTCGTATACGCACATACATAAAGTACATTTATATAAGGCCACTGGAAACACACTAGTTTCATTTGTTGTAAAAAAAAAAAGAATAACAGATATAACCTGTATTAAATTTTTATCAATTAAGGAATCTTTAGAAAAAGAAACAAAGATACAGAGATACTTATCCAAAAATTACTAAATACTAGAATAAACAATAGAATATACTTGGGGAAACAAAACAAACAAACAGACAAACAATATCTATGTCTCCAAAATCAAATACAACTGGTAACACTGCCACTACCACTAATTCCTCCACTAATCCTACTACTACTGCTTCTTCTTCTTCTTCAAATGGTACCGCCACTACCACAGCTACAGGGTTTAGCCATAGAGAAGTGTCTAGAAAGAATAAAAGAAGAATAAATCTAGAGAACAAAGTGAATAAAATTAGTGAAAACTTCATTAAAAATAAAGATCTTCATTATAAAGATAGATTAACAACGTTACAGACTAATCTGACTAGTTTACATCAAGGCACAAATCTGTTACTCTTAAGCAAATTGAGAGACTTGGAGGAGATTAGAGATTTGGAATTGGTCAGATTAAGACTCTATGAAGAATACAGAGTAAGCAGGTCGAGCATTGAGTTTCAAGAAGATATTGAAAAAGCGAAATCTGATCATGAAAAATTGGTTAAACTATGTAAAGAAAAACTATATTTTAAAATTGAACAGAAGATTAGAAAATTACAAGAGGAAAGATTGTTAATGGATGTGGCCAATTTACACTCATATTCAATGGATTATAGCAGGCCTTTTATATATCAAAAGAATACGAGAAGCCAGACTGTAAGTGGTGCCAATAATAATATCAATGAAAATAACGGCTATACTAATTACGAATGGGAATCATCCTCAAATGAGTTTGCCACTAGAGGTGACACAGCAAATGATAGTGCAACTGATACAGGGACCGAAAGAAGATCTTTGCGTAGAAGGACTGCCAATTCAAGAAACGGTAATGCGAGTGGCACGGACGTTGACGGGGGTGTCTATGGCAATAGCTATTATTTACTTGGGGAAGTGACAGAAGAATCAGACTTTAGAAGTCGATACTCATCAACAGGTAGTAAAAGACATGGTACTACTAATAATAATTCAACTCAGAGGGGTAAACATGGCTCAGGAAACCAATCTGATATTAATTCGGATGCAGATTTCCTTCAAGGTATCAGTGATTATGAAGATTTACAAACGTTACTGTTTGGTGAAAAGACCATAGAAACAACAACCAATTCGAATAAAAAAAGACACAGAATAAATCCACGATATTCCACTAAATCTGCACCTCCATTAGAATCATTAACACCGGATGAAGTCACTAGTGATATTGCATTGATTAGAGAATTAACAGGTCAATCACCTGCTCCATTTAAACTACGTAATCCACCTATTGAATAAGCTAATATATATATATATATATAGGACACCCCCTCCCTTTTTGGAAAATCAGCAAGCAAATATAGAAATGAAAACTGCATAACTATCTTTCAATATTATTTTTTTTATAGAAACATCATTCTATAAGTAGTGCTTATTTTAACACGATTTTTGAGCATATGCTTCCATCATTTGATACTTCCTCTCTCTATACTGCCATATGGAAACAATTTGGAGATTGGAAAAAAACCAAACAAAAAAAAACATAAAAATAAAGAAAACAATGCAAAAATTATAGATGGCACTTAAACAATAAACTGACAATTCTAGAGAGGTGTAATGGCTATATTTAATACACAAAAAAACCAAGCATCATTCAATAGAAAGACATCCTGATAAACTTAAATCTGAGGGAATATTAGCACCATTTATTTTATATGGGTATAAATTCTGTTGAAATTAGAAAATAACAAGGTGTCGCTCTCTATACTATCTGGTTATTTCAGTATTTAATTCCGACAGTATAAATACTTGAATATATTTGAACTAACATATTTATAGATAGGTAGAAGATTATTTATTATTCTAATAAAAGAAAGCCACCATTTGTTTTATTTTTGCATATAAAAATTTGTTTTTTTGTTTTCTCTAGATGGGTTTCAATCTAAAAAGATCAAGTAAGATTCGATTCTCTTTTAAAAAATACATAAGACCAACAGTTGGTATCAAATATTTGCTTTATACTCTCACACTGATTCTTATTTTTAAATGGATCCATAGCTATAATAAAAAAGAAGAAGAAGAAGCTAGAGCACCTCCGTATTCTGAACAATATTTAAGTACAGATTTACAACATCCATTTTATGAAAGTTGTGTAAACACACAAGAATATCTGAAAAATGACTCATATAAGAAAATGAACGCTACCTTTGTAATGCTGACAAGAAATGAAGAACTTGATGATGTGGCGCATACAATAAGTAGTATTGAGTCCCATTTTAATCAATGGTTTCAATACCCTTACGTTTTCTTAAATAATGTCCCATTTACTGAGGAATTCAAAACAAAGGTTAAATCAATGACAACCACTGAAGTTGAATTTGGTTTAATTAATGAAATAGATTGGAATTTCCCATCTGGGGTGAAACAATCGCTTCTATTCAAGGAGTCCTTAATAGATCAAAGTGATCGTGGAATTATGTATGGTTCTTTGGAATCATATCATCAAATGTGTAGATTTTATTCCGGTCTTTTTTATAAGCATCCTCTAGTAAGAAAATATGAATGGTATTGGAGGCTTGAACCTGATGTAGATTTCTTTTGTGACATTAGCTATGATCCCTTCTATGAAATGTCCTTGGCAGGTAAAAAATATGGGTTTACCATATTGATTCCTGAGATCTATTGGAGTGTACCAAATCTTTTCAGATACACTCAAAGTTTTATCAAAGAGAATAAGGGGTTAAAGTTGGGATCTATATGGAAACTTTTCACTTATAATTTAAATATCATGAAGACGGATGATAAAGAGATTCAAGAATGGGTTCATCTGCAAAAAGATTTAGAACCTAAATTGAGAGAAAAGATTTTAATTGATCTATACCAAGAGGGGAAATTAGATAAAACAACCTTTGAAGAAAGTGTGTTAGATGTAATTATTAATAAAGCAGAATCTAAGAAGCCATTATTTGAGGATAAATTCAACAATCAAGAATATAATCTTTGTCATTTTTGGTCCAACTTCGAAATTGCTAAAATATCTGTTTTTGATAATGACATTTATGATTCATATTTTAAATATTTGGAAAAGAATGAAGGTTTTTGGCGTGAAAGATGGGGAGATGCACCTGTTCATTCTTTAGGGTTAGCTTTAACATTGGATTTTGAGGAGGTTCATTATTTCAGAGACTTTGGATACAGACATTCAATATTGAGTCACTGTCCAAAGAATTCATACGAAAACGTATCACCATATCAAGAAAATGATATAAAATATCGTAGAAAGGGAATTAGTTCGGTGTATGATAAGGCAACAGATAATGGTATCGGATGTAGATGTAAATGTCCTTGGAATACTGCTGATATTGAAGATTTTGCATTTCCATGTATGGACATATGGTTTGAATTAGCACATGAAGTACATTTTGAGACTAATTTTGATGGCGAATACCACCCAAGTATCGATGTCAATGAAATTGAAGCTCAGTTAAGAGAGAAAATCATAGAAGAATTACAAATCTAACTTGTCTCAACTCTGTGATTCATATTATAAATATGCTGGTTATAGACTGCCACACATAATTAGCACAATACCTAGTTATAGATGTTATATGTATTATTTATAGACTTTATTTTTTTAACAACCTTCTTCCTGTATATCAAATTGTAAAATAATGATTGATTTTGTTAAAAGAGCTGAAAGAGGAGATGGAGGGGTTTTTAGACGCCTATATGGGAATCCCATGGTAATAAGTTTCGAAAGGAGTACAATAAATGTCAGTTTGTACATTGAATTCGACAGTTTGGATTGTTATTTAAAGTAACAAAGTGTGATGTACCTGCATTCCAGAATATCTACTGGCTAAGAAATATGTCTCTCTTTATCATAGCCTATATATTGTAAATCGATGTTACAAGGAAAGATTGTTGTGTTTTTTTTTTTATTTATAAGGGATATAAAAGTGATTATGGAAGGTAACTTAGCATTTCAGGCAGAAATTCTGTTGCACAGTTTACATATACAAATACAACACATACTTCAAGGGAAGAGGAATTGTCAAGTATTACTGGTATAATAGTAACATAGTTACACTGCTTGTTGTTATTAATTTTAGTAAAGATAAGAAAGAAAAACACAAGAAAAATACTATAAATAAAATACAATGTCAAATAATTCTGATTCAGACGGGTCGTCTAAGATAGTTGAAATTAGTCCACCAAGTCATAACTTAAGCCTACCTAATTATAACGGAAGACCATTAAATTATATTTATCAATTATCTGCAACACCATATCCAGCAGTTTTACAAAGTGGGCTACTCCTAGCAACACCATATCTATCCCCACAGGTGCCGTTCCAGTTACTAGCTTCTAATAAAACGTCAGCAGAAAAAGCAAGGACTATTGAAACAACCAGTTGGTTTTCTCCTAGTTTACAAAAGGGTTTGGGTTCTTTTGCAAGAACTAAAGGGATAGAGAAGGTGGGAATTTCGAGTAGAAGTGCATTGTTATTTGGTATTGCAAGTTTGGCTGGATCATGGATGATTTTTGATAATGATTTAGAGAGTGGTTGTGGATTTACCGCTGCTTGGTCCTCTCTTTACTTAATGATAAATGGCAAATCATCTTTGAATTGGATCAAGTTTGGTAAGGTTTGGCCAATGCTTATTAGTGGTTTAGCTTTAGGAAATACAGCCATGTATGGTAGAAGATATTTGACCGGTGGTTTCGACTAATCGTGTGATTCGCACACACACACACACACACATATATATATATATATATGTATATAAGTATTTATGTATTTCTTTACTAAATATTCTTATATGTTTCTTTTGTGCATTTATCGATTGCTTTATCTTTCTTGTCTATAAAAGGATGCTCTTTATCTAAGTTTTTTTTTTTTAGCTTATCTGCAATTCAAAAGAGATATGGTCCCAATCTTTAAGGAATACCAATGGAATATAATAGAAGGGGCTGGTGTACTACATTTTGAATTCTGTTGACTATAACCATATACATGTAAGATCACAATACATTTTTTTACCGAGAGCCCCAATTGAACTATATAGTAGATCATCTTATTTATTTATTAAATCAAATCGACAACTTTTACTGAAAATTACTAGTCTATTATTTGATTATTCATACGTTGTTGCTGTTCTTAACTGTTTTTTATTAATTTTTTTTATATCCTTTTACGTTGTCTTACGTGGCTACATAAATTAGATTCATCTGTTTAAAACGTTGTTATCATAATAAATAATTATAATTATAGTTGATGTTAAAACAGTTACCAAATAAAATTTAAAACATATCCCAATAAAAATATCAGATTTATTCAAACAAAACAACATAATACTAGAGTTATATTTACAAAAATAATAATATAATATATTTATTTAATATGCACTATACGGCTACGCTATCATCTTCAATTATTAATTTAACAAAAACTATTATAGGTTCAGGACTGTTGACTATTCCTTATGCATTCAGGAATGATGGAATATTCATAGGAGTATGCCTAACCGTTTTAGCTGCTATAACTACTGGGTTTGGATTCTTTGTTTTAGCTAAATGTTCTAAAATTTTAGTTGATCCAAGAAATTCATCATTTTTCACCATTTGTATGTTAACTTATCCATCTCTGTCTCCTTTGTTTGATTTTGCAATGATTGTTCAATGTTTTGGTGTTGGTTTAAGTTATTTAGTTCTTATGGGTGACATTTTCCCTAGTCTATTTGGTGGGAATCGTGAATTATGGATTATTGCAACTTCATTAATTATAGTGCCATTATGTTCTTTTAAAAAACTGGAACATTTGAAATATTCCAGCATCTTAGGATTATTTGCTCTTGTATATTTGTCATTATTAGTTATTTCGATGTTTATTAAAGATATTCTCATTCAAGATTGTAACACTTATCCCACTGTAAGAGGAGACATATATTGGTTTAGAATTTATGATATTAAGGGATTGCTATCAACTTTTAGTATTATTATATTTGCTTATACCGGTTCTATGAATCTTTTCACCATTATTAATGAGTTGAAAGACAATTCGATGACAAATATTGTTAAGATTATCAGTGGATCTATCATCATATCATCTATCGGATTTTTATCTGTAGCTGTTACAGGTTATCTCACTTTTGGAAGTAACACTATGGGAAATATTATGCTAAATTATGACTCCAATTCCATATTTGTTATTTTTGGGAACTTCGCTTTAGCTTTAATGTTATTATTATCCTTTCCCCTACTATTTCATCCATTAAGGATAGCTTGTAATAATTTGATTGTTTGGGTTGAAATTAATTATCAAAATAATGCATCATCTTCTGAATATTATGGAAACTTAAATATAAATAATTCTAGTGCTAATAGATCGAACACATTAAATAGCCAGCCTATAACATTAACAGTAAATGAAGAAGATTTGGTAGATGAGAATACCACATTTCTACCTCCTCCTGCTTCTTCGTCTGTTTCATCAAGTTACTTAGAACAGACAAATGAGTTAGCCCCAGGTAATCAAGAGCCTACGCCACTACCTGGTGATAATGAACAACATACTCCGTTCCCAGATTCAAGATTTTGTTGGATAACTATCCTACTATTGTCATCCATGTATATTTTGGCATTAAGAATTACTTCATTTGCACTAGTTTTAGCATTAGTAGGTGCTACTGGTTCCACATCAATATCATTTACATTACCTGGATTATTTGGTTATAAACTCATTGGATCTGACTCATTGGCTGTTGGACAAATGATTTCAAAGAGAGATCAGTTCTATAAAAGAGCTAGTCTTCTATTAGCCATATTTGGTATCTGTGTTATGATCCTATCTTTATATGTGACAATATTCTTTGGTACTGAAAGTTAAAAATTCATATGTATCTTTTAGCTTATTTGCTCATTATTTCATATAATAATTTCAAGTACATACTTATACATTATATATTTGAATTTTACTTTGTGATTATGATTATTATTGTTGTTTATTTATCTTGAATATATAAGTTACAATTCTATAGAATAATTTTTCTCATTTGGATAATAAAGTTTTGGTGGAAAAAAAAAAAGAAAAGAACAACTACTGATATAAATGAATGGAACTCTATAATGATAATAATATTACAACAATTCCTTAAAGTCATGAAATTGGAAGTTAATGAGATTAATGCAATGAATATCTATATATGTATATAATTATATTTTTAATTTATGGAAATGAAAGAAAGCAAAACAGAACAAAGAGGTTTGAATTTATCAACAGGTTACTCTTTAGTTTGTTTCGGTCTATTCATGTGACTTTTTCTTTCTTTCTTTTAATTCAAATCGGTATTTGATGTATTACCATCACCTAATAGTTCACTACCATAAATTAAAATAGTCCAAAAAATATTACACCAATTCCAAAAACTCCAAGAATCGACAATTATACTATCATCATTTATAATACCGTTTTGTTGAAACCAGTTACAATTCCATAGACATAAATCATTTTTCAATTCACCAGAGTATTGTAATATGAGATGTGCGTAGATAGCAATCAAAATACAAGGGCTATACCAATAAATTAATTTCATGACTTTACGACTTCTTTTCATTTGCTTAATGTCATAAGATTTTCTTTGTAAAGATGGTATAATCCTTGTAGCAGAATAAAAAATTAACACTCTGAAACAAAGATTAATAACAATGGCAGGTGATATTGATTCGAATGCTAACTTCCAAATGATTAAAAATAGTTCACTTATTGATCTTGGTACACTTAATGTAAAATTTTGGAAAATTTTCCAAATAGGTTTTAAGAATTGATAAATATTGTTCATTGACAAAGTTTTTAATACAAAATGATCGATTGGAGAGGAAAAGAATGTTGAAGAAGAAGAAGAAGAGGAAGAGGAAGAGGATTGTGCAATTTTTATTAAAATATCATTCCAAATATTAGTAATATTATTCAAAATAGTGTTGTAATAATAAAAAATCATTGTATTATTAATGGATAAATTCTTTTGATGATTTTGCCAAACTTCTAAGAACAACTCTAAAATCTCATCAGTTGCAGTAGTGGCCAATTTTGGTGATATCTCATAGATACAACGTACAATATAAGCCAAAAATAGAGAACTTTCAATGACAGAACCTGCCTGAGAAACAATACCATAAAGGCTTAGACCACCGACCAAAGATAATACGAACCCTAACAGCGATGCAGTTTGGATAGACAATTCCCAGATTGGAGTCACATATATCCTATAAAGGTAATATAATGATATGGTGACAATTCCACTGGAAAACAATAAAGAACTGATGATCCAAGAATTTGAATTTTTTTCGTAGAATAGCCATTTATTTGTTTCACCAATTGCCTGAATAGCTAAGATTGTGAAGAATCCCTCAGACAGACTGAAAAATGGAGTTGAATTAGATAAAAGAAATTTCCATGGTGTCACCACATATTTGTAATAAAAATAATAAAGGATCCAATTGTTTTCTAAAGTGATATCATGAGGAGTATTAGTAGGCAAAGTGCTATGTAATATTTTGGTTAGAATGTCCAATTGTAAGGAAGAATCATTTTCTATCAATTGATGCAGTTCGATGTTAGAAAACCCAGATAAAAAAAGATGTAATAGAGATGCAATAATCGAATGTTGAAAATAATATAGGATATTAGCTAATATGATAAAGATTTTTCTGCCATTTCTCTTAGCCAATATACTTAGTGTAGTAGATATAAAATATAATAGAAACAAAGTTACTGTAAAAGATAATCCACAATAGAGACCTCCAATCTTGAATGAGATTGGAATTGATGTCAGTATAAGACCCAAATATAAAGTTCCACTCAAGATTCGTAATCCACGTTTCAAACTTGATAAAAAGGATGTCATATTTGTAAATAGAAAAAAAAAGTTAAAGGTATTTTATAAATGTTATTTGACCAGTAGTGTAATGGTAGTAAAAGCTTGTGTATGCATATATATGTATATATATATATATATGTGTGTGTGTGTACGCGCACAGCTCTAATCAATACCTATTTTTATATTTAATTGAAATGAATATTCAGAGATATTTAAAATTTGTATTACCACTTATTATTAGTATGCAAATGAATTCTAATATCTTCGATATGTATATCTTTCCCCACAAAAATAACCAAATGATTAAATAAATTAACAGAAAAAAAAAGGCAAATTTCAAAATTATTAGTTAGAATATGTGGATTTATTTATTTATTAATGATTTGTTCCTGCTAGTAACAATCTGATCTTTCATTTACCTATAAACTTATCTATATCATTTGATAGCTATAGACCCACAAGTATATAAATATATATGAATCTTTCCAATTCATTTATTGTTTTTCTTGACATTTTTTTATTATTTTTTTTGGAAGCTACAAACCTCTTAGGTGTATGGGTGTTAGTATGTTTGGTTTTAATTTTTTTGCTCGAACCACAAAAAAGAGAAAACAATAAACGTGCCTATATCCGGGTAACCTGTTAGTTTTTCTTTTTTCTTTTTTGATTTTTTTTTGATTTTTTTTTTTTTTTTGCAGGTTTTGCCATTTTGAAATTTTCGATGAGCTGTTTAGGAAGAGCCATTTTGAAGAACTACGGTGATTGCGACTAATGAGATGGGGATACGTGAAGCAGGATAGATACGATAATATAGGTATTTGTGTGCTGTATTCGTAGTTTATATTGTTTGGTTGTTATTAAGGGGACATAGTTCCACGTAGATTAATTTAGTTGACCTTATTTCTCTTTCCTTTTTTTTTCCAGAGTTGAAAAGAAGCTTGTTGGCTAGACAAATAGAGAGTTAGATAAAGATGTCTTCTGACAAGATCGAGAATGACCCCTCATTTAACAATGGTAAAAAAAGAGGTAGAAAAGAATTAAGAGTCATAAAAAGAACCTCTACAAGAAGTAGTGATTTAATTCGAAAGGGGAAAAAGTCATATGAATCACACGAAGATTCTAACAAATATTTTGATGGAAACGAAGTAAATGAAGAAGAAGAGGAAGAGGATCAAGAAGAAGGAAGTGATGACGACGATGATGATGAAAGAAAGGAAAAGGTTTATGGCGCTCTTTTAACAATTCTAAAATCTGAACATCCTGAACCTAAAAGACGCAAGAAAAGTTCAAATAATTTAAATAATAACCTATCACAAACTGAACAAGATCCAAAAAAATATATAGCTCAAGATGATTATGAAATTACTAATACAGATGTTGTATTAGAATTTGAAAATGAACAAATTGAAAATGCTTTGGATGAAAAACAAGCCAGTGAAAAAGAAGACAAGGACGAAGAAGAAGAAACTATAAGTGATAACAATTCATTGGATAGTGAGGATGAAACAGATCCCTTTGAAAGTCATTTTAATAAAGCTTCTGAACAATTCATTGATAAATTAGACAATGCATTCAAATCGCATGAAATTAAATATAAATCACTGAAGTTGAGTGGTAATTCGATAGATCAATATATGTTATATTCTGAACCAAGGATCCTTACAGATCAAAATTCCAGATCAGCACAAATTAAAACTCCCATCATTAAATCATCTATTCACTCCTATTTCCTAAAACAAAGATTAAAAGTGCAAAATGATTTAATGGATCCTAAGAAAGATGACTTGACAAAACTTCAGAAGGATTTGGTAGATCCAATGTTTCAATATAAAGATATATTATACGAATATGGCAACTATGATACTGATGAAGAACAATACAGAAATTTATATTCAATACATGTTTTAAACCACATATACAAGACAAGAGATAGAATCTTAAAGAACAATCAGAAGTTACAGGATAATCCAGATGCAGAATTTCTTGACCAAGGTTTCACCAGACCAAAAGTACTGATTATAGCGCCAACTAGAGATACGGCATATCATATTGTTGACATTATTATTAATAAATCCGGTATAGATCAGGTGGATAAGAAATCTAAGTTTAAAGACCAATTTCTCGAGGAATCACTACCCCCATCCTCAAAACCTAAATCTTTTCAACATATTTTTAAAGGTAATACCAACGATTTTTTCATCCTCGGTATTAAGTTTACTAGAAAAGCGATTAAATTGTATAGTAATTTTTATCAATCTGATATAATCGTTTGTTCTCCATTAGGGTTACAAATGATTGTGGAAAACACAGATAAGAAAAAAAGACAAAACGATTTCCTGTCATCTATTGAACTGACTATCATTGATCAATTGTATTCTATTGAGTTTCAAAATATTTCCCATTTGTTCACGATCTTCGATCATTTAAACAGGATCCCACAAGAGCAGCATGATACAGATTTCAGCAGAATTAGAATGTGGTACATTAATGACCAAGCTAGGTTGTTTAGACAAACAATGATTTTCACTAAATACATTTCCCCTGTTGCAAATTCATTTATCAATGGTAAGTGCCAAAATTGGTCAGGTAGATGGAAGAATCATAGAGTCATTCAACCTGAACAATCTGGTATCGGTCAATTAGGGTTAAGAGTTAGACAGATATTTCAAAGGTTTGATATATTAGATGGTAATGTTGTGGATGAACCAGATTACAGATTTAAAAACTTCACCAGTGTAGTGATTCCAAGTATTATTAAATCAACAGGTTATGAGGAAGGGATTTTAATTTATATTACAGATTACAGTGATTATGTTAGAATCAGGAACTACATGAAAGATAAGACTAACATACTATTTGGTGATATCAACGAATATTCAGATCAAAGGCAATTGACAGCAAATAGGACATTATTTCAACAAGGCAGAATTAAAGTATTGTTATACACAGAAAGATTGCATCATTTTAGACGTTATGAAATTAAAGGTGTCAAGAGTGTTATTTTTTACAAACCACCAAGTAATCCAGAGTTTTATAATGAAATTGTCAGATATATCGGGAAGAGTGTCTTTTTGGATCAAGCGGACATAAACATCTCTACAGTGAAATGTATCTACTCTAAAATGGATGCTCTCGCCTTAGAAAATATAGTGGGGACTAAAAGAGCAGGTATTTTGTGTCATGCTCAAAACGAGACTTATGAATTCAAATAAGGAAGGGAACCAAGATATATACATGCATATTCATCATTTATAAGAACTGAATGATATATCAATGTGTCAATATACTTATATCTAAATTTTTTTTGCTTTTTGTTTTTGTATAATCAAATCGATGTTGTTCCAAAGAAACTTTCCTTTTTAGGAGTGTTTTTCCTATAATAGAAAATCAGTCAGAAGTTACCTTTTTTAGTTTTTAGTTATTTTTTGTTTTTTCTCTTCCTTTTTTTTTTTTTTTTTTGTTTTGTATCCTTATATGCCTTAAATTTTGCTTTAAATAATAAAATAGAAAAAAAAAAGAGAGAGGTTTATTTGAGTTCGTACGTTGGAAAAGAATAAAATTCTATGTTTGTGTTCACAAAATGTGGACTAGGAAGGTCTACGATGTGAAGTTATATTAATAACCCTCCAATAGTTAATCTATTTTCAGATTGAAACACAAAGACGAAGGACTTAATTGTATGACAGTGTGTGAATAGATACATAAAATATATAAGAAATACGACTTAGAAAAGAAAAAAAAAATAACAAAAAAGCAAATGAAGATTCAAACAAACGCAGTGAACGTGCTAGAAAGAACTTCAAACTATCTAAATTCAGGGGTGCTGAAGATACCACCTACATGGTTTAATGTGATTGCAAAATATCCACCAAGAAAACAGTTTATTAGAGAACCTATATTAAATGACCCAGTAACAGGGAAATCAAGGGTCAATTCATTGAAATTTAAAGATGGTATTAATAAAAAAGGATTGTATAAGACAAGGGCAAATTTGAAGGATAAGACATCTGGTACAAATAAATTATATAAACCGGTCAATCTTGTATATTTGGAGGATCAGTTACGACAATTGTTTTATGAACAACATCCGTGGGAAAGATCACGTCCAAAGATTCTTATTGAAAACACTAATATGTCTGCAAGGAATTATGATTGGAGTCAAATACAGCAATTGGGCAAACCTTTGGATGGAGAAAGTGTTGTTCAAAGGTCCTTATATCTATTAAAGAATAAACAGTGCTCTAGTTTGATGGGTGCATATGATCAGGCAAGATTTGAGTTTTATAGAATTCGAATGGAACAAGAAATTCAAGAACAAGTAGCCATGGAAGAAGCAGAAATGTTTGGGTCTATCATGGGTCTATCAGCCATTGACTTCGGTATTGAAAAGGAACAAGAAGTTATTAGGCAATGGAAAAAAAAAGTTATCAAAGAGACAGAATTGTTATCTGCTAGACGTGCCAATCCATCAGAATCATGGTCTAAGGAAGGTACCGTTTCAAAGGAAAAAAAGAACATAGAAAAAGTTAATGAAAAAGACGAAATCGAAGAATTATTATTATGATTTAATACTGGAAGTCTTTTTTGTACTTTTTATTAAATTTTCTTATTCATTATATATGTGCATATATTTACTATGTATATATTCACTGCTTGTATATAGAAATTATCACATTGACACATTTGGAAATATTAGAAATCTTAGAAATATTGTCATTTCTATTAATCATATTGCAATCTACTAAGATTTATTTTATACGCCACACAAGATTGGATAAAAGGATTAATAGTCATCGAATGGCATATCATAGGTATAAGCCTTTTACGCAAACTATTGAAGCGAGAGATCAATTATATTTGCAGCTAACAAATAAGAAGAAAAAACTGGGTTAGAACAGAAAAATCTCATGAAATCAAGTGACTTACAGACCATATTTCTTATATAGTGTATATGTGTATGCATGTTATGCATTATGTACAATAGATACGACATTGCAGTTACTGGTTGACAATAAATTCGTCTTTATTTCTTTGCAAAAATGGCTCTAAAAGGTTTTTTTTTGACAGAAATATCAAAAACCTTTTAACACTACCCTAACTATATATAACCATCCTAGAGGAAAAATAACAAAGTCTTAAATACAACCCTATTAAGTATTTGTGACAGCGAAAAAAAGATTGAGGAAAAAAGTATAAAAACGAAAAAAAAAATACTTCCAATACAAAAATTGATAGATGAGAAAATGTTCCTATACCATTTTTCTATACTTTTACCCTTTCAGGATATTGTGGGTGAATTAAAAAAAAAAATAACATGGGAAAAAAAATTAAAAAAGAAAAAGAAAACGAAAAAATTCCTCCGGAAAAAAAAAGTAATAACAAGAAAAAAAAAATAAGGAAATGACAGAATGATGGATGATTCATTTATATTCAACTTTGGAGATATTTATCTTCATGACTATATAAACAACCTATGGGTATTTGCATCAAAGATATCTCAATAAACTAGCATTCGTGTTCCTTGAAAAAATTATCATCAAAAAAAAAAGCTCGGGTGAGTTTTCTTAATAAGGAGCCCAAGTTAATTACAAGTATCCACATATATATACATATACATATACATATACATATAGATAGCAATTATGTTTAGATCTGCCTCTTATAGACTAGTATCCTGCCGTGGTTTGGCCACAAATGCTACCAAGAATTTGACAATTGGTTTAATTCCAGGTGATGGTATTGGTAAAGAAGTCATTCCAGCAGGTAGACAAGTTTTAGAAAATTTGAACCCAAAACATGGTTTATCATTTAATTTTATTGACTTACAAGCTGGTTTCCAAACTTTCCTTGATACTGGTAAAGCCTTGCCAGATGAAACTGTTAAAGTTTTAAAGGAACAATGTCAAGGTGCCCTTTTTGGTGCCGTTCAATCTCCAACTACCAAAGTAGAAGGTTACTCTTCACCTATTGTTGCTTTAAGAAAGGCTTTGAGCTTATACGCAAATGTGCGTCCTGTTAAATCTGTCTCCGGTACAAATGATAGGCCAGTCGATATGATTATTATCAGAGAAAACACCGAAGACTTATATATTAAGATTGAAAAAACCTATAAAGATCCTGCCACCGGTACTAGAGTCGCAGAAGCTACTAAAAGAATTACAGAAGTTGCTACAAGAAGAATTGCTACTATTGCCCTCGATATCGCTTTACAAAGATTAAAGAATAATGGGCAAGCTACATTAACTGTCACTCACAAATCTAACGTCTTGTCTCAAAGTGATGGTTTATTCAGGGAAATCTGCAAAGACGTTTATGAATCTAATAAAAATAAATACGGCGGTATCACCTACAATGAACAAATCGTGGATTCTATGGTCTACAGAATGTTTAGGGAACCAGAATGTTTTGATGTCGTTGTAGCTCCAAACTTATATGGTGATATTTTATCTGATGGTGCTGCTGCTCTTGTGGGTTCCTTAGGTGTTGTTCCAAGTGCTAACGTTGGTCCAGAAATTGTTATTGGTGAACCATGTCATGGCTCTGCTCCAGATATTGCTGGTAAGGGTATTGCTAACCCAATCGCTACTATTAGATCCACCGCTTTGATGTTAGAATTCTTAGGATTTAACGCTGCTGCCCAAGATATTCACCAAGCTGTTGATGCTAACATTAGAGAGGGTAGAGTTAAGACTGCTGATTTAGGTGGTGATGCTACTACCCAACAAGTCACTGATGATATCCTTGCTAGATTGTAATGAAATTGCTACATGTAGTTTAGTACTCTATCTATACATATATGTGTATGTACCAACCAAAAAAAAATTATATATATAGAAATTTTTTAAGATATAATGAAATTGTTAATGCATAGAAAATATGTTATATATAGAAAAAAATTATTGAATTAGAACTTCTTATTACGGATTAGTTCATTGTACTATGCTTGGGTATTTCCATTTAAAATCTTGTTCCAGTTTATCTAAACTGTTGCACTCTAAATCTGAATTTTTAGTTTTCGAAATTCTTTCACTGTCTGGTATAGTATTATTTTCCTTTGAGGATGTATTTTGATTCATGTAAGGGTAAAGAATTGGTTTCTTTGATGTTTGTGAACGCAAGAATATAGGTTTTTTGGGGATAGGAGGTGGTAATTTGATTCCTTCAGATTTTACGATTTGATCTGTAGATTCAATTAGTGGCTTCAAAACAACACTGCTTTGTCTTTTTGAAGAAGTATCGGTCGTGTTATAGCTTAATGAAACCTTTGGTTTATTTTTAACAAACTCTAGATTTTTTGATGGTGATTGTTTAGTAAGCTTGTTGACAGTCAATAGAGGTTGATTAATCTGTGAATTAACGTTAGTGTATTTCCCATAACCCGATGCTGTTCTTTTTGCTGGAGAATTTTGAGCGGCTTTTAATAGTGTCATGACTCTCTTTTCGATAGAATTTTTTGTGTCTGCATTGATAGTAAATTTAATGGGGGATGGAGATTTGAACGCTCCTGGTTTCTCTGGTATACCAAGCAAATTTTCATCAATGTAATCATTGATAATATAATTGTTTTGAGGACTATTAGTATTGGTATCTAACATATCACGTCCGTTTTCTTCAATATTCACCTTCGGAAGTTGGACACTTTTATATGTTGATCTTTTATCTAACTTTCTATTGTTGTTATAATGATTGTCTTGATCTAGAAATGAATCAGAGGAGATGTTTCTTTTACCAACAGACGATGTAGATGATGAAGCGGAAGGGTTTCTAAGATGTTCCATTGAGAAGGCTCTTACATTGCTGGAGATGCCAGATACGCTATTTCTTAATGCTTCTATTGTGGATTTAATACTATTACCTGTATTATTTCTCGATGATGTTCTAACTAAAGATGTAGTAGTATTAATACCAGACTCATTTGACATTACTCTTTTCAGTTGTTCAGTTAATTTTTTTACTATGCTACCTCCTGTGTCATTACCAGTAACATTAGTTTGCTTCAAGGATAAAGATGATCTATTATGACTAATTGAACTTCTTCTTGATGAAACAGGAGAGTCTATACATTCTTCATTATTTGTCTGTGTCTGTGAATTCACATATTTGTTATTTCTCTTATTAGAGTTAACTGGTTGGAGAGGATTGCTAACAAGGTTAACTATAGTTTTGCCTACATTACTGTGAATATTATCATGGATATATGGCTCCTTATATTGATTAAAGGATGAAACAGTCTTTTGCTTTGAAGATGAAAAATCCTGAAGGGATGGTTGGACTATTTGATGATTTAATTGAGACTCAAAAGTTGTCATAGATTTGGATGGATGCATTGCTAGGAAATCTTGTTTGATTGGATTAGGAATTATATTATTAGATTGTCCAAGTGTTACAGTTTGACTGTATTGTAACATCGGTATGTATTCCTTCGTTGGTGATCTCTGTGGTTTTAATGGCGAAATAATTTTTTGTTGTTGTTTTATTGGAGTAACTGGATTCCTTGTAGGTGAATAATTTGTGACAGGTATTGGGAAATTTAATGTTTGAGAAGATACCAATTCACTTTCTTTGACCCTCTCCAGATAAAAGTTTTTGATTGGGCATGGAACACCTTGCATTCTAGACACTTCTTCCAAAACTTGACATATATTGGGTCTTTGTAAAGGTGATGGAGATAGAAGTACTCTTATTAAATTTTTCATTCTATCACTGTAAATTGGATATGCAGGATATTGGTATCTTACAGAGAGAATAGCAGATTCGCCAGCATGTTCAAAGGGTGTTGTATAATAACATAGTTTATATAAGAACACCCCAAGTGCCCATATATCTGCCTTTTCATCAATAGCGAAACCACGAGTCAAATCAAGCATCTCAGGGGCTCTATATTGTGCGGTTGTATTTTTCATAATATCATGTTGAACATACATTAATTCTTGTGAATTTCTAGGAGGACGAATTATCCCACAAACCGAGCCAAAATCACATATCTTGAAAACATTATCCTTAGAGATCAACACATTTTCGATTTTAATGTCTCTATGGATCAAAGGTGGTTGTAATTTATGCATTGCAGCTACTCCTTGACAAGTTTGGCTCATAATATTTAGTACTTCAATTTCAGTGAGTCTATTACGTAATCTTGTGTTTAGAAAATTCAATAGTCCACCATTTTTACAGTATTCCATTAACATGATCACTTCATATGAACCATTCTCGATTGAAAATTTTTTTGCATGAGAATCAATATAGGAGACAACATGTTTATTATGTCTAAGTAACTTCATGGCATCAACCTCCGCTCTTAATACGTTCAACCCAAGTTTATCAGGAACGATGACCCTTTTTAAACATACAATATTTGATCCTGTGTATTCATCTTTAGGCGATATTTCTGCTACATAGATTTGGGCAAACCCACCACTTGTTAAATATTTGATAATTTTTGCCTTGTGTGAACCTACAGTTAATATTTGACCTTCTCGATATTGATTAATTTGGGGTTGATTCATAAGTAATTAAAGAATATAATTAGAGTATATAGAGTGGAAAAATGAATAGAGTCGATAACACAGAGTGGAAATGAGTGGTAGAAGCTAGGATGTTTGTTAAAAAAATAAAAAAAAGATAGGACAGGTATATATGTTTTTTATCAAAATAATCACCATTCGTTATTTTATAATCAACATCAAAAATTGATTGATTGATTGAAAGGCTGAAGAATAAGATAAAAGTATACCTAGTTATGGAACTATTTATAGTGTAAAGCTTCAAATCATTGTCTTGACTGTAGATCAATATACATTGATTTACCCATTTTATTATTTTTTTTTTTTTTTTTTTTTTTGATGTTTGTCGAAATTGTTTAATTTTTTTTGATCTAAAAGTCTCGACAGAATTAAATTTTCGAAAACAAGAAAAAGAAAGCCACAAATATTGCAGCCAGTTTCATTGTGAAGTGACTGAACATTCGCCACCGAGCCCCGATACGTTATTATAAGACAAATAATAAGGTCTTACTAATATACATTTCTATGGATATGATAGAATTTTTTTTTTTTCAGATTACTTTTTGGGACTAAGAAGATGTATCTGTCTTAACTTTATTTTGTTTTAACAACTATATTTTTTAAGAAGTGTATTTATAGTACCATAGTAATGATAATTATTATGTATATGGACGACTTCAATTAATATGCACAGTATATAATTACTTAACAATTTTATTTACTATACTATGGCTTATACTTAATAACAAGTTTCATCCTAACTTGTTATTACATCTTAGTTTTTTTTCTCCTTCCTTACCTTTATATATTGTTTATAGTTGTAAAGGTTTTCCTTTGTACTTTTCCTTCTTCATGTTCTTTAAAATTCTTTTTGTTTTGAATTCTCACTTTAGACAGTTATACAAATATTACTTCAAAAGAGGCTGGCATATTATATTATTTTTTGTTATTCTAATGTCCGTAGTGAGTTGCACAATTGATACTCTTATTGCACGATTATACCTCTAACATTAATCAATAGTTATATTATAATAAGGTATTTTAATTCATAATATAGATAGAACCTCTCAAATTCATTATACTACACCTTGAAATGATACCATTTTGTGTATTAGAAAATTTTTCTATAAGGTAAAAACTAGGGAAATTTTTATTGTTTTTGAGTCTTGGTCTTACTGTATTTAGTTTTTGTGTAAGAAAGTTTTATTTGCCGTTTTTTCTATTTCTTCTAGGACTGAATAAGTTCAATATCATTATAGTATACTAAGAAAAAAATTTTATATTTTATGTTGGAGATTATTCAAGATTTGGCAGGTTTGCAAATTTGTAATATTTAAATATAATTTAAATTTGTTTAAAGTTACAGTCTCCTGATCTGCTATTTCCTATTTATAACCTCTTTTTATATTTATTTTTATTATTCATTTCAACTATTTGATAGTATAATTATGCGGGTTATTTTTTAAACTTTTAACCTACAATAATAAATGTTATCAAACAAAGTTGAGGAGACCATTGGGATATAATCTAATAATTTATCAACAAATTCTGTTTTATCTTATAACATTATATCAATTTAATATTCTATTGGACCTCTAAATGAGTGAGGTTGTTGGTTCCTTGGCCCAGTTGGTTAAGGCACCGTGCTAATAACGCGGGGATCAGCGGTTCGATCCCGCTAGGAACCATTTTTTGTTAACATGATTCACATAGTTTTATCATGAAAAACGACACTATTGACTGTAATATTTCAAAAGAAAAAAATATTTACATATAGTGTTGTGGTACATAGGTTGCATAGTTAACCATACACTATAGATATAAAATATATTATTATTAATACTGTTGCTAAACTAACTGTTATTAGAAAGTCACAACTATAGGGTTATCATATAAATTTGTAAAATCAATAATGATCTTGTTGCCTTACATATTTATCAACTGTATATCTAATTTTAATAAAGTAGATATATTTGAAAGTTCAAAAATAAAATAGATAAAGTCTAGTTACATACAGAATTACAAATATATAAAATCAATAATTAGACTAAACCCTCAATATACAGATATATATATATATCATTGTATCTTTTATCTTTTTTTTGTTAATCCATAGCATTGTTTTGCCCTTCTTACAATACCCCTCTCAAAGTACTACTAGACCTCTTATGTTTATAGGTCACAGGTAAGCTCTTCTTGGGTAGTATGATATTGCTAACAAAATAACAAACAAATTACGAAAATTCATTAAGTTCATACTTTGTACTGTATGTTGTCGCCTATAAAGTGATTCTGGATAGACCATTATCCGTAGTATTTCTTAATCATGCTGTCATTCCCAACTGTATCAATCTATTAAGAATATTCATACGTAACAAGTATTTAATTATTCATACATAACTCAAAACTACCAGCCAATATTATGAAAGAAGATTTAGGTAATATATGTGTGAACCAATTTGCTTTCTTGAAATCAAAATCTGGTTTCATCCTGTTTATAACTTTGAATTTTCACATATTTTCAAATTACAAGAAATCTTTGTGTGTGACATCATTAGATAAGATAATATTGGAAAATAATATCTAATGGTATTGATAATTATTTACCATTTTTATCATTTTAGTTAGAATTCTTCTACATATGTTTGTATAATTTCCCTTTTTTAACATATGAACACAAAAGGTATTTGGTAATTATAAATAGTCTGTCGAGATTTTTTACTTACTTCTTGTCTATAGTAAGAAATAAAACCAAATAACTATATCACTGTTTAGTTTTGAATTGTTTACTAAACTATTAAACACATTTACATTATTTACATATATATATAGCAATTTACTAGTACTTCAAATTTTTTTGTTTTCGATTTTAAAAGTTTCTGGAAATGGTTATTTAACAAGATTTTGGGAAAAAGCTAAAAAGCGATGACCTTGATAGAGATAGATATATACATATATCTATAATTATGAACAGAATGTATTAAAGTAATATACACTTTATGAAAATAAGAGTTATATAATATTTGTATATCGACTTACAAAACAGATACTTGTTTTTTTTTTTTTCACCCATTTTTTGTAAGTGGATAAAAGCTGTACAACATTGACAAAGTTTTTCTTCTTATAACAGATATACATACACTTAAGAGATATACGATTTTTTAAATATCTAAATGGCCAGAAAATTAAAAGGAAAATCCAAACCAAAAGGGTTAAAAATTGCTTTACAGAATCAATTATACCAACAAAAATTAGCTAATTCTCATAAAAAAAAACAACAAAACATTTTAAATGCTAAATCACAACTGTCTAAAAAGGCTTTAGAACAAAGGGTACGTCAGCAAGCTAAAGAAGCCAATTTTATACCGTTTAATAAAAATGAAACTTTATTATTAATAGGAGAAGGTGATTTTTCATTTGCTAAATCTATTTTAATACAAGGTTATATTCAACCAGAAAATTTAATTGTGACAAGTTTTGATGCTTCTGTTAATGAGCTTAAATTGAAATATCCACACAGTTTTGAAGATAATTATCAATACTTAGTTGATTTAGGTGTGAAGATTTTTTTTCAGATAGATGGAACTAATTTAATCAAAACTTTTAAATTATCGAAACATACACCATGGAAGAAAATAATGGGTAAACAATGGCATTTTAAATATTTACAAAACATTATGTTTAACTTCCCTCATACAGGCAAAGGTATTAAAGATCAAGACAGAAACATTGCAGACCATCAAGAACTAGTCTTTGGATATTTTGATAGTGCAAAGCAATTATTCAAATTGGTCAATTCACATGTCAATCGTTCCAAGTCCAATCCAACCCAAGGGTATCAACTAAATAAGGAAACAGACACTCATAATTCAGCTTCTATTAGTGAAGACGGCATTGGTAATATAATTATATCCACATTTAATGGTGAGCCTTATGATTCATGGCAGGTCAAATTATTAGCAAAAAAGAATGGATTAGTTTTAAACAGATCATGTAAATTCTATTGGGCAAATTATCCAGATTATCATCATAAAAGAACCAATAGTGAACAGAGCACTACGAAACGTGCAGAAGAAAGAGATGCCAGGACATACATTTTTAAGCAAAGCATCAGAAAGAAAAACAAGTCTAATGATGATTCTGACGCAGACAGTGTGTGATTCCAACAGCCTAGTAATGGCTTCTTTTGTCTATTTTATAATCAAAGAATATATATACATATATAAGAATATATAAATATAGAGATGTATATAATGGGTTGAGTACCAATAGATGCTGTATTAAGTTGGATACATTTTAATGAAATCTGCCTCCATATATATTTGTTTATCAATAGGATCGAAGATTTCCTTATCTTGTAGGTGCATTATATTTCTTGCCCTTAGTTGTTTAGCTAATAATTTTATTCTTTCTGCATCGTAAACATTACCATTGGGTAACATTACTGGATTTTCAAACAGTTTGGATTCGGTGTGATGGGCGTAAGGTAGATGTTCCGCAATATGTTTGAAAGGGCTATTACAAATTGGACATGGATTATAATTTTTTTCATTATCAACTATATTTTCATAATATGCGGCAGATTTATCTTTATTTTCAATACCACCATTATCTCTACTGTCATTTCCATTAGTCTTATTATCTAACTCGTTAATATCAATGCTACCATACCTGTTATGCAAGATATTATTATATTGTTCAAGTATAGAAGTATTCTTGTCATGAAAACATGCTTTTGTTTTCAAAACAGAAGTACCTAGAGATAGATATATTAAAAGCGGTTCATTTCTAGATATCCCATACATTGAATAATATTCATCTAAGAACAATTCATTTAATTTAACCCAATTGTTGTCACCCAACAGATCTAAGTATTGTATTAAGTTTTCTCTTTTAAAAAATTTATCCTTTTGGCTGTTAAGTGAGTAGTTTGTTTTTGAAGAGAATTTATTATTATCATTATTGTTGTTGTCATTGTTGTTGTTACTATCCGAATCTGATGCTAATGAGAAGTAATTTTTATTTTTAAAGAAATGATTGAATGCCAACGATGGATCTTGTTCATATGTGGACAATCGTTCCATAAAAGGTGTTGATTCATAGTTATTTAATTTATTCTCTCTTTGCATAGTGACTAGCAGATTCTGACATGTTTCCATATAGATCATTAAGCCAGATGCAATCTGCAAATCATTAAAATTTGTATCCAAAAACTTAATTAAATGGTTTTGGTAACAGTTTATTGCATTGTCATAATCATGCTTCTTCAGTAATTCAATATATTGTTGAAATCTAGTCAGAAATTCCAAATTAGATTTTTTATCTCTTAAATACGCTTCATTCTCTTTGACAAACTCGATTAAATAAGTTAGATTATGATTCTTTAATAACGATCTTGAGATTTTGTTTGCATTAAGTAGTATTTTATAGTCTAAAAGACTATCTATATCTTGTTGTTTTAGAAAGATAACACCGGGGTTTTCTAAAGTATTTTCATCTAGGTCACCGTTTCTTGTCAAATAATCGCCAATCAGTAAATTTGTATATTTTTGGTACCATTGAACAAGTCCCAATTTATCCTTTGAATCTTTATACCTTTGCAAGTCTTGGAAAAACTTGATTCTTTGCTCAATTCTGTTTAGGATCTCTAATTCGTTATTAACAATCGATTTGATGGATTTCTCGAAGTGTTCAGTTATCTTTATACAGTCGTTTAATTCTTTCAATGCCAACTTATCGTTCCCCAAATCCTTACAAGACAATAAATTATCGATTTTGGCACTCATAGCATGGATCTTAGCTGAATAAGTGGTCAATTTATTTTGAAATCGATCATAATTTTTTTGTAGAAGAGAATATGGGATATGAAACAACTGTTCATTCAATTTCAAATGGAAATCTGTTCTAGGTTCGTTGAATAATGTAGTTGTTGAAGGTAATGACATCTTTTTTGTTTATATATATATATATTTCTTATCTTATCTTATCTTATCTCATTTATATAAGTGTGCTTTTTATACACTTATATTTCTATTGGGAGGGGTGGGAACGACAAGGATAAAAACATTTGAATAGTAAGTAATAATTGTGAAAGATAGAGAGGGCGAGAAAGAGGGAAACTATTGTAGAAATAACACACAGAGTCTGTGTAGATTATACCACGTTGGAATAGTCTAAGATATCCAATGCAGTTTAGTGAATTGGAGTCTTCATCTGCATATAGCATTTGCAATAGTGAAATCTGGTGGTTTCTATCTCCTTCTTTTTCTTTTGTTTTTTTGTTGCTGTTGTTGTTGTATCAACCCTTCAACAGCCGACCAGATTAGATTTTCAGGAAATTAAACGAAGATGAGGGAAAAAAGGGCTTGGAAACTACAGAGGAGATTAGGGTTGGGTGTGTCGCAAGCTTCAGCCCTCTTTATTCGTTTCTTATTTAGCAGGGCTTCCCTCTTCTTTTATTCTGTTGAGTATGTGTCCAATAAATGTTGATGACTAGTGATGTAACATTATACAAGGCATTCATTATTATGCATATATATATTTATGTATTTATGTATTTATGTATTCGTTAGTTATGATAGGCGAATATAGTACAAATAAGGAAACAGAAAATAATAATTATAATAAATTCACAAAATCCATTCCAGATATATCTTAAGTTTGGATACTTTACAATGGGGTGTTGGCTAGTTTGTTAATAATTGCATCGGTGAATTCAGTGGTGGTGGACTTACCGCCTATATCCTTAGTAGTATGCTTACCTTCAGCAATGACTTGTTTAACGGCATTAGAGATTCTGTTTGCAGATTCCTTTAGACCTAAATGTTCTAGCATCAAAGTGGCTGAGAGAATCATACCTGTTGGATTGGCAATGTTTTGACCCTTGATATCTAGACCGACGTGCCTGGAACCTGGTTCGAAGACCGCATATTCTCTACTGAAGTTGGCACCAGCAACCAAACCTGGGCCACCGATCAGAGCGGCACCTATATTACCCAAAATGGTACCGTACATAGATGGAGTGACCATGACATCGAATTGATGTGGTTTAGCCACTGCCTGCATAGAGGCGTTGTCGACGATGATCGAAGAGGTCTTGATATCTGGATACTCCTTAGCACCAATCTCGGTGACGGTGTTTCTAAACAAACCATCACCCAGTTTCATAATGTTGGCTTTGTGAACAGCGCAGACGGAGTGCCTGCCGTTCTTTTGTGCAAAGTCGAACGCAAACCTGGCGATTCTTGCAGACTTTTCCTTGGTACTGATTTTCAAGGATTCTACAACACCTTCCACGGACTCATGTTCAAGGCCGGAGTATTCACCTTCTGTGTTTTCTCTAATGACGACGAGGTCCACGTCTGGGATCTTTGTTTTGACTCCCTCCATGGACTTGAAGATGGCCACATTGGCATATATGTCCAGTTGCTTTCTAAGGGCGACATTCAAGGAGCCGTGACCAACCTGGTCGGCAGGTGTGTGCCATATACCTTTCAATCCGATCTTGTTTCTCTTCAGGGACTCAACAGCCAACTTAACGTTTTCTTTGTTGTCTAAACCAGAGATTTCAACAGTTTCCCAGTCAATGGGGATGTTTTCAGCTTTAAAGATGGAGATCACAGAGTCTGTGATTTCTTTACCGACACCATCACCAGGTAGTAAAGTGACTGTGTATCTACCACCATATTTCTTTGGCAGTATGGTTTCTTGTAAAGAGGTAACGAAGGTTCTTTTGGTAATTAATCTTCTTAACATTGTTTTTTTTTTTGTGCTTCAATTTATGGTAAAATCAATAAAAACAAAACAAAACAAAACAAAAGAGGGGAAGTAGTGTCTCAATGTATATTATATTTATATTTATATTTATATTTATTTATTTATTTATTTTGAATGCTCCTATCTGTATATACACGTAGAGTGATGCAGAAACTGGGGTAGGAGAAGAGAGAGAGAGAGACGAGGGAAGGTAGGAAAGCCAAAGTACAAAAAGTTTATATTTGCGTATATGTTCAAAGAAATATATCCTTAAAAGAAAAGAATATAAAGAAGAGGGAAATAAAAAAGAAAAAGAAAAATGGGAAAGAACGGAATTGATTAGTTATATAGAACAGGAGGGTTTCTATATTTTAATTTTTTTCTTGTTGTCTCTTTCTTTTGTGGTCTTTTATTTGGATCTACTGAACAAGAGATGACACATAGAGCAAACTGAAGGATAGATAGACCATAGAAAGAAAGAAAATGTGCTTTAAAGAGAAAAGAAAAGAAAAGAAGAGAAGAGAGAAAAACAAGGTCTAATCAGATGGATGGTGGTAGTAAGAAATGCCCAAACAGTTATTATTGATTGGATCTCGAAGCTTACTTTTGCAGGAAGAGTGTGCAATACACGAATGCATGTGTTTCCCTCGAGAAAAAGAGAAAGAGACAAAGGAATGGGATGCACCAACTGCTTCTTATTCTTCTTGTCTTCCAATGAAACTACAAAATGCCATCGAGTATTGTTCACCTTATGACACTCTGTATGGCAAAGGATTATTATTACCATCATTACGATTATGATAATCATGGTTATTATTGACAAAAAAAAAGAGAAAGAAAAAAAGAAAGAAGGAAAATACTTTTTGAGCCAATAGTAATGGATAAGACGCAACAGAAGAAATGAATAAATGAATCCGTGACAAAACGCTCTGATTAAAACAAAGAAAGAAAGAAAGAAGTAAAATCAGAAATCAGATTTCAAAGGCATTTCACCCCTTTTTCTTCAAAAAAAAAAAAAAAAAAAAAAAAAGGTCATTATGTTCTCCGAAATCACGGCAATTTGACTGCTGTGACTGAAATAACAAAAAAGAAAACGAAAAAAAAAAAATAAAAAACAACAAATAACAAACAAATTTGACTCCTTTCTCTTCTCGCCCTTCCCTGTCCCCCGAGATATCGGAAGTCACGTGAATGTCCATGTGTAATTTTGAAACAAGCTCAAAAAAAAACAATATTGGAAAGAAAAAAAATCTGTGTCAGAGTCTCTTGTAATTCAAAAGCAGATAGTGTAAAAGGATGGAAGTGAAAGTGTCGAGGCAAAACGCTTGGCAGAAACTTTGTTTCAACATTTTTCACTTTCTCTTTTATACCTGGATTATAAAATTGTTTTTTTTTCTTTTTGTCTTTAGAGCTAAAGGGAGAAAAGAAAAACACACACATAACAACAAAACAAGTAAATAATAATTGTAGTTATTATAGTCATGATGAGCTCAACAGTAATTCAAGAATATAGATATATCCTTAGACTTTTACTATTGAACAAAAGACTATCATTATCAGAATTGCGAAACGTTAGAAAATACTATATAGCTACGAAAAAATATCAAAATCCAGTAATATGTAACAATATGCTACATAGTGTCAGAATATTCCTTTCTAACGAGACAGAATATAGACGGTTAATGGATCTATATAATCCACTGAATCAATTAACTAAACGCGAACGAATTTCTAAGACAGCTAACCATGTCGGTTTGAAAGTTCCTGAATAAAGACTTGATAGCAGCAGCAACAATAATAATAACAGTAACAGTAATAATAATAGTAATAATAATAAATCTGTATCGATTCGTATAAGAGAGATAATACCATATCTCCACCAAAAATACTCAAATGAGACATCGTTTTCTTTGTATTATGTAATAAACATATATATTCTATATATGTTTATATATATATATATTATTATTGGCTACCTTTTTTTTTTTATTTTCTAACCCGCTTGTTTCTCCTCCACCTTTTTTTTGTAAATTTAATACTCTTTTCTTTTTTTTTTCCTTTTTTTTTCTTTTTTTCGAACATCGACAATAACTACGGCGTAGTGACGTATTGATTACCCCCGCTAAATAATCATCTTATTGTGTATTATTTGCCCTTGACTATTGTTTTACGTTAGTCTTTTCCACGGAAACAATATTCTTTTTTGTATGAGGAAATACTGGAAATCTGTGAAAAAATGAATGAAACAATAGCGTTCTTATCATCAATCATAGATATATTGTTCTAATAATCCTCCAGCCACATTTTGATTCTTTCGAGCATTATAGAGTGGAGTTATGATGTCACAAATTCTTAATCTGGGTTTGTAAATGTGTTTTTTTTATTGCTTTGGCTTTTTTTTTCTTTATTCATTATCTGTACAAATACATGCATATCTTAAACTCCTCATACATATGTGAATATATATATATATATATACTAGATTGTTCAACAAAACTACTTTACTTAAATTGAAAGCTCATGGAAAGAAGAAAATAAGAAACTACATAATTTATTTTTTTTTTAACTTAATGTAACACATGTAATCAAAAACATCATATAAACTATACACAGATATACCACACAAATTCGTAAAAGACTCTATTTATTTTTTTAAGAAATGGGTATTGATATTCTTCAAACATATTCATCCACTGATATTTTATTAGCAAACGAAAAATGGGTTAAAAGAAATTTCCCCTTAAAATCACAAAATTCAACCACTTCCTTTGCTCCATTTGGCGCTCAAACTAAACATGAACCACACACTTTCTTCCTTGGTTGTTCCGATGCACGTTATAACGAGTCTTGTCTCGGCTACAATCAAGGTGAGGTATTCACTGTAAAAACTATAGCAAACATTTTTAAGGAAGATGACATTTCTACTGCTGCCGCTTTAGAATACGCTATTGATTGTGTCGGCATCAAACAAATTGTGGTCTGTGGACATACCGACTGTGGTGGGGTCAACACTTGTCTTTTAAAAAGAAGAGATTTATTGCCAAAGGCAAATTTATCGAAACTGTACTACCATTTGGAAGATATCGATCGGATTATAGAAAATAACTGGAGTTATATCACCGAGACTGTTAAAGATGAAAATAATTTGTTATTAAGAGGTAAGATAATAGCTAAATTGAACGTTCTTGCCCAAATTGAGAAATTGTTGAAGCTAGATGTTGTCAAAAATGCAGTAGAACTTAAAGGTCTGAAAATATTAGGTTTGATTTATGACGTGGATACACATCTAGTAGAAAAAGTTTAACAACAACAACAACAACAACAACAACAACAACAACAACAACAACAACAACAACAACAACAACAACAACAACAACAACAACAACAACAACAACAACAACAATAATAATAATAATAATAATAATAATAATAATAATAATAGCTCTTATATATATTTTCTCACAATTATAGTTTTCTTTTTTTTTTTTATTTCTTTTTATAGATTTATAATATATTCCAGTTGATCGTATATATCATTCAAAGAGATTTGATTTTTATTCTTCTTCTCTTTTTTTTTTTTTACTGATCCTCTTTTGTTGATTTAACATTTTTATATTTATATAAAACTTCTTATTATCTTAAAGATACTGACACCTTGTTTCTGAATTCGGAAAGGTAATTACGAGACGTGTTTCTTGCGGAATTGGATTCCGTCGTAATTCTGTATTTACACACCCATACATCCAGAAATTTATGCACAACTTTTTTTTTTTTTTTTTTTTTTTGTAAAGCAATAAGAATTTAATTCAAAACAAGACATATACATATATATACTAATTAATAATTGACTATACATTAATCTTACAGTTTGGTTCTTTTTATCAGTTTAATTTTTCAGATAGTTGGTTTTTTATATCCATGTCTAAACATTCAGTATACCACTCTTTCCTCACAAGGTACATTTATTTTCTAATCTGCTCCCATCGTTAGACAAACATCATTTCAAGTATGGATAGGTTCGGCAACGTTTCTGTATTGTCACCTCCACAGTTTCAAAACCAACATCAAAATCTACAACAACAGCAACAACAGCAGCAAAATTCTTTTATTCAACAACAATATATGTCTGCTACACAACCACAATTGTTTAATAATTCTAATACTACGAACAATTTTACAAGATCCGCATTTTCCCAACAACCTTTTACTACTATGTCAAATCCCATCTCTAATATGTCCACCTCCGCAGCTGCAACCACTAATAATAACAACAACAATAATAATAGTCTTATTAACAATTCATCATTATTCTCCTCAAATAACTTCAATAACGGAAATATAAACGCAATGAATAATCCACTTTCAACTACCACTACCACTACCACTACTGCTTCAGGTGTAAACACATCGTTATCCACTAGGAATACTAACTCTGGACAACCTCAGTGGTTCACTAATTCAAAAAAGAGAGCCATTCCACAAAATATTGTCAAAAGACCATCTTTTAAACGTGTCATAAATCCTACCGGGAAAAATCCAAATCCATTGAATCCACTTAATAAAAAAAATGAGGACTGTTCTAATGATGATGGATTTGATACTATCAGCTTTGGTTCCAAGAAAATTGTTTCCCTTAACAATGAAAATAACTTTAATAACTCCACTGGTCTAAGCAATGCTGTAAACAACACTTTAAATGCTGATAATTTATTACATGATTCAACTGATGTGCCACCGATGGTTTCATTAAACGATTGGAAAACAGAAGAAGAGTTTAAGTCCACATCAATTTTACCTATTAACAACAATGTATCAACTTCGACTACTTCACTTTTCACATTACGTTCCTCCAATAATAAAAATAATAATAATAATAATACAAACAAAACATTGAACAATAGCTCTCATATATCCCATGTAAACAATGCTTTTGATAAGGATTCCAGATTAACTAACAATAACGGCCTTGTTTCTTCACCTAATTTTACTCCAAATCAACAGCAAAATAACAACAGTAACCATCTAAATGGCGAGGTGTCTAATGACACAACAAACCCATCGCAACTGAAGCACGAATTTGCTATTATTGTGTTTGGTTATCCAGAATCTGTCTCTAATTTAATTATTACCCATTTCTCTAAATTTGGTAATATTTTAGAAGATTTCCAAGTTTTAAGAAGTTCTACAGGAATAAGTAAATTTAATCCAAAGACTAATGGAAAAAAGTATCCAATCTTTACTGGTGATGGATGGATTAAATTAACTTACGATTCTCAAGGATCTGCTATACGTGCATTACAAGAAAATGGGAAAGTTATTACTGGTTGTATCCTTGGAGTATTACCATATAATAAAGAAATTGTGGAACAACTGGCTTCCTGTAAAATATCAAAATCAGAAAATATTGGAGAAAATGGGATAACACCAAGTATCAGCCCGATAACTGATGACTCTATTCATACACCAGCAATATCTAGTATAGAAAATGGTGTAAATGTCATAGCCAATTCAGATCTAAACAAAAATGATAGCAATTCTCCAATGAAAACAAGTAATATAACACAAGGTAGTAAATTTTTATCTAATCATAGATTAACAATCAAAGATGGGAAATCATTATTTATTCATAACACAAATGCAAACAATCATAATTTCTTACAAAATTTAGAAAAGAAAATGCGTGAACAAGAACAATTGTCCCAAAGTAAATATAATTCTACTTCAATTAATTCTACAAATAATACATCTTTATCAAAGAATCAAACAAATACCTTGTTACATTCAGTTAATAATTGGTTATTTGGTTGGAATAACTTATAAAATGCATGGTGAGGGAGAATTATAGTCAGGTAGATTGTGTAATATATATATATATATAATAAACGATTTTTTATACATGTCTATTTATATATATTTATAGGTAACAGGCATCTGTAAATTTGTATAATATTGATAGGGTCATGGAATTTATTACAGATTAAAACCTTTCTTTATTTTTTGACTCCTTTCATATTAACTAAAATATCCTTTCTGGATCCAAGGTATATTTTCATTGGAAAAATATGTTGTTTTGTTAACTCATTCATTTCAATGGATATTATAGGTGAATGATTGATTGTAAATTTAAAGTCATTAATAATAATACCTTTATAATAATAGCCACTTTCATCATGTAATATTTCAAAAGTCTCTGAATCATATATCTTAACTGAAATTTTTAAATTTAAATCAACACCTCGATCACCAATACATTTGTTCATTGGTGTAAGACGAATAAACAATGCATTACTTTTGATTTCTTTATCAATATTAGAAATCTGGTATTGTATATGTCCATGATTATAATCATGCTCAAGAGTGGGTGATGATGGAAATTGAAATGTAAATTCCTTTCTATACGGTAATTCACCAAATTTTCTATCAATTCTTTGTAATAAAATATTTTTATTCAATTCTAAATCTTTAGTATTATTCTTATCTTTGGAACAATATCCAATTAGTTTAAATTTATTTAAAATAGTTTCATTACTTGAACAAGTACATATTAAAAGATAGTTATGATTTGTCTCTAAGGGGACATTGTGTTTCTCATAGTGCTGTATATAGTAATACTGATCAAATAAGATCGGCTTAGATAGATATAAATCATCTTTATCAAACAATTGGAAGTTTAGCTTTAAATCATTTAATTTTGATAAAAATTGCAAAGTAATCATTATTTCTTTATCAATTTTGGATTGAACACACAGTTGGAACGTTGGGTTAGTGAAATATTGGGGGTGTCCATAGTTTTTATTCATCTGGTCTGTATAAGTAAGAAATTCTGTAGATTTATAAATATCAGCAGTGTCCAACATTTTCAATTCAATATTATTTTCTACTGAAAAACAATGGATTGTGAACCATTTAGATATATTGGAGTAACAGATAAACTTTTTATTTTTACCCTTTGGTATATTTATCTTAATTAGTTGCAATCCAATGTTAGATGCACTGTCTATTGGCATAAACAATGGATCAGTCATTTTGTCTGGCACAGGTTGTAGATATGCATAATGCACTTCAGTAAAATGGTTTGGTGTTAAATGTGTCTCCAAAAGAACCCATACAGTTTCATTTGCTGAGGCAGATTTGTTTTGGATCGAAAATATAGGTTTATCAAAATTAGATTCAAATTTATTAAATATTTCTGTATCGTAATAAAAAGTGAATTTGGTTTCAGAGTTAAATAATTTGTTTGTATCCCAGTTAATATAAATTTGAGAGAACTTATTTTCCAGTTCATCCTCTGATATAGTGAGAGTAGATTTAGAATTTAATGGATCTTGAATACTAAGTTCTCTTTTCTTTGAATCAAATCCAAGAATAGAATAATCATGGTTCTTTAAAAGAGGGGATCTTAACTTACTAGAGTCATCGCCTGTTCCAAGAGCCATAATACATAAATTGGCCTCGAAAAACTGTTTTAATTTTTCAAAGGAATATTTCTTAGTAGAACCAATTTCAGGTAGTAACCCAGTCAATAGATATGTGTCCATGGCCACATTTGATCCACTGCTCTTATATGTGCCACCATGAATTTGTAAATATGCTAGTTCTACTATTTTATCTTTAATATTATTACTATATAAAGATAATTGTTTGTGAGTTTTTTTATTGTATGGAATATGATCTGTATCAACAGAAATTAATCTATTAATGCAACCATTAAAGCATAGATTAAGGTGATATCGATTACTTGGTGCATCTGAAAATTTCTCTATTTTGGGATAATATTCATGTTTAAACCTATTAATATTTATTAAAGAGGTAATTAGAGAGCAATTTGATATATCTGGATTTTGTTCAATAGAATTAACAACCCCCTCATTGACAGATAAACTTGTTACATCTGGGTATCTTTGTGTCAGACTTGTTGATTTATCAAGATTTAGTTTCAATAATTTAGTATTATTCCATGGTATAGGTGAAGCATCCTCAATATTAATGGGAGGATACATCATATTTCCAACCTTGGAAGTCTGCCAAAATTTCTCATTATTCTTATCATAATTTTTCATTTCTTTTCCTATTTGTAATAAAAGTTTTATCAATTTTGAGTTCTTTTTCTTCATATTTTGGGAGTATTCGATCAATTTTTTAAATTTTTGTCTAGTTATTAATTTATCTCCTAAATATACATTTTTCCAAAGATTGTTTACAGCCTCCCATATTTCATTATCAGCATTAAGATCGCTTTCTTGTTTTATATTTGACTCAATTTTAGTTCTATCTGTGTGTACTTCAGAATTACCTTCTATGCTTAATAGTTTAACTTTATCTGACAACATTTTACCTAGAGTTATTTATGCATAAATTTTACAACAGATATATACCTTATCAGTTGAATTCTTCGTTTATCACTTCATTAAATTGGCATTACCATTTAAGATGAAAATAGAAAACGAGGAAATTTAGTTGGCCATTTTTGTATCAGCTAAAAGGTTTTAAATAACCTAACACGCACAAATCCATACAACACGCTGTTAATGTCTGTCTATATGCGTATTATTTCATATCTACTTGAAGTAATTAAACATCTCGAAAAATCATATTTCCTTTTCTTTTAAATTTTTTTGTATATTCCTATTTTTGACACATCTATTTTTTTTGGTACAGAGTTTTCATATGATCTATGGCTATTAGGATATACCTCATATAAATAGACAGATCAACCAACCTAAGCGTATTTTAAATCAGTTGGGAGGTTTGTAACAGTTTGTATGATAAATTATATCAGCAGAGTTCTAAAATACATCAAATAAAAAGAATACATAGTCTAAGTGTGTGTTTCAATATACATTGAATTGGTAAAATGGATGGTTGTCAGTCACCTTCCTCTATTTTTCTTATTAAAACATTCATTGGGAGTAATATTGTTGCTTTAGGTTCTGGAACTCCTTATATGTATTCGTATTATGCACCACAATTATTATCTAGGTGTAATATATCCATTAAATACAGTAGCAATATTGCATTGGCATTAAATATTGGTAGTTCATTGTTGGGTACGTTCGCTGGAGTTCTAGTTGACATTAATCCTAGAATAGCCACATTAGTAGGTTCGATTTCCACATTTCTGGCTTATACTATCTTGTATATATGTTATAAAAATGCAATTTCTTCTATTTTATTGATCTTTTTGGCCTTAGTTTTAGTAGGTTATGGTGCCATATCTGGATTATACTCTGGTATGAAGGTTTGTACTACTAATTTTCCAAATCATAGAGGTATATCTGGTGCTTGTCCAGTTTCCTTGTATGGGTTGTCTGGTTTATTATTTTCATTGATATGTCGTAATATCTTTAAGGGGGATATTCAGGCAGTTTTTTTATTTCTATTAATTGCATGTTCTTTAATGACATTTATTGGTGTCTTCACATTAGATGTTTTTGATTATAATTATATTAAAGATTTAGAATCCAAGTATGTTTTAACAGACACTATTAGTAGTCAACCAGAACTAGCTGCAACATTGTCCAATTCTGCCGAGGATGAGGGGTCATTTTTGAAACACCATATGTCAGATTTTACAGAGTCTTTCAACGATCATGCTGCACATCATTATAGGACTGAATCTAAATCAAGACATTCAACTAAAATAGCTCGTTTCTCAGGAGAATTAACAAGAAACTCAAGAGTAGGATCCCCAGAATGTATCGTAAATGAGATAGCTGATGGTGTCCACTCCTTATTAAATAAGTCACCAGGACCATCAGTGAGTAGTGTAAATGAACTTTTCAGTAATAATAATCATTTAAAGAATAATTTAGTAGTTAATTTTAAAGAAATAGTGAAAAATGATCAAAATATTTGGGACTGTGTGAAATCAAGTAAATTTCTTTTATATTATGTGATTATTGCAATTTTACAAGGTATTGGTCAGACGTATATATATTCTATTGGATTCATTGTACAAGCTCAAGTAAATTCTATGTCAAGTGATAATAGTAACAATAATAAGCCAGTAGATACAGCTACTATTCAAGCAACACAAGTGGCAATTGTTTCAATATCCTCATTTGTTGGTAGATTATCATCTGGATTTTTTTCAGATGTTTTAAAAAAAAGATTAAACTCACAAAGGATATGGACTACTTTTACTGCATCTACGTTTACAATAATTGGATCTATAATTATTATTAGAGTCGATCCAACAAAACATTCGTTGGCTAATGTTTATAAATCTTCAATAATATTTGGATATGCGTTTGGTGCTATGTTTGGATCTTTCCCATCTATTATAGCGGATTCATTCGGTACAAAGAATTTCAGTAAAATATGGGGAGTATGTACAACAGGTTGTCTGATTACAATTAAATGGTATACAGCAATATTAGCACAAAATTTATCCAATTATACGCAACCTAATGAATCAACATGTAAAGCAGGTGTTAAATGTTATGAATATACTTTTTATGTTATTAGACTAAATGCCTTTTTAAGTTGTATTTTAATTCTGTTTATAATTGGGAATACTTATCACAAAGCTAAAATCAATTAATCAAAAATTTATATGTGTATGTATTTATGTATATCGATATACTTGTCAAATAAATATGTCTTCTAGTAGTTTAAATGGAATTGGTATTCTTTCAGCAAATATCTTATCAGAGTTACTAAAATCAAACCTTCTACCAGCTGCATCCCCACAATACCACTTCCAACAATTTTTATCAGTTGATAAATTATTCATTTTTAATTGAAGATCTTTCATAAATTCATCATATAAACCTATCCCTGGCTTGCGCATCTCCTCAAATTTATCTTCCACAGTAATAGTGGAAATATTACTGTTTTCGTTACCTTCTTTGCATATTTTAACATTCTTAAAATGGGCCAATTTAACAATGTTATTTTGGTTAGATGCAGATGATATAGTTTTACTATTCATTAATTTAGGTTTCTTTGTAGAAGAATATATCCATAATCTTTTCAACAATTCATTACCACCTCCATGAGTTTTTATATCCTCTAATATAAGATTGATCTTCATATTAAATTTATGATAACTTTTTGAATTTCTTGGAACTGTTAATACACCACCTTGATTAGTGAAAATGACAATAAGAGCAAATGGATCGTTTTTGATAATTTCAAGCAATTTCTGTACAACAGAGACATTATTATTGTATTTGACATATTGCCAATCATCTGCAGTTTTGTTGAAAATGGCATTTGATGTCTTTGGTTTAATTAACGTATGATCTAAATCAAAACCATAAAGATTTGGTGACTTATCAAACCTTACTGTTGTGGTTGGTATATATTTAATTATATAAGGTTTAGCTATAGTCTGATGCGACATGATAAAGTTAATATGAAATAAGCAAAACCTAATAAAATCAAGTCACTTATACCCCAAAATCAAAGGTAGAACAGGAAAAAAGTTAGAGGAGGGGAACTGGTATATATGGTTCACCTTTATGGAAGTTTCCATTCAATTTTATAGTAATTTACGTTTATTCATTTGATTTTTATTTCAATCTATCTATTACTCTTACTGATTATTTTCTGTGATGGGTTTGTTTTTATGGAAGTAGTTTATAGGATCAACTTTGAAAAGTTGCTCGAGAATAGTAAGAAAAAGTATATTTATTTATTTATAAAGAAAATATATACAAGTAGATTACATACCAAGTAAAAGAAAAGATTTATTTCTTAATGAGAGATAAGAATACCGTAGTGATCATATAAGTGTCACTTTATCCACAGTTTCAAAGTATTTACAAATATCTGAAGTATTTTCATCCTTTGGAATGTAAATTTGTTTAATTTCAGATATTTCATTCTCAAAATCCATTGCGTCTGACATATTAGAAGGGAAATCAAGGATTGTGATCTTGTCACCAACTTGACAATGTTCCTTGATGTAGTCTCTTAACAGAGAGACTAACATTCTATCAGGTAAATGATATATATATTCCCTATTACCATATACAGACTTTATATCATTCAAAATGGCTTCATATCTTCCATTCGAATCATTTCTGAAACTTTCTATCACTTCGAAAGGATCAATAACCAAATTTGAAACGAGGTTTAATTGATCTAAGATTTTCTTAGTTGAGCTATTATTATTATGGCTAAAATATAAAAGATTAACATCAATCTCACCAGGAGTAAACAATGTAACTCTTCTTCTTAAACCTTTCATCATATTAGTATATTCTATATCTGAAAAGGTAGTCTTCTTTTGAGTTCGATCTAGGGAATTGACAGTAAAGACAAAAATACCTGTACCTACTAAAGCCATCAATATGATATTTCTAAAACTTGGGACATCTCTCTTTGTGGTTGATGAAGACGAAGAACGTTTGTTAGAGGAGGACTGATTAATGAACCATCTCTTTGACATAATTGAAAAAGAAGGCAGTGGTATTAAAGTAAGCGGTTTTATTAGTTGATTCATACAAGGGCGAATCAATTGTCTTGTTGGAACTCTTATCATTTGTAAAAGGGATTGTTACATCAAATGATTTGTTCAATAAACAGTTACCTGACTGATCAAAAGGATCAACTGGCTTTGCAGTTATTGTAACTTAGTGTAAAAACCCTCGTTAAAAATTAGTCCTCAACAACTTGATATTGATAAAAAAATAGTATATGATCCATATGATCTTCCTTTTCTCATCTAACTTTCTGTGTGATTTCAACATATAAGGTTTTTTTTATAAGACTTCTCTTTCTTTCCTCGTACTATTTCTTTCGTTCGAGCCTTTCTTTAACCCGCTCAATAGAAAAAAATAAAATTTCGTATTAGACTAAATTTGAAATAAGGAAAGAAGATATGAATTACACAAACATTATTACCTACATGTACAAGTTTTGGTAGCCAATATTCACTTTTGGCTTATTTAGGTATATGTCCTTTATTAATAATTGAAGAAATTAGGATATTGAACAACCCAGATTAGATTGCAAAAGAACATAGTCCCATTAGTTATTTATATATATACATATATTCATCTAGTTTTATCACCCCATGTCATTAGTTGCTTTAGCCCATACCTGTGCACATTTGCAAAATTGTACTCGAGTTAGATTATCATTAACTTCGATTCCTTATTCTAAACTACAGTTGCAATTCGCTTATAATCTCTATAAACAGGGTTTCATTTCTTCATTACAAAAGGGGTCTACGAAAGGACCGGATAAAGAATATGTAGAAGTCACTCCAGATAACATTTCTACAAGAAGGTTATGGTTAGGGTTGAAATATAGAGAAAATAAACCAATTTTGAATAAATGTCAATTGATTTCAAAACCAAGTCTACGTATCATGTTAAATAATAGTGATTTAAAGAGATTATGTTCCGGTATCATGATTCGTAATGTTAAACCTCTACAGCCTGGTGAATTGATTCTGGTTAGAAGTAAAGGTACTGTTATGGATATTAATGAAGCCGTTCAGAAAAAACTTGGTGGTGAGGTTTTATGTAGAATAGATTAAATTAACCAATTATTTCTATATTCCTTTATCACAGATGTATATGTCCATAGGAGAGAAATATAAAAATAGAAGTGTTTTTTTTCTTTAAAAACGCGATTATGTATTAATTATAAATAAGCTAAAAGAAGTTTCATGTATATAATCTATCATAATATATATAATTTATCCGTTCTTATTTTGCCCTTGTCTTTAACTTTGCATTTTTTTTTACGTTTTTTTCTTTTGCTATGTGTTCACTCTAACACATCAATTAGTTCATTAAGCTACAACCATTAAGCAATAATCACAAGATCTTTTTAGTTAAACTTATATATATAGAAATAGGTCGTTTAAAGTAGTATACAACTTTTTTATTTATATGACTAAACCAGTCATGTTCTGAGGAGGGAATTACAAACATAAAAAGAGCAAGTAATCAACTTGTTTATGACATATAATACGTTTACTACCTAGAACTAATTTAAGACGACTTGGTAGTCCTAGCTTATATAATACTGAGAGGCTTTTGTGTATAAAGAAACTAGCAAACTGTCGTCGTTTTCAAGACTATCATAATATACTTTACTGCTTTTGCTATAAGACGATGCTGGAATTATTTTTATAAATTTAATGAATATATTAATCTTTCAAGAAAAAGAAAATAGAACCTCGGAATTTAGGGAAATCTCCTTTTCCGCAATAGTCAGAGATGAAAAAAATTGCGGAATGTTCTGGATATCCTTCTTGTAAAGGACGAAAAGCTATGATGAGAGATATACTTCTACTTCTTTTAGAATATAAAATGTGCAGAATAATTTTTGGTTTGTTGTTCTTTATATGTGATATAATAATTGTACTGCTTCAAGGAAGTAGTAAAGAAAAACGGATATACAGATAAATATGGTGTTTATAACCATAAAGAACAAGAATGCTGTTGTTAATTAAAGAGTTCGTAGTATTTGTCTACATCGACAGCAGGCGTCACACTCCCCTTAACTCAAGTCAAACACAGCTTTTTCTTGAGATCATGTGATAATCTTATGGTTATGTGTTTTTGATAATAGTTAATCTTGTTGGAATAACAATATATCTATATATGTCTACTCTACAATAACTAAATAGTACACGCTTTTGTACTATATCTATTTTTATTTAATCCTTGGTTCTTTGTTTGTTCGTTGTCCTTTTTCCTAGTTGTTCTCTTGTACTTATGTTAGTTATTTCTGCTTTTATGTATGTTTGTAAATTTTTGCCAAAAAGGAAAGTTTAGAAAAATATCACTAACCGTCATTTTGTTAAACAAAACTCTAAACAGTAATATCAGGGATAATACATATCACGTGACCAAATTAAAAGTGAGTAAAAAAGTAAAATGCTCCAGGGGAGGTTCGAACTCTCGACCTTCAGATTATGAGACTGACGCTCTTCCTACTGAGCTACTGAAGCCTCAACTCGATGTGAGGTGTTGTGGAATAGAATAGTTATAACCATCAAGATTACATAAGATCCTGAATGAATCTAGAACCAATTAGTGTATTAATAAGCCATACATGTGCTACAACATTAGATGCTGCATAATAAAAAGATTGGATTACATAAGATCTTGGCAAATCTAGAATTTACCTATTGTTTTATTAAGTCCCACGTGTATTACTAATCACCATGATTAGAGAATTGGGATGCAGTTCTAATCCAGTAGTGCACCTAAATTAATATAATAAATTTTAGGGTTTGAATCAGTCAAGTCATTAATGTAGTAATCTGAATAATCGATCGAGCTCCAGAAAACATATAAAAGGACAACGTTTTCAGGAGATAAAAGATCATCTTCCATAATCGTTTCTTGTAAATAATTTATATATTATGTATAAACAAAATAGAACAAGCAAGTAACAAGTTAAGTAACTTCGAATAAGTACATTAGCTCGATATAAGCCGCTTAATATATAAGACCGTTTTAGTAATTATACTATCGACTATAGTTGATTACTGTCTCGATTATTTGAATTACTATTAATATTATTTGCGCTTCCCTGGAATACACAAAGAACTTCACCATACCATACTACAACATGAGGCATTGAAGTAAATAATATATTAGTTCTTATTATAATATTAAATGGATATTAAAATAATTAAAGACAGTAATTATTACAAACTGTAAAGCAATTACTAGACAATCTTAATGTATTAAACAGATATATTAAGCTTATGCTTTTATTTGTTCTTTTATTTTTTTTATATATGTTGGAATTTGTAGCACTTAGCGTTCATTGTCATGACAAACATTCTTAAGTTATAGGTGCTCATTTTATTTTTGTATTAAATATATATATTTACTTATTATAGACTGTATACAGTATAAATTATTTTATTTATTCTAACTTTTTTTTTTGAAGTTTTCTATGTTTTTGAATTTTTGAAAAACATATTTAGTGAAAAATAAAATGTTTTCTTAATATTATGGTACATTTGTCTACCATATAATATACAGAAAAAACTAATTAAAAATAGTTTTTATGGAAATGACGGTAATGAACTCTTATTTTCCAATAATATAGCATATAAGATATATATAAGAGAAAAGTTACGAAAAATAGTCTTATCTTCGGAGAGTGTTGTCTTTTTATACGTTGCAGAAACTCGATCAAGTATTCAATTTAATGTATTAGTGAATTTGTAATTCACATCCTAATTATTTATTTGTGAGAATTCAACAGGGCCTCAAAAAACATGTAGGATAATAAGTTATGGTATAATAATAATACGTGGTGTAGTAACACAATAGAGTGTTTTAGATTTAGTTAAAAATCTGCGTAATGTTGGTGGCGGTAACATCTTATTATATAACATGCAAGATATTTGAAGAGGTGATTTTAATGAATTGTGCAATTAAGGAATAAGTAAATTGGTTTCTTAGTTTGTTAAAATGGTATGCAGAGAATGTACATATATATATATATCATGTTTATAATCAAGCTTAATTTGGTCCTTCATAATTTTTATTCTCTTTCTAAAACATTTTTCTTCTCTAAAAAGATTTTTTTTTCTATAAATAAAAAAGAATGTTAAAAATATACTGAAGAGAATACTTTAATATAGAAAACTGGTAAATATGCCGTCTATTGTCTAATACCATATATTTCTATTTATTGAATTCGCTTGATATGTAGAACAAATGGAATGTTTTTTCCTGTAATGTTGTTGAGAATGAGCGCCTGTAGTTATTGGAGACATAGTAAACATTCTCAATATTATATTAAATAGATTTAGTACACAAAATTATAATAGAGTTTTTCACTTTCTTTCTTTATATATAACATAGAAGTAATAATATACAAAGATTGTAAATAAGATAAAAATAATGTATGATGAAATCCTTGACTTTATATATGTTGACATTAAGCCATTTTCCTCTACGAACAGTAAGATATTTAATAAACAAACTCAACAACTTTTGGTGATCTCCTAACAATTATTACTCAACAATTTATCGTTTAGTATCTACTAAAATCTTATTGTTCTATCTATTTCATTCTAGAACATTCTATTTCAACAAATGTATATATTAGAAACAATACTAATTAATCATGACTTTATATTTCAACAATATTTTAAGTTCATAATGGCTTTGTATGTGTGTATTTATGGAAAGTCATATTGGTTATTATACTTGAAAGAGTTGTGTACTCAAATGGTGATTATTTTTATGTTTTGTCAGCCCTTTATGTATTTTTTTTTTTTTTTTTTTGCAATTAAAGAGTAAAAAATAAACAATGGGTAAAGAGTAAATCCAAATATTCGTAACAAACAAATAACAATTTTATTTTAATATTTAAACAATAAGAAATTGTCATGGAATGTTTAAAAAAAACTGTAACAAAAATAATTTGAGAATAAAATATATTAATATTAAAATTATAAAAATGAATAATTATTTATACCATATTTGGATCTTTAATAGAACATATAAAGTAGGTCATACATATAAAAGTACTGCAATTAATATAATAATTGTTACTATAGAATTAATAGTTAAATGGCTGATTACAGGACAAAAATCGTTAAAAATTAATAAACTTATAAACTAGGCAGAATTTATAAAAGATTTTAAATCATGTTACAATATATTTTCTATACCTTTACTTTATAATATATGATACAAACCATGTATATGTAGATACTAACTCACATATTGTATAAATATTCTAATATATTTTGCTTTCAACTTACTCCAAACACCTGCTTAATTTTATAGATTATAAGATTTAAAAAAAAAAACACTGAATGTAGTTACTTATCTGAACAAAAGTTTTCCAGAAGGATAAATATCCAACATGACATATAATAAAAAGCTTTTCTCTTTTAATAACTTTACATTTCAATAATTATTAAATGTCTAATTACTAGAACAACTAATTCTTTATCAGCGTTTGTGATACCCATTATATACTTGTTAAAAAAATACATAATTTAATAAATGAAACAATCGTTTATATATAAATGTAGAAAACGAAGAGAGAGAAAGAGAGTAAGTGAATTTGAAATAGAAAATAATTAATGATGTATTTTCTTATTTTTATTTGGTTTCAATACACAAAGAAAAAAAAAATACAAAATCTTTTTATACAATTATTCCACATAGATATTTTTCATTTCAGCCACTTCTACTAATACAAACCATAAAGCAAACTTTTTTTATGTAGTATAATCTGAAAATTCAGAAATTTTTTTCTAAAATGTTTTCCTACATGGCCTTCATATAGTAAATATTATTGATTTAACCTCCTAAAAATGTCAACGGATCTTCATTTTTCCACCTTCTCTCTTTCTAATACGTTTGCTTATGATTTAATGGTAATTTTCCCTTTATATATATTTTTTACTACCATAAATACCTAAATAAGCTATCTTATCTTACATGAAGGAAGTTATGAAGAAAAACTTGGAAGCAGTTTATAAAAAGAAATAAAAAACTGTGTCAGGATAGTAAAATATTCAAATCAAAGTAAATTGACAAATAAATATATGTTATTATAATACACAAATATTTAGAAATAAAAAAATTATATAATTTGTTTCAGATTACTTATTACATCAGGCCCATTTACCCAATAAAGCCATTAAACCTGTACCACAACACATGATAATATATGCAACTACCATTTTCTTAAAACCTTCACGACCTTTAAATTCATTAGAGAATAAAAACTCATGGGCCATTAATTCTACCAAACCTGTATAAATCAATATACCTGAAGAAATAGAATCAAAGACACCATTTGAAATTAATGCCTTTCTGGATCCAGGAATAAAAGAATGTCTAACGCCAATACCAATAGCCACTGCAATAGGTGTAGTCAAAGAAAATGCCAATGCCATCAACCATGGTGTAAATCTTTTGCTTTTTGGCCAATTAGTTTCTGCAATTCTTGTTCCTAAACCCAAACCTTCAAACATTTGATGGAAAACAAGAACAATAAATAATGTTTCAAATTCATCACCAGACACAGCTAATGACAATCCAATGAAAACAGAATGGAAAATAATACCAAATTCTAAAAACAACACTGCCAAAATTTGGGATGAATAATTTTCCTTATCATCTTCCTGCAAAGGTGTCCCTATTTGACTTAAATCTTGATGATTTTTTTGATGATCATAATGACCTTCACCGGGAATTGCTGTAAAAACTCTTTTAGACTGCTGTTCAGGTTTATTCTCCACATCATTATGATTTAATTTTACATCACGAACAAATACCTTTCCTTTGTCAGCCAAATCTTCATTATCAGAATCATCTAACAGTTTTTTATCATCATCTACTGTCGATTCTTCTTCATGGAATGCACCTTCGATTAGATAATGACTAACAATTTCTACTAAGAAAAGTAAAAATAGAGACATCAAACAAATACCAAAAGCCCATGGATATTCTGCTAATGTACCACCTAAACAATCATTACTCAACGCCTCATTCGCGGGTTGTAACAAATGAATAAATGCTGTTGCTACAATAACACCAGACCCAAAAAATTTTGCTATAAAGAAACACCAATTAGGCAATCTGACAAAGGAATATCTAGATGAAAGAATAGGAAAAAAAGCACCAAGAGCTGATGAGATTAGAATTATAAAGATAGATAAAATTCTTAAGTTAGTCTTTCCATCAAAATCATTTTCTGTAGGACATTGTGATGGGGCCGAAGATTCATCATCATCTCTTTTAAACAATAAATAAAAAAGTGGGTTTGAAGTATCCATAGTTAACAATTTTTCTGAGGCTATCTAAGTTTTTGTACTTTCTATATGTTTATACCACTCTATATTTTGTGTTGTGTTATACATAATCACTGATTACAAGATAAAATGGAACAAAAGCAAGTTTTGATTTACACAAGATGAAGAAATACGATACAAAGCGACTTATTCATTCGAAAGGATTACAGTATCCAACAATATCCAGCTTGCATTGCTATTCTTTTTATATCTTTTATATATCTAACCTTTATTAATTAAGGTAATGTATTTTAACCATTACAGTTAATTTAGTAAAATGTATATTCTGAGTAGAAAGAAAGATCTGATATCAATTAGAGTAAAATAACCTTTACAGTATTTTTCAAGAAGAATTGTTTAAATGATTCCCTTCAAGAACAAAAAAAAAAAAGAAAACAGGAAAAGCACAAAATAACAATGGTACTATCAAAGAATATCACAAATAATTGATTGTCTTTCTTGTCATTATAAATGATAAATTTTGTTGTATAATTTATGCAAGAAATAACCTTTACAAAGGGCACTGTAGCATACATAATTTTCTAAAAGACCTCTTAAAACTTTAACAATAAAGGCTCTATTAGAGCTAATACTGTTTTGAAAATAATATTTCACTTAAATTTCTACATTCATTCTTTTGTTGGTGTAGGTTCTTTTATTGAAAAAAAAAATCAACAAAAACTTGCTCTTTAATGGCATATCCTAAAAAGACAAACAAAACACAATTCTTGGAGAAGATTACAAGTTCTAAGCAGCAGATATAGCCAAACCTACTGAATCAAAAACTACATGACTTGATAATGTTACAGATAAAAAAAGATATTGGTTTAGGAACCTTTAATTTTTTTAATAACATTAAATTTTCAATTGTAAATAGGAAATATTATTGTTATTATTGAATTTTTTCTTATCCTCTTCATGTATTTCAACAATTGAGTCTGTATTTTCAATACATAAAATAAAACTTTTTAAATCTACAGAAAAGTATATATCTCTCTATATACTATTAATATCTTTATTTACGGGGGAATCGATTGAATGACGTTTCATTTTGAATACTAAACTTGTACCATACGAATTCTCTTTATTTGAATCTTCTCTGTTAAATGATTCACTAGAAGACGGTAGATTGCTTGATGCCAGTGAATCTGATCTTGTGGTAACATCTTTGCACAAAAGGTTAGAACTTCTTGATGGTTGTTCTGTAAGAACATTATAATATTGCTTACCCCCTATACAAATCATTTTATTTTGATGTGAAAATAGCTGTTCTTCCCTATAATAAATTTTACCACATGGGCATACAAATTTCTTCTTTAAATGGGTCTTTTTATGTCTGATTAAATCATGATTTCTAACGAAAGCTTTATTACAACCAGGAAAATCACAACTATATGGACGGTCTTCTAAATGTGTTTGAATATGCGTTCTAATATTATATCTTCTCTTAAAAAATTTACCACAATTTGGATATAAACATTCAAATAACCTATCCGGTAATTCTTTAACGTATCTATCCAATTCATCTCTAGACAACTTTGTAAATTTTCTTGATCCTTTAGACGGACTGACCGGCTTTACCTGATGCTCAGATTGCTCCAATTGTCTGTTTAGATCTGAAAGTAACTTCTTTGACGAATCTCTTAATTCTAGGGTTGATGATGGTGTTTTATTGACATGTATAAAACTTTCATTTAATTTGCTTGATTTAGAAATAGCAGGAATTTTTTTCAATTCTTTTTGTGATGAATACACAAAAGGGATTGGGTTTTTAATAATTGTTGATTTAGAGGGACTCCTCGTGTCATGATGATCTTCAGATGGTGGCATTAAAATACTAATAGGACTAATATAGTCTTTAGTTCTTATTGGGGTATCTTGAAATGTGGTTGGAAGATCATCTAAAAGAGTAGCTTCTTTAAAGTTATTATTAGTAGGCGATCTATTCAATACATCATCAGCCAGTGGCTGCAATGAAATTAGATTTGTATTTATATCTAAATTCTGTCGTAGATCATTCCCTAAAACAGGTGAACCCTTATCCAAGTATTCACGAGTAGGTGACCCAACATACAATCTGTTTGGACTTGCACGAATGGGTGAAGATAGAGCACTATCCGTTAGAAAATTATCTTGATCTTTTGGAGTCAAAGTTGTAGTAAAATTAATTTTCAAATTCTTATCTTTAATCCTTTGAAATTTTTGTTTTGTCGAATCGTTATCTGATACATTATTTTTAAATCTGTATTGGCGTCTCTTTGGGGAACTGTTATTAATACCATTACCATTACCATTATTGCTTTTATTATTGTTCTTGCTCGTAGAATGCAATGAATTTACAAAGGATAGTTTTGTGTTTTGAATTTTCTTGATAGGCGAATTATTCGTACTTTTGCTGACATTAAATTCTTTTATTTTTTTCTTAGGTGTGTTATTTAACCTTGAGGATTGTGTAATATCACCTAATACAAACCTCACTGAGCTTAAAGCTTGCTGCTCCTTTAAAATTTTTCTTAACTCTTGTTGTTGTAGCTGTGTTTGTTTCAATTTTTCTTCTAACAACTTATTCATCTTTTTCTGTTTTTGGATCTCAATATTTAATTGTTCTTGTTGTTCCAACAATTGCTGATCCATTTTATTTAAATTATCTAGTATCCCCGTGGCCTGATTACTATTATTTGAATCATTAGTAGTATCTTGTATTGGAACACAAGGTAATGGATTAGAGTTAACATAATCTAAGAGAAGCTCGTCCCAGATTAAAGAGTTCATAAGTTCTGCTGGAGCCACATTCTCTTGACCTAAATTATTTTTATTATTTATAAGAATATTGTTACTTTCATTTTCTTTATTATTATCATTATCATTACTGCTATTATTATTATATGTATATAAATTATTATCTGTTTCTATATCAATAGGTGTCATTGGAATATCTTGATTATCAATAGGAAAATTATAATCCCCATACACTTTTTTATTTTCCTTGCCATCATCATGAGCGCCATCAGCACTATTGCTAGATAAAAAAATGTCAAATTCATTAAGATTTATATCCTCATATTTACTAAATGTAGTCCTCTTTTCATTTTTGAATAAATCAATAGGATTTATCATCCACCTAGTTTCATTTGAATCCATGAGTAAGACAAAATTAGTTTCACTTTGATTGTTTCCTTTTTTTTTTACCTTCTACTTGATTTACCTTCTGATAAATAATGAACACTTATTAAATGTAATAAGCAAATATTAATAGCCAACAATGAAAACTTGTTACTAGTTTTGAAAAAAGCAAAAGCAAAATGCAAAAAATAGGTCATACAAATATGCCCATATAAAACTTAACAACTATAATGTTTGCAATTCTGGTTTATGTATATTACAATGCAATTAACTTTAGTGTTGCAACCTAATCGCTTTAAGCCAACAAAGTACTGTAAAAGAACAATTTTCTCTTGTTTTAAGGAGCAACAAAATAATTAATATCCTTATACCAGTTTCAATCTCTTACTTTCTATTGCAGGAATTTTTTCTTTCTTCCTTTATCTTTCTAATTTTTTTTTGATTTGCAAAATTCTTTTTTGAACAGATCTGGAAAATTCAATGTTTACATATTACCAAAAGAGGTAAACATAGTGATCCCTCCACTGCATTACCTAAAATAGCAAAACAGGACAAAATGGGACGAATTGTGAAGATAAAAAAAAAAAATAAATAAAAGAAACAAAGATCACAAAAAAAGTTCTTAAAGCAACATCAACAAGCATAAAAGCAAGAGAGGGACGAAAAAGGAGAGAAAAGGATCAACACTCTGCCATAAATTAAAGAAAAGGTTGTGCCACCTCTTCATCCTGATTTGACTCTAACTAGGACTTGTTGCTTACAATATTCTATTGTCTTGTACTGTTTCTTGTTTTAGCACCCAACAAAGGACAATATTTAATATCATTATTTAATCTCTATTTATATTCTCCAGAATACTGTTTAAATGCCTTCTTTTTATCTATATATAAATATTATAACTTATTTCATCCTTTTCTTCCTTAAAATTTATATCAAAGTCTATTTTTCTATATGTATATATAGTAATAAATCAACATAGATGAGTATCTTGATTAATTTTTTTTTATACAACACAAAACACAAATAAATTTCATTATTGACTTGTGCGTACAAATAGATATAGATACTACAAAATAAATGAAATAGAAACCTGATATAAATCTACAGTTGCTTTGTAATAAAATAGTTTTTACAGCATTCTATACAAGTAAAGAGAATCGGAAATAGAATACCAGTACAAAAATAATCCGTAGATAAGAAAGTGATTAGAAAAAAAGCACTGACGAGAGTGAAAAAGAGCAGTGAAATATCCAAAATTTAGATAATATATCATTCATTTTTTTTGGTACTATTAATATTTTCTTCTGTTTCTGTTATTTGCCTAGATTATGAACTATTTGGACTGTACAATTCCAATTGATTCACCTTGGGTTCTAGTTCCATATTTAACTAATAATGAATATAATTCATACAAAATTACCAAAATAAAGGGTGCACTGACAAATGTTATTTATAAACTATCAATATTTGATGATGGCATTTGCACAAATTATTTAGTCAGAATTTTTGGTAGTAAAATGAATTCTTTGGTAGATAGAGAAGACGAATTGAAAAATATTCAAAAAGTTCCAGAAGAAGTTGGATCGGTTAAAATTTTACTACCATTTAGAAATGGTAGAGTAGAAAAGTTTTTAGATGGATTTAAATCTTTGTCACAAAGAGAAATGGTTAGTGAACCATTTTTCAAAGTTATTGCTCACAAATTTTCCATATTACATTTCCAGTCACCCAAACCTGATAAATCTGATATTAACAGATTTAAAGATGGTTTTGCATGGACTAAGATAGAACAATGGCTTTCAATTATTGAATCTCCATTAACAAACGATTGGTTACAAAGAAATAATGGATATAACCTTAAAACTTTTGTATTATCTAAAGATTGGAGTAGATTTAAAAAAATAATTGCAAAGTATAAAGAATGGGTTCTATCAGATTATTCAAATACTAATAATTCAATAGTTTTTTGTCATAATGATACTCAACAAGGCAATATATTAGTAGAAAAGAATACTTGTTATAATCAAGAACCTAACATTAAGTTTATTGATTACGAATATTCTGGCCCAAATTTTATTGCTTTTGATTTATCTAATTTCCTTACTGAATGCATGCATGATTACAATGTTAATTCAACACAATCATATAGATGTCTTAAGTCTAGGTATCCAAGTCAAGAGAAGATTTTAACATTTTTAAGTAGTTATTTATGTCACAAAAAAGATAATAAATCAAAAGAAACAATTCGAGTTGAAGAATTAAAAATTTTGTATAATCAAGTAATTAAATGGAGAGGTGTTACTCAATTGTTTTGGGCACTTTGGGCAATTTTGCAAAGTGGTGGATTAATTAATCCAAGCACTTGTAATGATATGGACCAAAATGATGAATATGATGTTGAAACATTATCTTCAGATCTAATTGAAGAAGATAGTAATAATCATTCCAATTACAGTACCAGCGAAGTTTCTAACGATATTAATAAGAATGATGACTATTTCGATTATATGAATTTTTGTAAAGATAAATTATCATTCTTTTGGGGTGATTTAATTAAATTCAGGATCGCTACAAAAGATGACTGCATTATGGAAGATGTACAATATTTAGATATTAACTTAATTCCGTAGAAAATTTATAAATTACACATATATTATAAACTTATACTTTTTTTGCATAGTGACAGTATCAACTATAAATATACATAATAATATCAATAAATTTATTAGCAACGATATCGGAACATACCACTAATTTCTGAAAAAAAAAAATATAGATACTGTTCTAGAACTTATTGATATACTTTCAAAAAAAATCAAAAAGAGGTTAAAGTATTTGTGATAATGTTGTTTTTTTTCTTCTGAGGAATAAATATATAGTGAATATAACTAACTAAAATGAATGTTATTATAACATAAAATACAAGGATATTGTTTTCATAATAAGTTGGGCCCAAAAAAAAAATTAGAAAATCAAAGATTCAAATCATGCTAGTAACATTTTTCTCGGATCTTCAACTAATTCCTTAACCGTCTTCAAGAAAGTAACAGCTTCTCTGCCATCCAATAATCTATGATCGTAAGTCAAAGCCAAATACATCATTGGTCTAGAGACAATTTGTCCATTTACAGTAACTGGTCTTTCTTTGACACCATGTAACCCTAAGACAGCAGTCTGTGGCATATTGATGATTGGAGTACCATATAATGAACCAAAGACACCACCATTAGAAATAGTGAAGGTACCACCAGTCATATCCTCCAAAGTTAACTTACCATCTCTTGCCTTTTGACCCAATCTTGCAATTTCTTGTTCAATCTCTAAGACAGATAACGATTCAGCGTTACGAACAATTGGAGTTACTAAACCCTTTGGTGTAGCCACTGCCACTGAAATATCAGTGTAATCACGGTAGACAATATGGTCACCTTCGATTGCAGCATTAATTGCAGGAATATCTTTAGCAGCTAAAGTACAAGCTTTAGAGAAGAGACCCATAAAACCGAATTTAACACCGGTCTTCTTAATAATTTCATCTTTATACAATTTTCTCATTTCTAATAGTGCACTCATGTCGACTTCATTGAAAGTGGTCAATGACGCAGCAGTATTTTGAGATTCTTTTAATCTTTCAGCAATTCTTAGTCTCATTCTATTCATCTTGACTTTATTTTCATTACGTTGGAATGGAGTGAAAGATTGGGATGCAGTATTTAGAGGAGTAGTAGTCTTCTTTTCTGGCGTAATGGGCTTTGGAACAGCAGATGATGGGGTTTCCTTCTTTGTGTCCGCAGCATTTGCAGGAGAAGATGAAGAAGAGGTTTGTCTTTTGGAAGCCTCGGAAGAAGTAGAAGAAGTAGTACCAGCAGGAGTAGCAGTGTCTGCAGAAGCAGTAGCAGTAGCAGTAGCATCACCAGCAGATACTTCACCTGGTTTGATCTGGGCCAATTCTTCACCAACGGTGACAATATCTTCGGGTTGAAAATTCAATTTTGCGATGATACCAGAGACAGGGGCAGTAACTTCTACGTCAATCTTATCAGTTTCGATGGTAGCTAACAATTCATCTGCGGCAATATAGTCCCCTACTTTCCTGGTGAATTCTTTCAAGGAACCTTCTGTCAAAGATTCTGCCATTTGTGGGACTTTAACAGATGTGGAATTATAACGTAAACCGATTGAATTACTAACATTTATATTATTACTATATTTGTTTGCAAATTTATTGGAACGAGTAAAATTCATGAATTTACCGTCATTGTTTCTATTAATATAAAGATTACGGTGGCTATGTATTATGCCACTGGAGACTGTTTGAATACATCTTTTGTGGGTTGCAGTTTTAACTATATTCGTTAATGGTTTTTTAGCAGTTCTAGACAACATGGTTAAACAACTTATGCGCGTGTACCTGTACTAATGTATGATTTTTTTTGTGTATGTTTAAAATGTGATATTAGAAATCCACTTTACTTATTACTCCAAGCCAATTTTTTATATCTTTATGAGTATATTATTCTAATACAAAAATTTCCCCTTTTTTTTCCAGATGGGAACAGCAATCTATTAGAAAAAAAAAGAAACGACTGAAAACAACAGTAGAGATAAAGTTGGTTAATCACAGTGGAACATGGAAAATCACTCTATGCCTTTATATATCATATGGACTCTGCAATAGGAAATAAATTCTTATATATATATATATGTGTGTGTGTGTATATGTGCACAAAGAACGATTTGAATTAAATTTAAGATTGAAGAAAAGTGCCAACCAAGTGAAAAAAAAACTTTACAAGATGGAGATCCGAGAGGAAAAAGAAGAAGAAGAGAAAGGGTAGAGAGAGAGAGAGAGAGAGAGAGAAGGAGAAACAAGAAGGCTTCTCTTTACTACAGTCATTGAGAATTCTATTGCTTGATAGCATCAGACAACGAAACAAACAGACAAACAAAACAGAAGAACCAAATTGTCTTATTTTAGATTGGTTAACTACATATAACAACTACTAGTTCTTTTTATCTCTTTTTCTTTTTCTTCAAAGAAACATTTACTAAACCATCATTGACACACCCGTAATCTTAGGAAAATAAAAAAAAAGAAAAATAATCGTAGCCCATAGGTAATCCGTGAAACGCACGAATAAACTTTTATTTTTCTTCGGGGAACAGGAAATTTTTTTTTTAAAAAAAAAAAAGATGATAGTAAGGTAAGTCAAATGTATATCTCTAATTGTTCTTATTTTTTTTTTCTTTTTGTTTTGTTTTTTACAAGAAAAAAAAAAATTAAACATAACCAATCAAAGACAGTTAAAAAAAACAAAACAAAACAAAACAAAGTGCTCATATCATAGTTTAATATTTTGATTGCTGCCGTTCTTCTCCTTCACCCCCCCTTTTTTTTTCTTTACTTTTGCTTTTACTTTTAAATATTAAAGATTGAAAAAGCACAAGAGTGCTTAATATGGTAAGAATTCGTATGTTCGATTCTTGATTGTTACATAGTTGCGTTAGTCTTATTTAATTATTTAATTATTTAATTATTTAATTATTTATTTTTTGTCTCCCTTCTATTATTTGTGCTGCTTAATTACTGATTTATCCTCCCCACACTTTGCTGTTTTTCTATAGAATTCTAATATATATATTGTATGTATAGTAATGTCTGAGTATTTCTTCTTGACGGCGGCTATTTTTCGTACTCGATGATATTCAAGAAAGTAATTTTTTTTTTTTTTACTTATTTACTTATTTACTTATGTATTTGCAAGAGTGATGATTGATGAGATAGATCTTTTCATCTTGCTATTAATCTAATATTCTCCATGCATTTTATTGTAACCATTGGATTAAACTGGTTTCTACTTAAATTTTACCACCAATAATCCTCATCACATTAGATAATAACAAAATAATATATCTATCTATCTATCTATCTCTTTATATGTATGCTCACAAATAAAGAGTAAGTGCCAACATATATATCTATAGGAATATGTCAAAAAATAAAGAATCATTGAATACTGATGGAAATGGCAATCTTCCTGCTAAAAGCAAATCCTATATTAATTTAAAAAAATTTAATAATTTCTTAACTGAATTAGAACAGGTCCATAACGACATATCAGCATCTGCACAATTGAAACAAAATAATATTCCAGCCTTAAAAAATTCACATTCTGAAAATTTCATATCTAGCTTATTACAAGACATCGACACTCTATCACAATCTGACTTATTCAAGTATGACAACTTGACCACTAACGCATCCTTGGTCCAACAATCTCCTCAAGATATGGAATTCACTATAAATATGTCTCGCAAATTGATAAGCAATTGTCGAAGATTGAAATCTGTTAACGAAGCTCAAAGGAATGAAATTAATAAACTGCATGTTGAAATTAAAAAAATTTCTGAGAAAAATAATGTCCTCAATGACACAATATATGATTTAAATGACAAAAATTGGATACTCGAATCAGACTTATCTAAGATTCATAAAGACTTCAGAGAACTCAAAAATAAATTCAATAAGTTGGAATACGAGATTCAATCTTGTAATAATTTATTAAAAGATAAAGACTCTCAACTCGATTCGTTAATATCTTCAAAAGAGATTTTGGAAAAGGAATTGAAAGAACAAAGAAGTACTTTCAATAATGACATAAAATTACTTAATTTACACATCACAGAATTAAATGACGAAAATGACGAATTAAATGAAATAATTAAAAATTTAAAAAATGATATTGAACGTTTAAAAGTTGAAAGCAAAAGACAGAACGCAATCATTACTGAAAAACAGAATCAAATCAACGAAAATATCACCATGATATCTGAGTTACAAGATAAAATTACTAAAAGTAAAGATAATGAAATATTTGAAAATGAGTCCCGCTCTGATATAATGTCAATTAAATCATTATCGTCAGAAGATGTCGAGGACTACGCCATCAAACATGATTTGAAACTAATTGATAATTCGATATTTGACACCATGACACACGAACTGGAAAACTTGAGATCCATAGATGAATCCTTGAAAATTCTTGAAGAACATGGTTGTGATCGTTTATCTTATTTAAGCCTAGACACTTTCAATTCTCTATATTGTCCATCATTAGACACACTTAAAGAGAAGGCTAAAGCACATAATCACCACATTATAAATGAAGATTCTTTCAATTTTTTAAACTCACTAAATAATTCTACACCTGATAAAAAATTGTTAACCGATTTAGCTCAAAGGATTAAATGCAATGTCCTATCGTCAACAGAACTATTTAATATGAAAGAAACTATAGATCATCCTACATTGGAATACCTAATAGACAGGACTAAATCATACAATCAATATATTATAGATGAAAATTCCTATGATTTATTAAACCGCTTAAATGCATCATCCCCTGATAAAGATACTCTAGAGACTTTAGCAGAACAAATAGGATATAGTTTATTATCAACTAAAGAATTATCGGAATTAAAAGAATCCCTTGACAGCCCAAGTTTGGTATATTTAAAAGAAAAGGCAATTCAGGAAGGCCATTTACTAATATCAGCCGAGGAATATGAACTACTTAAAGAGAAGATTAAGAATCCAACAATCGATTATATTACTAAGAAATTAAGAGCTTATAATAGGGTAATCTTGGAGGAAAAAGAACTTGAAAAACTTAAACATTTAGTGGAAAATCCTTCAACTGAAAAAATCGACGACGTTTTAGCAAGTAAAAAACTGACTAAGATATCTTTAAGAGACTATAACCATATGAAAGGTGTCATAAACAATCCTGACTTGGACTTTTTATCCACAAAAGCGCAAAGATTCAATAAAGTATTGATCGGTATAAATGAATTAGAAAGCCTGAATAAAATTAAAGACAGTCCCTCCATCAACTTTTTGATTACAAAAGCTAATAAATATAATAAAACTTTAATAGAACAAACCAAATTACAGGAACTAGAAAAGCTAAATGGAAATCCAGATATTGAGTTTTTAAAAGAAAAAGCGTCTGAAATAGAATTAACAGTTATTCCAACGACACAATATGACGCATTAGTTGAAACTAAAGAAAGACCAAGCCTAGACTTCTTGAAGGAGAAGGTACAAGACTACAAACAAGTGATAGTTCCAGAAGATGATTATGACACATTAGTTGAGACTAAGGAAAGACCAAGCCTAGACTTCTTGAAGGAGAAGGTACAAGACTACAAACAAGTGATAGTTCCAGAAGATGATTATGACACATTGGTTGAGACTAAGGAAAGACCAAGCCTAGACTTCTTGAAGGAGAAGGTAGACGGTTATGAATATGTGGCTGTTCCAAAGACAGACTACGACGCATTAGTTAAGACTAAGGAAAGACCAAGCCTAGACTTCTTGAAGGAGAAGGTACAAGACTACAAACAAGTGATAGTTCCAGAAGATGATTATGACACATTGGTTGAGACTAAGGAAAGACCAAGCCTAGACTTCTTGAAGGAGAAGGTACAAGACTACAAACAAGTGATAGTTCCAGAAGATGATTATGACACATTAGTTGAGACTAAGGAAAGACCAAGCCTAGACTTCTTGAAGGAGAAGGTAGACGGTTATGAATATGTGGCTGTTCCAAAGACAGACTACGACGCATTAGTTAAGACTAAGGAAAGACCAAGCCTAGACTTCTTGAAGGAGAAGGTACAAGACTACAAACAAGTGATAGTTCCAGAAGATGATTATGACACATTAGTTGAGACTAAGGAAAGACCAAGCCTAGACTTCTTGAAGGAGAAGGTACAAGACTACAAACAAGTGATAGTTCCAGAAGATGATTATGACACATTAGTTGAGACTAAGGAAAGACCAAGCCTAGACTTCTTGAAGGAGAAGGTACAAGACTACAAACAAGTGATAGTTCCAGAAGATGATTATGACACATTAGTTGAGACTAAGGAAAGACCAAGCCTAGACTTCTTGAAGGAGAAGGTAGACGGTTATGAATATGTGGCTGTTCCAAAGACAGACTACGACGCATTAGTTAAGACTAAGGAAAGACCAAGCCTAGACTTCTTGAAGGAGAAGGTACAAGACTACAAACAAGTGATAGTTCCAGAAGATGATTATGACACATTAGTTGAGACTAAGGAAAGACCAAGCCTAGACTTCTTGAAGGAGAAGGTACAAGACTACAAACAAGTGATAGTTCCAGAAGATGATTATGACACATTGGTTGAGACTAAGGAAAGACCAAGCCTAGACTTCTTGAAGGAGAAGGTAGACGGTTATGAATATGTGGCTGTTCCAAAGACAGACTACGACGCATTAGTTAAGACTAAGGAAAGACCAAGCCTAGACTTCTTGAAGGAGAAGGTACAAGACTACAAACAAGTGATAGTTCCAGAAGATGATTATGACACATTAGTTGAGACTAAGGAAAGACCAAGCCTAGACTTCTTGAAGGAGAAGGTACAAGACTACAAACAAGTGATAGTTCCAGAAGATGATTATGACACATTGGTTGAGACTAAGGAAAGACCAAGCCTAGACTTCTTGAAGGAGAAGGTACAAGACTACAAACAAGTGATAGTTCCAGAAGATGATTATGACACATTAGTTGAGACTAAGGAAAGACCAAGCCTAGACTTCTTGAAGGAGAAGGTAGACGGTTATGAATATGTGGCTGTTCCAAAGACAGACTACGATGCATTAGTTGAGACTAAGGAAAGACCAAGCCTAGACTTCTTGAAGGAGAAGGTACAAGACTACAAACAAGTGATAGTTCCAGAAGATGATTATGACACATTAGTTGAGACTAAGGAAAGACCAAGCCTAGACTTCTTGAAGGAGAAGGTACAAGACTACAAACAAGTGATAGTTCCAGAAGATGATTATGACACATTGGTTGAGACTAAGGAAAGACCAAGCCTAGACTTCTTGAAGGAGAAGGTACAAGACTACAAACAAGTGATAGTTCCAGAAGATGATTATGACACATTAGTTGAGACTAAGGAAAGACCAAGCCTAGACTTCTTGAAGGAGAAGGTACAAGACTACAAACAAGTGATAGTTCCAGAAGATGATTATGACACATTAGTTGAGACTAAGGAAAGACCAAGCCTAGACTTCTTGAAGGAGAAGGTACAAGACTACAAACAAGTGATAGTTCCAGAAGATGATTATGACACATTGGTTGAGACTAAGGAAAGACCAAGCCTAGACTTCTTGAAGGAGAAAGCATTAGATTATGGGAAAGTAATGGTTGAAAATGAATATTTTAAGAAATTATGTGACAATGTTTTAAATCCATCGCTAGATTATTTAGAAGAAAAGGCGTCCAATATGGGTTACTGTATGGTTTTAGATGATATGTACCAGGAGCTAAAGCATAACTTTGATCTGCCAACTCTTAAATATCTGGAGGAGAAAGCAAAGGAAAAGAATTATTTTATTCTAACAATTGAAGAATATAAAAATTTATTAAACTATAGGGATAATCCTCATATCAATTTCTTAAAGAAGAAAGCAAATGAATTTAATTATCTTTTAGTTAAGAAGGATTCTTTCAAGAAGTTAATAGATACAAATATTCACCCAACTATAAAGTTCTTGGAAACAAAAGTCAATGCTCTAGACAAGATCATTATTACAAAACAGACATTACAAGAGTTGCAAATGGTTAAAGAAAATCCCAGTATTGAATTTTTAGCAGAGGCCTGTGAAAGGTTGAAATACGCTATTGTAAAAAAATCTGAACTTGAAGAACTAATAGAATTAAGAGAAAATACTCCAACAGAATTTTTAAAGGAACAGTTAGCATCAAAGGGTTATGAAATTATTTCAAAAGAAGATTTACATAAGTTATCTTCAATGTATGAACAACCTACTATGGAGTTTTTAATAGAGAGAGCTGCTACACTTCATTGTAGTATAATTAAGACAGTTGAATATGAAGCGATACTAAAAAATACCAACAGTCCGACCATTGAGTTTTTAAACAAGGCTGCTTCAAACTTACATCATATTGTTATTCCCTTGACCAAATATAATCAGTTAATGACATCCATGGAAAAACCTACTTTAGAATATTTGATAGATAAAGCTAACTTGTATAATATGGTTATTGTGGCATCTGATGAATATAATGAGCTTAACACATTACAGTCATCTCCTTCACGTAAATTTTTGGAGAAGAAAGCAAGCCAACAAGATTTGGTAATTATCCCAATAAGTGACTATCAAGAATTGATTGACTTGAAAAATATGCCATCTTTATCATTCCTTGAGGATAAAGCTAACAAACTAAACAAAGTCCTTGTTAGCTCAGAAGAATTTAATTTACTAAAAAATAGTATCAACTTTCCAACCATTGAATATATAAAAGAAAAAGCAAAAAGCTTTAGTAGTGTTGTTATACTTCGAACATCTTATGAAAAACTTACTAACATACAAAACAATCCACCATTACCCTTCTTAAAAGCTAAAGCTGAAAGACAGGAATACACTATTTTACCAATAAAAATGTTAACCGAATTACAAAATAATTTAAATAATCCTTCTTTGTCATATCTCAGGGAGAAAGCTTTAGAACTTAATTATTCAGTTATCAACAATGATGAGTTAGACAGACTAAGTCTTATTGAAAAATGCCCAACATTAGACTTTTTAAAGAAGAAATGTAACACCTTAGGATATAATGTTATTGAACTTTCGCTTTTCAATCACCTAAAAAATATTGAAAACAGCCCAAGTCTTAAGTTTATAAAAGAAAAAGTTTCAAAATTTGATTCTGTAGTTATAAAAAAAGATCAATTTGAAGAACTTTTACAAAATAAAATCAATCCCGATATGGAATTCTTAAAATCTAGTATTGAAAAAATGAATTATTCAATCATTGAAACAAACGTCTTACAAGATTATCAATCTCTTCAAAATAAACCCTCACTATCTTTTTTGAATGAAAAAGTCGCGATGTATGATTCCGTGATAATTTCCAAGAAAGAGATCACCGAATTAAGAAATAATTTAGAAAATCCAAAGGAAGAATTTTTAATTGAAAAAGCAAGGTTGATTGGGAAATTGATAGTGAATGAAAATATTTATTCACAACAACAAACTTTATTGGAAAACCCAACAATTGCATATTTACAAATTCATGCAAAGAAAAATAAATACAATCTAATAGAAGAAAACAAATTAAGTGAACTCTATAGCAATATTGAAAATCCTTCCTTGCAATACCTAAAGTCAAAATGCGTAAAATTTAATAATGTCTTGATTGCTCAAGATGAACTAGTATCCCTAAAGGAGAAATTAAACCATCCAACTTTACAATATTTAGAGGAAAAAGCATCGAGTCTACAATATTCCTTGATTGAATCCAAACAATTAGATAAATTGTATGAGATGATACAACATCCATCAATAGATTACCTACTGAAAAATGCAAAAGTTTTTGATAAAATGTTATTAGACACACAAGAATATATGAGTTTGCAGAAGAACATAAATGAACCATCTTCTGCATATTTAAAAGAAAAATGCACATTACTGGGATTAAGTACCATTGAAACATCTAAATTAAATAAATTAAACCATATCATAGAGAATCCTGATATTGATTTATTAAATAGAGGTGCTAAATTACACAACTACCATTTAATATCTAAAGATGACGAACGTGACTTAAAGAATGTTGTATCAGATATGGGCTTTAGGTTACAAGAAAAAGATTATTCTATAGAAGAATTATCAGAGAAAGCAAAAGAATTGGGAATGATAATGCTAAGTGTCGAGAAATATGAGCAGTTACAAGAAAAATTATCAAGAAATGAGACAAAGATTAAAAAATTCGTAAACTCTCCTTCTCATAAAGAGCTACTTCAGCAAGTCAATGCGCTAGGTTACATTCCTTTGAAGAAAAATGTATATGGTAGATTACAAGAAAAAGTAGTATTAAATAGAATTCAATTAAAAACAAGAGCTTTGCAGATGGGTTACCATGTTATATCAATTAGTAAATACCAGGAATTGACTGCAAAAGACTCTCGTAAACTTGATAAAATTGACCAACAAAAAATATCGCAAAAAGCAAATAATATAAATGAACTTATAAAACAAGCTATAGAACTGGGTATTTCATGCGTTCCTAACAAAGCTTTTATCTCTGACAGCCCACTGTCTAAAACTTCAAAGAAGGAAGATATTTTATTAGTAACAAAACCTTATTATGAAAATCTAATTTTGACAGGTACTACTAAAGCTGCAGCCTTGGATGATAAGGAAATATTAAATGAAGTAAAGAGGCGTGGTATAAGAGGGATGGAATTTGGAAATTCAACTTCAAATAAAACTAATTCATTTAGAAGATCTATATCTACGAATACTGTATCACTAAGAAAACAAGCAACTAATTTAAGATCTACACAGCATCAAATAGAATCGTCAGTCAAAACAAAAACACTGTCGTCTATAAGTAGGGACAGTAGTATTGATAATTTATCCTGTTTTCATATGAATAAAGGAAATACACCAACAAAACCTGGTACAAAACTTCCTTTATCATTACGTCAATCAACACCATTTCCTCTATCTACTTCTTCTTCCACACAATCTATATCATCATCAAAGGCTACTGCTATAACTCCTATTACAAAGTCTACGAAGTTGGTAAGCCATTACCAACATAAAAAAAGCAATAACTCTTTACAATCAATATTCTTTGAAAATGAAAAAGATGTAGACGACGCCATTACTAAATCTTTGACAAAGACATTTGTTGGTGAATATCTATCAAAGAGATATTCTAAATATAGTATAATAGACAATCCATCCTTTACTCATGAAAGGTATATGTGGATTCAACCATATACCATGACTCTTCATTGGAGTAATCAAGATCCTAGAACAAGTACTGAAAATAAAGTGAACAGTAAAAGTATTCCAATTTGTCATGTCAGAAGTGTTATCAATGACCATTATAATTCTGGTTTAATGGGTAAAGAAATGTATTTCAAGAGTATTATGGTGTTAGATAATAACAGCCATCATGTTATATTTACATGCCCAAATAAGAAATCTCACGAGACTTGGTTTAAATCTTTATCCTATCTTATTGAAAGATTATCTAACTAAAGATTATATTTTCTGTTGTAATATATGCATATAAATATTAAACGATTGTACATAAAAATTTAAAGATTAAACAATCTATATATACACATATATATAAAAAAATTCCCATAAATAAAAAAACCATTTATGATGGAAAATGTTGTCAAACATTTAAATATTTATAATATTAGTCAATTGGGCCATTAGAGATAAAAAGTTTTTTTGAAGAACAACTTAACATATAACATGTTAAATAACCAAATAAATAAATAAATAAATAAATAAATAAATAAATAAATAAATAAATAAATAAAACAGATAATAAATATCCACAAAAAAATGAAAAAAAATTAAATTCACCATGTAATCTTTTGTAATCTTTTAACATTTGCATGCAAATTTTTGTGTCGTGGTCTGACATGAGGTGTTCCACTAGTAGTAGAGTTAGCAGTGTTTAAATTAGATGTTGCATCACTATTATTACCATTGGTATTATCTAAATTCTCAATTATCGTGCCTGCCTTGACATATATTTGAATATCTCTATCATCACCATGCTTAAAAAGACATCTCTTACCATACGGACAATAACCTAATTTGTCCCAATTAATGCAAGGTTTTGTCCTAAAATTGTTTGATCTTTGTTTAAATTTCAATTCATTTAGACCGTGTGCAAATTGACATTTATTGCCATATTTACAAAACCCTTTAGTGGTAAAAGACTCACATAATTCTGTCTTATACAACTGTTTATTGATCTCTGCTTGTTGTTGTTGTTGTTGTTGCCTCAAAGGTGGAGGCATTACCACCGGTATATTATATAATGGAATATTTTGTTGCTGTTTTTGCAGTTGTTGTGACAGGATTTGTGATGGATAAGAAACATTGTTAGAAAATGTGTTTGAAAGAATATTATTATTATGATTATGATGTTGAGGATTACTATTATTGTTATTAATCTGGTTTGAAAATATATAATAGGAAGATGTATTTGGGTTATAATTAAGGTAATTATGGTTAATGTGATTATTAGATAAGGATAGCTTTTGTAAATTTTCTGTTGTCAATGGCAAACTATGATTAAAACTATGATTGATATCTACTTCTAATAAATTTCTTCGATCAATGCTATTATTATTATGACTATTATCATTATTATTACCATTTAAATGATTCTGTATACCATAATATGATAGCTGATAATCATTTGGTCTTAAATTTATCTGATTTTGATTGTTTATTATTGGGGAAGAATGATAATAATTGGAATATAATAAATTATTATTATTACTATTACTATTACTATTGTTATTATCATTATCATTGGTATCGTTATCATTTGTGTCTTCATTCAACAATGATTTTAAATAATAATCTTCAATTTCTTTTATCTTTAGTGCATATTCTATTGAATCATCATTAGTATTCTTATTAGAGACCGCTGAGCCTATATTATTGTTATATATGGATGCATAATGGTCATCATTGATAAAGTTATTAGCACTATTACCATTATTATTATTATTATTATTAATCAATTGTGTTATACAACTTGAATTATCCATTTCATGAGTCGATGAATCCCGAATGTATGCAGTTGTTGTTGCGGTAGTACTAGTACTAGTAATAGCAGTAGCCAATTTGGTAGCAGTAGATTTAGTTACACTTGATGATAATGATGACAAAGAAGATGGTTCAATAATATTTGTATCAAACAACACTGCTTGTAAAAATGGTTTTGTGTTGGATCCACCAGCAACAGTTGTAAAAGGAGATGAGTTTGTGACCAGGTGATAATTTTTATGTTCAAGATTAGTGAAATCAATAGATAGCATATCATAAACCAAGTAAAAAAATAAATATATGTAGAAGAAGACAAATCAGAAAAAAAACAACGACAACAACAACAACAACAACAACAAACAAATAAATAAAAAGATATAAAACAAAAAGAAGCAAGTCAACTTCTAAGATTCTAGATAAGTTATAAAGATGCGAATAAAGGTGGAGATGAGCTAATAAATAATTTATCTGTTAATATTATCTTGTGCGATTCTCTATTTATTTCTATTTTTTTTTTTTTCGCTACTTTTTGCACTTTAGAGGACAACTTTCCCAATTAAGAAAAAGCACACAGACTCAAAAGAAGAATTTTTTTTTTTTGCACGTTAAGTTCTTGAGGAATTTCTGTATTCTCAATATCGTGAAACAAATATTATGTAAGGGAGTAATATCCACGTCTGTATCTCACATTCATATTAGTAGCAGTAGCAATACTAGTTGATTATAGTTGCAACGACATTGTTAAGTATCCATACATACGTATATATATACGAAAAGGGAGAAGGTAAACTAAACTGTCGACAGTAATAATTTTTTTTTATTTCTCTTATAGTTGATTGAGGGTCTCTTTTGAGTGTTGTTTTGTTTGTTGCACAGTGCACCCTCTTAGTGAGTTAATTTTTAACTGAGACGATTTCCATAGCAACACTGCACCTTCCCTCTCACGTCATTTTCTACCATTCTTTTTCTCTTTTCTTTTTTTGTTTTCTATTTTTTTTTTTACAGGTGCACTTCTAATAGCCTCAGAAATCAACTTTACAGCATCAACTATCCATACATAGTTTGTGTACAAATCCCTAGTTGCATTCTACTAAAAGTATGAAAAAGAAAAAAAAATATTGAATTACTATCTGGCCAACACATGTTCCAGATAAATTTTCTTTGTAGATTAACAGGGCAGGATTGCCACAATTTTAATCTTATCCACATCCGTGTGGTTATTGTGGCAGCAACAGCAACAGCAACAATATATTAGCATGTCTCCTATTGATTTGTAATATGCTGTTATTATTATTATTATTATTATTATTATTTCTTAGTCCATCTTCTTGACACCCTATCTTGTCTTTGTCTTCGGCTCCAACATGTGGACATAAGTGCTTACATTACCTAGCAGATTTCAGTCATCTTTTGAAATGACGCAAATCTAAGAAAAGACACAATAATCACACCCCAACATTAAAATAGGGTTGCACTTTTTTTACCCTTCTGATTGACAAATTTAAGATAGGGTTAACAAAATAATTTTTGTTTTTTCATTTTTTTTTTGTAGTTCGATAGTTCGATGGATTTGAAATTTGTCAAGAGCAGAAAATTTTTGTAGGAAAATAAAACAATGTAATAAAAACATTCATTATATTAATGTATTGATTGTAAAAAAAAATAAACAGAAACAAAAATTAAAAGACAAACCAATTTAGAAGCAGTGATATTCATTATTTCAGATTGTCTGTCTCACCACATTTCAAGAACACTTTTTAACAATTTTAAGAATCTTGGTAATTTTAGTAAGAATTCATAATCGTATATATTATAACATATATACAATCATATAAGATATAACAAACCACAGAAAAACAGAGCACATCCACTAGTGTTACCATGAATTATAAAGAAGAACAAGATCAGGAACTGGAAGTCCTTCAATCCATCTATCCAGATGAATTGGCAGTGTTAAACAGCCATTATCCAAATATATCCTTCGAAGTATCACTTTTATTGGAGCTAGACCAATTAGATGACCTAATCATCGAATCATTGACTAAAAAACACACCCTTTTGGTCCAAATAACTTTACCTGAATCTTATCCTGACGAGACTCCAATAGTTTCGATTTCTTGTCATGAAGAATATGTAAACGGAGATGACGAAGTAGACGATGCTGATGAGGGTGAAGATGAACCTGAATTCGACAGCCATGGGAACAAAATAATAAGTAAACTGGAAAACATACCAAATTCTATATCATTTGACAGTTTCATACCTATTTTACTTAACGAAAGGATAAATAACGATGAATATATGGAGGATGAAATGATGGTGATGAAGGGGATGCAAATGTGTTTCACTCTACTTTCTTCTATAAAAGAACAATGTGAAAACTGGTTTTTAAACGAGTTGAAAGAAAGAGAATTGAAACATCAAAGAGAGATTGAGTTGAAAGAAAAGAAGGAGAACGCTAAATTTATAGGTACCAAAGTTACAAGGGAGTCTTACTTGAAGTGGAGGGAAGATTTTAGAAAAAAATTAAAATTAGATGAGAGAGATCAACTAAGAAGATTGAAGGCACATAATGGTAAATTGACTGGTAAACAAATGTTTGAACAAGGTCTTGTTGGTACTGAAGATGAAGAGACTGGAGATATCGATGGTGAAGATGGTGATGGTGATAGCAACGACGGTATTAACACAAATATGAAGGATTCTGTTGCTGATGCTTCATTATCAAATAACATTAAAGATTTAAAGATTTAAAGATTTTTAAATCCTAAAGTTCTACAAGAAAAAAAAAACTAATAAAACAAAAGAGAATTTTGTAACATTACATTACACTATACTACAACATGATGTAATACATATATATATATATATTAATAAACTAAGTTATTTTATATTAGAGATTTAGAATTATTAAATAAGTCTGCAAATAAGTCCTTATCATTCAAAGAAGTAGTTTTATTATTATTATTATTATTATTATTATTATTATTATTATTATTAGTGGTACCAATGCTGCTGCCATTCAATAAATTATCTAGAGTTGTTGATGCATTTTTAGTGATAGTAGTAGCAGTGTTTATTGTCGTGGTATTTAGTTCACTTTGGAAATCACCAAAGCCATCATCGTCATCGTCGTCGTTGCTATTATCATCCTTAGTATGGTTTCCAACGTCACTAGAACGGAATACATTCAAATTGGTAATATTGGAAGTAGGTGTACCTGCTAAACTATTATTATTATTATTATTGTTGTTGTTGTCGTTTGTGTTTGTACTTGTTGTTGTTGTTGTTGTTGAATCGAAATCAAGATCCAATAAATCTGGAACATGTTGTTCTTGTTGTTTTTGATGTTGTAATTTCATTTGTTCACGGTTCTTTCTTTGTTGTTCAGAAGTTTTGATTCTTTCTCTTAAGATTTCTCTTCTCTGTCTTCTTTGTTCTTCTAAACTTATAACTTGATTACGTCTATTATGTGTGCTATTATTATTATTATTATTATTATTATTATTATGCATTACATATGATGTTGATGATGATGAAGAAGAGGAGGAAGAGGGAAAAGAAGAAGGGGCATTAGATGTCGCCACTGCTCCAACTGTGAATTCATTAAAGTCGTCATCGAAATCATCATCAACATCAAACCCTTGTGCTGTATCCATTACATGGTCACCAGAATAGGATGGATGATTATATCTGTTATGCTGACCAGCCACGACCCCAGTCAAGTCGTTATTAAAACCGCCTGCTGCATTATTATTTTTAATCTTTAATAAGTTCTTCTTATTCTTCAACCTTTCTCTTTCCAAAAAATGTGGATCGTCCAAATATTGTAAGATCAATTCGTTTTTCTTTTTTATACCACGCTCATGGACCTCCATCTTCCCATCATTTGAGAATTTGATTTTAAAGTTGGTAACTTCTCTTGTCAAAATGTGTTTGTGTGCATTCAAGCAACTCTTAATCTGGTTCAGTTCGTCACCGTCGTCGACATTCAGTAGAAGGAATTCCAAGACGACAAGACATTTCAACACCACACGCCATTCAGACCCATAGTTAACATATTCTTTCCTTGCCTTCTCATAAAGATTCTTTGGTCTCTGAGCGATATGGTCGATCAATCTTTTGAGAATGTATTCGGTCATTAGATACATGGGGATCTGATATCTGTTTCTCAAAACTTTAGAAAGATGTTTCGGTGTGGGACCCCAGGAGTCTGTGTTTGTGGCTCTTCTAATATCGATCTGGTATGGTTCATACTGCACTATAACGTTTTGAGCGAATCTGGCAGCGTTACGGATATCATGGATACCTAAATTCTGTAGTTTCTTAGATAAAGAGTCCATGTTCTGATAGTAAACCACTTCTCTTCAAATATCAAGATTGAAATCGAAAACAAAATCAAAAACAAGGACAAAAAATAAAAAAAAGGATATAAATAAAGAAATAAATTGACTTATATGCTATGAAATTGACCGATGTAGATAGAGGTTAGTTAAGGATCCTTATGGTAAAAAGATCTACCAATGATTCTATTTATCTGTTTAGCTGGTGACTATCAGAAGTAACAGAGAAAGAAGATAAATCAAAAATACACACACACACACACACACACACACAAGATACAAATTGTTTTATCACATTACAGAAAATGACCCTACGTAATGTCTAAGCTAAGCCAAGCTAACATACATCCTAGCTTCTGTCTTCCCCCTTCCTATGCATACAACGGACATCAAGACCATGAATGATAGTTGAAAGTCCCTTGCACTGAAAATCGACTCTTGCTTTCCAAATTCGCCCAACACAACAAAAAAAAATCTCTGCGTCGTTTTCTTTGCGACTTCCAAACAAAAAAAAAAAAGAAATAAAAAGAAAAAGAAAAGGAAAAAAAAAGCAATTATCGGCTTTTCCATTTTGATCCGCGGACATCCGTACACCAGATTATGTGTATATGTGCGGGTAACCACAATGGGACTCTCAAAGAAAAAAAAAAAAAAAACAGAAAAAAACAAACAAACCCTAAAACGCGAACTGTCCATCCAACCATTTTCCTTCACTTCTTTACACATCACACAAACACAAACACACACACGCATATATATTCTTTGTATATATATATATGCACCAAAATATTATATTGATTTAGATATAGTGTTGAGAATAATATGTGGTTTCTCTACACAAATATATACATACTGTGACGAGTTGTTACTATTACTTTTTTTCTGCTTTTTTTTTCTAATCGACAATGTCAGCCGTGTTAACAGTTGTTTCCTTTGTCTGTTCATTATTCGTTGCATCACTTTTCTCTGATTGATAATCTTGTTTTAATTGCTCAAAATCTTTTTCATCTTCTAATAACGCCTTAACCCCAACAACTTCTGCTTCATCGAATAATTCTAACATTTTCTCACCTTCCTCGTACGAATATTCTTCAAAGACAGCATTCACATTGTCTAAATTACCTGTCTTAATAGCTTCTTGCATCTTTAATGGAATCTTAGAGAATGCCTTACACCTTCTAACCTCATTTGGATCACTTGAACCAAAATCTGGCAATGTTATAGCCAATTCTGTAGAATCGTCCAACGATCTTAACTGTATAATAGCATTAGCTTCTTCATCCCCTGCTTCTCCATCCGCATTTTCTTGCTGAATGATTTTACAACGTTCTTTAATATGGTTATATTTGGTTTTAACAGAATCTAAAAATGTGTCTTTACCCCTGGTATCGACGCCATTGCCACCACCATTGATTAATAGCACCTTGCCAAAAAACATTTTGATAACTTTCTCCATCTCATCAACATTTAAAAATGGGATTTTTTTCAACTGGTACAATTCAATAATATATGACATGATTTCCGCTTGATGAACAATCTGATACGTCATCTTTGTATCATTAGACAATTCATATTCAAACGCTTTCATCATTAATGCATCCTTTTGTTGTTCGGATAATATCTCCATATGTTTCAATAAAAAGGATTCTGACTTTTCACATTCATCTGTCGAAATCTTTAGGCCAAACTCTTCTGTCAAGGGATGTAATTTACCAATATTGTCCTCACTTGTACCGTAGTCAATAAATTGCTTGTACAACTTAACTATGTCATTGTCTAGAATTGGATTTGTCTTAGCAGTGTCGTTGTTATTACTGATATCATTTTTGTTGCTCTTATTCATCTCCAAATTCTTCAAAGTATTTTGCAAAGTCTTTGCATCTTCTTCAACACTTGATTTATTAATAAAACTACTATCAAAACCAATGTGGATGTCTTCTGAGGAGATATGCTCATTCTTCTCCTTGTACAATTGAGTCAATTTCTGCAACACTTCTTCTGTGACTTTATCTATCTTTTCACGGTGTTTCAAAAAATATTTTTTAATCAACTCGCTATCGTTTGGATCTAACCCATCTTTCTTAATATCATGTTTCAATTGATCAAACAAATCCTCCACCATCTCGTTATAAGTTCCAATATCAGGATCAACATTCTCCCCAACACACTTTTCAGATTTATCAAAGTTAGAATTTAAAAATTTGGTGATCCGGTCAAGGTCATTGAATTGGTCAACAGGCAATAACTGGATCAATTTATCCACACGTTTGTTCAATTGATGGTACATCTTCAACTGGGTTTCCAAATTCTTTATATCTCTGTTTCTTTCTTCTCTCTTTTGATGGATAGATTGTTGTTTCCATCTGATAAATGACCGTTTATCCACATTTGGATGGACTTCTATATCTGAATCATCAGACAATTCAATCTTATCCCATTTAGAATAATCAATAGGCATCACTGTAATCTTATTTTTTTACTTTCTCTTTCTCTCTCTCTCTCCTTCTACAAATAAATAAATAAATAAATAAATATATGTATTAGTGTGTGTTAGTGTGTGTTCTTATCTCACCAAAGACTGCATGTTGCATGTATATAAACGATCTTGTGTGGTACTTTTTCTATGTGACAACATCTTAGGGAGGAGAAGGGCAGGAGGAGAAAAAAAAAGATAAAAGAAGGCAGAAAAAGAAAAGAAAATGGAAAAATTTCCATCAGTGCCCTAATTAGCATCTCTCTTCTTTTTGGAAAAACCAGCTAGCATTACTCCTCAACCCTAACGACTCATACATACATTCATGCACATTGTATAACGTAACTACACAGAACGTAGAGGAAAGAGAATGAAACATAATAAGATATGACACGATAGAATAAGATAAAATGAACAATTTTGGTCGAATAATATATACAAATATATATTTGTTCATGTATGTGTCGAGTTTATCGATAGAAATCTGGACGTCCAATGTTTAATCCATATTCTTCTACGGCACTGCTTAGATCATTGATTGTCAACACAACCTTCGACTGTGTGGTCTTTTCATTTTGTTGCTGCTGTTGCTGTGTCAATGGTTGCTGTTGTCCAGGTTGTTGTTGGTTCAACATCAATTGCCTAGCCCTTGCTTGTCCATTATTTGCATTGTTAACCGCTATCCCTGACCTGATACGTGAATATTCATACGCGTCATTGGCTATATCACTTACAAATTTCTGTGTCACTAAACCCAATAACCTTTTCACTCTTATATCAACATCATCAAACCCATTCTTTCTCATATAATATTCAATTACTGCATCCGGTATTATGGGCGGATTATCTACCATTAAATCAAGTATTTCTTCTAACGTCTTATCTTTCCTTGTGAATTCTGGGATACCGAATATATTATTTAGACCGTCATCAACCATTAAGTTGTTGTTATCTGTCCCACTCTTAATAGCCGATCCCATTATTTCACCTTCTTCCTCATCATTGAATTCATCATCTACCTCAATATCATCTTTCTCTTTCTCATTTGAATTTTCCTCTTCATATATTTTACTCTCTTGTATCTGATCTTTCATCTCATTCGTATCAAGCTTATTGTTATTATTATTGACATTATCAATATTATAAGTGCTAGTAATGTTATTATCATTCATTATTATTCTATTATTTTCTTGTTCAATATCCATCTTGGGTATATGGGCGTATGGGAAGTATATGTATATATTATATCAAAACTACTTGTTGGCTCTCTCACCTAATTCTATAAACCCTTCTCTTAACCACTTTAATAGAATTATCCTCCCCAAAGAATATATATATATATCTTTGTCTTTGAAATATTTGCAAAGTAAAGTTTTACTTATGCTTTTATTTTTTATTTTTATTTCTTTGTTTAATTATCTTTTTTTTTTTTTTGCTTCACAGTTTATTTTTTTTTTTCTTTTAGAAGAAACTTTGGACATTATATTTGAAGGATTTGATTAATCAAATAATAAGTGATTAAAAAAAAAAATCGATTGTTGTAAAGTGAAACCTATTGCTGATTTAAACTTGTACCTACTCACTGAATCAACAGGGTGATCCTGAGTGCTTTGAAAAAACAAACAAACAAGCAATTCTCAAATGACAAGCCATAGTAATAATAATATTGCTGATAATGACCCTTTTGGATATCTTGAATCAGATCTACGAAAGTTCTATAATTTAAAAGATTTAAATCCAATGAACTCATGGGTCAATGATTCAATTCTTCAATTTGATTTAAATAAATATTATAGTAATAATGACAGTGGTAATGTCATTGGTGATAGCGGTAGTGACAATAATGATGCTGTTGTCCCTAAAAATACTGGCTACTCTATGATTAATAGTTTAGATATGGAGTCTGTTGATTCCAATTTATATGAAATTTTAAAAGATTTAGTAGATAAACAACAAATAATTAATAACCATAGTAACAGTAACAATAATGGCATGATAGATGATAACGACATGCAAACTGGTCAATATTTTCAAGATGTTAAAGATCCATTGAATCAAAAACATCTATTAAAAGATTTCATAACTAACAATTCTTTAACACAAGATAATAATAATAACAATAATATTCGTTCGTACTTAATAAATCAAAAGAGTTTTGATGTTAAAAAATTTTTGAAAGATATCCATTCAAAGGACACTTTCCAAGACTTAACAAAATCTTTAGATGATTTGAATCTTGATTTACAATCGCAATCAGTTTATTTACAAAATTTGGTCGAAAAAAATTTTATTAAATATGTAAAGATCAAAAATAGATTGGATTCTATCTATAAACAATTTTATCAAAATACTTCAACATCAGGAGTAAACAACAACAGCAATACTAGTATTGGTAAAACAACATTTTCAACTGCTGATAACCCAACAAACAATCCCATGAATATTGACGTAGAAAATTTAAATGAAAGGGTCAAGGAATCTATTAGATCCATTAATTTAAAATTGAAACCCTTGATCGACACGAAAACAAAAATTAACAACTATAGCTTAACGAAACAGTTTATTGAATACAATAAAGATTATTTTAATTTACCTAAAGATTTAAATAATTTATTGTATTCAAATGACTACCAAAATTTTATTCTACAATATAATAAAGGTGTAAGATTATATGAAGATTTAAATAATACATATGATTTAATTCCATTGAATGAGAAAAACTCAGACCAAAAACAACGACAGACCAAAATCATTGAATTAATTTGGAATCAAGTAGAAAATATCCGTAACTCTTATAGAGATCAAATATGGAATAAACTGATTAATTCTTCAATTAATGAGTCCAATGAATTTATACCATTACTTTCAAAATTATTGGATTTAAAAATCGAATCTAATCCAATACCGGATTTAGTTCATATCTGTCTAACTAATATTGAAAATGACTTTATTCAAATCATTAAAAAATCTTTTAAGAAAATTATTGTTGCACAAAAAAATATTTTAAATATTAATGTCAATGATATTGATTCAAACAACAGTAACACCACCAATGAACTTCAATTTGATGAAAATGATGGCGTTGACCTTTCATATTACACTTTAATTAATGAGAATATTATAATATCACCTTATTCAAGAACAACCACAACAACAAGTATTATGGATGGTGAAATTTCAAATTACGAACGATCACACAATTCTACTGATTTTTTTACTTTTTCTAACATCTCTAATCTAGGCCATTCTTCTAGACAAAATTTAAAAGAGTCTTCAACACCAATTTTATCTAGTGTTTTAACTGATTCACCTCTAGTCATCGAGATGTGGTTGATTATTTTGAAATATATCAACGATCTAACTGTTACAATAAACAAATTTATTGAATCATGGGAAAATATAGATAAATTTTTAAATAATACATATCAAAGAATGTTAGCTAATGATAAAAGAAAGGACGATATTTTAATTGAAGATAATGTAAAAGCTAAAAATAATGACTACCATCATTATAACAATAAATTAACTAATGGTGCATCTCATCACAATGGTACAGAAGTTTCAATTGATGAAATCGAGGAATTTTTAAAATTAACACAGGAAGAGAAAGATGAAATTAAACACAAAGGTGAAAAAATAATTAATCTTTTATGTAATAATCTATTATCGTTTTTCCAGTCAACACAAGAGACTTTACCATCTGTAAATATCAAAAATGATACAATCACCACAGATTTTACTAACAATCTTAATGAAGGGACTGACAATAACCAGTATGGTGTACCCTCAAACTATGGATTTATCCCTCCAAGAGCCAATGGACTAAGTTGCCTAAGATATTTACCTCTGATCCTTGAACCAATGTTAAAGAGCTTTAGTAATATAGCTCAGTTAAATATCGATTCTTCAATAAATTCATCAATTAAACAATTATCCACTATAATAATTGAAAGATGTATTGGTGCACTCTCTTCTACAAAATTAAGGGATATATCGAGATTTTATCTGCTAGAAGATTGGAAAATAACTACAAAGATTCAAGAAATCATCGATAACCGTAATTCAAGCACCACTACTACTAATAATTATTATGAGAATGAAAAAAGTGAAAAGAACTATGAATTTGGAGTCACAGGTCTTCCTGATATTGTTCTTGGGTTTCAACAATTTAGTATTCAAACAGTAAGAGACATTTTATTTGCATATGAAAGGTTACCCACTGTAAACAACATTTGTATTGTTAGTCCACCAACCAAAAAAATGCTAATTGATGTAGAAATACAACAAATTATTTCATTAGAAGCTGTTCTAGAAGCAATTTTGAAGAATGCAACAAAGGATAAAAATAACCCAAGAAATGTTCATACTTTATTAACATTAACAAACTTGGAATATATCAAAGAAGTTACATTCCCAGAGACGTTAAATTACTTTGATGATCTATTTGAATGGAATCTTAAAGATAAACCTTTAGAGATTTTTAATCTTTTAGATAAAATGGAGAAATCAATTTTTGGGAATTATATATCTGATTTGAAGATAAATTTAAAGAATATTTTAGAAAGCAAATTCCATCAAATTGATTGGATAAATTATACATCCAACTCTTTTAGAGTCAGCGATTATATTATTGAAAGTTTAATGTTTTTGATTACTATCCATAGTGAATGTTTTAAAGTTGGACCACAATTAATCAACAAGATATTAAAGGAGACTCAATTGTTTATCTCTAAATACCTTTTCGAATCATTTAAACCATATGTTGGTAAGATTTCATCAGATGGACTACTCCAACTTTGTGTAGATATAACATTTTTCCAAGAAGTATTAGGTAAATTATTGGAACAAGAAACCAAAGTAACGTTAAAGGCTTGTTTACAAAATTGTTTCCAAAACCATATTGAAAAAATGGATAAATGTGTTATTGATATGGAACCAATTGTTCAGTCAAATCTAAATAGAACGGAGATACAATTTGCTGCTTTTAAATGATTAATCTATATATCTATATATACATATAATATGTAACAACAATTCCAGACTCAAGAGACAAAAGTAAACAAGTCCTATTAGGAATAGTGTTCACCATGCTTTTTTAAATTGATAATCGTGTAAAGTGGATGTATACCTTTAATACAATCAACCAATAGATTAGAATCGTCATATAACGTTTTTGTGATAACATTATCTAATTTTGCAGAAAAAGATTCATCGACAACGAATGAATCAATTGAATCATCAAATTTGATTATTTTAACAAAATTTTTGTTTCCACACTCATGGTTATCTAAAGAGACCACAAAATGATCCTCTTCATCACTTGATAGAGAAATAATATTAGCAGGCAATTCTAAAGTCTGTTTTAAGGATAGGATACCTTCATTTGGATCGACATTTAAAATAAATAAAAGCTTAGTAGCTTCCACATAGAAGGCAACGTACGACAAAGTGCTTAAGGAGGCCAATTTAGCGACACAATATTCAATAATAGAGTTCTCCTCGTTTTGAAATCTGACTTCTGCTAAATGAGAATCAGTCAAATGTAGCTTAATATCCTTTGCATAATTATATGTAGATATAAGCTTTCCAGTCTCCCAATTCCATAAAAAGACACAATCATCACCACCTGCACTTAATAACCATTCGGACCTCCAATTGGGTGATATTATACTACTGATAAATTCTTTATGACCAAATAACCAATTGTTGATAACATATGTCTTTGGATAATTGACAATTTCGATATGCTCATCACGATCGGTAACAATTACATAATCTTTGCCGTTATGAATATTATGCTTCAATAAGATATCAGTTAACATTGACACCTGACCCAATAGTGGTCTTCTTTCGCCTTGAACTTCTTCATTGTATGGTTCATCATTTTTAACATCTATAGAATAAACATCGCCAAATTTATCAGCCACTAAAAGAATATTTTCATCATTGGTCAAAGTAATTGCATTTGGTCTCTTAGCAAAAGTTTCTCTCTTTCTAACAGATAAACAATTCTCATTTGAATTAGAAGATAAATTGACATCTAATATAACAATACCCTTATTTGAATCGGTACATGCAACAAGTGATTTCCCCTTATTAAAAATCTTCAACTTTCTTACATTAGCATTCAATGAAAAAGACTCAGATATTGGGACTTCTTTATCAAGTTGTGGTTTAGTAACAGTAGTAGTACTCGTAGTAGATGCTACTGATTCACCAGAATTAGTTTTAATCTTTTTATTCTTGAAGTTAACCTTTTTTGCTTGTTCTGCTAGAAAATTGTCAACCCACTTACCTACTTGCTTATATTCATTATTTATACAACGGTATACCACTATTGTGTTCTTGATTACGGTATAGACTTGTTTGTTGGTACTGTCAACAACAAAATCTTGCACTGGATGAATAAATCCCATATTAAAAACAAACCTTTTTTTATTTTTTTTTTTCTTCTTCTGTGCACCTGCTCCTCTAATTCTACTCCTTAAACAATCACCCGACCATTCAAGTATTCACACAATATAACATCCTATTTTTTTACCTTGTTTTCTCAATCCAATTGAACAGCTTAGTTCACATCGGTCCCACAACGTATTGCATCGTTGTAAACAAATTTCAAACCTTTCAGGTAAATCTTTCACTTCTCGTAGTAAAGAAGACTATTAAAAAAAAAAAATTTTTTCACTATTTCCTGATTGGGAAAAAGCTTTAAATTTTTAAAATATAGTCAAAAAGTTTCTTTTTATTTTTGTTCCTCCTGTCTCGTTTAAAGGGAACTTTTTTTATATTAACAGTAGCAACTTAAATATGTAGTATACATCAGCCGTCAAGGCTGTTCCAACGGCTTGAATGTCACCCAGTAGTGGTTTGTATTTCACTTCAAGTATATGTTTTTTTTTATTTCATATTTTTTTATCTCTAGATTCGTTATAAATTAGCTAAGTTTTCGAAGTTTACTGAGTTATTAATTGCTAATTTACTGCTATTACTGAAAGTTATTAGATCGTTTATTTAAAAAAAAAAAAAGAGTATTACTTATCAGTTTCCTATACAGAATGTCTAATTTAATAGAATTGCAAAAAAATTACGTACTGAACATATTAGATGAAATCCAGACGGTTCATAATATCAAATTTTTGGTAATTGACAAAACAGTAGAAACTATTTTCCAATATTTGTTTAAGGATTCCCGTGAACTGTTAAATCATGTCACTACAGTTGATCGAATTGACTCTCCAACAAGAAAGGGACAAAGTGATGTAGAAGTCATCTATATGGTTCAAGAAAGTAAATTTAATATGAATTGTATGGATGCAGATTTTGCCGGTGGTATTAATAAATATAAGAGTGCCTATGTTAGATTCATAGCATCTCCAGGTGATTATCTAGTTAAATACTTTAATGATTTGAGATATTTACCCCAATATTTAAATGATGTTAGAGAGATCAAAATTGGGTTTATACCAAAGGAATCTCAATTTTTCCAGACTATTGATATTGATAAACCTTTGCAAATATTTTATAATCAAAATTGTCATGATTTGATCGAGAAAAATTTGAAAAGAACACTTGAATCTTTATTAAACCTTTGTATTATTACTGGAGAATATCCGATAATTAGATATTCAAAAGCTACACAGAGTCAGTTAGATGTAACTCCAGCAGCAAAATTGGCAGAGAAGTTGGCGTTTATGTTTCAACAATATTTAGATGCATATGCAAGGGAACATGAAGATTTCCCACCTCCTTCAAATAGACCACGTGCCATTATGCTCATCACTGACAGGAGCTTGGATCCATTTAGCCTATTTATACATGATTTTGCATATCAACCTATGGTATATGACTTATCTGAACATCTTGATCTAAAAACGGGAGAATATAAATATCAAGCAGAAAATGAATTGGGTGAAATGGAAGATAAAAGTTCTAAATTGTGTGATTTACTAGACCCTGATTGGATAGAGCTGAGACATCAGCATATAGTCAATGCTAATGAGTACCTAGGTGGGAAAATTAAAGAAATGATAGCCCGAAATCCGTTGCTTGTTGATAGATCTAAAATTAAAAACACATCAGATCTATTAAGTGTAGTGGCACATTTAAAAGATTTCGATGAGGAAAGAAGAAGAATGATTCTTCACAAAACTTTAATTGAAGAATGTTTAATGATTAACCATGAAAGATCTTTAGCAGATCTATCAGATTTAGAACAAACTTTAGCATCTTTTGGTATAGACATGGATGGACAAAAAGTGAAGCATATAACAGATCAATTTTTGGAACTTTTATTAAACAAGAAAGCTAATAAATTTGATAAAATTAGATACATTTTGATATATTCACTTTATCGTGGTGGTATAATTGAACAAGATTTAATCAAATTACTAAATTTTACTGGGATCAGTAACGAAGATGAAATGTTTAATCGCGTGATTAATATTTTTAAAAATTTCTCTCATCTAGCATTTAAATTAATTAAAAATAATACTGGTGATAAGCCCTTTGACAAAGAATGGTTCCATGATAGTATTGTCAAAGATCCCACCATTTTCAATTCTTCCAGATTTATTCCTGCCACAGGTAGTATATTATCCAAGGTCATCACTAACCCGTTATTATTAAACGAGGAATTTTTTCCCTTTGTTAAAGATAAACCAATCGAATTATTAAATGAAGACGAGATAGAAATTTTTAGTCAAACTGCAAGAGTCCAAAGTTCAACGTCGTTAAGAAATCAAAGACATAAAGCATCATGGACGAAATCTGGTGTAACTTTACCAATTAAAGAAAACAGACAGAGGTTTTTCTATTATTGCATTGGTGGAATTACGTTCACTGAAATTAAATCAGCTTATGATCAATCAAATTTAAAAGATAAAGATGTTTTTATTGGTAGTGATGGAGTTTTGACACCATTAGCTGCCATGGCAAGCATTGAATATCTAACAAAACCACGTGGTTTTTTCAAATTCAATGATGATAAAAAGGAGGATGCTACTGTACCAGATTATTTGTTAAAGGAATTGAATCCTGTATCTCAACCTATTTCACATATTCATTATCAAAGCAAGAATGCACCAACTAGGACTCAAGTATCCACTGCACAAAATAAACCACAACCTACAACAACCACCCCTGATGATAACGATAGTAAAAAGAAGAAAAAAAATAAATTCACTAGATTTTTGAAGAGAGACAAAAAGTAAAAGGATAAAATAAGAAAAATATATTAATAATGGTTTCATCTACTTCCTCTTGCCCAATAAGTATATATATGTAACTATATATGGTTGTTTTTATACCTGTTCATAACACAGGGATTTATAGTAATGACTCTAACGATAAGATTAAATTAATGTTGAGATTAATTTTTATAGCTATTCAAGACGCTGTTTGATATATATATATATATATATTTAATCATAATAAGTGTATCCCAATGAACTTAAACAGACTACACTCTGAATATGGAAAAAACACAATTAATAAATTGTTAATAGCGAAACAATATAAAATCCTATGATTAAGTTATCAAACAGTTCACTATGACGCTTTTGTATTGGAAACAAAAGAAGTTAGTATCAATACAAACATCATCAACTTAATCAAAATACGATTTATTAGAAATATCAAATATGGTAAGGATAGAATAATCACTTCACAAATTTCTTCATAAATTCTTTATGATAAACAGATTGTGTAATATTGTTCACATAAGTTTTACTCGTATTTAAATTATTGGTGGATGATTGGTTTGATTTTTTAGAGACTTTATTTTTATCTCTAGAAAAGGTCGTGCCTTGTCGCCATGATTTCTTTTTAATTTGTGATATGGGTACTTTAACGTCCTTGATATCATCTTCCAGACACTGTTCTTCCTTCTTCTCCTTTGCCAACCTTTTTTGTTTAAGGAGAGCTAGTTCCTCTTGTAATTGTTCTATTTCCTTTTCATCTTCCTCATCATCATCACTATAATTAATATCACTACTACTATTATTACTCTTATCTGAAATATCTTGAGTGTCTTTATCTTCAATCGAAAGAACTTTCTTTAACTCTTGTAACTCTGTATTTTCTAAGTAGTTCTTCTCTAAAACTATAGACCCAACATTGTCCTTAATATTCTTGTTAATATTACACTTTGCTTCATCTTTACTCTTACCAGCTATTTGGTCTCTATATTTTATTTTCTTGTGACCAGGAAGTAACCTAGCATGTTCAGTTGAAGTTGGTACATATCTCGAGACTTTTGCACCACTTCTAGCCTCTAACTGTGGTCTATGAGATGTTGTCATTAATCTACTACTATCAAAAAACTACCTTATTTATTTATTTATTTATTCGTTTATCTACCCATGTAGTTTAGATATTGTCTACATCTATTAGTGCTGAATAAGTGTACTCTTATCGTCTCCTGGATTGCATAATGATATGAACTGTGTTACTGTGCTATTTGGATATAGAGATGGATGAATAGTACACAATAGTCTATATTTAGAATATATTTAAAATCTAAAAATAAAAAAAAATTTTTTCTTTTTACATTGAAGACCTTTATTATTGATACAGACAATAATTGGCAAGCAAATAAGTGTGTATTTGACTAAAAATACTTAGTGGCTTTTCCTAAACAGAGGTTGGCTTGGTTTAAAGAGTGCTGGCAGATAAGGAGAAGTAAAAGTGAGAACAATCAAAATTTGGTTATATCGTTTCTTTTCATTCTACAAAAGGAACATTTTAATAAAATAGTACACTATATTACACTATAAAACAAAAAGATAGTATATTATTGCTGAACCATTATATGTCCCATTAATATGATTGATAGTAATAGTATAAACCAAAATTTAAATAATACTACTGTTCTTGAACGATTGAAAAATTCTAATAATGATGATGTGATGAAGGTTGTCGAGAGTAGTCAAACACTAAATGATGAAAATGGCCATAAGAACCATCAAGAGCAAGAAGAACAAGACCAAGTAGAAGAAGATATTGATAATATTTCTACTGTAGGTTATATATCAGTGAAAGATTTTGCATATGATGAATCAAATCCATTACATTATGGTTATTTTGAAGATGAACAAGATTTTGAAAATGAGCATTCAAATAATAATGACGACAGTAATAGTAATAATATTCATACATTAAATGGTAGTATAATAACAACAGAAGTTATAGAGAATCATAATGTAAATGAGGAGTATGATAACGGTTTTTCTCAGAGACCTCAGAGTTTAATGATCCCAGATGATTATATAATAAATCAAAAGGCGATAGCTTTATATGACTTTGAACCAGAAAACAATAATGAATTAGAACTGAAAGAAGGAGATATAGTTTTCATTAATTATAGACATGGTCAGGGTTGGTTAGTAGCTGAAAATTTAGCAAAGACTAAAACTGGATTTGTACCTGAGGAATTTGTGTCGTTTCTAGATTCAAATCAATCTTCCAATGATAATCAAGAAGAGACTAACCATAAGGTTACTGACATTGATAACAGTACTGAAGACATACCAAGACCGTTTTATTTAACTGAACTTATATCAAAAAATTTACAGCCTGACAAGACAAATGATGAAGACACATCTACCACTATTAATAATAAAACAACTCAATCCGATGATGAATGGGAAGATATTCAAGATGATTTCGATGAAAAATTAACAATATCAGAAGAACGAAAACTATAATACATATGTTAAATCCCTTATATATCTACATATATTATTATATTGCATTAGCATTTGTTAATTAAATACAAAAAAATATCTTTTATTATAGACATTTTTACATAAAACGTTAAGCAATATTATCTATGTTTGCGTATTTCTGTAAAGGTTACCCATATAATTGAAAGTACATATACTCTATTTGTTATTTTTGACTGATAAAATATATATGATTTATATATCTTCATTATCATCTGATAATTCATCAAAATCAACATCATCTTCAACTTCTTCTAAAAACTCGCCCTTTCTTAGTTTTTGCAACTCAGAATCAGGTATAGGCCCACCCAATTCCTGTAATAATGCATGAGTTCCATCAATTAATTCTTTTGATATGTCATCTGATGGATCGACATTTTCCCCTAATTTAGATGCAAAGCTTAATGCAATTCTAGATTCATTTATATTGTCTAAAACATCTTGATCGTTTAGATCTATTGGTACCTCCTGTATATGTGAATTGAATTCATAAATAGTTTCTGGAATTAACGAAATATTTGGATTACTCTTTTTAAAAGTCTCCAATTTACAAATTAAATAGTTTGTGAAACCTTCTAAATAATATGCTTCCAAATTGTCTTCATCTATTTCCTTAACTAAGGCTTCCACTTTTAATGCAATCTCGTATAAACCAACCTCCATACACATTTTAGCCAGCGATATTAAAGGTTGTAAAAGATTTACATAATCTTCATGTGATGCATTATTACTAGCACTCCCACTATTGCTATTATTATTCATAATATCTTCAGCGATTGACTTCTTTTTAATTTCAAAATATTTCCAGGCTTGAGTGAAAGCTTTGCTTGCATCACTAAACCTTTGTTGAGATATTCTAATAGAACCAAGTGTGGACCATGCTTCTGGTGATTTATTTTCAGAGATCTCCATTGCTTTAGTAATCAATTCCTCACATTGAGATTCTGCATTTGGTTCCATACAAAGATCAGTCATCCAGATCTCAATCATCGTCAACAGACCATTAACAATCTTATCAACCTGATCTTGATTAATGTTTTCTCCATTATGTGTTTGTGAAATGTTTTCGATACCTTGACTTAGGATAGAGATCCCATCTTGACCACCTATAATTTGTCCTAAGGTGAAAAATTTATCACATCCGCCAATGGTCCCTTTTGAATCAAGTTCACAACTTTTTACCAAAAGTGGGTAAGCCTTATCCAACTGACCATTCTCTAAATATGAATCAGCAAAAATCTGTAATAATGGTAAATTGGACGAATTTTCAGCCGTTAATGATTTTTTGTATGGTTTTAAAAGTTTTAATGCCTTTCTGGAATTATTTTCAGAAATTGCTTTTCTAGCTTCATTTATTGCTTGTTCAATATTATTCATAATGACGACAGATTTTACTAACTTTCTATTGTATATTATTCTGTTTCCTTTTTTTCCCAAACAAAAAAAATTACAAAGTAAAGGTAAAATAGAAAACTAAAACAAAGACCAACTGATCAGTTGATGAGGTTTTTCGTTAACGGTTTAACTATATGTTAATCCTTTATACTGCTCTTGGTCTACTCGTTACCTTTGGAATTGATAATCATATCACATCTCATCTTAGATCATCTCATCTCTTTTAAATCTGCTTGATTTATTTTTCAATTTACCTTTGGCGCAGACAAAGAAAAAAAGTAAAACATGTTTTTCGTGTGAAGTGACAGATATCTTGTAAATACAAGTCATACACATTGAGTCTATTCTCAATTCTAGTGTTATCACAATGATGGATGGTTAGGAGTATCCTATTGTTAAGAGATAATATATATAAACCGTGCAATTTTAAGAGGTGTATATGTACACTTATAATAGTATCATGACCAGAATTCCAATACTCTTTTCCAAAGGGGTATATTATACTGTCTATGTTCTGACCAAATCATTCTATCCATTTCGCGACGTCCGGTATCCATATCTAGTCTATCCAATCTTTGTATTTTTGAAGTGCCGACAATCTTATATCCAATGTAACAGCAAGTAAATATCATTAGCCCCCCGTAAGCAGAGAAGAATGATCTAACATTCCAAAACCCTGTAATGAAATTGCTAAATCCCATGAAAATAACGAATAATGAACAACCAATTAACCCATATATTGCCAAAAAGGGTTGAAATGGAGATTTAAATGGATAACTCCTGTCATCTCTCGATAAAAAATCACACCTTCGTCTTAAAGCGTAATAAAATCTCAAAAATGATGCATTCAAACCAAACCATATAATCGACGTGCTTGCACTTGACATGTTAACTAAAATATCAAAATTGTTTTGTGAACTTTCGTTCACCGCTAAATATGCAATCAAACTAAATAACCCAGCTGCTATTACTGACACATAAGGTACTCCATTTTTACTGCATATTTGAAAAATGTACGGGGCCTTCCTTTGTATTGACATTGAATATAATGCTCTTGATGAATTGTACAATGATGCGATAGAAGCACTTGATGTAAAAACTATTAAAATAGCATTAAAAGCAGCTGAAAATGTACAGAGGCCATAACTTTGAAGTGCAAGTACCCAAGGAGAAGAATACTCTACAGAAGAACCTGGAATCTTCGTTCTGACTTTACATCTATCATCTATTTGCCATTGTGTCCCAATTCCAAGGTCTGCTGCCTTAGATCTCTTACCTCTACTAGAGGTATCATAAGATAATAGTCGTGGGTCGCCACTGTAGATATTGATCCCAACTGTTAAAATAGAAAGAATAAAAATAGTCAAAATTATGGAAAATGTTCTCTTAATCGATGATGGAATTGTCTTTCTTGGATTTTTAACTTCTCCACTGGCCAGAAAAGTCATTTCCACACCACTGTATGCAAATGTAGAGGTTAAAACTACTGATAATAAAGCCAAAAACCTACCTGTAGATACCCCAATACCATTCGTAGACCCAGTACCTGCATCCATTAAATCAAAAGTGGGTCTAAATAATCCATATGTCATACCGCCAACTGACTTTGAAGAATCCCAAAATCTAAAACCTACTCGACTATGACTAGCACCTCCATACCCAGAATTCAGTATTATCATAACAAACATCATAATCACCGATATTAAAATCTTAATACTACCAAAAAAGAAAATAACTTCGCCCATAAGATTAACACGCAAGAGATTACATAATATCGGGTATATTATAAATAGTGTAACAAAGCCAGCAATCGTCCCCCTCGTTAAATTAACGTTAGAAAAGGAGGTCAAATAAAACGTGCTTGATGCAGCTTCTGCAGGAAACGATATTATACATGAAAACACATAAGTCCAACCAATTGCAAAGCCAAAGGCGTCTTCTACAAATCTTGATGCTAACCCAGAGAATCCAGAAGAAACAGGAATTAAAGCTGATAATTCTGTAAAGGATAATAATGTAGCTAATATGACACTCCCAGTTAATATGAACCCTAGTAATGTACCAAACGGGCCTGCAATGCTAAAGGCTTCTCCTGATGTTAAAAAAAATCCTACACTTAAACATGGTCCAACCGAAAGCATTTGAATATGTCTAACTGTCATTCTTCTTTGGATGTGATAATGATTGTCCTTTGAGAGAAAATCCCTTATAAATTGTTTCCAAGTGTTACAGGTATGATTTGAAGTCACATCAATAGAGGACTCTAATAGAAGCGTCTCCCTAGTCTTGTGTCTTGTTACAATAAGATTATTTTCATCAATTACTAAATTTCTGTAACTAGTTTCATCAATATTATGAGTAGTGGGTAGTGAAGAAATGCTATCCTTGATGCTATGCAATGAAACATCATTTTTTATAGATTTAGACAAAGTTGGTTTAGGTAGGACACTATAGAGATAATGAGTTAGTGATTTTGATTTTTTCTGATATGTATTATTAGTAGCCAAATATGTGTTTTCAAGCATATCTTCACTATAGATTTGAATACCACTGAGATCTTTTGGACGTAAAATTTTCCCAATCTTTTCTCTTAATACATACTCTTGTTGCACCTTTTTATCATAAAAAGTAAAGTCATCATCAAGGCTACTGGGATCAAAAGCTGTTTCTGTTGCAAATTCGCTATTATGTCTTAAATAGTGTTCAAATAAGTAAAACCTGTCATTTCGGATATCGTCATAAAACGACTCAACATCATGCCATCCTTCTTGTTGTATAATAGCATTGATAACTGATGATTCTATACTATTACTTGTAATATTATCACTTGCATCATCTGGTATTGAAGTTCTGATATTGTTACATTTAGAGTTCTTTATATTGTTATTATTTTCATTTGTGTTATTATGGTTGTTGTCTTCGGAAGATCCCCAGTGAATTTGGATATCATGATATGAAAAATTACTTTTATTAGGAAATAATTCATTTGATGAGTTAGACAGGCCCATGAACTTGTCTTGGATGTTGTCACAGGTTTTTAATAATTGTCAAATGTTAATGTGCTTATTGGATAACAACCATAATGATGTTTTCACTTAAGGAATCTACAATCACTAAAAATAAAAAAAATTTTGAGGTCCCTTCAAAAATTAATTATTGAAATTTTAGCTGAGTTATATAAAATCATAAAAAAAAAAAGTTGGAAGAAAGTTTATTCAGAAGTATCATTATATTAAGTAGTATTATTAATGTACACAAGATATCTAGTACTTATCCTTTACTTTCCAATTATGGACTATACTGAAGTTACTTATAATTGTTGTTGAACTTGTTAAGATATATTAACAATGTCAAGATGAAGAAGAAAATCGTGGATTTATCATCAATTGTATTTATTATGCAATACATTTTGTATGATATTTATTTTCACACTAAGTCATTTAATTTTCAATATTTATTTACTAAAATGATACTTACTATGTATTTGAATGGACTTTCTTTCTAACTGTTTCTATAATATTTTTCAGTTCCTGAATTGTATGTGATCCTTCCGCTGATAATATGGATTGATCCATGGGTTTAACAATTGACTGAATAGGAGTTTGAAATATCGGAGGATTTCTTTCATCAAAGCCGAACAAACTTGTTGTCCTGTGATTTGTATTATAATTACCACTGTTACTGTTCCATGAAACTATGGGTGTTTGATGGACAACCATTGAGCCATTTGGGAAATAGGTGCCTTGACATGGTGTGGTGGGAGGAATAGGAGGATGCTGCTTTCTTTGTACTTTGGTTACTAGGTGAGACGGAATAGCTGGAGTAGAAAGTAACTCATCACTTTTTGTCATTGGTGTCTTAAATTTAGGATTTTGTTTTGATGCAGATAATAAAACAGGTAATTTTGTTTTGTATAGTTTTGGAGATGCCATAATATGTGACTGTAAGTGGGCATATGTGTTTTTCATATCTTGTTGCTTCTTATACTTATCCTCCTCTATCTTACGAATTCTCTTCATTTTCTCATCAATAGTAACTAGCGTAGATATGGGTGTCTTACACACTTGTGATCCAGTAAGTGATCTTCTTTTGTAAAGTTTTTGTTTATACCTACCGCGTTCTGTCAATTGACACTTGAAATCTCTGGCCATTCTCTTTAATCCTTCTTCCAAGGATTTTTGAGGAGAATTGCTTGTTACTTTAATAAATCCAATATTCAACAACACATCATTGAAGCTTTTTTCAATCCTGTTTAACTTAAGAAAACGGGCAATTTTACTTGGGGATATCACGGTTTCCATCGAATCCCAATATACGATTAATAGATTGAAGCAGATCTCTGACCTAGCAGAAATATTAGAAATTAATTTAATTAATTCTTCACCGTCTTTCTGTAATTTCAACTCTAAGTCAAAAATATCATCACATGTTACACCAGTATTGAAAATTATTAATTGGGTATGATCAAGTTCTACAGGATCAAAATTCTTATCTATACATTTCACATTAAGCCTAAATTTGTTCTCCTCCATTGATATCACTTTCTTTTGATCATTTAATCCGAATTTAGTTAATAGCCATTTATTTGATATTGAGGTCCAGTTATTGGAATAAAGTAGGATATCAATTTCAATATTCAATGAGGGTATCACTTTGTTGTTAACTTTTTCAAAATATAACTCCTTCATATTAAAGGGTTTCCAAATATCCTCGCGTTGTTCAAGCTGAGTTGAAAAATTGTTAACTTCATTACATGTAGGTGAAAAGATCAAATCTGTTTTCTTGTCAGAAGACAATAAAAATGATGTATTTGATGAAGTTATTGGAGTTCCAAAATTTAATCTAGATCGTATTATTTGGGGTACACCTAGTTGTTTTTGGACATTTTGCAAATCCTCTTTGTGTTTTTTCTTTATATATCTTTGATTTTGCTTATCTTTATAGTTAATTTTCCATTTAGACAAAAAGTTAGATTTCATTGTTCTTTCAGAGAATACAGTCGCTTGTGAATCGAGAAAGGTGTAGTATATGTTTTCGTGAAGAAATGCGTTGAATAATGAATTAGCTAGGTAATTTATTATTTTATTTCTACTTTGTTTGGTTTTTTCTATTTTAGTAACAGTATCTTGGACAACTGTTGCAATTGTAGATTTAATTAATGCATTTGTTAACCTGTCTGCTAATTTATCTTTTATTACTTCCTTTTCCTGTTTTTTATTAATTTGTGGTATTGTTTGCGATTTTGATTGTTTTAATGGCGTTTTACCATCAGTAAATATATTAGTTACAGTATTGTTGAACGTTAAATTTCTCTGTGATAATGTTATATTTGATACATTCTTATCAATACTATTAAGTGATGACATTTGCTTTGATGAATTTGTTGGTACAACATGAAAATTTCCCGTTCTTATTTCACTGATATTATTCTGGTTAATATTAAATGCTTGGGTTGGAGTAGCAGTAGCAGTAGTCGATAAAGAAGTGTCACGTGAAGGTAAAATTTGAGTAGATGATTTTATATTAAATACATGATCTTTCTTTTCTGAAAATTGGACAGGTTTATTATCCACTGCAAAAGAAGTTGTTTGAAAACTAGGAAGTAGTTTAGGATCGACTGAAAATGAGGGTTGATATATTAAATGTCTAATAGAATTGTCAATACGACTAGCATTCAAAGCATTAGAATCACGGCTTGTAATATTTTCATTTGATTTTCCACAGTTTATTAATTGTGCATATGTTCTATCACCAATCTTATTATCAATACACATTAAATATGTTTGAGATAATGGTTTTTTCTCTGCAAGATGGTGTGAATGATAAGATAATGTTTTTAAATCTACTGCATCTGATGAGATAGATATGGAATAATATTGACAAAATGATTCTAGCTCTTCTTTATTGTTAAACAATAAAGTATCTAAAAAATATTTAATGGGTATGGGTTTATGTTTTTTATTTAGCGACAGGGATAAAGCTTTCATAGAATAAAATCTCACTTCACCTAAATATATTTGTAAGAAAGACCCCATAAGAAATGGAACTTCAGTAGACTGTAACAACTGAAAGAATTGCAAATAAAAATTGAGCGAATTCTCTGTCTTGATATATCCTCTTTCAGAATAATTTGAATTAGAAATAATTTGTCTAAAACATATGGCTAATTGGACTAGATGATCATTGAATATATGTGAGGGTAGTGTCTGTATGATCTGATCATATTGTGGATCTCGTATTTTACTTAACAAACCATATGCTCTAAATTCTGCTTCATTAGGACACTCAAACCCATTTGCTCTCATATCGTCGTAAATTTCGGATAATGTAATCAATGCTTTATGTAGTTGTTCTAACTCCTGTTGAATAGAAAATTCTATTTTTGTTTTAATCATAATATGCAAAATTAACAGATGAATTCTTACAATCCTTTCATTACAATCAACAGCTTCAGGACCAGAATAGTTTTGATATGTAAAATCTTGTCTAATTGATCTCATTCTATCCCATAAAAAACTTTCACTCTTGGGTAACGTAGTTAAAAGGTTGTCAACGATGTAATCTAAAGTCTTAACTAGGATATGTGGCGGCCTGACATCGGAAGGCAGAGGTGGGGCTGCTGCCGCTGCAGGTCTAGCAAACACTTTCAAAGCTTTATTCCTTGAAGCCTTCTTGTTTTCACCAGGTTCTCTTTCGTATGAAAACACAGTTAGTTCCACATTTCTTCTAGCTCTTTCGAATACAGGGCACATATCCTCACAAGTCCCTTGGAAAACAATAGCTTCGTTCAGCTCTTTTGCAAAATCTGCTTTATCTACAAGACCTTTCCGCTCCATCATCTTTCTCTCTATGTCTCTCATTTTTTTCAAAGTCTCATATAATTCAGTGGTATCTTCAATGGTATTTTCTAAATTGATCATTTTTCTTTGATTCAATTTGTCCCAATGATCTTGAACAAACTTCCTCTTTGTCAATTGAGGCTGCTGTGTACACAGGAATTTAGGTATTTGCCTCCTTTTATGAGTCAATCGTTTGAAACCAAGAGATTCAGGATTTGAGATCAATGAACCGATCTGTTTTTGCGGATTTGGTATCATTATAGCCTGATTAATACTGTCATCTTTTCTATGTGATTGGTTATTGAATTCATCATTACTGCTAATACCACTATTATTATCACCACTAATATTACTAGTGTTATTACTAAACGGATTTTTATTTTTAGGTATCATAAATTTTTTGTTTTCATTAGATACAAAATAATTAGTAATATTTTTAGTCTGAGAAAGATTATCCATGAATTGGAATGGGATATTTTGAACTATGGACGATTCAACTGGAGAATATATAATTTTTAAGTGATAATACTGTCTTGCTTCGTGTATTCGTTATTACTAGTTTATTTTTAATCAAATAAACTTAAGTAAAATGATACAAAGTGGGAAAAAAAGAATGACTGAATAAGCTAAGCACCTTTGGCAAGCTAACTGCTGGCTGTGGTACAAATGGTTCTTGATCAATAATAGCTGTAAATTTTTTGAACATTCTCCTGATTATTATTATTTCTTTTCTTTTATTATTTTTGAGTTCTGTTTTTTTGTATATTCTTAATTTGAAATTTATGTTGGAAGCCCTAACTTTCAGAGTCCAGGGTAAAAAATAGGGTTCAAAAGTTTGAGAATGACTATAAGAACTTATATATATATATAGAAAGATACAAGAGATAACACAAGATGGTTAGAAAGATTAGTTATATTGTTAAAAAAAAGCATTACGTATATATTTAAATTGTTAAAAGATATTACAACAGTGATATAGGTAAACTTAATTAATTAGATAATTAGTTAGTTAGTTAGTTAGTTAGTTCATTAGCTAGTTTGTTTGTTACCTAAAGAATAGGTAAATTAGACATAAATAGTATTAGTTTAAAAAATTTTAAAACAACAACAATAAAAGTGAAACAAAACGAGTCTCTATCTTTGTATCTTTTGCTTTTCTTGTTGTAACGATTAGATTAAGTTTCTGGCAGCTAATATTTCAGCGATCAAAACACCTGAACCAGCAGCACCAATGATAGTGTTATGAGATAAAACAACCATTTTGAAATCTAGTAGCGGATCTTCTCTGATTCTACCAACAGATACACCGTATCCAGCGTCTCTGTTTCTGTCTAATCTAGGTTGCGGTCTGTCATTTTGTTCCAGAACATGAATAGTCTGTCTTGGTGCAGAATGACAACCTAATTTGTAAGCGTCACAGATGTAATTTCTTAAGACCTTTTTAACTTGTTCCACAGATGGAGCTGGTCTGTTCTTAAATCTTAAAGAGATGCATTCAGTGTGACCATCAGAAACGGCTACTCTGTTACATTGGGCAGAGACTTTCATTTCATCAGAAGTCAATAATTGAACATGAGTCTTATCATCAGATAATTTACCCAAAATCTTCTTAGTTTCCCATTCCATTTTATCTTCTTCACCACCAATGTATGGGATGATGTTATCTAAGATGTCGATACCTGGAACACCTGGAGAGAAACCAGCACCAGAAATGGCTTGTAAAGTGGTGGTAGTTAAAGCATCGATTGGACCAAAAGCATCGACTAAAGGTTTCAAAGGAGCTACAAGACCCGCAGTGGAACAATTGGAAATACAGACAATAAACCCTGGTCTTGGTTTTCCTTCCTTCTTGGCGGTTTCAATCTTATTGGCCACGATATCTAAATGTTCAGGATTGACAATTGGAACGACTAAAGGAACATCGTCTTCTCTTCTATAGTTTTTAGCATTGGAGACAACAGCTAAACCGGCTTCTTTAAATTCTTTTTCAATTGGGCCTGCATAATCAGCATCAAGACCAGAAAAGACGATATCACAGTCTTTGAATGCTTCTGCTTTACATTCACTAACAATTATATCTTGTACAGACTCGGGCATTAAATCAGTTTGTTTCCAAGTGGTGGCATCCACATATTTCTTGCCGGCAGATCTTGACGAAGCACCAAGAACTTTTAGTTCAAAAGTTGGATGGTTAGCTAATAATAAAATAAAACGTTGACCAACAGAACCTGTGGCACCAAGAACACCAGCAATTTTTTTTCCAGCCATTTTTTTTGCAAAATGATATGATATGGTATAGATCAAACCAAAAATAAATAAATAGCTAAGTTAAATAAAAAATTGTTACACAAAGCGTTTTGAGAGCTATTAGGAAGGGTTAAACAGGAATAGAGTATAATAGGAAAAAGAAAAGCAGGCTAACACAGGGAACCAGTGCTTTTGGAGCCGACGCACGTATATGTAATTGGTACACATATGAATAACTATATGTATTTCAAACCACACAAGAGATTATATATAAACTTCGATTTGGTGTAGGTACCACATGTCTTTGAGTCAAAGCAGAAGAAACAGAAAAGGAAAAAGAAAAAAGATAAAGAAAGCCAGAGACACCGAAACCGGCACCACAGACAATAGGAGAATGAGAAAAAAGAACAAAGAGTTTGAGAAAAGAAATTACCCGAAGGGGAAACTCGAAGAAATGACTAATTATGATACTTGAATCTAGGTTATTTTGAGTTTACTATATTTAATTTGACTAATATCAATTCAATTTATTTAAATCGTATATATATGAAGAATAGTTCGACCTGACAATTGCTTTTAAATGTTAGCCTAAGTTTGATTATCTGCTAGAATGATGAGTAATTTGTTTAAATCATACATTATTATACAACTATGCTAAAGATTAAAGAAAGGAATAATATATACATATACATATATATATATATATATATGAGTGTGTGTGTGTGTGTGTGTGTGTGTAGATGTGTATGCATCTACTGTAACTAATAAGCAAATGTTTTCTTGGTACCGCCAGTAGCACTTTTACTTATTTTATCTTCTTTTTCTTGTTCGGTATTCTCACTGTCAGCCTTTTTATTATGAGTATCGTTTATTTTAATACTAGAAAGGGTAGCAGATTGTGGTGGTAAACCTTTGAAATCTCTTTGAATTCTTTTCAATTGGGATAAAGAACTCGTCAAATTGGTATCTATATTAAGTATGATATCAGATGCACCACCAGTAGTAGCTATTTGGCTTCCTTGTAAATTATTCTTGCTATTACCATTGCTGTTGTCTATAGTAGTTGCATTGCTATTACTATCTACAAAATCCTCTTTTGAAGTAATAAAATCATCTAAAAACCTCAATATTTCATCTTTTGATACATGCTGTGGTTTACCAATTTTGTGAATAACAACTGGTTTATTTAACGTAGACACATAATTCCCTCTTCTTGATCCTTTCAACATTGTTAAGTATATATAAATCTATATTTGTGTGGGTAGGTGATGGAGATACTTAAACACGAATATGAATGCAGACTATATAATGCAGCTGTTTACTGTATTGTACCTTTTCACTCTATTTTATTATACATATATCTTCATAATTTTCAAATGTACTTTCATACATTTACAAGAATAAAAGACATAAAAGATAAAGCAAAAAAAATTTTCTTTTTGTTTCCTATCTCATCGATTAAAAAAAAAAAATTTAAAAACAAGAAAAAAAAATAATAATAAAAAAAAAAAAAAAAAGATAGAAAAATATATAGCTAGGGTTGATGCGTATCATAAGTTAGGGCTTATCTATAGTTAAAGCATTCAATGTCCTATGTGTTTAAATAATGGATTCCTTGATAATTCTCATTATTTGCACTATATAATTATTAGACATTAGCGTATTAAGATGACACTAGATACACATTTATTGGTATTAAAATTAAAGATAAACTGTTTGTAAGTATATAAAAAAAAAATCTTTTGAATTCCTACTATTTATTTGTGTGTTCTCATTTCTATCTTTATTAATGACATATAGTTAGAGATCAGAAGCACTTGAAGTGCAAGTAAACAAAAATTGGAGAAAATATAAGAAAACACCACCCAAAGTTACTATTTATTTATTAGTTTTGTTTTTAATGCTAAAAAATTATTTAGTGAGTCCATTTTATTAAACTATTTTAGACTCTAGATCAATATACTTACAATATTCAAATTGTAGAAATATTGTACTGTCTCTGAGACTTTAATAGGTGAGGTAATTGTTACCTATTAAAGTGACCAAGAAGTGTCATGAAAAGTAGTACAAATCTAACAAGTTAGCCAGAGACAATAGGAAACTTAATTTAACGATCTACAATCGATAAACAACACCGATAAGGAAGTTTCGAGTTGACTTGATAACGTGTTAGCTAATATGGGAGTCCTTTTGGAAGTGTTTTGTTTTGTCGCGTTAGTGTGAATTGGTAAGATAATTATTTAAATTCATATATATATGTGGTGGAACTGGTGTTGCCATAATTGACAAGGTTCACTGATAAAGAAAGTATCTCCCAGTATTCATAGTGTTCTTTTCCCTTTGATCTAATTCCATTCGATTCATTGCACCAAAATGAGAACTACAAAGACAACCTTTATTTACCTTCTAAGTGTATTTTTTGTGTAATTAACCCTCATATATTGTGTATAGAGGGAAGAAAGGGGAGATGTTAGGATTTAGGCTCCTATTTTTTCCTCCCTTTTCCTTTTTTTTTTTGTTTTTTGCTCTCGTCTTTGTTTGTTTTTCTTTTGTTTTCTCTTTCTTTCCTACTATGGAAATAAATCTCTAGAAGGGGAGGCGGAGGCAACAAAAAAAAAAAGAGAGAGAAGCCCCGGTTTTCTTTTCTTTTTTTTTTCCTTCTTCGTGGTTTTTTTTGGTGTTGGTTCTTTTTTGTTTGTTCTTCTCGTTTCTGTTCGTTTCCTTTTTCGTTTCTTTTTTTTGCTCCTCTCCTTTTTCCGTTTTCAACAAGAATTATGTAATGTTTCTTTCCATTGCTATATATATATGAGTAAGGGGAGGCGGTGGTCACACACACACACATACATATATACATACGGTATATATATACACATATATATATATATATATGTATAAATGTGTGTGTATGTATATGTGTACGTGTATATCATGCGCAGTCGTTAGCTTGTTCTGTTTCTTGTGTAATCCTTTTGCGTTGGTCGTGTCTTCTAATTTCCGTTATATATCCCAAAACCCACACCAAGATTTCAATAATAATTAATTGAAACGAATAAACAAACAACAATAAATAAATAAATAAATAAATAAAAGATGTCTAAAGTTTACTTCGACGTTGAAGCTGATGGCCAAGCCTTAGGTAGAATCACTTTCCAATTATACAACGATGTTGTCCCAAAGACTGCTGAAAACTTCAGAGCCTTATGTACCGGTGAAAAGGGTTTCGGTTACGCCGGTGCTCCATTCCACCGTGTCATTCCAGACTTCATGTTACAAGGTGGAGACTTCACCAACGGTAACGGTACCGGTGGTAAGTCCATCTACGGTGCTAAATTCCCAGATGAAAACTTCGCTAAGAAACATGAAAGACCAGGTCTTTTATCTATGGCCAACGCTGGTCCAAACACCAACGGTTCTCAATTCTTCATTACCACTGTTCCATGTCCATGGTTAGATGGTAAGCACGTTGTCTTCGGTGAAGTCGTTGATGGTTACGACGTCGTTAAGAAGATCGAAAGTTTAGGTTCTCCATCTGGTGCTACTAGAGCTAGAATTATTATTGCTAAATCTGGTGAATTATAAACAGACAAATACATAAGTAAATAAATAATTAAAATAAATATACATATTTTCTTTTTTATTCCAGTTTAATAATAATAATATTAATATTAATAACAATATTAAAAATTTAACATTTTTTTGTTCATTTATATATATGTATTGAAAGGGTTTGGAGAGGGGTGGAAGGGGGGAAGGGGGTGAAGATGAGTAGGGGAGTAATTAGGGTTATAAATAATTCTGTGATTATAATTCTATTTGTTGCAAGTTATGTAAGTTAGTTATACAGTTATGATTGTTTACTTTTTCTGTCTTCTCCTAACTCAGTTTCTGTATCGGAATACAATGATATTGTATCCATTTTATTGTAATTCATTATTATTTTAATAATGAGGGTATCGTTGATAGCATTTGAGAGAATGGGTATTTAGTACATATTTCAAGTTGGACTCCACTTAATACCGTGTATTTGTCGTTGTTTCAATCCAGCAAACTTATAAGAATGATTTTCGTAGAGTTTATAGAGACAAGTTATCGATAACATTTTCTAATAAACATCTAATTCTATAACTCATGCGTACTATTATATACGTTGCGTAACATACAAAATCATACATATAGAGTAATAAAATATATATATATATATATATATATATTAATTTCTTTGATGTGTTGTGTATTGAGTCATTACACTCGTTTTTGCTGTACTCTGGAATCACAGTAGTCGATGGATTTTCAAATAGTTAGTTTTGTATTTTTGCTTAGAAACGTAATAGAATCAAGAAGTTTTAAAAGAGATCAATTTTTAACACTTTTTACATTTTGAGCACTTGTATTTTTAATTTTTCTAAAAATGTTAATGATTTCGTAGATTTAAATAATTGAGTATAAAGTTTTATGAATACATACATACATATATATATACAAATGTAAAACAATATTTTTCTTAATTAAACTATTGATATCAAGAAAGAATCCAAAATGAACCATGATTTTTTTTTGTTCCAGTTGTATCTTTATATCATTGAATGAATTTAAAGTGGACACATTTAACATGAATATTTATGGATAAATACAATAGAATGTCTTAAATAAAATAAAATAAATTAGATATGTAAATACTTATGCACGAAAACAATATGGCCCTCCAGCCACATTATATAAATTTTACCATTGCAAAAAATTCATAACAGTTTCCCTCTTTCTCTCTCTCTTTTTTTTTATTTTATTTTTATTTTTTTTTGTTTTTTTAGTATTGTCCTTATTGAATCTAGATAGTTTTCTTAAAATTAGCAATTTATACATTGTACAAACATATTAAATTCAAGCAATGTATAAGAATATTTAAAAATAAACAAGAAAAACCATATTATATCTAATAAAAGGAGAGAAGGATGTGTGTGAACCTAATACACTTATATCTACCTGCCTACATATATGTGCATATATATATGGAGAGAGAGAGACAGTTATACGAAAAAATATCAATATTTGCCTAGTTATAGCAATTCTAATCCATTACATATACATTCTAAAATAAAAGACTCTATTGAAGAAGATGAGAAGGAAATGGAGACAAAACAAAAAAAAAAAAAGAGTTTCGGAGTTTTTGCCATTCGCCCGCCCCTTCCTCGGCATTTTCCGAGACAAAAATGTACGGTCACGTGAACAGGTGCCGAATGTTTCAGAACGGTTCTGGTCTCCTGGTTTCGGCCCACGCAGAAAACATTTCTTTCTCTCTATTTCTTTTTCTTTTTTTTTTTTTTTTTTTTTTTAATTTTTTCCCCTTCTGTCACGACGACTTTTTGTTTACGTGTATCCGATGGCCTCTCTATGGCAGAAATATATTGTGGGCTTAATTAAAGCCAAACGGTTTAATGAGACCTGATTAGATTTTACACGGAGGAAGCCCTGTGCCTTGCAATGGCAAAAGGAACACATCTCTCTCTTTACACAAGCCTAGTGCTACCGTTCTCCCTTTTGTCTATACATCCTTTCTTAGAAGGGAGAGGAGACGAAAGAGAGGAAGGGGGCAGGGGACAAAAAAGCATAGTTAATGCTTGTCACTCAACATTTCTACTGTAATAACGTGTAAGAATCCAGTCCTTTCGATTCTATGACCTAACTGTTTCTTGTTCTGAAACCTGGCTAATAAACCATCAACCACAATATCCCCTCACCTTCTGTTTCAATTGTATATAGTTCGTAAATAGCAATCTTAATTCTCTGTTCACTCCAGTGTCACTCATGACTTCCTAAGTATGCCATTACCAAAATCATCGATGTAGCAGCACTTTGTGCATATTTGAAATTTTTTTTTCTTTTGCTTGTTTTTTTTTCTTTTTGCTCTCTTCAGCTGACTTCAATGTAAAAAAAAAAAAAAGAAGAAAAAAATTAAAATCAAAATTGAAAACTAAAACTACTTTCTTCTTTTCATCTCTGTTTTGTGGTGAATTGCCATTCATTTATATACACTTTTAACCTTCTCTGTATTCATCTTAAGCACTATTCTGTTCATTCACTAACCAATTACAATTCATTTTTGTCTTCAATTAAGCTACTTTTTAGTTCATCTTATTTTTGCTTTCCTCCTATGCATTTTCTTTAAAAGGTACATATATTTACTTCAATTCCTCTCTCTCTCTTTTGAACTCTTCTTGTTTATAACAAATATAACCAACACATACACAACACATACATACACTTAAGCATCATGTCCAACCCATTTGATTTGTTAGGTAACGACGTCGAAGACCCAAACCAAGTCGTTGTTCCACCAAAGGAAATTGTCAAGGCTACCACCTCTTCCAAGAAGAAGGATGTCCCACCACCATCTGCTAATCCAGCTAGAGCTAACAAGAACAGATCTAAGCCAACTGGTAACGAAGGTGCCATCAGAAACAGGGACAACGGTAGAAGATCTAACAAGTCCAGAGAAGTCTCTGCTTCTGCTACTTCCAAGAGAGACAACTCCAGAAGACAAACCGACCGTCACTCTAGAACCGGTAAGACTGACTCCGGTAAGAAGATTAGACAAGGTTGGGGCGATGACAAGAAGGAATTGGAAGCTGAAGAAGCTGGTGAAGCTGATGCTGAAGCTGAAATCGAAGCCGATGCTGAAGAAGCCACTAACGGTGTCAAACAAATGTCCTTAGACGACTACTTAAAGTCCACTCAAGATGCTTCTCACTTAAACAAGGTCGTCGAAATTAAACCAGTCGAACAAATCGAAGGTACTGAATTATTCGTCAAGGAAGAAGAAGAATACGTTCCAGCTACCAAGGTCAAGACTTTGAAATCTAAGCAATTGAAGACCAAGAAATTCTTAGAATTCGATGCTACCTTCCAAGATACTCAAAGACCAAAGAGATCCTTCGACAGAAAGAACAACCGTCGTGGTGGTAAGGGTCCAAGAAAGAACAACAAGAACACCAATGGTTATGCTGTTCAAAGAGACAACTCCATCGACACCAGTAACTTACCATCTTTAGCTTAAGTTCAATGAATGCCACGAAAAGATTATTTTCTTTTTCTTATTCTTTTTTTTAAAAATATAGACAAAAGATAATTTTTTGGGATGGAACTTCTCCCTTATGTTTGCTGTATGTCAATTCGATTTTTTGAACTAAATCTTGGAATTGATTCAGTTTAAATTGAGGGGGGAAATCAACATCTCTATTTGGTGGCGGACTGTGTATGATTTTGTTTAGTTTATTTTGTTAAATATAAATTTAATTTTTCTTTTAAATTTTATATGTTATTTTAATATCAATTTATATTTTGATTCAGGATTTCATATAAATATATACATATGCTTATACATGATGTACACATATATCTTACTCTATGACTGTATGCAACTGTGAATTTTTATATGAGTGGCTTGTACGGGGTTAGTAGGATGTATCCTTTCACATGCAACAATACAAACTGATAGATAACAAGTTTCAAATCTATTAGATGAGTCAAACTTTTATAGAACTTTTATAGAAGAAGAGGTAAATAAATACTATTATTGTAATATTGAATCTATCGACATATCTTATACACGTAATTCAACTTTATAAACAAAATACAATATTGAATAGTATCAAAAAAAATAATTAAAAGACAATTCATTTGAATATGTTTACCTTCTATTGAGGTAAAAAATATTACAAAATAAATTCGCTAAGTAGTACTTTGCATAGCCCTAATAGATATTATAACGAATTTACTAATTTTGATTTCTAAATAATTTATTTTATATATTTTGTTCGCCTAATCAATACCAATAATCAATATGATAATTAATGCAAAATATTGTCAGTAATATAGTAAAACTAATGAGACCTTTAAGTAGTGAGTTAATTTGTAGTTCAGTTAAAGTACCACAAAAAAATAGTAAGCTTAAAAACTCAAATACATTACTAATACAATCTATAACGCCCATAAAAAAGTTTAAAACAAGTTAACCATCAGACATCTTATCTATATATATATGTGTGTCTATAAAACATACCCTCCATCCATGAGATTGATACTACCACAATACCGTATAATACATCTAACGTTGTAGATCTAAAAAAAATTAAGGTCAAAGATAGACAAGCCACCTTAAACAATATTTCATAATAAAAGGTCCTGCATACCAAATGGATCTCGACAGAAATCGAAGTTATGGTAAATATACTACTAATATAGTCTTCTTTTGAACCAATAGCTTCAGAAAATGTTAAAGGAACAAGTTATATTGAACTCAACCAGACTGTATTTTAATAGCTGTACTATATTTTATTATTATTATTCCATTCAGTGTTACCTGGACTAAAAAACATATACACTGAACCACGATAAATTTTAAAGGATGTATTACCACCTCTTTCCCTAATATTTCTATTAATTGAATGTTTTAGGAAAAGTTCTATATAATCAAATTGAAAACTTTGATGACTTTATTCATTGTTTTCGTTGAAGGCCCTGATGTTTAAAATACCTTTGGAAACATAATCACTATTTAGTGCATTACTATTGATACTATTCATCTCATGTTCAATACTAGTATCTAGATCCATCTGTATAGATTTAGTAATAACTAATGTAATTTTTAAAAATTGATTTTCATTAACAGAGTTGTCTTTACGAAAATTAGCAACTTTTTATCTTAGTATATAACTATTATCATTATCCTTATTATTGCCATCAATATCTTTGTCATTTAATCATTTTTCCAAGTTACTAGTGTTGTATTGATTACCTGCTTGTTTATGACCTTTATCTTTAAAATCTAACTCAATCAATTTCCAAAGTTCAAAATTTATCATGGAAAGAACTCTGGGTTATTGGAAAGATACAAGTATAAGCAACATATCTACTTGTTTTATTTTTATTGAAAGTAGTAACGTAGTTACTCATCTTTTGTAAGTAGGCAATTAATAGAACAGAAATAGCAGAGAAAATGCTCCTTGAACTCAACTCTCTTCCCCCATCTTCCTAAAAAAAACTATTCGCTCAAAACTGGGATGGTATAGCTTGTAATCCCTGCAGATACAGTACCAACAAAAAATAAGATGATGTAGAAGAAATAATAACACTCAATTTTCTCCATATTTTTTCAAAATATAGTAGAGATATCTCTAACAGTTCCCATATTCACGATGATGAATTTGATTAACAAAAATCCAACTCCAATGAATCTATGAATCTTCAAAATGGGCTTAACAACTATTTACATAGCCACACATAAATCAATAGTAAACTTAATTAAAAAATCCTACTATCAACACAGATGATAAATTTTATTATTATTATTATTATTAATGTTTATAAATTTAATGGCAAGTAAAATAAAATATTACAGCATATTTATAAATGTATGGATATCCAATGAAGTTATTATTCAAAACATTCGTTTGAAATCACTTATAATAATGTTAGTGTATTAAATTTTAAAAATAATATAAAAAGTGTTAAGCTAGTCGAGATTTATCTTAAAGAATAAACAATACAAACTTAATGAATTAAATCTTTATATATTATGTTAACTACTGACAGGTGAACTGTCATTAATCAAACGCTTTGATATTCTCATATGTCCCATCATAAATCTGCAGAAAAAGAAAAGAAAACCAAAAATAATCCGAAAATAGGATAAAGGATTTGCCTTAGCTAATACACCTTTTCATCAAAAAGCATTTAAGCACAAACAACTAAATTGACAACAAAATATTGAAGATGATACATTTCTTTATCTTTCTGTTCATCAAATCTCTTTGAGTCTTTGTGGGTCAGACGTTTCTGCTTTTTTTTGTCTTATTATTTTTCTTTTCAATTTTATTATCGTAATCTAAAAGATTAAAACTTTCGATTTATCTGCTTATTTGTATGTTTGTTGGTTTCTAAATGGATCTTTGATAGATGGAGTAAGAGGGAAAGTGAAAGAGAGAAAAAGTATTAGATATTCTGATCTGTTGCGATGATATAGTATGTCTTTTGTAAGTTTAATCAACTTTTTCTAAAAAAACATAATAATGCAATTTATAATAGGAGAATTAAACTGATCAGTTAATCTACATAAAAATTTTTTAGAGAATAGAAACACTTTAAAGACTGTGTATTTAGAAATATATTATATATCTTGATATAAAATCATTTTCTTCATAATACTAATTAATAATTTTATATACTCCATAGCAGCAGCTTTCTTCTCTATTAAATGTTTTATAAGAAATGTTTAGTATCATTCATCGTCTTTTAAAAAACATGATTACTTTTAGAAATTAATATATATATATATATGGTGAATGGTAATAAGTTAGATAATGAAATAAATACATACATATAACATAAACAAAAAGAAAGGATTAAAAGAAGGAAAAGAAATTGTACAAACGGTTACTTACTCATGAATAATGTAAACTGTTTGTTTTCTTTTCTAGCATACACATATCGTAGTTCTACTATTAACAAGTATCATTAATTGTCCTAATCCTGTATTTCACATCCTTCTAACTTTTATACTTTATGTAAGATGATCTATTTCTTCTTTTGAATACTGAGGAATTGCATATCCACAGCATCAATGACGGCTGGAACGATTTCTGGGTTAGCCAAAGTAGATAAGTCACCTAGTTGATCAGCTTCATTCGATGCACATTTTCTTAGGACTCTTCTCATGATCTTACCGGATCTAGTTTTTGGTAAATCTCTAACTGTAATAATTGCCTTTGGTGCAGCGAATGGACCAATTTCACTTCTGACTTGCAAGATTAATTCACGACGTAGTTCCTCTGGGGATGCGTGAAGATCGACTTCCATTAGATCCTCGCCAGTTTGTTTCTTTAGAGATACGAATGCAATGATGGCTTGACCAGTCAATTCATCATTGATACCAATAACGGCAGCTTCAGAGACGTCGTCATTGGTAGATAAAGTGGCTTCAATTTCAGCAGTAGATAATCTGTGACCAGAGACGTTAACAACGTCATCGACTCTACCTCTAATCCAGTAGTAACCGTCATGGTCTCTCCCAGCACCATCACCAGTGAAATAGTGGCCAGGGTAAGCATTCATGTAAGTATTTAAGTAGTGATTATGGTTATTCCAAATAGATCTAGTCATTGATGGCCAAGAGGATTTGATCGCTAAGACGCCTTCAACATCATTACCTTGTAATTCTTCACCACTAACTGGATCAATGATAGAAGCTTCAATACCGAAGAAAGGTAATGTAGCGGAACCTGGTTTAGTTGGAGTGGCACCAGCTAATGGAGCAATCAAATGAGAACCAGATTCTGTTTGCCAATAAGTGTCACAAATGACACAATTGTTATTACCGATCTTTTCATTGTACCATTCCCATAAATCTGGAGAGATTGGTTCTCCGACAGACCCAAGGACACGTAATGAGGAGATATCATATTTAGAGATTTCAGATTCACCAACACGTTTAATCAATCTCATGGCAGTGGGAGCCACATAGAAATGAGTAGCTTTATAGCGTTCGACAATTCTCCAGTATCTACCGTAATCTGGGTAAGCTGGAGTGGATTCAAAGATAATAGAAGTGGTACCTAAACATAATGGACCATATAGAGCATACGTGTGACCAGTAATCCAACCAACATCACCAGCAGTAAACAAAACATCCTCTGGATGTAGATCAAAAACGTATCTTGTGGTCATGGCGGCACCTAACAAGTAACCAGCAGTGGTGTGGACAACACCCTTAGGGGAACCAGTAGAACCAGATGTATACAATAGGAATAATGGATCTTCAGATTTACATGAGGTTGGTGGAATATAACCTCTGTGTTTTGCAATTTCTTCATCCCACCAGAAATCTCTACCAGCCTTCATTGGGACAGATCTGTTGTTAGTTCTGGGGAACACCAAAATGTGGCTAACAGCGTCGACCCCATTCAAACCTTCGTCGATGATTTTCTTAGCATGGATAGTTTTACCACCTCTTTTACCTTCTTCACAAGTGATAACGACTTTACAGCCGGCATCCACGACACGATCCTTTAAGGAACCAGAAGAAAAACCAGCAAAGATGACTGTGTGAATAGCACCCAAACGAGCCACAGCTAACATAGCAATCAGAGTCTCTGGAATCATTGGCATGTAGATAGCAACAGTGTCACCCTTTTTAACACCCCAACTCTTTAGGACACCGGCAACTTTGCAGACAGATCTTAATAGTTCACCAAAAGTGATGGTTCTACTCTCAGATTCATCATCAGCCTCATAGATCAAAGCGGCCTTATCTGGGTTCTCAATCGCATGTCTATCAACACAGTTATAAGAGGCGTTCAATTCGCCGTTCAAGAACCAAGCGACATCACCGGTAGCCAAGGAACCATATTTAACTTTGGTAAAAGGTTTATCCCAATGTAAAAATTCGGTAGCCATCTTCCCAAAAAAAGAATCTGGATTGGTGATGGACTCATTGTACATGGCTTTGTATTGATCTAAGTCCTTGATGTAAGATGGTCCAGGTTGTGACTTGTAGAAGTGTTCTGGAGCAAAACGTGGTTGAACATCTTGAGCTTCATGGACAACTTTGTGGATTGGTGCAGTCATTGTTGTCCTATTGGGATATATATATATGCGTGCGTGTTGTGATGTTGTGTTATATGGAATATTAAATACTCGATCAAATAAGTTCAGTAACCACTCCACTGCTTTCTTCTCTTCCTGTATTAGATATTGTATATTGTATATGAGGATAAGTGTATTCTAATAAGTGTATGTATATATATATATATATATATGACCTTGTTATAACGTTATATTGAATTTGGCTCGACTGAAAAAACAACAAAAAAAAAATTCCCCGCTTATGTTGAATTCCTCGAGAGAGAAACAGAATAATGGAAGAAAAAAAAGAGTAACAGTCGAGGAAAATGCGAGAAGGATGAAAAAGACAATAGTAACAAAACTAACGTTGTACAGTATAAATATTTTGTCAAATAGCGAATATATATATATACATATATATAAAGAGGAAAAAATTATGACAGTACAAGTAAAGATGAAGTTTATAGGTGTGTGTGTAGCAAAATAGGCTAAAAAATATATACACAAGTGTTCACAAAGTCTTATACGAGAAGAGACATCATGAGTGCAAGTAAAGAAGAGGGAAAGGGAACAGAAATGCTTCGCTAAAAATCCGTTAATATGATAAAAGGTTGAATGTGGTAGATGACTACCGGTATTAATATCTAGATACAGGCTTTAACAACACAACTGTGATGTGTATGTAGGAAACTAAACAAGATAAATAGCAATATATGTCACAATATGATAGTAAATCTAAAATAAATAATGCTTTTCTTGACACAACAAAGCATTTTTTCTTTTCTTTTTATTTTTTTTTTTCCTTTTTTTATTTTTTCCTCAGTTAAATGGAAAAAAAACCAAATGACCCACATCACATACCGGACAAGCGGGAAATAAACATGACGGTGGAATAAAAATTGACACGGGAACTGAATAAAAGAAATCAGAGAAAAAAATCAGAGAAAAAGGAAATGTAATATGGTACGGTTGTATGTCAAAAGTGGTTCTTAAAGAGAATACATTCAACTCCATGACAGAATACAACAACTTCGAGAACATAAGCGTTAGTTGTCAAGATTACCAGTCAACTAGGAAGGGGAGTGAAGAAGAAAGAAAATTAAAAAAATACATATACACACATATATAAAAGTGAATAAACTGTCACAATGTCATGTTTGTCAGGCAGTAACGCCTGCTAAAGCAGAGAGATAGAAATTCTAAACCCTACACAAGACTGGAAACAAACTCTACCATTAGCCCCAAACTTACACCTCGATCAAACTTGCGTGTGTGTAGTCTTTTGCATTCCATTGTGTGTATCATTTCAGGATTGAACATATATACAACCCTAACCCCTATACTACAGAATAAGCAAGTGTTGTTTTATTTTGTTATGTTTTGTCTCAGCATTTTGACAAGCCCTTATTTTTATTTTCCTTCACTATAGGGTAAAAAAAAAGGTGACTAAGTAAACCTAGAAAAGTAACCAATCATTTGCATTTGACAGACGAAAATACAAAACACAAAAAATACCAAAAGAATAAAACAAAATCGCCTTAAAATATTTCAGAATGTGAAAATTTCTTGTTTATCAAAGAAAAAGAAAAAAAACTTGTTAGTATGTGAGTAAAAACAATAAGAGGCGGACATATAATTTTTTACAAAATAATAAAAGAAAAAGGGAAGTCTTTGAAAGATTCATTTTTTTCTTTTTTATTCCGTTATTTTTTGGCAAGAACGGTTATTTCGGTAATTTGCAAAAGATTTTATTGTAGACCTACTCTCTTTTACTTTAGTATTCATTCCCTCCTCTCTCTCTCAGTAGAGATTGAGAACACTAGCCATCATATATGACATTCATTTTTTAGGTTGTGGTTGTTTTCCTACGTCTCCTACAGATGTTCACCTGGCACACAATCAACCGATATCGTTTTCTTAAATCTTAATTATAATAGTGACAAATTAGTAAACTTGATACTTCTTAGTACAAACAATTCTAAATGGAGTATATAATAATTTCAATTATATCCAATACTTAATATATAATGTACACGTCTAATTCAACATAAGAAAATTTTAACAATCTTGTAACAGTAAATAGCCCCTCTTTATTTTCCTTATTTTCCTTATTTTTTTATTTTTATTTTTATTTTTTCAATTTTTTTGTTTTAATCATCTTCTAGTGGAATGGACAAATATACTTCACCTACTCTACTTAAAAATTGTCTAATTGCAAACCTCAGATCACTTGGGACACTCTTGTCCAATATTTTAATAATCAGTCCATACATAACAGTCCCATATTCTTTGAAGTCTTCATCATCAAATTCATAATAACCTTGTAAAATTTCAACTATAACAGGCCTCCATGCAATTATTGTACGTTCCATCGTTCTATCGTCTAATAAAATATACGATTTAACCACAGTAACACATATCCTTATCAACCTAGCAGCCAATCCAGCCTTCTTTTCATCATCATTTAAATATAGTTTAAACATTAGATCAATTAAAACTGCTGCTGCACTGGTCTCTTGTTTTAATAAATTAGGAATATTATTAACGACACGAGATTCCATCAATCTTGTTCTTAACCCGATATCATTATTGAAATCATGTGCAAATTCATATGATTTCTCCAAAAGTTCTGTTAATTTGATTGATTCTTTACATGGAATGTTTTGTTCAAATGTTTCATCATCATAAAGATCACTAACCAATTCAATCATCAATAACTGTAAAATACATTTAACCACAATAGTGTTTTTAACATTGACTTGCTTGCGTAAAAGATCTCTATCTTTATCTATATCGATATCTGATGACTTAGAATCACTACTGGTGTTATTATTAACATTGTTGTTGTTGTTATTCTCATTTTCTGTGTTTAAAACAAAATCTTCACTGCCTGCTTCTTTTTTAGCTCTTTCTAATGTTTCCGGCATTGTGTCTTCTTGATTTGAAATATTAGGTATCTTTGGGGTAGATGGGTCGAACGCCATAGATTTACGTCTGCCTTGATGTAACGGATCACATTCAAATAATTCTTCAGCAGTGGTTAATTCAAATAATTTAATAAATACATCCCCAATTAACTCCCAATGTTCTGTAGAAAATTTCGTTACATTTTGCAAAATTAATTGTTGCAAACAGGCCCTTCCAATTCTTGCAATAGTATCATTCTCTTGACAGATACATGACACTAAAAGTTTTAAAAATCCATCAAGCATCTTGTTTAGGGATTCAAAATAATGAGTGAAAAGTGCAATTAGATTTCTCAAAGCTTGAATTAAGGTGGTCGATAACCAAACACTTAAATCATCGTGACTGTTGAATTGGTTAATTTCCCAGTGTTTAGATAGAACATTAAAGATAGGAAATAATAACTTATTACATATCTTCTTCCAAAATTCTTCATCAAAATTACTACCATAAGCAACAAGTGCATCGAACATGTTGTTCAAAGCACGCGATCTTACCTCAAGATCATTCGCTGTCATTATTGTTTCATTGAAACAAAATAGAATTGGGAACCAAACATCTTCAAAAACATCTTTACCATGTAACAATTTCTGATAATGTTCTCTTTCTGGTAAATCTGGATCATTAGATGTTATTATAGCAATACGATTAGTTATAGTTTTTAATGTTTCTAATGCATGTAACGAAGCCTTTTGAAACTTTCTATTTTTTGTAATGTCTTTAAACACATCAACTAATTCGCTAAATGAATCCTCTTGAACAAACACACTTTCAAAATGCTTCTTGACAATATCATCGGTGATCAAGCTTTGTGTCTTATTGACAATAGCTTCATTTTTTGATTGGGATGTGTATTGCAAAGATTTTAGGATTGATTTCCAACCAGACTTTATTTTTTCTGACTTTAATAAAATAAAACTACGGAAACATTCAATAATCATTTCTTGCACTTCAGTATCACCTGTATTTTGTACAGTATACTCAAATGGTTTCAAAAAATCATGTTGGAATTCAAACCCATTCAATTCTTCAATATCTAAGAATCTTACAGACAATTGACGTAAAGAATCAATTGCAAAGAAAACAACAGCTAAATTAGAGTTTGTAGCAATTTTATTAAAAGCAGATCCCATTACGGCCCAAATTGGTGTCCATTCTAATCTGATACGGTCCATATTATAATAACAAACATCAATCATTTTTTGTAAAGAAAACATTCTTGGAGTTGAGGTATGTTGAGACGACTCAATTTCTTCTAAAGAGACCTGAGTCAAGGCTCTAATAAAATCAATTATTGCATTAGCTGATAGGTCACCACTCTTAGTAAATACATTGTCCATTAACACAACAAGTTCACTCGATGAAATGTATTTCACCATATCAGGTGATAATTTTTGATTAAGATGTTTCTCCAACGCTAGTTCCATCGGCGTAGCCCTCTTACTCCATATATCGAAAAAATATGGCTGTGGAGTGGTTTTTGCTGAATCGATGGAGACTCTTGGATTAGTAACACGTGCTTGCGTTACGTCAGGAATTGTGTTCCTGTCAATACCTTTGGAAATTAGTTGTAATCTTTCAATTTGGGATATAACTAATAAAATCTCTTTCCATGATTCTTTGATATAATTACCCTCAGAAATGGCTAGTTCCAATAGTTCTATCATTGCATTTACATTTTTTATTTTGATTTCTTCAATGTTTTGTAAATTACAAAATTGCACCAAGGCACCAATAAAGGATTGTCTAGCATCATCAATGGAAAATATAGAAGATATTCTAATAGAAATTCTTAATCCTTCCAAACATTTGTTGGTTGTTTCCAAATCATCGTATTCCTTAAAAGGCGGTGTTAAAGCTGCCAGGAAAGACATCCACAAATTCTCGAAAATAGACTTGGCGTGCTCTACATGAGATGCGGCATAATAAATATCACCATCATTTTTTAGTTTTGTTTTGCTCAAATTTTTAAATACAAGTTCGGTTTTTGATGCAATTTCTTTGGAAACTTGCATATATGCCTCTCTTTGTAAATCTCTAGTACTAAAAAAGTTAAACGCAGAGGATTGTTGATTTGAAAGAACATTTTCATCTTCTGCTAACATAGCTTGATGTTGTTCTGATAGTAATTTAATTTCATTGTTAGCAATCTCATTGAATAATCCTACCAAAAATTCCCTGGGTAAATCTTGACCATTATCGATACCCTCATTATTTTCTAAAAACTCTTCCAACGACATTTTATTCTTAATATGAGACGAATGTAAATCTGTGTTAAGCATTATCAAAGAATAAGATAAAACATAAGCAGTATCGGCTTTTGAGAAAACAGTTGGGTTTTGTTCTACATATCGTTCAGCAAATTTTAACATAAATCTATCGATCTTTTGACCTTCTCCTGGAAGTCTAAAGGCTTGTAAAAATTCCCTAAGTGCATCTACAATAGATAAACCTATAAAATCAAAGTCATCAACAAAAGCATGCATTATTGCAATATTCTTTTCATCACCTTCACCGAGAAAATCACCCACAGTAGCCAGATTTAAACCATCTGTTGTCAATAACCACTTGGCTATAGATTTGGGAGAGTCATCTTCCAGGAATCCTTTTTCAATTAATAATGGAATAGCTTTTTTTGGCTTATTATTGAATATCGAAATACAATCAGATAATTGAGTCTTCCGTTGTTTCAAATTTTCCAATTGTAATGGGTCATCTATATCTTGGCTATTTAATGTATCAACGTCATTGACATTTATACTAGATAAAGTGGGCTCTGTTGTTAAGTGTGGGTTTTCCTTTGCATTGTTTGGCATTGTTTGAGGATTCAATGCTTTGTGGGCCCAAGCACTTAATGATTTTAACACAGAAACAATGCACCCCAATGAAGTCATTTTTAACGCATATTCCACGGGAAACAATGATACATCTTGTGGTCCAGAAGTCGAAGATAAGGTTTGTATAGTTAACAATGGTAATTGGTCAAAATTATAGGTAAATAATGGTTTTGTTAACTGATCTTCATAGTATGATCTTTGAGATGGTGTAATATCTACTCTTGTTAATGCTGTTTTTGTCAAATAATTAATGATTTGTTCAGTGATATTTGGCATGGAAGGATGGCAATCATAATTCAAATAGAATTCAATCAACGTTCTAGGATCATTGCATATTCTCTGCAAGATAACCAGGAAATATCTCTTTTGTTGAGCTGTTGAAGTACTTAGTTCTGCAATCGGGAAATAAATTTCCGTAACGAAAACGGGAATTTCTCTTAGAAACTCAACTTTCAAATTAGCAATCAATAACCAAAGTATTTCTAAAGTGATTTCAAAAACTGGGGGTATTGGGGAAGCAGCATTTCTAGATAATGATAGGCATAAGTACTGCTTAATGGAATCCAAGAATGTTTCGTTTTTTTTACCAGGTAAAAATATATTTGGTGATAAAAACACATCGACATGCTCCTTCATTATTAAGTAAATTATATGTAAAGATAACAACTTTGAACGAACTGCTTGAGATCTCATGTCAAGGTTACTCTCTATAGGCTTTGCACATATCTTTGCCATGGTTCTAAATACCAAAAATGCATCTTTAATTACCAAATCTTGACCGGAAGAAAATGCATCATTTTTCTGAGAATCAACAATTCTTTCTTCTTCATCATTTAACCGACCCATATCTTCTAAAGTGACAACTTCTTTGAAACTGGGGGCCTCTTCAGATAAAACAGCTTGGTTGTCCAGACTATTAACCAAAGATTTGGATCGGTTTATAAAAGTTGTTGATTGATTATTTTTCTTTAATTCTATTTTATCGAACACAGAACTAACCATTTGAGTTAGAGTTGCCTGAGCAATACCTTGATTCGAAGCGCTTAAAGACATAACAAAAATATTGTAAACCGTTCTAATAGCCTTTAACAAAGATGCACCGTGGCATAAAGATATAGAATCTTCAACAAGGATACAGCTAGATAAAGCACGAATAATCTGTAGTTCGACTTTTTCGTTGGTACCCTCACCTTGGAAACAATCAGCAATGGTGTCAATAGCTGCATCAATTAGTGTTTGTTTTGGAGGTGGTGTAATGCCAGAGTTTGGATCAACAACTTGGTCATTCGAGGCCAAAGAATCAGGAGGATTTACTAATAGAGTTTCATCAAGCGATCTAAAGGAAAACATTTTGGACAGGCAATCTAAAGATACTCTTTGTAATTTGCTAGATTTAGTTCGACAACAACTTCTTAGAGTATCAAAAATAAGTAAAGAATCATTAGTAATATTAATATTTTCCGGATTTTGCAAACTTTCATTTAATCTTATTAATGCTCTTTCTACTCCTTTCTGTATATTTGGGTACTTTTTTACATCTTTCTCTTCTTGAATTTTTTCTAATGTTACTTTAGCTAAATGGAAAGTAGATTTGATATTATTAATTGAATTATTTGAAATAATGGAGGACGTTCTAGTGCGTGTTCTACCTGAGGATGGAATATCTGATAATGAAACAGCAGGCTCTTGTAAATTATTAGACACCTCACTTGATCTCTGGTCATCCATATCAACTGAATCATTTTTATTTGTTTTACCAGATAATTCCAAGTTATTGGTTGAATCTGTTGCTACCTGTTCACCATCGTTTTGTGCGTTTGATAAAGATTGATTTTTATTGTGACGATCTATGTCATTCTCACCATTGTCGTTGCTTGAAATTATTGATATTTGATCATCAATATCATTATGATCACTATTATTACTATTACTATTATTATTATTATCGATTGGACTAGAAGATCTCTCACTGTTTAAATCCACAGACGATATGTTCTCTTGACTATCATTTTCTTGAATAGGTATATTTTCTTGGTCTTCTACGTCCGTCATAATGTATTTTTTTTTGTATGTTTCCTTTTTAATCTTAGTTCCTCTTAAGAGAGAATTGATATATACAGAGGTAATATAGTGCTTTTTTACCTAATCAAACAATTAGATAATGTTAGAGAAGTATAGAATCAAATCAAAAGGGTGGATGAACAATTATTTTCTAGACAAAATAAGTAAACAAAACAATATAAACAAAGATAATTACCACTCACTTATAGAGTAACTGAAGATCCCAAGTACCTTTAATTAGGTTGTTTTTTTATTGATTCTTCAACCGAACGTTATTTGATAATATTCTACCGCATTTATCTTGTCTTTTACTTCTATTTAATCAGAGAAAGAAATAAATTAAAACTTTGCCTTGTTTCGTGGAGAGTGATCCAAACTCTTTTAGGGTTTTGCTGGGCGTGTCAAGTAGGGCTTGGAGAAAAAGCTGGCATAACTTCTCCATAAATTTATTGCAATATAAGCTTACATACTTATTATATACACACATAGAAACGTATTGGTCTTCACCCCAGTAGGTAAGCCTATAAAGTGGCTAGTTCCTTAACTATCTACTAAGAATATATATAAATAATCATATTTTATAAATAACATAGTATTTTTTTTTGGTGGGTTAACGTCTGTAATCCAAACATGAAGAATTTTGGATAGAGTAGAATAGTTTTGTCATTTTTATATGAGGAAATGTATGATTGTTAATAAAAAACATCTTCACATACACATTCATCAATATTAGCTATTGAATTTAATTGAAGAGTATTCAAGTAGTGATAATTATGTTATATCTTATTCAAGGGAGTTTTTATTATCAGAAAAATACTAAAGACCATCATCTTATTTGAATACATCTTAGTATAAGTATCAAAAGGCAATTTTGATACTTATACAAGAACAACAATAAAATATTAAGATCATTATTATACAAAACTTAAATAAGCCGTATTTATACCTGTAGTAACTGAACACTAGCTTCTTATCATGCAATGCATATAATGGGTGTATTTCATCTAACGTAACCTAATTTACTAAAATAATTTAAACTCATCGTATACGAACATAATATTATTTTTTTCTTTTTGTCTCAATTATAATAAACAGTAGAAATGAGAAGGTAGATGACTATTGGAAAACAATTAGATAGAAATGGATATATATATATATATATATATATATATGCCAAAACAAAAAGACTAGACAGAAAGACAACCAAGTACCAGATCGAATAATGATGATATCAGTCAAATCTCGTTCTAAGAAATTAAAAGATTGTGAGATCCGTATCAAATCTGACGAGACACATGCTTTACAAGATGTGCTAAAACAAATCAGTAAGCAAAATAGAGACATTAGTATCTATAGGTTAAGACTAACTTATAAAAAGGATGATAAACATATCCCAATTATGGAAGATTCTTTTTTTAAAAGTGCCGACTCCAATCTACAATTATATGTTAAGGATTTGGGTCCTCAAATTAGCTGGAGATTGGTGTTTTTGATTGAATATCTGGGTCCAATCTTAGTCCATTCATTGTTATATTATTTCTCAAGTATTGAGCAAATTAGAGATAAATTAAATTATTCTTCAGACAATTATGATCCAAATTTAAACCAAATTGTATTTTTCTTGATACTTGGCCATTATGTTAAAAGAGAATTGGAAACATTATTTCTTCACAGATTTACTTTAGCTACTATGCCTCTATTTAATGTCTTCAAGAATTCATTCCACTATTGGGTTTTAAATGGTGCTATTGGGTTAGGCTATTTTGGTTATGGTTTCTTATTTTCCAATAATCAATTATCTTGGATTTATAACGCCATGGGTCAAATAAATTTATCCACTTTAATTGGTCTATTTGTCTTAAGTGAGACCTGGAATTTCTACATGCACTTGCAATTAAGAGTCTATGGTGATCAACAAATAGCCAAAGGTAACACCACAAAGAGAGTTCCAATCAATGAAGGTCTTTTCAAATATTTAGTGGCTCCAAACTACACATTTGAAGTCTGGTCTTGGATCTGGTTTACCATAATTTTTAAATTCAATATCTTTGCTTTAGTGTTTTTACTGGTTTCTGCTACACAAATGTATCTATGGGCTATCAAAAAGAATAAAAAATATGGTACCAAGAGAGCTTTCTTGATTCCATTTGTTTTTTAAAACTTGGCACACCTATTGATAATCAAATTATTATTAGAATTTTATCTTACTTTGACTTTAATTTTATCTTTTGCTCAATTCATGCAAAATATATACACATATATACACATATATACATTTTCTGAATTATATATACATATATATGCATGTACTATATAGTTATTATGCTATGTTAATGATATATTATATATCAATCAATAATAAGTACTACATCGTCATCATCCTGAAATCTATCCTCCATATCACTACTCATTTCATCCTCATCAGTACTCTCTATTTCTGTATTAGTGATATCATTCATTTGATCTATTTGATCCCTAATAGTATTATTATCACGGTGGCTATTGTCGCTATTTGATGTTGAAATAATGATGTCCTCCTCATCATTCAGTTCATTAAAAAATGCATTCTTTAATAATTCATCAGCAGATGATCTCTTTTGTGGGTCCATTTCAAAACACTGTTCTAGTAATTGGAAACACCAATAATGATCAGTCCATATCTCTTCTTGATATTGCTTCAAACTGTATGCCATTGCATCATTGCCATCTGATATTACATCTACGGGTAATTGTGGTTCGATAGACACCCGATCGTGTAGATCTTGTTCCAAAAATTGATATGTTTCAAATGCAACACTATATTCTGGAAATGTTCCCACATCACATTCCTTCTTCAATAATTCATATACAAACTCTTTCAATCCGTTAGGATACGGTTCTTCTCTAATATGATGCAATCCGTTTACCGCAAAACCGAGCCCGTGTAGTGATGCACATTTACGTAAAGTTTTCCAACCAAATACAGCGCATAATTCCAGTAAAGAATCTGTATCATCTAACGATTGAAACATAGGGAATCTCCTAGATAAGAGACTTAATAAAATCACACCTACAGACCAAATATCGATTTTTGTTGTCTGTGAACCGCATTTCATTAATACTTCAGGAGCACGAAAGCCACGAGTTCCTGCTCTGTTGGCTCTTTTAATTCTACGTGTTTCGTTTTTAGGGTAACCTTTGGTTAAATCTACACCTTGTACATTATTCAGATGAACCAGTTTCCCATTTTGAATTGTCACCATACCACCTTGATGATGTGCTATCGATGCTTCTATAGAAGATATAGAATTATTATTTAGATCCCTCATAATGCAAGGACAAAACTGTTCAGAGAATCGCTCTATTGTAGAGTTATGCGAAGATGACGATTGTGTTGCTGTTGACAATGCTGCTGCTGCTGCTGTTGTTGTTGGTGAGGAAATCACAGACGGATAGTCCAGCTGAGTTTCAGCAAGACCGAAATCTACAAGTACACCGCGGCCCAATTCAGGGTTAAAAAGAAAATTTGTTGGTTTAACATCTCTATGAATAATACCCTTTGAATGTACAAATTTTAATGCATTCAACAATTCGTATATATATGTTTTAATACCTTTGATAGGCAAATCTCTATAAAAATTTCTAAACTCTTCATGTGGGTAATATGGTAAGACAGCAATAACTTGATCTTTAACCCTGGCTGCATCGCAAAGAGGAGCAACATGATTAGAGCCTCCTGTTAAAATATATAATAGATTTAATTCGTTATAGATACGTTGTGGTGATGAAGTGACATAAATTTTCTTCAAAGCAACATATTTATTGGAGTTGCCAGTACTTGACCAAAAATGAGAAAAATATTTCTTGGTAACCTTATGGTTGATATCTTGCGCTTTATAAACCGTTGAAAAGGTCCCTTCTCCTATTTTATCTATTAATTTATAATTGGATCGAATATATGGAACATCATTATAGAGTTGTTCCATTTCATCTTTTATTTCAGGTGGAATAAATTCATTATTATCGGTTGGAGAATTTTGTATTTCAGTCATAAGAATAGTGGTATTTGTCTGTGACAAAAAAATAGAAGGCCTTATTTTTAATAGTTAATGCTACCAAAATAATGACAGAGCAATAAAAACAAAGATGAATAAAAAAAAAAGAGAATGCTAAATATATATATGTTGGCTCTGTAACTTTCAAAAAGAAACAGTAAAAGTAGAACAAATAAAGATCGAATGAAATCTTTTTAATAACCACTTAAGATGCTATAGTCACTTGTACAAAAAATAATGGAAAACACAGTAACCTTGTATAAATAAATCCTCTAATAGTGTATGTTGGTTCATCTAAGTGGCATCTCTGTTTTCTTCTAATACTCCTTTTCACGATCTGCAAACAAAATCAGAAAAAAAAATATATTTATGAAAGTTTAAAAATGGAAATAAACAGTAAAAAAATTATTTCGAGAAACGCGTCAAAATAAAGGAATTCTCACTTTTGTTTGAAACATGAGGGAGAAAGAGGTTTGTCTGTATATGAGAAGCAGGGGAGGAAGATGATCGAACTGTTAGCTGTATAGCAGGAAGAACATAGGGGGGTCTGGTTAACGTTAATTGGTAGTTACATCAACACAGAAGAAACTGTTACCAAGTGAGAGGTCGTTTAATATAAGAGATCAAATTACTCTTACTACTGAAAAGTGTGCTTATATATTTGTGGCTGATTAAAGTCCCCACTATTCTCGATGTTACCAGCATTATTAATTCTATATCTTGGTGCTTTTATTACCATCTTAGTAAAAGCATCACCAATAACATTTATTCTAGATAAGAATAAACAAGAATGTTTTTATTTGTTGACTCCAGATACTGATTGTGAAATAACCTATTATTTTTCTTCTACACAAGACGGAACCTCTGAAGGCATCACTACTAATAAACCTGATCTAAACTATGAAATTTTTGCACCAGATTCCAGGGATGTGCCTATAATCTCCAAACAAAATGAAAGAAAGGGCCAATGGGGGTTTGTCGGAAAGCATAGAGGAGAATATTCATTCTGTTTCAAAAACCCATCCTTATATGATCCAATTCCGGTTGAATTGGAATTGACTTATAAATGTGAGAAACAGAGCAGTCTTGATAAGAAGCGTGCTATTAGAAGGCAAGAACATAAAATCGAACATCCAATTGAACAAATTAGTGAACAAATGTATATTTCTTTATCGGACAGATTAGACTCTATTGAAAGGCAATTATATATGTTGGAAAAGAATATGAAATATTACATAACCAGGAATGATAGAAATCATTACACTGTCAGTTCTACTGTTAATAGAATAACAATGTTTAGTATATATGGTATATTGTTAATTATTGGAATGTCGTGGTGTCAAATAATGATATTGAAATGGATCTTCAACAGATCAAGAAAATGAGAGCAAAAAAAACTGTTATACGGAAGAAGTCAATTCATACCAACATTGCACTATGGAACAGCAAGTATGTATATTTATAGTTGTGTATGCATCTATATAGTCAAGTATTTTCATTATTGATAAACACAGCTAGCAATTATGAGCCCAATTTTATTATCAAAATTTGACTAGTTTTCTCTTTTTCAATTCTTTTAATTTTTCCAGAGTCATCAACCGGAGTCAGATAGGAGAGTGTGGAGAAAAATATTGGTAAGGGAATAACCTCAGTTATAATATATAAAGAAGGAATTGAAAGAAAAAAAAGTTCATCATGTTTCGATGTATTTTATATCAAGGGTCCTTTTCAGAGAATATCAATGTGATAAAGTCCCAATCAGATATACAGTTTTCTCTTCTTTTTTTAAACAATTTTTCAGCTAAAGCAAGAAGACAAAAAAAATAAATAGTATAGAACAGCACCCAAGGCCAATAAAAGTATAAAAATGAGTTTAGTTAAGACTGAATTAGATGGGATCCTACCCCTTATCTCCCGTGGCAAAGTGAGGGACATTTACCGAGTGGATGAACAAACTTTGTTATTTATTGCTACTGATCGTATTTCTGCATATGATGTGATCATGAATAATTCAATTCCGGATAAGGGAAAGCTATTAACCAAATTGTCGCAATTCTGGTTTGAGTTTTTACGCAATGATATAAAGAACCATTTAGTTGAAATTCCTGTTGGAAAAACCATATTTAACTATCTTCCAAAGGAGTTAAGTCAGGATAAGTATAAGAATCAAATTGAGGGCCGTTCTTTACTTGTACATAAGTATAAGTTGGTGCCATTAGAAGTCATTGTCAGGGGTTATATTACAGGTTCTGCATGGAAAGAATACGTTAACAAAGGGACTGTCCACGGTCATTCCATGGTTACTGGTTTAAAGGAATCTCAGCAATTGCCTGAATCTGTTTTCACACCTTCAACAAAGGCTGACCAAGGTGAACATGATGAGAACATTAGTGTTGAACAAGCACAGGAGCTTGTAGGGGAAGACTTATGCCATAAGATTGATGTCAAGGCAAGACAGTTGTATGATAAATGTGCTGAATATGCTAAGAGTCGTGGTATAATTATTGCTGATACAAAATTCGAATTTGGTTTGGATTCCAACAATGAACTGGTGCTTGTTGACGAAGTGTTGACACCAGATTCTTCGAGGTTCTGGAACCTTGCAAATTATGAGGTTGGCAAGGGACAAGATTCGTATGATAAACAATTTTTGAGAAATTGGTTGACCTCTAACAAATTAGCAGGCGTAGACAATGTTACTATGCCCGAAGATATTGTTGAAAGAACAAGAGCTAAGTATATCGAAGCTTACGAAGCTTTAACAGGCCAGAAATATTTGTGAACTGATACATATATAAATATAGATTTATTTACTTCTTTGCATATAAATAATTATTTTGATGACATTGGAATACTATTGTAAACAGCAAAATGTATAATGACAGATAGTAAAGTATAGTATATATATTATATGGAGGTGTATTTTGAAGAGTAAGAATAGATGAGGTAGCTTAGAAGGATCGAACTCAGGATGGTTGAAAGAAGAAACACAGACCACAATTTACAACACCGCACAAATCTTTGTGACTTATCGGAACAACGGAACACCCACACACCTCAGCAGTGCGACTCTGTGATGAATATTTTTCTTTTTTTGTTTGGGTTTTTCCCCTTTTTCTTTTTGTGCATGACTCTTCGGTTCTATTGTATTGTTCGAGGAGGGAAATGACAAACAAAAAGGGAAGAGATATTTGAAGATCAAACATTGGCGAACAAAAAACAAAAGAACATGGCAGAGAAAAGAGATGACACCAAAAACTTTCAATAGAAACCTTAACAACGGCTAGTGGAATCTGTGGAATTTGTAGGCGAAATACTTATATTATATTATAGTATCCATTTTACACCATTTAGGTGATACTTAAATGTATGTTAAATAATAAAAAAGATTGGATATACAATAATGCGTGATAGCCTTCAATCTCATGCAAACATATATATATATATGTGTGTGTGTGTGTATATGCATAAGCTCTTTTTTTTTGTTGTTTTGTAAAAGCTTCCACTTATTTATACTAAGTTTCTAGGCAGTCTTCTTTCTCTCGAGATCTATTGATATTGTGTATGATCCAAAAAAGAAAACTACTGTTAACTTTTCAGAACGAATCAGAAACCACTCAAACAAGAAAAGCATACTCTCTTTCTCTTTGTTCAATTTTATAAAATACTTCCCTATTTTACTTCATTATTTTTCATAATAGTAAATGACTCAAATAGAAAATAAACCACCTGTTCTACCTAGATTGCCTGTCCCACCTTTAGAGGATACTTTGAATCGTTATATTGATCGTATCGAACCTTTACAAGATTCAAAGCAAAATAAAAGAACTCGTCATGTGGTCTTTTCTCCAGATAATTTGGAAAAATTAAAGATATTACATGAAAAACTGGTACAATATGATAATGAATTAGCTCAAGAAAACCCATATTCATCATATATTGAACAATTTTGGTATGATGCATATCTTTTATACGATGCTTCTGTAGTTTTAAATGTTAATCCATTTTTCCAATTGCAAGACGATCCAACATTAAAGGATTCCTTTTCGCATTCTAGGTCCCAAAATGGCCCCTACGGGATTCATACTATTCAAATTAAAAGAGCCTCTAAATTAGTTACTTCGATGTTGAAGTTTATACAACAATTACGTCAAGGTGCTTTAAAATCTGATCTGGCTCGTGGTGGTGCACCACTATCTATGGATCAATACAACAAGTTGTTTGGCTCTGCAAGAATCCCACCCGGTCCTGGCGAAAATTCGTGTCATTTGCAAACGGATAGTTCATCTCATCATGTTATTGTGATGTATAAGCAGCAATTCTACTGGTTTGATGTACTTGATATAAATAACCGACCATTATTTAAGACCCCTGATGAATTGGAATGGAATCTTTATTCCATTATCATGGATGGTAATGCTTCTTCCAACAACGATACAGAAAATAGATTACCGTTTGGTGTCTTTACCACTGAGAGCAGACGTATTTGGTCCAATGTTAGAGACTATATTTATCAATCAAAGGATAAGACGAATTGGAAGAATTTGAAACTGATTGATTCTGCATTATTTGTCATCTGTTTGGATGACGTCGCATTCGATGACACACCAGAAGGACAAACTGACTTAACTACTTCGCTGCTTTGTGGTACCTCAAAAGTTAATTTAGATTTCAAATCCGCTGCTACACCGCTAAATATTCAAAGTGGTACCTGTTTGAATAGATGGTATGATAAATTACAACTTATTGTTACTTTGAATGGTAAAGCTGGTTTTAATTTCGAACACACTGGGGTAGATGGCCATACTGTATTAAGACTAGCCACAGATATTTATACAGATTCTATCCTAGGTTTCGCTCGTGGAGTTACAAAAAACGTATTGGATATTTTTAACAGAAACAATAATGAACAAGCGTTGTCTTTGGTTAATTCTGATAATAATAAGCAAAGTACAAGCACTGAGAAGCTAGAAAAACATAATGTTATTACGATTCCAAGAAAGTTAGAATGGCAAGTAGACCCCTTTTTATTATCATCTCTACACTTTGCAGAAACTAAAATCTCAGACCTAATATCACAATATGAATTAGTCACATTGGATTTCACACATTATGGTGCATCACATATTAAAAGACAATTTAAGTGTTCTCCAGATGCATTCACTCAACAAATTTTTCAAATTGCCTACTATGCATTATATGGTAAATTCGAGACCGTTTACGAACCTGCTATGACTAAACTTTTCCAAAACGGTAGAACTGAAGCCATAAGATCAGTCACTTTAGCATCCAAAAGATTTGTTAAATCTATCTTTGATCGTAATGCTACAGATGATGAGAGAAAAATATACTTACAAGAATCATGTAAAGAGCACTCTCGTATCACTAAAGAATGCGCAGTGGGTCTCGGTCAGGACCGCCATTTATATGCACTATACTCTATTTGGAATGAAATGTTTAAAGATACTATGCCATTGCCAGGTATCTTTCAGGATAAAGCCTGGTCCATCTTAAACACTTCAATTATAAGTACGTCTAACTGTGGTAATCCATGCTTAAAGAGTTTTGGTTTTGGCCCAGTAACTCCAAATGGGTTTGGAATTGGTTATATTATTCGTGATGATTCGATTACATTAGTTGTGACATCAAAACATAGGCAAACTAAGAGATTTGTGTCATTGCTTGAAAAATCATTTTTAGAGATCGATCATATATTTAACAGACAAAATGATACTGCAGGTACAACAGCAACCAGTCAAGGAAAGGATATTTTAATGAGGATTCATAGGGGTAATGTAGCAGGCACTCTGGAAGGAACTAACAAATCAAAGGATTTGACGTATCTATTGTCGGGTTATGATTACTTTGATGTTTCTGTTACTGGATAAGTTTTTTTTTTTCAGTTATGTTCATATTCCACACGTATTTATTGATAAGAATATATCTATATGTATGTGTCCTTTAGATTTACATATTAATGATTCATATATATTCTAAAAATATATGTGCAGAATGTATAAATTTTGTTGGTAATAATAATTATAATAATATTATTTTAACTCGATGAGTTAAATATAATGAACGGGAAAAGTATTTTAATGATGTGAAGATATGGTTTTTATATGGTCGTGAGTCATAAGTAGATAGTTATTTATTAGGCTTTGCAAATATAAGTTACATTATCCTTGCAGTGTTTACTGTTCATAATTGAAAAACATAATACAGTTCAGTACAAAAAACATTATTAAATGTTTTTGATCATCCCAAAAAAAATACTAAGCGATTAAAATATAGGCAAGATTAAACAAATATTAAGTACCTAAGTAAGTGGGTTTGGAAATGTTGCTGTAATTATTCCAAACACTTCCTGTTCGTTACAAATCAGGAACGATTGGAGCAACTTTTCAAGTCTGTAGAATATAGGAGGAATAACAGAAAATTATCTTAGGTTGGGCTTTCTCTAGTATAAGAGTATAAGATAAAAAAGACAGATTGTTGAAGCACTATTATAGTATGTATACACCAATGATTCTTCCAAAACAGCTTTTTCACAAGCAGAATCTACATCACGGAATCTCCTTTATTCCGTCTGTTTCCGGAGAATTCCAAACTCACATTTTGTTTGTATATGTTTACGTTTCTTTTTTTTTTCTTTTCCTCTTGAGAATATTTGTGTATAATTTCTCATAGAAGATGCAAGTAAATATGTTTGAAAAGGAAAAACGGGGAAGCTCGTAAAATCTTTATGCATTTGGTACGATCGTTGCCATTTTATTACGATCATTCTCTTTGTCTTCTCTCTTTTCTTCACAACTATATAACATCTAGACCTCGTATCTACTGCTAGTTGTCATTATCATTCGTAATAATATTATTGTGTCTCTATAAATTGGTGTTTTTAAATCATTCATTTTATAATTGAATTAAACAAACTCTAATCATTGTAACAATGTCGGACACTAATGGTGCAGATGTGGCCGATCTAAGTAAACCGTTACTAAAACTAAGGCTCTTAGAAACACTTCGTGACGGTTCATTTGATGAACTTTCCAAGTTTATTGCTACGAGGTTTGTTTCTAAAGATAATCCAATTATTCAAGAATTAGCATCAATCATTTTGCACCTTGCTGTTCAAGTAGCACCCGACAAATTAGTTAAAAATATTGTAACTCAATGGGTCGACAATCCAAAACAATCCAAAAATATATTAGGTCTACCTTTAGATATTAACCAAAGAGATGAAAATGGTAATACTCCCTTACATTTAGCTGTGCTTCAGTCTAGAGACAATATTATCCAATTTTTCTTAGACAATGAAAATATCAATGAAATGATAATGAATAAGGATGGTTTATTACCTATCGATCTTTGCAAGAATTTGAATGTTGCTGAAATGATGCAAAATAAAAGATGTGCCTATATGAATAATGTAATGAAACAAGCTGATACTGCCTTTGAGAGAAAAGATTTTAATACATTGGAGCACATATTTGCTAAACCAAGAAACCAGGAATTTATGAATATTAATAAATTGGACCCATTAGATCACGGTAATTCGTTGTTACACAAATATTTGTTGAAGGGAGATGTCGAGACTTGTAAATGGTTACTAAATCATGGTGCAAATCCATTACTGAAAAATGAAGAAGGTGTGTGTGCGTTAGATATAATTAAAACTAAACAAAAGACAAACAAAAATTTAGATCCTGCATTAAAGACTTTGCTTAATGATATTTTGAAAGAAGAAGCAGTAGTTAATGCTACTTTAGCAATCGAAAAACCGCCTACACAAAAAGGTTACTTGAAAAAATATGCACACATGGGAAAAGGTTATAAATTACGGTACTTTGTATTAAGTGAGGATGGTAAATTGTCCTATTATAAAGATCCAGCTTCATATGCTGCCAATAAATTACCAAGAGGTTCTCTTGAGTTAGATAAATGTTATCTTCATATGGATTCCACAGAAAAGTTGAAATTCGAAGTCATAGGTGGAAGCAATAATTCAGCTAAATGGAAACTAAAGGGGAATCAAACCATGGAGACTAATAGTTGGGTTATGGCAATCCAAAGTGCAATTCGTTATGCGAAGGATAAAAAAACTTCACAAAAATCTAAAGGACAGCATGGATTGAAAATTGATACCAGCACAGATAGTTTGCAAACTCCAACTATGATTCTTAATAGTTATAAAAGTCCAACTTTACAAAAATCAAATACCTTTGATGCACAATATGCTAGAAAACAGAATATTGGAAGGCAATCAAATCTTTCTCCAATGCATCGCAAGTTTACTGATATCCAAGCCTCTGATTCCAGTGATATTAAGTTGAGTAATAAATTGACCGAATCTGGTAAAAATTATGTGAACCAGATGATTGATTCAAGACTAGAAAGATCTACCTCTCTTTCAAGAAAGAGCTCAATAGTAGAAGTTGGGTCAAAGTCTACCGGCCCAATGACACCATTGGGTAGTCCTAAGTTCATGACTTCAACAGCAGGTATATCATATATGAGTATGGACAACCTAGATATGAGTAATAGATCGTTTGTTGGAAGTCCTATCACAACAACTAAAACTGCAAACGGAATTAATACAGGATATCAAGAAGGTGTTGTTGGTGAAGGTACTGACTCTGAATTAGAAGGGGATGAGGAAAATATGACTGCAAAATATAATAGAGATGAGGAATATTTGAAAGTGGAATATGGTCCATATGTGGAAAAATTGAATATGTATCAAAGAACAATTGCTTTAGAATTATCCACGATTAATGAAATTATTGATTCAACAGATTTTATTAATAATAATGATGCTGCCTTGGTCACTATTAAAGAATCTTTGTTAAGACTGTCCTCGAATATCACAGAAATGAATTCGTTGACCTTGAAAAGGGATGAAAAATTAGTATCCATGTTGGCAAAACAACGTGATATGAACAACGTTTGGATTCAAACCATGAAGGACTTAGAAATTGAGTTAGAAAATAAAACAGAGAGATTAGCAACTTTAGGTAGAGGCAGAAGAACTTTGAAAAGAACTTTGAAAAAAAAAATCAAAGAAGTTAAATCTCAAGGCAATATGAATTCTGAAATATCTTTACAAAGTTTGGCAAAGGTAAGTTCATGTGATACTTTGAATCAGATTGCTAGATTTATTACGGCTACGAAGGAAGAAGACGAAGATTCTGCTGGCGATGAATTTTACGATGCTGAAGAATTGGTAGATGAATCATCTGTACAGGAATCGCATGTAGATATTATTCATAAAGATGAAGGTGATGTATTATCATATACAAATACAAATGCTTCAATGCCAGAAGAAGGTAACACAAATAGCGATGGTGGTGATGTTTCATTGACTCATGAGAATATGGCAAATAATGTGAAATCTATAAGTGAATCCTTGGAAGGCACAGACGGGCCGATTATCATGGAATCCTCGCATAAAACATCAAACAGTGCACAATTTGATGATATAAAGAAGAAAGTAGAAGTAGAAAAACCTGTGAAGGAGGAGAAACAAGAGGAAGTTGTTGAGAATGCTGTTGACCAGTCATTATCAGAGAAGATCCCAGAGAAAAAATTATTTGCCGTTACTACGGCGCAAAAGAATAAACAGGCTCTGATTTTGAAAGAAGGATCTTATTTGGGTTATGAAGATGGTCCAAGAAAAAAGTTGGCGTTAGATAAAGATGAAAGACCAAGGGTGAGTCTATGGGCAGTATTAAAATCTATGATTGGTAAGGATATGACTAGGATGACTTTACCTGTAGTATTTAATGAACCCACCAATTTATTGCAAAGAGTAGCAGAGGATATGGAATGTTCATATTTATTGGATCAAGCAGCTACATTCAAGGATTCTACATTAAGATTATTATACGTTTCCGTCTTTACTGCATCTTGTTATGCATCCACAGTTGGAAGAATAGCCAAACCATTTAATCCGATCCTTGGTGAGACATTTGAATATGCCAGACCGGATAAGAATTATAGATTTTTTTCGGAACAAGTCTCGCATCATCCACCAATTTCAGCAACGTGGACGGAATCACCAAAATGGGATTTCTATGGTGAAAGTGCTGTTGACACAAATTTCAATGGTAGATCATTTGGTGTAAAACATTTGGGGTTATGGTACATTAAATTGCGTCCTGATAACGGCGATCTGCAAGAATTATATACGTACAAGAAGCCAGACAACACTGTTATTGGTATATTGGTGGGTAACCCTCAACTGGATAATCATGGTGAAGTACATATCACAAATCACACCACAGGTGAATACTGTATATTGAATTTCAAGGCGCGTGGTTGGAGATCATCGAGTGCATACGAGATTAAAGGTGAAGTATTCAATAAGAATAAAGAGAAAGTTTGGATACTAGGGGGCCATTGGAATGATTCTATATATGCGAAGAAAGTTACGGATAAGAGTGGTGAGGAGTTTATAATAAACGAAAAGAATAATGGTAAAAATGGTAAAAATAATAAAGCAGTGGAAGAAAGACCCAATTATACTGGTGATAAATTTTTAGTATGGAAGGCGTACCCAAGACCAGATTCACCATTCAATTTGACCCAGTTTGCCATCACATTAAATGCACCACAGCCACATCTATTGCCTTGGTTGGCACCAACAGACACAAGACTAAGACCAGATCAAAGAGCCATGGAGAATGGAGAATACGATAAAGCAGCAGATGAAAAAAATCGTGTTGAGCAGAAACAAAGAGCTGCCAGAAAGTATAGACAAGACAATAATATCCAATACCAGCCACAATGGTTCACACATGAGGTTCATCCTGTGACGAAACAACAATATTGGAAATTTAAGGGTAATTACTGGAGCATTAGAAGAGATAAACAATTGGCGGACAAAGGTGATATCTTTTAATCAAAAGTAAAATGGGAGATAAGGGAAGGAAAAGACAAGAAATGTTGATAGACAGAGTGACCCATTTTAGCATTTTATCATTTTATTATTATTAGTAGTACGATGTATGTATGGTATATATTTATGAATCGATTTTAGTTCATTATGTGCTTTAAATTTGTTATGTCATTGCAAGTACCAATCTTTGTGTTTAATCACGTTTCGATCGTTTTTCTGGCGTTTTCTGTTGTTTGTCTATAAAACAAAGAGAAAATAAGAAAAATAAAGGAAGAAAAGTTTAAAAAAAAAAAAAAAAAACGTATCCAGTAGTTACCACCTGAATGCAAATTCTCTATTGTTTTTTCACTCGTTTCTTTTTGGTTTATTTCTTTTCTAGAATATTCTTCTCTTCCGCGGAAGACCAGGAAAAAAACAAGAAATAGTCAAATAAATAAACTAAAGCCTTCTTCCGTCGTTCCGTTTTCTTTTTTCTTTTTTCTTCTTTTTTCTTTTCGGGAGGGGAAAAACAAAAGCAATGGTCCGGCTTTTTCTGTTTATTATGTGAGGTATGGGTGTATCCCCAAGAAGCTTAGCTGGCCTCTCTTTTCTTTTTTTTCTTCTTTTTTCTTTACATTAGACAACTGATTTGGTTTGGCAGTTTCCTCGCAGGTGCCGTTTTGTATGGAAAAAAGAGCTCTGGAAATATGGCTCACATCATTATTATCTATCTGTGTTCTCTCTCTGTTGTACGGGAGGGTTTATTCGCAGAGCGAGAAAGTTTTATCAATGGAGTATTAGTAATACTTGTTTTCGCAAGTCAAAAGCCATCTTATCTTCCCGGATTGTTTTTTCTAGTCTATTATTTAAGAACAGTATATACCGTTGACCTTGTTACACTTCCTATCTCTTTCTCCTTTCTCTCTCCTTGGCTTGGTTTCAGTAGTGTGCCAGAATCCTTGTTTCGATCATACCGGTTTTTTTTTTTTTTCCTTACTAAGCTAACGCTATATTCGTATATATACATACATATACGTATATATATACATATATAGATAGACAGAGAAAGAAAAAGATCAGTTAGGCTTATTTTATTGCTTGTTTAGAGGAATAAAAATATACAAGTATTATAACATCCTATCTTTTGTTTGAAAAAATATAAAAAAAATAATATAAAAAATAAGAGATAACTATTCAATTAATAAGTGAAAAGAAGCAATCACTAAAATTAGGTAACATTAAACGTGGAAAAAGAAAGTTTTTGCAATATCGATTTTTTTTTTATTCATAGAATTTAATTATGTCGTTGGTTGACTTTGAATTGAAAAGAACTTTGACTGATGTTTTAGAGGATGAATTATACTATATAAATATACCCAATACAATAACAACAACAGCAACAACTACAACTACAATTACAAATAGTAATAGCACTACTATCCATCCTAAAGATAATGTTGATACAAACATGCTCTCCTTGGATGGAAATCCTAACGACAGTCATAACAATAGTTATTCATTAGATAATGATACTTTTCATCCATCTCAAAATCCTAATGTCTACAGCAGCAACAATCAAAATCATGCCAATAGTTCTATTTTCAGTTCTTATGCTGATCCTACATTGACTACTACCACCACAATGAGGAACTACATTATCACATCTGAACTTGGCACTATGATTCCTGCCTCTCCTATATTATCCTCCCTTGAATCTAATAGCAATATTCAAAAGACTGTTAATTTGAATACTCTTGTCAGAAATTCAAATGAGTATCGACCCACTATTTCTAACACTTTTTATAATAATAGCAGTAGCAACAACAATAACAATAACAATAACAATAACAATAACAATAACAACATTATACTTCATGGTATGAATACACTATATGATGTTAAGATATCCCCCGAAAATTCTTTATATACCCCAATATTAGACGATAATGAATACATGTCATATTATGACGATTTCTACAATGCAAAATTGGATTCTATGCCATTAAATGATAGCAACAGTGTATTAAATATGGATAGTGCGAGAATGATCTTTGACCAAGAGTTTTCGGACGATGATTTGGAGGAAGACGAGGATGAAGATGACAACGTTTTCGATATGGCCCCATCCAGTGCCTTTTCAATGACTAGTGATTACCCCACCTACTATCCTAATGATGTACCTCTACTTACTACAAACGAGTTGGATACATCGGCTCTAATTGACGATCAGGACGATAGAAAGGATAGATGTAGTGATATTGACATGGATATGGACGCATGTAATCATTTTCGAGGGAGTGATGATACCGAGCACATGGTTGAACCACTGGTGTTTAACTCTAAATTATTGGCTTCGAATAAGTCCAAATCGTCTTTGTTAAAACATAGGCCAGAATTAATGCTGCCAAATGGATCAGGCAAACATTTAGACACAATAATAAGGAAACCTCTAGGTTTTGTTGATGGTAATAACAATAGTAAAAGTAATATTAAAGGTAATGGTGATAGTAATGCTAGTAGTAATAAGAAAAAAGCTGATAATGAAAAGAAGAAAAGAGCGCGTAGTGCAAGATTACCAAGTAATATAAACCATGGATCAAATGAAATTTATACATGTAGATTAGTGAATTTAGTCACTAATGAACCATGTATGGCACAGTTTTCAAGGTCATACGATTTGACAAGACATCAAAACACAATCCATGCAAAAAAAAAGATCGTCTTTCGTTGTTCTGAATGTATTAGAGCATTAGGTGACGAGGGCTACTCAAAGACGTTTTCTCGTCTTGATGCATTGACCAGACACATTAAATTAAAGCATGAAGAATTGACGCCTGAACAAAGACAAGTGGTGACTAAGTACGCTAAAGAAAATATTGGTTATGTTGTTTGAAATGCAACAGAGCAAAATAAAGCAAGTCATAAACTGAGTGAGTGAGTGTTGTTGATTTTCTTATGTATTTATCTATCTGCATTGTTGTTCATGGTTATTATTATTCATTATTGAGAGCTGCATATACTTTATTCTAAATATATTACATATAAATCATATAATTATTATACATTCCTGAATTTAGAAAAAAAACATATATTTTTAACCCTTTTATAAATATTTGATCCAAGCTCTTTTTAACCCGCTCAAATGCATCAAAGCAGGAAGAAGAAAGGAGAATATGGAAACCACAACATTACACACACACAGGTATATATATTGTTCATAGTAAAATAAACTCAAATGTCATTTATTATTCTATAACTAAACCTTACAAAACTAATAAGAAATAAATATGTATGAATAAGTATATGTATGATACAAATGCTTTGCAAAGAAAAACTTTTTTATGCCTTTTTTTTTCTATTTTTTTTTAAGCTTTTCGTAATTTTATCATAGAGTTTAAAATCTTAAAATGAATATATGGATGAAATGCAAAATAAAAATGAATGATATTTATAAGATATGTTGATATTATGCAATACGAAAAACGCAAGTAGACAAAAAAAAACAAAAAATGAAGATGTCATAAACCTTTTTTTTATTTTTTTTCTCTCTGCCTACCTATGCTTCAAACTTATTGTTCGATACGAAATTCATCCAACTCATCGATCATATCTGGAATCTTATCCATAGCGACATGATTGTAAACAATTTGATAAACAGCTTCTAATAATGGGAATTCGTGAATCAATTCACAAGTTTCTAACCATTCATGGACTTCCTTACAGGTGACGATACCTTGAGCAGACTGACCATTCAAAAGTTCTTTTTCAGCCTCCAAGGCAGACTTACCGGTCTTAGCCATATGTTTAGCAACCCTGACGTTTCTACCACCGGAACAAGTAGTGATTAAATCAGCTACACCTGCAGATTCTTTGTAAAAAGTCTCGACATGACATTCAGGGAAGAACATCTGGCCAAACTTGATGATTTCACCTAGACCGACACGTTGAATAGCAGCAGAGGCATTGTTACCCCAGCCTAACCCTTCAACGAACCCACAACCTAATGCAACGACGTTCTTTAAAGCACCTGCAATGGAGATACCGGCAATGTCATCAATAACAGAGACATGGAAATATGGTCTATGGAATAGAGCCTTCAATACACGATGGTCGACGTCTTTACCGTCACCTCTATAATTAGAAGGTATTTTGTAAGCAACAGTGGTCTCAGACCAATTTTCCTTGGCTACTTCGGGAGCTAAATTAGCACCAGATAAAGCACCACATGTGATATCTAATTCATCTTCGATAAAGGAGGATAGTAATTGAACACCTTTCTTACCCACTTCGAACCCCTTCAAACAAGAAATAGCTCTAGCCGTTGGTTTAACGTGACCCTTCATTTGTTCCACGATACGAGATAAGAATTGGTGTGGAACATTGAAAATGATGATATCAGCGTCTTTGGCACAATCTACTAAATCAGGATTGGCCACCAAATTGTGAGGAAGCTTGATATCTGGCAAATACTTAACATTTTCATGTTTTGTATTAATGATGTGGACTAAACTAACACCGTCAATCTTCTCGTCAAAAACCCACATATTAACTGTTGGTTGAAAAAGAGTTGGGTGTAAAGCGGTATTTTCGGAAACCACTTTTGCGATTGTGGTCCCCCAATTACCGGAGCCAATGACAGTAACTTTGAATGGTTTGTCTACATGTAGAAGAGACACGGAAGAGTTGCATCTATTGATGGATTTGTCTAAAATTTGAGAAGTTTGATTTAATCTGTCAGAGGCAGTCATTTTCCTAATTGTATATTCTACTTTAACTCTTGGTTTAGTTCTTGGTTTTTATTTGGTTATCAAGCATTGAAAGACAATAAGTGATAGTATATTAGGGGGTTGACTACTCAGTTGGATCAATTTGAATCATCAATCCCTTTCTTATATATTAATCAGACGAATTTAGAACAATTAGTCAATTTGGCCATCAATGTGTCGAGGGACTAAAATGTGTGACATAATTGTGCCCAAAGTGGGACAAAAAAAAAGGAAAAAAAGAAACGAAGAAGAAAAAGAAACGAGGATGAAGGAAATGAAAAAGTAACAAAAAATTCTCGAGGAACATTTTTCTTTCTTCATTGTGATGGAAAAAAAAATTAGGAATTCCGATATTTTGATCGTTTGAGTCATTTTTGGCCCAGCAGTTCGTCCCATTTTGTTCATTTTGGCTCATTTTTGACTCTATGGAGGTCATAAGGGTGTTCTTTTTTAGTATTGCGACCCAAAAGGGTAAATACACAAGCACACAATAGGAAAAAAAAAAATAAACAGAAAAGCATAGGGAGGGGCGGAGAGGGGACAAAATTCCGGTGAGGTCATTGAAAGAATCAACTGCAACAATAGAAACTTGTTTATCGCCAAATACGACGATCGAAATGATTCAGAATTTCTCAAGTGGTGTCACGTGAGAAGTTACTCTTTCTATTTTGGTTGTTTTTCTTTTTCTTCTTCTTGTTCTTTTTCTTTTTGTTTGAACCACTGGGTCAAATTTGGGTCAGTCTTTCTTCAGTGGCAAGGAAAGAGAAAAAGAAGACACGAAGAAGAAAAAAAATGAAGAAGTCACCAAACGGGAGGAGACTAACAGACAAAGAAGCAAGTGGGATGTGTTTGACTCAGTTGCCGTGTTATACGATTTTCACGTCACACGAGTAATTACATGATTTACTCTGAAGGTGTTTTCCTTTCACGAATCTTGAATCTTGACTCGGTGATACCGGAATGTGGGGATACACAACGGGAGGTTACTATAGAGTGCAAACCAAACGTCTTCAACAACCTGAGAAATTGAAATGTCTCTCTTTCTCCTTCTTCCTTTTCTCCTGTTTCTCCTGTTTCGCTAGCATCAAGGCTTTTAGGAAGTTTTGTCTATTCTAACGGATAGAGTTTACAAAGGTAATGAGGGGATGATTGGCATGATTTTTTTTTCTTTTTTCTTTTTTCTTTTTGTAGTTAAGATAATGGACTCTCTTTCAGTAAGATGGGACAAAATATTAATGTTAGGGTTATAACAAAGCTCAGTCGTTTGTTTTGATTATTTTACTATTTTAATGTAGGGTATTTGTATATTATTTATGGAAAAAAATAAGGAAAAAAGGAGCGGGAGATTTTACTTTTTCCTTTCAAACAAAAAATAATATATGTAACTCATCTCCAGTGAAGATAACAAAGACTATAATGAGAAATAATTTTAATTAATTACTGAAAAATAAAAAATAAGAATAAAAAGAGTGAAAAAGTGAAAAGAAAAATCGATGCCTTTATAAATAATAGCATACATACAACTGATCTTCTAAATTAAACTTAATGGAAATCAGACTCTTTAAAAGCTCCTTGCATTAACTTTTGATTATCGTATATCTTTTTTTTTCGCTATTAAACAATTATGAGTAATTTCATCAAAAGTTGGTAAGGGAAAAGAATCATAGATATAGAACTTTTTAATTTGGTCCTTATTCACTTATTTTTTTTCATCTGTCATCTTTTTTTCGATTTATTCAATTATTGATTTGCTTTGTTTAAATATTTATGGATACAAATAAATCTACAGTTTCATTATCTTCTATATTTGGTGGCTCAACTAAATTTAAAGGTTTATCCAATAATAATAATAATGGTAAAAATGACGTTGATAATCTGCTTTTATCTACTGAAAGACACTCTTCCTCACAGTTATCTTTGAATTCAGAGTATAATCATAGTTCGTTGTCTCTTGCTACAACTTTAAGTGCATTGAATAGTAGTTTATACCCAAGTGATAATAATAACAATAATAATAGCACGGTGATTAAAAGTAGTACTGACCCTCACTTAAATAGTATTTCTAATACAGATATACAGAATACAAAATCAGAATCAAAATCAAAATCTATTTTATCTGATATGGCAGAAGGAGAAGATGAAGACAAGGACAAGGACAACGAAAATGGGTTCACAATACATCCTGTCAAGGTTATACAATCTAAATTAGAAAAACAATATATTCCGTTAAATATTAATGAGACAATAGATCAATATTCCATGAACACAGTACCCACTTCCCCATGTAATCCTATTCCGGATAATTATGATAATATTACTCTCTTAGATAAATATAATATACTGGGTGAAACAATAGGAGAAGGTGCCTCAAGTAAAGTTGTTCTTGTATCACTTAAAAATGATTCAAATAAACTCTATGCAATGAAAGTGTTTCACTCAAATAGAGTCTTACCTGACTCGTATGATGCACACCTAAAAAATATTATATTAGAATATTCAATTGGTTCAGTTTTGAATCAGCAAAACCTTATAAAAACATTAGACTTATTAATTGATAATTCAAAAAGAACTTCGATAATGATACTGGAATATGCACCGATCGATTTTTTCGATTTAGTAGTGCAGAAAAAGATGGATAAGTATGAATCAGCTTGTTATTTTAAACAATTGTGTCATGCTATCCAATATTTACATAATTTAGGAATAGCACATCGCGATTTGAAGTTAGATAATTGTGTGGTTATCAAACAGGGTATACTGAAACTATTGGATTTTGGTAGTGCGGTAATATTCAATGACTATTATTCTAGTAAAGGTTCAGCCATTTCCAATGATCATATTACTAAATGTATTGGTATTGTTGGCAGCGATCCATACCTTTCACCTGAATTATTAGAACCAGGTTGTAGACATTATGATCCAAGGCCAGTAGATATATGGGCATTGGCTATAATGTACTATTCTATGATACTGAGTAAATTTCCATGGAAGGCACCTCGAGAAAGTTTTAATTCATTTAGATTGTTTGTAGAAGATCCAGATGATGAGGAAGATGTCTCAAAGGGTCCATTGCGTTTGCTAAGAGCATTACCATCAGAATCGCACAATGTGATAGCGAGAATGATGGATTTGAATCCAAATACAAGGATATCCATTAACGATGTGTTACTAGATGGATGGATGAAATCTATCCCTGAATGTCATTTAGATAATGGAAATAATTTAATTCATAACACAGAAGATCATATACATCATCTAGACCTTGATCATACAAGTCAAATGCAATGTAATAATAAAAGTAGTAGTATTAATAGTGAAAATGCTACTACAGATAATGTAGCTAATAATATTCCATCATTTCAAAATAAAAAAGAACCATCACATAACTATGCCAATTATATAAGTGGGAGAAAGATGTCTTTATAAATTTAAGCACAACTTTCTAGAAGTTTATATATATTGTAATTACGTATATTTATACAAACATACAAATATTTGTATTATTGTAATAAGGATTCGTTATTATATAGATTAGAGAAGTTTTGTTATGTTGATTTCAATAATACGGTGGTTATGTTTGTTTTACGTACAAATCTCATGTTATGTACGAAAAAATTTAGAAAACATGAAGAGTTTTTTAATTTCAACAAGAGGATTGTAGTATTGGCATAAGTGGACCTCAGTTATTATTGTTTGATTATTAATATGTGATAAAGTCTAATAAAACACTAAAATGCGAGTGATAGACATCCATTAAAGTATATCTGGCTACTAATATCACTTTGTAGGTACTAATCAAGTGGAGTACACATAAGAAGAAAAGGAGGTACTTTTCAGTATGGGGAAACAGCAACAAAAACAGCAAGGAAAAAAGAAGTCAAGAATAGATGAGAATGGTACTTTATTAATAGATCCACCTAAGTCTGTTAATGCCAATAGAGAAAATTATCAAAGATTGAATTATTTATATCAATTATCGACATGGTCTACACTGATGACTTCGAACGTGGATAATGGATCTATGGCTCGAATGTACAACAAAAATTTAGACTTAATTAGCAAAAAAGTAAAATGTAATGTATCACCTGATATTAAACGAGGCATATGCAAGAAATGTAATAGACGATTGATACCCACTAGGACATGTAAGATAATTTTACAAAATAAATCAAAGAAAAAAACAAGTATAAATGATGACTTTGTGATAAAATGCCAATGCGGCACTGAAAAGGTGTTTAGAATTGGGTTGAATAGAAAATATAACTCATTCTATAAAAGAAGTCTAGTACAGATGCCGTAGAAATATATATGGTGAAGATTTCAATATATAGTTGGTCTATTTTAGTTCGAATGGGAGTTTTCTAATTGGATTGTGTTTATGCTATCGGACAATCATCCCTTCTGGTTTTTTACTGTCATAGACATTAACAGCAATGCTAATAGATGTATGAATAGGACTTATCTTCCATACATCAGCCTAATTTATCTTTTCCAGCTATTCGTCCACAAGCAGAATGTGAAGACATCCGAAGAAGAAGAAGCGAGAAAAAGATTTAGCTATAATTGAAACAAAGGATTTATATCTCACAAATCGCCAGATAACACATAGGATAGATATATACGTTCTGTAGATACTGCATGTATATAAGTCTGTACTTTATCATATTTAGGACAAGAATATATGTTATTATCGCAGAGTCTATTATAAAAATATATATAAAAAAAAGCAAATGAGGATGTCCATGGTGATAATGCCAACCTTTAGGCAACTTCGACCACAACCTTTGTCTAGTTTATCGTACTATATATCGCCATTAAGATTATTCAGTTTCTCCTCAAATTTGATTCATTTTAATTCCACATATCTCAAGGGATCTAGTATTGAGCAAGTTAATAATTTCATAGTTTCAACTTATAGTTCAGCTTTAAATGGTTATAAAGCCATAAATATAAGTTCAAGATCTGGATCTTCATTAGTAGGATATATAAGTAATGTCCATACATATAACACATTACCTTTAATTCAGAGTAACACATATCGATTTGTAAACTATAGAAATTTCTCCACATTGAAACGACTTCAGTTTAAAAGAAATTTTATGCCAAGACAAAATAATAATGGCTTATTCCCACAAATAAAATATTACAGAATAAACCCATTTGTATTGATTATTAGCAGCTTCTTGTCAATTACCATGTTTTTTCTTGTACTTCCAATAATTTTGAACTTAATGTTACCTTTGACCATATTAGCCATTATTATTTATCAATTCAATAAATGGAAAAGGAGTCAGTTCTATCAACAAGTAGTAAGAGTTTTATTAAGAAGTGATATCATAGTTCCATATAGAACAATCAATTCATTACAGTACAGTTTCATACCAGAGAGGCTATTAATGATGAAGGATTTAATGAAAGAGCTTTCAATGTTTAGAAATTTCGATAACAGTAATAATACAAAGAAGGAGGCTATTCAATTCGTTCAATTTGTAGAAACGAGAATCATGGAAGCATTAGCTACAGATGAATATGGTATAAGATCTTATATTTTATCCAATAATAACAAGTTTCGTTCGTTCCAAAATTTACGTAGGTCATCTTTTTCCACTTTCCAGTTAAAATTGGATACAGTTTCTATGAAGACATATGGTGAACGTGTTGGATCAAATACAACTGATATTATGTTAAGTATACAATATCCTTTGAAACTGATTATAGAAGAAAATCAGCAAATTTATTTAGGTACTGTAACTCTAACCATTCTAGATGATTCAAGTAGTAAAATGGGTAATAATTCCTTTAAATTATTCACTGATCTGGCCAAAGCAGACGCTAAATGTAGATTAGTCATTTCTATTGTCCCTGTGACTACTTGGTTATCACTTATCCCAAGACAGTTTGTTATATCAACTTGGGGTAATTCAGGGCAAAATTTTAGAAAGTTTTATGTAAACAAGACAAGAGATGGACATGTAGAATACACTATTCGTTAAAAAATCATATAATTTCCCTACATATTCTCTTGGATTTGTATTCTTCCGTTTTGGTTAAATAATGTTCGTAACGCGAAACTTTTTGTAGATACAACATTGTTTAGGGTTAAAATACATACATATATATATATATATGAATATCTATACAGTTTATTTAAGGTGGAGACAATGATATGTATGCAGACTTGATAACGATTATAGTTAACTAGAAACCATTTGCTTGTTTGTTGTACTTACTGTAGCACCTTGTTCTGTAGACTCTTGCTTCTTCTTAGAGCATGTGTCTCTATATCTTTAGTATATATGTTACCCGCAACATTAAATTTTTCGGACACTTCTTTTTTTTGTTTTTGTGTAAACAAAGATTTAAAGATCTTTAACCAAAAAAATGAATAAATAAATAAGTGCGTTATATATAATTGGTTAATGTGAAAAGAGGTTGTCTCCAAACAGGTAATATTGATAAATACATCTTGTCTTCTCTGCTGGCTTATCAATAATATTATTGAGTGAATCAGTTAGGTCGAGAGATTGTATACTACTAATATATCTGTTTTATGCTCTCTTTTTTTCATAGTTAAAATATTATCAATAGGATAATTTTTGGTTTATTTATTTGGACAGTTTTCCAAACAATATCTAAAAGAAACTATCTTTTCGAATGTTTCGATATTCTCATCCCTCTAGAAGTCATATTTCAATGACTAAACAAAATATGGGGATTGCTAAAACAACAAATGATTCTGTATATAATAATAATAGTAGTAATAATGTTAATGATTCAGATGAGGATGAAAACATAATAGGTCCTCCTAAATTAAGTAATTTTGGATCTGCATTGTTAATTGATCAAAATCATAGTTCAACATTTACAAAATTTCAAGATTGTAGAAATAATAAGCATTCACAACTATTAAACAATGAATATAGAGTACAGCATACAATGCCAGAATTGGATGAGTTAATAAATCAAGAAACTCCTTCTCCTTCTTCATCTTCCTCAATATTTGCAAATACTATTAATCAAACTTCTATTAGACCAACAAGCGTAACGACAATACATAATACTAGTAATAACAATGGTAATAGTAATAACCATATAACAAATAATATTAATAATAGTTATAGTAAAATATTTTATGATACTGAAATGATACAAAAATTGAAGCAAACAATGACAAAAGACGAGCTGCTTTTGAGTGAAAAAATATTAGAAAGAAGAAATAATAGAAGATTATCCAGAACTTCATCAAATCATTCGACATTGAATTTTAACACCTCTCATACAAAGGAATTAGAACTATCAGGCAATATTTCAAGTAATATTAGCAACAATAATAATAATTTAATAGTAGCGACAAACTCTAATGATAATTTTCAAAGATTGAAAGCGTTGCAACAAAGTTTAAAAGAGGAAGTGACATCTAAATATATGGAAAGGCGAAGTAAAAGATTCCTAAATGTGAAAAGAATGAGTAGATTAGGACCAGCCAAGAGGGCTTCAGAGCTTGTTGGTATAGAAAATGAATATATGCTGATGGATTCAGATTCTAAGGCTAAAGAGGTTATAACGAGCATAAGTGATTATACTACTAAAGGGGATAATAATAATAATAATGATAATAATAATAATGTTGATATTGATGGAAAATTGGATAGTAAGCATGTAATAGATGATTCTAAATTCACAAATGACTATTCCAATATCGATTTTGGAGATTTGAATCCATTACAATATTTGAAAAAGCATAATATTCCTACAACAGAATTACCTCAGATTGCCAAGATATATTTTCAAACTCAGAAGAGGGGGAATAGAGCTACAGCTATTAGAAAGAGATCATTGACGCCTGTTACTAGTCAAAAACTACTTGAAGAAGGTAATGGCAAAAATATTTTGAGGTCAAGGATGGATATATCCAATTCTAACGATAAGGAAAATGATATAAAGAACAATAACAAATTACAGATTGAAAAACAAGGTATTAATATTCAACATAGAAATTATGATACGGATAAGTTATCAAAGAAACGTGAAGCATTATCTAGCATTAATATTAATAAAAAGGAACCAGATTTCAAAAGAATGAAAAGTGATCCAGATGAATTAAAGAGTATGGTTGATGAAGAAAAAAATGTTAAAAATCCGGTTCATAAACCTATGAAGAAAGTAGAGATTCAAGAGCCTACTGCTTCCAAACGTTATCATTTACAAAATTCACTACGAGACGATAATATTAATAGTGGTAACTATGTTGGACATAATGGTAGGAATCCAATTATATTAGTAAATGATACAGAATATGAAAAAGTGGAATTATTGGGTCGTGGTGGCTCTTCAAAAGTTTATAAAGTTAAGGGACCTTCAAATAAAATTTATGCGTTAAAAAGAGTAGCATTTGATGAATTTGATGAATCCTCAATAAATGGATTTAAAGGTGAAATATCCTTATTAGAGAAATTAAGAAATAAGGACCGTGTTGTTCAACTATTCGACTACGAAATGAATTCAGGTGTACTGTATTTAATTATGGAGTGTGGTGATTATGACTTGTCATATGTACTTAATCAAAAATTAAAATCACCTTTAGACATCGAATTTATTAGGTATTATGCTAGAGAAATGGTTAAATGTGTAAAAGTAGTTCATGATGCAGACATTGTTCATTCGGATTTAAAACCAGCGAATTTTGTATTTGTAAAAGGGATACTAAAAATTATTGATTTTGGTATTGCTAATGCAGTTCCTGACCATACAGTTAATATTTACAGAGAGACTCAAATTGGCACTCCAAATTATATGGCACCGGAAGCATTAGTAGCAATGAATTATACCAATGATAGCAGTGGGCAGACAGGAAACAGATGGAAAGTTGGGAAACCATCAGATGTATGGTCTATTGGCTGTATAATATATCAAATGGTATATGGTAAGCCACCTTATGCAGGATTTCAGGGGCAAAACAGATTACTGGCAATTATGAATCCGGAAGTCAAAATTATGTATCCCGATAAAACTTCTAAAGATAAAGTTATTCCTAGATCAGTAATTGAAGTAATAAAGGATAGTCTTCATAGAGATCCTAACAAAAGATTAACCATAGATGAAATGTTACAAACTGGATTCTTTAACCCTATAATGGTATCAGAATCATTTATAAGAAACTTGATTAAGAATGCAGTCTATTTTGGTTGTGAACAAAATGAAGTATCTGATATACAGATTGATGACTTGGCAAGTGATGTTATTAATAGACTATCAGAATTTAGAATATAACTGAGTTAAAGTATAGATAATATTATAAATAGCATGTATTTTCTTTAGTTTCAAAGGTTTATATGTGTGTGTTTATTTTTTGAAGTGACAGTTGTGTAAAATTTTTTATTGGTTTTACTGCCTTACGCTTTTTGTCACTAATTTAGCATAATATTGTCAATCCATTAAATTATGAATGTGTACTTTAGGAAATTGATGTAAACAGAAATCATAGTAGGAAAATACTATGGAAATTTTGTTTAAATAGAATATTTTAAATATATTAAAAACATCGAATAAAGGATTATCCAAATTCCAATGATTGTGAATCTATTGTCGTACTTTAACATTTAAAACAATAAATCATAAATATAGTAAATAAAAAAATGAATCAATCGGCCAATGTAAGTAAATTAGAAATAAATAATAAGGATACCTGCTAAAGTGACAACCCGAATTCAAGATAGATCTTATAATGTTGACCTTCTGTTTCATATGTAATACAAATCGTCCCCTGAGAATGGATACACCAAGTAAGAGTGTTGATTAGAAGTTCATATATTAGGGATAAAAGTTTAGAGATATTGAATATTTTATTTTTACATTTTTTTATGACTCTTTCTTATTTCATTAATATGCTATATTTTTATACATATATAACTGAAGAAAGTTTTCCTAATTGAATATATTATATGTTAGTCAAATATATACATTGGGTAATACTAAGTTAGAAATATGTTTTGTGAATAACGATGCAGATACTCATTTCTTATGAAATTTTATTAAAGTTAGAAGAAATCCTCTAGTTTTATTAATGAAGATTTTTATAAAATTAAAAAAAGAATATATTACAATAAGTTACGTGGGTTTGTCAATATTTTGATAATAGATTGAAGGTAAAGTCAAAAAGTTTTTGCATTTTTTTTTTTCACAGAACAACTAAAGATAGCTAATTTCCTTATTCTTTTAATTTTTTGTGTATTATTTTACATTTTGTTTAGGCTTCTTTACGTTTGTTCAATTTCATGCTCTAACGAAAAAAGAGTAGACAACAAATTATAATTTGGAAAAAGTGGAACACTCTATAACTAGGAACTTCAAAATATCTTGTTTGTGGTAACATTTAATAACCAAACAAATGGTTTATTGTTGAGAATGAGCGCCTGTAATCATTGGATATATAGTAAAAATTTTCAATATTATATTAAACAGATTTAGTATAAAAAATTATAATAAAGTTCTTCACTTTCTTTCTCTATACACAACATAGAAATAATAATATACAAATATTGTAAATGAGATAAAAATAATGTAAGATAAAATCCTTGGCTTTATATATGTTAATATTCAGCCATTTTCCTCTACAAACAGTAAGATATTTAATAAACAAACTCAACAACTTTTGGTGACCTCTCAACAATTATTACTCAACAATTTATCGTTTAGTGTCTGCTAAAATCTTATTGTTCTATCTATTTCATTATAGAACATTCTATTTCAACATTTATAATAACCAGAACTTTCGGTCCAGATCATAAGTGTGTTCACATGATTGTTGAATTAACACAGCTAATATATTACTAAAAAACTCATTTAAGAGACTGTAAGTTATTTAAAGAGTATATGCCTGAGGTAACTATCAATATTAATAGTTGTATTATATCAACTAGATCACACCCAATAAATATCAAAATAATAAGAACATGAATTATATAGAAATTGATTTATCAGTTAGAATCGACGTTTCTATAATTTGCAAGTAATCATATATAGTTAATAATCACATTTTAATATATTAATCTGAGATAACACCTTACAAATATACGGTACAATTAATTTATGTGAAATAAAAAAAATAATCCCTACTCTTGCATAGATAGGACCTAACCATCTTTCTCCCTGTATATGGACACGAGGCGGGACCTATATAAAGTTTGATAAAAGTAAATCAAAATAATCAATCCAAATATTTAAACTCCACCATCCAATATAACAAGCCCAATATTACACTAATTTCTATATGAGTTGTTCTTTCCTTCATAAAACCTAAAAATCTAATGACAACAAAAAAAACATATCCCATAATTCATTACAACTCTTTCTTTTATATGTTTCTGTCTGCCTTCTGGCTCTTTGTTGAGATCTCAAAGGGTTCAGATTCCATTCTCGAATTTCTAAAGGCAAAAGAAAAAAAATAAATCAATAACAATAAATAATCCAACGTTCGACCGTTAATGATGGTAGAAGAAAAACCCTAATGATACAAGTATACAAAAAACAAACTGAGATATACATACAAGCAAAGCAATATGAACACATACTCCAATGGATTAGTAAAACGAGTAGGACAATTAAAACAAAAAAGAGAAATACAATAAACGATGAAAAGATGTCTATCTTTATTGGAAAAAAGGATACCACAAGGTTGGAAACAATTACAGCCGAGCAAACATGACAACATAGTAGTGGCTATGTCATCAGGGGTTGATTCGTCTATTGCAGCTGCAATATATAGTTCTTTTCCTAATGTGAGGGGTGTCTATATGAGGAATTGGAGCAATAAACAGAATGATACGAAAAATTGTGATGAAAAGGATTGGAACGATGCTAAAAAAGTAGCTAAATACTTGAATATTCCCATCGAAATGGTCAATTTTGAGAAGGAATATTGGCTTGATGTGTTTGAACCGATGTTGAACAATTACGAGCTAGGACTAACCCCGAATCCAGACATTTTGTGTAATAGATACATTAAATTTGGTACTTTAAAACAGAAATTAGATGAAATGTATGGAGTCGATAATTATTGGTTGGTAACGGGCCATTATTCGAGAATATTGCAAGAATGTAGGACTGGACAGTTTGAACTTTTAAGAGGTATAGATTCAAGTAAAGACCAAAGCTATTACCTGTCTCAAGTGAAGCCTGATATAATGGACCGAACAATTCTACCTATTGGGAATTTTTATAAAAGAGAGATTCGTCAGTTAGCCAAAGAATTACAGTTGCCAACAGCAGACAAGCCTGATTCGCAAGGAATTTGTTTTGTCAATAATTCGCAACGGGGGAAATTCAAGACGTTTTTAAAAGAGTATTTGCCTAGCAAGCCTGGACACATCATTACTATAGATCCACAGTCTGGACACAAGAAAGTATGGGGGGAACATGGTGGATTATGGTCGTACACTATAGGTCAAAAAGTGGGGATACCTATGCCGCAAGGAGACCCTGAATATCGTGGAACATGGTTTGTCTCTGATAAATTAAGGGATACAAATGAAATAATGATAGTGCGTGGAAGAGATAATCCCAAATTGTTTAGAGATCATGTTAAGATTATTGATATGAAATGGTTATTTCCAGAAGAGGATTTGATGAACATTGAGAAAACATTACAAGAGGGAATACAAAGAGGTGATTTATTTTTACAATATCGGTCGTTGCAGGAGCCAATATTAGTAGATAAATATGAATTATGGAAATCTGACCAGGCCACAAATGACAAGAATCAATATATAAACCAAAGGAAGAATCAAAGGAAGAATCTTGAATTCATTCTGACATTAAGTTGCCCCCAGAGGGCAATGGCTCCAGGTCAGTATGGATGTCTCTATTTAAAAAACCGTGTCATTGGTAGTGGTACAATAATCCTATAGGTATTGGAAAGGTACATAAGAAACAACAAAACAGTAAAAAATGGGAAATAAACAAAAAAAAAAAAGAGAACAAACAAACCATTCATAATCAGCCATGAAATAAATAAATATACCACATAAAATATCCATCCAATCATATATATAGCTGATAACTAAATACTTGTTATGTTTAAATGAACAAAAATAAAAAAGTAGGGATACATTATTACCCATTATGTATGGACTGACACATCATGCTTACTAATATCTTTTTCATTTTTCATTTTTTTTTGCCAATTCCGGTTAATTGAAACAAGCAAAATAAAACAAAGGCACCATCCTTCGTCGAAAATGACAGAAAAACCAGTGGGATGCTTTTTCTGTTTTTTTCTATCGAGGGGAAGAAAAAATATTTGCGAAATTGCAATCAACAACAAAAAATGAAAAAAAACGAAAGAAAAACGAAAGAAAAATGAAAAATGAAATTACCCCACTATTTTGATTATATCCACCCAGACACCCGCCCACACCCATACACACAGTCTATTATTCTCTTTCTGCATTTCCTTATTAAATAAAAAAAAAATCTGCAGAACTTTTTGTTATTCCGGAGAGCCTAAAAGTGCTAAAGAAATTTTACTACACTTAGTGATCTCGTTGACAGGGCTATTTTATTCACTTTAATACAACCTGTTACTACTACTACAACTACTGCACTTACACACATATCTGCCAGATAGTCACTACCCTGTAGAAACTAACCTAAAACTATCAAAAAACAAGAAAATAACCACAAACACAAACAGTTTTTATTTATTTATTTATATCCATTTTCCCCTTCTTTCTTTTATTTTTTATTCTTTTGTGATTCTAATATATCCCATAAATAAAGTTATTTAGATCAAAAAGAACATATTTATTTGTATAGAAGAGCAATAAACAAACAGATAAATAAAGAGAGAGAGAAAGAAAAAAAACAAAAACAAAAAGAGGACATCTTATTTCTACAACCTTCTGACATATTTTACCCCAAAACATTTCATCAGATAATTTTTTCTTTTTCTTTTTCTTCTTTTTTTCTTTCCAATTCTATCCACCTTCTTTTATGAAAATAATCTACAATAAGATATCTTACTCATTCCAACTCCATTTGTTCATACTGGAAATACTGAGAAATAGATTTTTAAATATACCTTAATCGTTGCATTAACAATAAAACAAATCTTACAAATCCATCAAAAAGTATCTGGTAAAGAAAAATCACACAACTTTAAGAAGGGGAGGGGGGCAGAAAGCCCAAGTAAAAATTTACATTAAAATTACATAAAATAATAATAATAATAATAATAAAAAGATAAAGCATTCTACTGACAGTCATTAATACTATTAAAATGCAACAAAAATTAAACACAACTGCATTAAATATAGCATTGGGTCTACCTGGAATGTCTTCTGTCTTCACACCCAGTCAATTATTAAAAATTAGAATCGTGGCTGTGGTATCTTCTGGTCTTTCGTCGTTCGTCGGTATATGTGCAATATATTTATTATATAACTATGATCATAGAAAAAAGCTGTTTAGACATGAACTGATTTCCTTTTTGATCATTTGTGATTTCACCAAAGCTTTAATTCTTTTACTTTATCCAATCATCCTACTTATTAATAGAAATACCTTTGCATCACCACCCATGATTCATACTTTGGGTTGGTTTACACAATTTGCTACGGAAGGTTCAGATTTTGCCATTGGATTCTTCTCAATACATTTTGCTTTACTAATCTTTAAACCAAATTGGAAATGGAGAAACAAAAAAAGTGGGAACATGGAAGGTGGCTTATACAAATATAGACATTTTATATGGCCAATCACTCTCTTAATCCCCGCCATCATGGCGTCTTTAGTGTTTATCGACTTTAATGTCATAGACTACGTGGATCTGTCGAAAGTAAACATTGTCAATGATGATAAAGAATATACCAATCATTTTCGCCCAAGACGTGGTGGCTACAAACCATGGAGTGCTTGGAGTTATCTTCCTGCAAGACCTCTATGGTATAAATATGTCTTAAGTTGGGGCCCTAGGTATTTCTTAATCCTGATGATTATAACAATCTATGCATCCATTTACATCTACGTTCATAGAGAGACCAAGAAAATCAAAGATCAATTCCGATTAAATAATGGAGTAATTGACAACCAGAACGAAGATTCGAATGAAAATGCTTCACTGACAAAAAGATACATTATTAATCCACTTTATAGACTCTTCCATGTATTATTTTTAATTATCACCCTTAACTTAGATTTCTCCAATGATGACTCAATGGATTCAAAAAGATCATATTCCATAAACCCAATTTCTAACCAAAATAACATTCATCAAAGTAATAATAACAACAATAATTCAAATAAATCCTTACATTTAATTATATCAAAGAAACAAAATACTAGAAACAATGAAGAAGATGAAGAAGAAGCAATATCTTTAGAAACCTTTGATTTCAATAGTATGACTGCAACCGGTAATAAAAGTAACATAATAGAATATCCACAAAAAGAAAATGAAGGTGACGCTCTGACTAGTGGCAACGACACTTCTATTAGTCAAGATGTCTCAATAGGGAAAATCACATCCAAGATTACTGACAATATAAATTCAAACTCATCCATTTCAACAAATGAGAACGACACTGTGTCTACAGGAACAAGATCACATGAAAACATGTTTGCTCATAGCAATGAGGCTATGCAGCCTAACAATACGATCAACACAAATCAAGGAAAAGATTCTGATAATACCGTCCTCAATATATCCGATTTACAAATTCAACTTCAAAGAGAAAATTATGCTGCCATGAAAAAAAGAAGGGCACAGATTCAAAAAAATTTGAAAATGATCTTCATCTATCCTATATCATATATGTTGGTCTGGGCCTTCCCTCTCTGCGCAGATATTTCACAGACACATCATGAAATGGTGTATGGACCAATTTTATGGCTGACATATGTAGAAACCTTTGTTCGTTCCATGAGCTGTCTTGTGCATTCATTTGTTTTCATCTTTAAAGAAAAACCATGGCAATATTCTTGGAAAAAAGTCCAAGAGAAAATTTTAATGGATAAATATATGCTTAAAGGTGAAATTGGCGAGGAAGAGATGCTGAATCTATGTCAAAGTAAATTAGGAAGACATGGTTGGTATTATAGATCGACATGGAGAAAAAAAAAGTGTTGGAAACATCAACAAAGTTCACTTAAACGTTTCCTTTGGTATATTGTTAGATTTTTTAGAAGAATTTTAACTTTCAAAAAACCTGATTTCTATGACAATTGTAATGATGAATCATATTGGAAAAAATATTATTATTTGGATAACGATGCTGGCCATCTGAATACATGTTCATATTCTTCTCCTAATTCCGGTTTAACTCCTAATGTTAGTTCTTTAATAAATCATAACCATAATGACGATCAAAAAACAATTCCAGAATTAAGTACCCATCATATCGAACATTTTAGTAACACAAAAAATTTTTACTACGACCAACCACAGAGAGAATTACCATCTGAGATTTCTGTTCCTTGGTATTGGAAAATGTTACATCTTTTACCTTTATTACAAGGGATCGACCTAGATGAATTGAATCGATTAGTAAAAATGAAATATACTAGCGGTGATGATGATTTTATCATCCCAGGGTTGTCGTTTGCTTTCAAGTCCACTACAGGCTCAAAAAATAATGCGACTACTAATATTCCACATAATCAAAACAACTTCTCTTTAAATAAATCAACGTTAGAGAAATCATATAATAACAAGAACTATGAAAGAAGAAATAGTTCTTCCATTGCTTATCATGTCAATAACCATACTGCTACTGTAAGGTTGAATAATAACCAAAATTACAAACCATCCTCAGATGGACCAAATGAAACTACAGAAGACAAGGGGAAAATGGATCTTCTCGCCTTTTTAAACGATCCCTCAACGCATTAAGACTTTATTAAGAAGCTTCTTTTATTTTAAATATATGTATCATCTATTTCACATTATCATCAACTAACTTACTGAACTAATCTTTAAGGGACATTCAAAATAACTCTACATCATTTAAAAAAACATATTACTGTTTTATTTGCATAAAAAATTTTTTTACGAAATTTTGAAAAGACAATTTATGATTTTCAATCTTTGCTTTTCTTCATATATACTTGTGTATTACTTTATATACATTTAAATTGCTCACATATAATAATTAATTCTAAATTACAAACATATTTTAATCTTCATCTCCTTAGGTGCTTATGACAACGTCAAAACAAAAAAAAATTGCTCATTATATTATGAAGGTCATCACAAAAAAAGAAACGAAAATAAAAATAAGATTAAACTTAAAAAGCAAAATCAAAATAAATTTATATAAAAAATAAAAATGAAAGGCAATTTAGACACATGAAAAAAACAATAGAAGATCTAAAACTTAAGAATAAACAAACCATTCCTTCTCCCACTACCTAATCAACATATAGAAAAGATATTTGGTTTGAGAATATGCTTATCTAATACACGTATACCTCCTAATTTTTTTAGATGTCAAAACAGCGTACAATTTTAAACCAACTAAACAAATTTATAACCAGCACACCAATCAAAGAAATGAAGGACTCTTCAGACTTTGAATCTCAATTAAATAAGGAAATTATAATGGCAAAGAAAATCCAAGAAAACAAACACAAGAAAAGAAAAGTTACTGATAAACAACTTCGCGATCCTAATGGTTTCAAATTACGTATTAATGATTCCTTAAGTGGGAAACATAAGAATAACGACCCTGATTATGAAGTCAAAATTGAAAACAATTTGAGAAAAATTGAGCCATACTATTTCACTTATAAGACATTTTGTAAATTAAGATGGAGAGATAAAAAATTGTTAGATGTCTTCACCAATGAGTTTAGGGATAGAAGTAAGGACTATTATAAGGAAGCCATTGAAAACGGTTCTGTTTATTTGGATGATCAACCGGCTACAATTGATAGTGTGATAAGAAATGGTCAACTAATTACACATAAAATACATAGACATGAACCACCTGTCACTGCCAAACAAGTTAAAATTGTGTATCAAAATGATGATATTGTTGTGATTGACAAACCTAGTGGTATCCCAGTTCACCCAACAGGAAGATATAGATTCAATTCTGTAACCAAAATGCTAGAAAGAGAATTAGGTTTCACCGTTCATCCATGTAATAGATTAGATAAACAAACTAGTGGATTAATGTTTTTGGCAAAAACACCAAAGGGTGCGGACGAAATGGGAGATCAGTTAAAGGCTAGAGAGGTCTCGAAACAGTACATTGCAAGAGTTGTAGGGGAATTCCCAGTTGAAGAAGTAATTGTTGATAAACCATTAAAGACATTAGAGCCTCGCGTAGCTCTTAATGTTATATGTGAAGACGATGATCCAGATGGGAAACATTCCAAAACTGTATTTAAACGTATAAGTTATGATGGAGAAACCAGTATTGTAACCTGTAAACCATTAACTGGAAGACAACATCAAATTCGTGTTCATTTACAATATTTAGGTTATCCAATTGCCAACGATCCAATATATTCAAACCCTCATATCTGGGGTCCTAATTTGGGCAAAAATAGGGAAGCAGACTATGCCCATGTCATTAAAGAATTATATGAAGTTGGCAAGACCAGACCTGCACAAAGCTGGTATTATCCAAATGCTCAAGGTGAGTCTTTAAGGGACGAAAAGTGCTCTCTTTGTAAAACAGATCTATACACAGACCCTAATCCAGAAGATTTAATTTTATGGTTACATGCATACAAATATGAATCCAATCTATATGATGAACATACAGGGAAAAAGAAATGGTCATATAGAACACAATTCCCTGATTGGGCACTTGTACCTCATAAAAAATTTATAGAACTAGCTATAGAGCAAGCAAAAAAATGTGAACCTACTACTACAGCATTTAATGTTGGTGCTGTACTAGTCAATGGCACAGAAATATTAGGAACAGGCTACTCTAGAGAATTGCCAGGAAACACACATGCAGAACAATGTGCATTAGAAAAATATTTCGCCGAAGTTGGAAAGAGAGATGTGCCTCCGGGAACAGTTTTATATACCACTATGGAACCATGCTCATTAAGATTAAGTGGAAATCAGTCTTGTGTACAAAGGATATTGATGCTTGATGGAAACATCCAAACAGTGTTTTTTGCTGTCTCTGAGCCTGAAACCTTTGTAGAGAACAATACTGCTACTTGCTTATTTGATAATGCAAATATCAATTATATCAACATTCCCGGATATGAAGATGAATGTCTTAAGATAGCATTCAAAGGTCATAATAATGAAGAAAAATAGATTACATAAATAATACATAACTAATTGTTTAGTAGTAATCCATAGATATGCATTTACATATACCATAATATTTAATATTGATGTTACAAAGAAAATAAGAATAAAGCAGATCATTGTTTTTATTTTTTCTTTGGAAATTGTCAATCTGATACATCCTTGATAACTTTCTACCTACTAGTATTCACTAGACATAGTCTCTAACATTTTATGGAGATCACCTCATCTTCTCACTTATTCCTGGACTCCAAAGAATACAATGTAACATGTTATGATAACATATAACAATATATGTGGTGTATTGATGTAATTGTCATTGTCGTTTTAAATGATCTAATTTCTTTCGATTTCAATCTTTTCAATTTGTCTCTCGAGAAAATAATTAAAATCAGTGAAGAATATGTTATAATAATACATCGACCATAGGCACATTCTATTGGATTCTTGTTAACTGTTGGAGAAAAGTCTGACTATCAGATATCCAATTGTGACATCCATTTAGGAGGAGTAAAGTACTCAATTCATTATGTCAAGGAGAAGAGGAGGAGTCAAAGCTAAATCAGCATCCAAGTCTACAAGTAAGTCTGTGGTCAAACCACTGTCATCAAAAGATAATTCTCACTTCCTAGAAGCTCTAAAACTTTATGAAGGTAAACAGTATAAGAAGTCAATTAAATTACTAGATGGGATCTTAAAAAAAAATGTGAAGAATCCAGACATTCTAGCCTTGAAAAGTTTGAATTTACAATTTCTTGGTGAAAAGTCAGATGCACAACTATATGCTAGTCAGGCAATCAAATTAATTGAGGGAACTGCTGCATCTGCTATCTGTTGTCATGTCTTAGGGATTTACATGAAGACTATCAAAGATTATCCAGAATCTATTAAATGGTTTCAAGCATCTTTAGATAATGGGTCTACCAACCAACAAATTTATAGAGATTTAGCTACTTTACAATCTCAAGTTGGTGATTTTAAAAGTGCTTTAGTGTCAAGAAAAAAATATTGGGAAGCCTTTTTAGGTTATAGAGCTAACTGGACTGCTCTTGCCGTTGCTCAAGAATTGAATGGTGAAAGACAACAAGCTGTTAACACTTTATCTCAATTTGAAAAATTAGCAGAAGGTAAAATTAGTGAAGCTGAAAAATTCGAACATAGTGAATGTTTAATGTATAAAAATGATATTATGTATAGAAATGCTGGGTCGAACAAAGATAAATTGGAGAAAGTGTTGAAACACTTAAATGACATCGAATCAAAAGTTACTGACAAATTTTCGATCTTAGAGAGAAGAGCTAACATTTTTATGAAGATGGGTCAATTTAAAGAAGCTTCATTGGTCTACAGAGCTTTAATCAAGAGAAACCCAGATAATTTCAGTTACTATAAGTTATTAGAAATCTCATTAGGCATTAAGAATAATAATAAACTAAGAAAACTCTTCTATGAAAAGATGAATAAATTTTATCCAAGATCTGAACCACCAAAATTTATTCCATTAACTTTTATTCAAAATGAAAATGAATTATCCAAAACATTGAGTGAGTATATTATTCCTCAGTTAAGTCGTGGTGTTCCAGCTACTTTTTCTAATATCAAACCATTGTATCAAAAGAGATCAAGTGTGGTTCCTAGATTAGTCATAAACATTGTGCAAAAGTATTTTGAATCTATCAATGCAAATGAAACTCCTATAGCATATATCTGGACTTGTTATTTTTTATCACAACATTATTTATACATGAAGGATTTTAATAAAGCACAAGAGTTTGTTGTCTTAGCCATTAAGCACACCCCAACCATGGTTGAATTCTATATCTTAAAAGGAAGAATTTTAAAACATCAAGGTGAATTTATCAAAGCAGCACAAACTATCGATGAAGGTAGACAGTTAGATTTACAAGACAGATTCATTAATTGTAAAACAGTCAAATACTACCTTAGAGCCAATGACATCGATAAAGCTGTCGAAATTGTATCACTCTTCACTAAGAATGAGAATTCTGCGAATGGTATCAAAGATTTACATATTGTCGAGGCCTCATGGTTTATTATTGAACAAGCGGAGGCATATTATAGATTATATTCAGACACTGTGAGAAAATTAGAATCATTGAACAAGGAATTGGCAAATTTGAACGACAAGAGTAATGAAGATGAAAATGCCAAAAATGCATTGAACGAAAAAATCAAAACTTGTAAGTGGGAATGTATTAAATATAAAGGTTTATCTTTGAAAAGATTTGTAGCTATATCTAAATTCTATCAACAGTTTGAAGATGATAAATTAGATTTCCATTCATATTGTATGAGAAAGGGTACACCCAGAGCATACCTTGACATGTTAAAGTGGGGGGACAACATTTATACTAAACCAATGTATGTTCGTTCCATGGAAGGTTCATCAAAAATTTACTTTGATATGGATGATTCATTAAAAGAAATGCAAAATAAACAATCTGATAACGAAGATGGATCCTCTGCTGCTGTTAAATTGAGCAACAAACAATTAAAGAAGGAAACTGCAGCATTAAATAAACGTAAGGAAGAAGAGAAGCAAACCATTATGGCATACAACGAAGATCAAGATAATGACCCATTTGGTGATAAAATGATTCAAACCAAACATCCATTAAAGGATTTCTATGATAAATTCTACCAGAAATATAATGAGCAAGTAAGAGATGATGAAAAGGATTGTCTGTTAGATTTTGAATATCACTATCGTGATGGAAAATTAGCATTATGTTTAGCTTCAATGAATAAGTTAAAGACAAGAATTACTGATGCAAGCAATGAGAAATCATTGACAATCCTTGCTATAATGACGACAATTTTGTCTGATGCTAGTCAAAATCCTCATTTTGATGATATTGCAAAGAAGGTTGCAATTAAAGGACTAGAATCCCAATACAAAGATTTACTTTTATTAGGAGATCACTCAGACAATGCTGGTAAAGAGAAATCTTCCACTCTGAATCGTCTTATTGATAAATATCAAGATGGTTTAACAAAAAATTTAATTATCTTACAATTCATATACAGGTTTCCAACAGTATTCGATTCATATTCTGTCAAAGAATTGATATTGAACTGTGTTGCCACATTGGATCCAAACAAACAATTTGAAGTATTGCAATATGAACTTTAAGTAATATAGAATATACCAAACGTCAGTAAGAATGGGTAGCAACCCAATGACTAAGATATATTTTATAATCTTGTCATACATAATATATAGACATATATAAACGTATACGAATACAACATAATTATTGTATATCTATTACACATACCCTGGACTTATAGTAATAGCCATAGTAATAATGGTCAACAGATACACAATTCTACGTCTCTCTGCATCATCTTCAAAAAATATATATTTAGAAAAGAAAGAAAACTGTATATAATCTGAAAAAAAAAAATAATTAAAACTTGTGTAATCTCTAAAGAAGATGACTCATCATGAGGAGGCTATTGAAGAAAAAACCATAAATACATATCCAGATACACGTATACATACCAAAATCTTCAATTTTATTTATAGAGTTACAACAAAAACAGAGTAACTATTCAAATAGAATAAAAAAACAGCATATATCTTCATATCAACTAATATCTACACTACACTAATCACTGTCCATGGACGCCATTCCAGAATCATTATCATCCGCCGTTACATACACCAACAATATAATCACAAACGATAATACTATAGCTATTAATAATACCTCTAACAAAACCATGAACAATAGTCAGAGTTTACCAGTTGATAGAAAGCGGAGAGATAACATTAACGAAAGAATCCAAGAATTACTAACACTTATACCAAGTGAATATTTTCAAGAATATTACGCTACTAGTAACAACAATAGTAGTAACTCCGCCACTCCAGGTGCTATCAGTGGGGCAAATAGTGGTGGAGGAACAGGAAGTAGCAATAGCGAAGATTCTGCAGTTGGCACACCTATAAGTAGCTTTGGGACCCCGAAACCTAAAGGTACAGGCACAAGAGATGGAAGACCAAACAAAGGACAAATATTGACCCAAGCAGTGGAATATATCAATAAGTTGCAAAATCAAGTTGATGCTAAGAATAGGGAAGAAGTTGAATGCATACTGAAGTTATCCAAACTGGCTAAAGTTGCAGGTGTTAAAGTAACTGATATTAATTTGGAAAATACAAGTGCTGAAATAGAATTAGGACGTATCGGTGTTGGACCTTTGGGTGGTTCAACAACTTCATGATATATATGGATAAACAGGAATAAGAGATTGCGTAATGAATATCGATGTCAACTCAGACTGCCTATTATCTTATAAATATCTGCGCAAAAAGAAAGAAAAAATAATTTTTTTTCTTTTATATAACACGCAACAGAACATACCGCCTCAATGCATACATGATCTATTCATACTACTTCATTAGAACATATATAAACATTCTTTCATCTATACCCTTTCTCTTTCTATCTATATATAAACTTCTATATTTTATTAGCAAAATAAAGAAAAAAAAATTTTTTTTCGAAGTTATAAATCAAAACATCTTTCTATATTGATCAATAACGAAGGAGTAGATCGATCTGAAAAGGTTGAAATGATGATTATTAGCTTTTCACTTAGATTATTAACCAACCTATACACCTAGGTACATCTACATATTTATAATCGTCTGTGAGTGATTCTACATACATACATACATACATACATACATACATATATATATGGTGGCGTTAGAAACAAACTAATAACTATGATCGAAGCAAGTAATATTCCAACAGCGAGCCAATCCAGTAAAGCCTCAAATAGAACAAATGGCAATGAAGAAATTGCAAAGCCAGCAGAGAATAATCAGTTTATATCAAAACCTGTGACCCCTATCAAGCCAATTGGTATAGCTAAAAATGTTGTTACAGGAAAGTATGTATTCCCAGATATTAATAAAGAAGACATATGGAATGCAAGAATGTTTCTAAAATATTATGGTGTTAGAACATTTCTTGATAAATACTTACCAAATGAATTAAACTCTTTATATCTGTACTTTTTAATTAAATTGCTTGGATTTGAATCAAAAGACAGAGTTTTGGTTAGATTAATTCAGCAACACATTGAAAGCTCTGTATCAGAAGATAATAAATACAGCTATACAGATATCGATGATCCATTGGAGAAGAAATATACAGTGAAGTTAATTAAAGATTTGCAAAAGGCAATGAATAAAATCCTGGCAAGTAGAATGAGATTACTAAATTTCTATAACGTAGATCATTTTGTTGTGGCACTGAAAGAGGCCAAAAACATTATTGTCTTGACTGGTGCAGGTGTCTCTACTTCTTTGGGGATCCCTGATTTCAGATCATCGGAAGGGTTTTATTCAAGGATTAAACATTTAGGATTGGATGATCCACAAGACGTATTCAATTATGAAATTTTTACGAAGAATCCATCGATTTTTTATTCAATTGCAAATTTAGTATTACCGCCTGAAAATATTTATTCTCCATTACACAGTTTTATCAAAATGTTATATGACAAAGGAAAATTATTAAGAAATTACACGCAGAATATAGACAATTTAGAGTCGTATGCAGGGATCCCAGAATCTAAGCTGATTCAGTGCCATGGTTCATTTGCTACTGCATCCTGTGTTACATGCCATTGGAAATTACCTGGTGAAAAAATATTTGAAAATATTAGAAAAGTTGAATTGCCTCTGTGTCCATATTGTTATAAGAAGAGAAAGAAGCTAATGGACTTGAATTATAAGGGTCACACTAACATTACTGACGATAATAATACTAAGGAAAAAGATAACAGTACCACCAATAATAACAATGACAGTGACAATGACAGTGACAGTGATGACTGGAACATAGATATCGATGAGACTATGTTAAAATCATATGGTGTATTAAAACCGGATATAACATTTTTCGGAGAAGCCTTGCCAACAAAATTCCACAAATCTTTGAGAGAAGACGTCAACAAGTGTGACATGTTGATCTGTATAGGCACCAGTTTGAAAGTGGCACCAGTATCAGAGATTATCAACATGATACCTGTAAAAGCCCCCCAGATATTAATCAATCGCACACCTGTGAAACATGCATCATTTGACTTATCTTTACTTGGCTTCTGTGATGACATAGCTACATTAGTGGCTAAAGAATGTGGATGGGATATACCTCATCCCGAATGGAACAAGTATAAAAATAAGACTTTTACACTCAAAGAAAAGGAAAGAGGTGTTTTTAATGTTACTGCTACAGTGTGACTCTAGTACATAGAAACAAACATAACAAAGGGACAAAGAAACAAACAGATATCCAAAAATAAAAAAAAAAAAACTCATTGTATGAAGATGTATATAGGCAAAGTTGTAAATAATATCTTCGCAATGTATCGTGAACTGAATATTAATTATGGTCTCTATAGATGGAGTTTCTTCGAGACAGACCTTCCTTTTTGGTGTCACTGGCTAATAATTGGTATTCTATAGCTACATTTCTTTTTCTTCTTAATTTTATTTTGTATTGTGGCATCTCTTTTTTTTTTTTTTATCTCACATTCTTCTCTTCGATTCTTGTCAGCGTCCAAAAATAAACAAAAGAAAAAAGAATCTTTCTTCTTTTCTACGGAAAATAAAGTCGTGAGGCCCAAACAGCCGCCGCTGTGTTCTCAAAAGCATTGAACTATCATCACAAACACTCAAACAGAGACACAGAGAAAGAGAGATACAAATATGGATATATGCGGATGACTAAATATACATGCTTCTGAATGCATATACGTGTATTGTGTAATATTATTATTATTATTATTGCGCAGAAAACAGAAAACAGACACAAAAACTAATAACCACGACGCAGATTCGTCTGAACATTTTACTTACATACTCGTCACATATAGTAACAGTAATATAATGGATTATCACAACAGAGCAGGTTCTAAAAAAGGTGGTGGTGGGATAGCAACTGACTCCCAATTTAATAGACAAAGACGTCAACAAATAGAAGAATTATTGAGTGGAGACAGTAACATTCCATTCACTTTCCAAGAAAATGAAATATCCACCACTGTCCCAGATTCAAGTAGGCAAAACCCGTATATCTATAAGAATCACTCGGGGAAATTAGTATGCAAATTGTGTAATACCATGCACATGTCTTGGACCAGTGTGGAACGTCATTTAAGGGGCAAGAAGCACGGTCTAAATGTTATTAGGAGAAATAATTTCGTTAGTGGCGGTGGTATTCGAACAAGTGGAACTACGGGAAACATTGAAGATTCTAAGATGGCTTTAGCATTTCAAAGAGAAGTTGAGACCATGAGACAACAATTAAAGTATGATAAAGGATTACCTAAGGTTAATCTTGTCAGTATCAAAGACCCCAAGACAGATAATAAAGGTATTTCTGTTAGAATCATATATCCTAATGAGAGTCAAATACAAAAAGATGAAAGTGAAGAAAAAGTAAATAACGATGAAACCAAAGAGTCAGTCACTCAACAGGAGTATCCACCTTTCCTAAGAGTAGTTACCGGTTTAGAGTTGTCGAGTTCTAAAGATAGAAACAAGAAATTTTTGGTTGTATCTTTTCCACCATTTGAAAATGTAGCCATTGAAATACCTTCACAGAGCAATATAGTTGGTGGCAAGAATCTAACTAACGATAAAAATAAGAATGAATTCACTGTATACGTAGATGATTTGAATCATGATTGTACGTTGTGGGATCCTGATAGTCATACTTTCTTTGTTCAATGTTATTTTCTCAGTTCAGAAGGTAAAAAATACTAACAAGAAAAAGTAACTAAAAAAATTAAAAAAAAAAATAAAAACAAACAAACAAACCAGGTGGTAATAAAGGATTTTGACTGTTATGCATTTCTACTGTTCGATTCTTTTAATAATATCTTAAAGATACCATCTAATCGTTTCTATTTTCAACACAAACTGACTGCAAAAAAAATAAAAAACAAAAAATTGGCACTATCAGAAGCCAGATCAGATGACCGGGTAACCTACATATTATCCTGCTTTCTGCACATTATGATTTTTTTTTTTTGAGCGTGCTGTCTGAATTTTCTGAATCTTTTTCCTGCGGACCGTAAGGTTTCGCAATGTGGAGATCAAAGAAAGAAAGAAAGAAAGAAAGAAAGAAAGGATTTTGATCCGATCTAATTCGATTCGACTGCTCTGTTTATACGTTTATTTCTTATCATTTGTTGCAACAAATGATATCCATTACTAATAATAACAACGTACAGTACTTTTGGGTTACTTCTTCTTTTTTATGTGCATTTCATTTTTTTTTTCTTTTCTTGGGGCAGAGAGAGGGAAAGAGAAAAAGTAAGTATATTATCCTGTGACAAAAAGTTTCAAGCAACAGTGATTGCAAAACATAAAATAAGTTATTTTCTCAAGTTGCAATAAACAGTACTATTATTGTCTCCAATGGATCAAACAATATTAGATAAAATCGATTCTGAAAAATCCCTTAGAACCCAAGCAAGATTGTCTGCTATGATTGGATCTCTCGGAGACATTGATGAGGTAACAGACGACACTAATAACTCAATAAAAGAGGATCAAGAATACCAGATAATCGATTCTTCTTCCAGTTCCACTTCTGTCTCCTCAGATCAATTTGAACCCTTAAGACCAACACAATTGAATTTTAATTCAAATATACATACTCCCCCAGATCAACAGCTTCCATCTTCGTTTTCTTCTAATTCTAGTGAGAATAAAGAACTCTCAAATAATAACATCGTTATAAATAATAATAACAACGCTATCAATGATATATCTGATTTTGTTCCAAAACTACCACCACACTCTCAATTCCGTCCTTTAACTTCTGTTAACATCACTCCATCGATTACAACTCCAACACATCATCCTAATACCAACGATACAAGTCTCAATCGATATAGCATGCTTTCTGATTATTCAGGTGTAATCCATGAAGGTACTGAAGTTTCCTATATAGTGAAAAATAAACCTGCCAACAATACCGACGGTAACAACAACCAGGACCGCAACAACAATAGCAGGGACATTAATAATGAAGTTGATACAAATAATACCATTATAACCGTAACAACAACAGATAACATAACTGCAACTGCTACAGCTACTAGTGACGATAAAAACAACACATTTGGTTCCAATAAACTTTCCACATCCTCTCAACCAATAGCTCAAAATGAAGTAATTATTAAACAAATTAAAAACGCAAGACATGTGAATAGATTCAATTCATTACGTTCCGATACTCCAAGCAAACCACCAAAAAGTCATCTAAAGTATCATTCTGATCCATTATTATTAACACAAGAACAGACTAGAGAACAATTGAACTGTTTATCCTTAGAAGAATCATTGCCTAGTATGCTTCACAATCGAGAAAAATCTGATTTAGATGATTCATTTTCTATTCAGTCTAGTGTGATTCATCCATTATCAACTCCAAGTAACATACAGAATGATAAAGCAAACAGGCCAGTAGAACCCTTATTGAATGAGAAAGGAGGAAACAAAACTACCATATACAAAGAAAGTATCAATAACATTAATCAAGCAAACGACGGTAATACCATTCTAAAAGCTCCACCAAGAAATAAAAATCGTCCTAAAACGATGATTATAGACCAGGATATATCAAGCCCTGAAATATTTTTAAAACATGATTCTGCTACTCCAGATAACAATAACAACTATAATAATACTACTACCCTTGATAGTAGTGGTAATGGTAATAGTACTAATTTAAATAGACAGCAGTTTAATGTACATACCCTGTCCCAATTACTGTCCATCACCAATGGGACGTTAATTGGATCGGAGTTCCAAGACTTACCTATTCCTTTAGAAGAAAAAAGAGCATTAGAAAGATTAGTTGACAGTTTATCGAGGCTTACCGCAGATATGGTATTGGACCCTGAACGGTATGGAGAAGGTCTTCAAAGATTGAAAAGAGCGATCAGAGCCTTAGAAGGCTTCCAATAGGCACAAATATATACATACGTATGTATAAGTCCCTACAAATTAGATCCTATAGACAATATTTATACCAGACATACACAGTTATATAGAAATACACATATACTTCTATCGAAATGATAGCTCATCATATATATGTGTATACAGATACATATAAATTATATTAGTCCTACACTAGGGACTATTGAATTGCCAATATCTCAAAGTACCTATAATTAATTCTAGAAATTTCATTAAACAGGAAAAATCGTTAAATAGTAATAAAAAAAATAGAAGAGTGTTAAAGTTGAAACAACCAATGGAAACTCTTCTCTTAGCAAGTAATCTACAAAGGAGAATTGCATATCCATGTTTCATAGAAGTGAATTGTGTATCACTTATAAGAATTAGATAATTTATAATAAAAATATATATTAAGTGATATTGCAACTAGTTGACACACAAGCGAAATAGTAATGTTCTTAAAGCATTATAATGTCATTAAACCTCGCATGCTATATATACGGCATGTTCGTTGTATTCACTTAACCACAAATAAGATGAATCTTCTAAAGAAATCAAAGATCAGTGAGGGACCGTCCTTACAAGAAAACACTACCCATGATCCGGAAACTACCAGAACTCAAGATAATAAACATAAGAATAATGATAATGGGAGTATTCAGGAGCGAATGCTATTTAATAAAGTGTTTGAGAGTATGGAACTAAAGAGAGAAGAGAAACAAAAAGAACCTAACACTACCACTAGTTATCGTTCCAATAATGAACCTGTCCACATAGACCAATCAACGGGGGAGAGACAGCATTACAGCATTAATAATATTAAACTAATACCAAATAACAATAATAATTTTCATAGATCTAGTGATGATTTAACTGTATCTTTTGGTAAATACGATGATTTGAAAATATTTCATGATGAAATGAACCAGGAACCATTCGATTTCCAAGATTCCAAGATTAATTCATTAATATCGAATTTTTCCAAATCTAATATAAAGAAGACTGATATGAGGTCATTTGTAGATAAATTAACTAGTAAGGAGAATAGTAATGAAAATCGTAGTAAAACATTACAATCTAATAATAACGGATTTGAGCCAAATTCAAAATTGCAACCTGAATTCGAGTTACCAATTTTTAAATTTTTAGATGGAATTGAACATGAATTATCTCAAATAAAGAAGAAAACTTTAGAATCAACAACAGAGAACAACCTTAAAAATTCTCTTAATAGGAACTTCAAAAGAAATATAAAATTAACGGAAACTGATAAAAAAAGAATTATCCGTGAGGAGATGTATAAATCAGAACTAAAACGTACCTTGAGTCCCTACTTGTCCTACCTTAATCAAAATGTTATTAAAAGCGATTATGATATGTGGAAGTATTTTGAATTGTTGTTAACAACATATATAAATAGAGATAAAGGACAAAGGGAAAAATTATTAAAATTGACTCCTGAAGAGACAATCAAACATATTGACCAAGAAAGTACTAAAGATTTTACAAAGATTCCCGAACCATATGAGATCACAATGCCTTGTATAGTATTAGAATTATTGACAAATGAGACCCAATGGCATTTACCAGTTGAAAGAAGGTATCAGTTAACAATGTATATCTACAATCAAATAAAGACATATCCAGATATCACCATGTATTTATATTTTGGAACAGTAGATTTTTATAATTTATTGATTGAATTGAATTGGATTAATTACAAAGATATTGCACAGATCCGTAATTATTTGATTGAGATGCAAAATAATGGGATCCAAGGTGATTTGACTACCTTAGACCATTTAAACAAGATTATCACCACTATGAGATCCTTAAATGATGATATAATGGATTCTGAGGATTATAATAAATTAAAAGAAGATAGTATTACAATGGATGTTTTGTGGTCCAAAGATATAGATAATTCTATTATTGAATTAGAAAACCGTTCACAAAGACTGAAACGTCAATTGGTACCCTGTTCCGTATAGTGACAATTAAACAAAACCAACTCCAACATACTATGCACAGGTCGATCGATCTAAATACATCTAATATGCTGGATACGTACAATAGGAACATAACATTTGATTTATTCTTTCACTCAGATTAATATAAATATTTCTTGTTTATAGAACAACAAACACACAAATAAATAAGTGAATAAGTAAACATTTCATAGATAAACAACTACAATACCCTTTTTTGCTTCTTCCAACCTATTTTAGTTGTCTACATACTTGTTCCATAGGTCAATGATTCATTATCAAATAGATATGACAGACGATAATGATCTGATAAAACATCGAATGCGCTATCAATTAATTGTTTTTTTCTCTGACTTTTTCGTTGGTACAATCGGTTATAACAAAAAATATTGGTGATATATAATCCTATGGTAGAAATTTTATTTATATGATAACAGTGGGTGTTGATTACTAATTATGATAGTAAGGCTTATTTTTCATTTCATCATCAACACCTCATCTAGCACATTCCATCTGTGTCGAGGTATTCGAAATAGAGAATAAAAAAAGTTTTTTTTAGGAAAAAGTGAAAATTTGCCTTTCAAATACTATGCACTAGACTAAAAAATTACACAGCTATACAAAAATAAAAAAAATAACGTTAGAGAATTATTATAACTAGCCAGAGATATTAACACTTTCTTCCAATTAGATTTGAGTTTTGATATAGTTGAAAGAAAGTAACTATCACAGAATACCAACAAATAATAAAAAGAATATAAATAAAAAGAAACCCCAATAATTAGAATCACAATGTCATTAGGTGAAGTCGCAGAAGTGTGTTATAATATAACGAGTTCATTCCTTCGACTTCAATTAAATGCAACAGAGATAACCAAAGAAACACAAAGGGCAGTGTTAAGAACGCGTCATTATTTCTTAAACGATATTTTTCCCTATTGGAATCCATTAAACAATGAGATTTCATTTGCATACAATGGTGGTAAAGATTGCCAAGTATTATTATTATTATATTTAAGTGCTTTGTGGGAATATTATATGATTCAAATATGCACGTCACAATATGAGCCAAAATTCCATAGTTTTCCGTTAAAAAAATTGCCAACGGTTTTCATTAATTCAAATGAGACCTTCCCTGCCTTGGAATCATTTATAACAATGACAACGCAAAGATATCATTTATCGTTGTATGAGGATAAACAATTCAGTGGTTGCAGTAATGATATGGCGACAGAGTTTCAAAAATACCTGGATTTGAATCCTATGACAAAAGCGATTATTATTGGGGTAAGACACAGTGATCCACATGGAGATATGTTGAAAACTGTACAGATGACGGATTCCAATTGGCCACAGTTTATTAGATTACAGCCGCTATTAGAATGGGATCTAGCTAATATATGGAGTTTCTTACTGTACTCAGGTGAACCTATATGTCCATTATATAGGTATGGGTATACTTCATTAGGAGGGATTAACAATACCATACCAAATCCATACCTGAAAAAACAAAGTAATAGTAATCAAAATTATGATAAAGATTTGAATGATACCATTAACAATTTCCCCTTCCAATATGAGTTAAATAATTCAATAAGAACTTCAACTCAATCCAATTCAAAAAGATGGGAGACTGATGATGCTGATTTAATAGCATTAAATGACAAATATTTACCTGGCTGGTACTTAATTGATGATTCTAAGGAAAGAGCGGGAAGAATAAAAATTCATAAAAACAAAGGATAATATTGTAGCTGAAGAAAGAGAGGAGAGAACCCACATCCATATATACGTGTATGTATGTATTTGCATCTCAACAAGTTTTGTATAGATTTTACATTTCAAAAGATACAAAAACAGGAATGTTAAAACAAAATAAAACAAAACGAGATAAAAAAACCATATACTAGCATTAGTAACAATATCAAATCAATGGGAGTATTACATACATTTTTTATATATGCATATGTATGTATATGTGTATATATACAAGAGTTCAAAAAGAATATTAAATATTCGTTTATAAAAATATTGAGAGATGTATGGGAGATACTTGAAAAGTTTAAGAATTAGAAAATAAAAAAAAAAAAATTATATGTTTCAGTCATGAGGTTTCCCATTTATCATATTATACAATCTGGCTGCATGATAATTGATATTTGATCTAACTTCTTTTTTCTTTTTCACTTCTTTCTTACCCTTACCTCCATTCATCGCCAGTCCTTGATTCATACTGCATTGTTTAAATTCACGGACCAATTGTTCACACACTGCACTATCTTGACCATTTGAAGACCAACACTGCAGTAAATTTGACATCAACACCAAACATCTATTCATCTCTTGTCTAATAACGGGTTTTTTAACTCTTAAACGAGGTAAGGGTGGAAGTCTATATGTTGTTGGTCTACCACTCATGTCTCAAAAAATTCTTTCAATGGATATATATTTATACCGACTTCTTTGTCCGCTTTTTTATTTTCTCTTTCTATTTGGTCTTGTTATTTTCTTCCACAACCCTTCAACTTAATGAAGGTGATAAAAAAGAAGAACAACTAGCACGCCCTTGTAGTACGCTTAATGTAGCTTCTATTCCCTCGATCTTTCATAACTTTGTTAGTTCTTCTAATCCCTCTTTCTTTTTTTTTTCTTGTTTTTATTTACTTAACTTAAATTCTTAGATTTATTTTTTTTACTGAACACGTGACTGTATACACCCATACACCAATAATTCTGCAGATTTGTGGAAAACGAGACTGGGAATGTAAACTGGTAGCGCCATAAAATATGATGCTGAGACTGTGAAACAAGTCGCAACATTGAATTTTCTATTGTTCTAGATGTAATTCAACAACATGACCTAAACTTTGTTAAACAATAATTAAAATAGATCCAATAATTCTATACATATGTATATATCAGATAATAGTTAATAGATAAGACCAGTTTTGGAATACATATAGTGATAGCAACAATTTAGATTAGCATAGTAGTGAACAAAGCAATACAGAAAGAAAAATAATTCGTAACAATTTTAATATTGACCAACTGATATTAATTAATAGTGCTTTAATATAACTTAAAATGATGTAAAGAGGATCAAAAAATAATGATAGTGATAATAGTTGTCAAAAATACAGATAAAAAAAATAAATATATATACATTCAATTCATCGAAATAAGAAAATCACCAGTAAGACATGTTAATAATGAGTTGTCTTGTGTGTAAGCCCTTGCTATAAAAGTGTAACGACCCACAGGAACTTCTTTGGGTATTTTTACTGTCTTAACTATCTTATGTGGTCCCTTTGAGACAGGGCACACTATTGGATTCTCATCCTTTTCATGTTTCATTTCCATCATATGCTTACTATGGACACTCTTACTTTGTTCTTGTCTTAAAATATCACATAAGTCAAATCTCTGTGTAACTAATTTTATGTAACCTAACTTCACTTCGATATCAACATAACTGCCTTCTAAAACCGAATCCAATAATACACCAGATGCTTCCAAGATCAATTCCGAGCCTCTAGCAGGTGGATTAGGTGTCAAATCGATATTTTCTATTATTAACGCTTGCGATGTGGTTATATCACATACTTCAATAGGCGAATTACCTGGAATAGGCTTACTTGGTGGTCTGTTTGGTTGTAATAAAACTTTTATATCAGATCCTAGAGTTAAAGTAATGAAAAAGGTTGCAATAACAACAAACAAATTTAAGGACCTTAACAACATCATTTATATATATATATATATATATATATATCTCGTTGTGCGTATTTATGTGCAATTGAAAGTTGGATATAGTGTAGATATAATAAGCAAAGTGATATGAATCTGTACATTGCCTCTTGTACATTGGTACATTAACTAAAAGTTCTTGTTGCCTCTCCCTCTACTTTTGTTTTGTTTTGTTTTGTTTTATTTTGTTTCGCGTTTTCTCTAAACAGAGCCGCTATCAATATTCTACAGATCTCTAAGACACACACCCTTCAATAAATAAACATCACAGAGAAGATTAAACATATGTTATTTTAAATATACATTAGAGATACAATTAAAATTTATTTACTATATGTACGTGTAAAACTACATTATATATATATACATTTTCTAATATCTTGCTAAAACAGGAGGAAAGGAGAGATAAAGAGAAGAAAAGTGAGGGAAGAAGTGAATTAATCATTAGTAATCATTAGTAATCATTAATGCAATTGATAATAATCGAGGATAACACAAAAAAACAGAAAAAAAGAAGATAAGTGGATAACGAAGCAACGAGTTCTTATCAATGTATTATTAACATTAACATTTCATGTATATAATATTTTATTGGTGAACTCATAGGAAATAACCGGCTCTTTGGTTCCCATTAATACCTGAAGTAGTGGATGTAGCAACTCCATTAACATCTTGTTGTAAATAATCATCTGGAACAGCAGAAAATATTTTAAAAGTTGGTTCTAAGTCTTCTTCTACTTTCATCACACTGGCCACATTCCCACATCTATAACAATAGTTTGGCGCAGACCAGACTGTTACTACATCTTTCTCTGGGAAATGATATTTAAAACCTTCCATAACTAGCTGATGTGCTCTTGCAATCAGATTCAAACCGTTAACATGATTGAATTCACGTGCCACCTTAGACCCGAATAACCAACCAGCACCACGGGGACTAACTTGCCATGCTTCTACGTTATCTGGATCACTCCATAAAAGATCAGAAAACCCACCTTCATGTGGAACTTCTTGTGCACGAGACAATACTCTGATTTGATCTAACATTCTAATTTCAGGGGATAAACCACCATGGACACAAAGTATTTTACCGTCAATGATAGCAGCTAAAGTCAAGAAGTCAAACACCTGACAACAATATTTCCAAACTGTAGTTGACCCATACTTATTTAGACATTCCTCGTAGAACCCATAAACTTGAGTAATCTGTCGAGACTCATGATTCCCACGCACTAAAGTTATTCTATCTGGATATTTCACTTTAAGACACATCAATAAAGTGAATGTTTCCAATGAGTAAAACCCTCTATCTACATAATCACCTAAAAAGACATAATTAACTTGATCGGGAAATCCACCACTGGTTCTAAATAATTCCAATAGATCATGAAACTGACCATGGATATCACCACAGACAGTCACGGGTGTCATCACTGGCTGAATGTTGCTCTCTTCCATCAGTAACTCCTTCACCATTTCACATAACTGTTTCATTTCAGATTCTGTCAGAGATTGACATTTTTTTACTGTTTCTAACCATTCATCTGGGCCTGTCATATTATATTAAGTTCTATTTATGCGGATATGTGTATAATGCCAAATAGTCTTTGTGTTACCTATAAAAAAAATATGTGCTGGTGCGTTTATGTATGTAATCTTATTAAAGTGTCTCAATGTGGTTAAGTATCTTGTTCATCTATATATACTAATCACTATATTTGCAGAACAATCAACCTCTTATCAACTTACATACCTAACTCTGGTAGATTCCTTCTTGCACAACTTGTAGATGTTGATTTGCTCAATGCTTTCGATTGGGAGGGAGGCGATGTCGGTGTTACAATTTAGGAATATAATCCACAGAAAAATTTTCAAACTTTTCCAAAGTCACATAATAATGAAAACACAGACAAACACAACATATACACATAAAAGCACATATACACATATAGAAGCACATACATATGTGCATTGGTATCAAAGTGTAGACGTGAACAGTACTAAGCAAAATAAACAAACAAATAAACTAATAACATCCTATATTAACTACTATCTGTAAATTTTCAGTAATCAACTAAAAACAAACAAGTATGAAATTAGTGAATTTTTTGAAGAAATTAAAGAATGAACAAGTTACAGTTGAATTAAAAAATGGCCAAACTGTATTTGGTACGATATCGCAAGTGACACCACAAATGAATGTAATTTTAAATAATGTACAATTAAAAGATGGACCATCTAGAAGGAGTGGGTATGCAGTAAATCATGCTAGTACATCCTCTGCAGCTTCGACCTTTTCATTTCATGTCAAAGATAATGCAGTAAACTTACAGTATATTAATATACGTGGAAACACAATTAGACAGATTATTTTACCTGATTCTCTAAATATAGATACGATATTGGCATCTATGGACAATAAAGAGTTGAATCAATTGAAAAAAGAAGGGAAAGTGAATCAAGTATCTACAGGTCATAAACGTGGTAGATATAATGATAATGATACTGACAATCTGGATTCACAACAACCTAATGCAAGGCAAAGACAAAGAAGGATAGCACCAATGAGAGCACAAAGATCATAAAATAAAATAAAATAACAAAACAAAATAGAACATAGCAAAAAAAAAACAATAAAGAAAGTAACTCACCCAAATCAAATCATTATTTTAAACACACCTCTCTGGCATTATCAACAAATAAATCATTTATTTATTTATCTATCAATTCATCTCTTTTTCTTTTTTTCTCTCAATATATATAAAGAGATATTATATTCGTATATACAAGTAAAGAATAAATAACTAGATAGAAATAATAAAAATTGCAAGTATGGGACTAAATGATACAGCTATATTTATAAAGAATAACACACAATTAAATCCAAGTCCTTGTTTTTGCATTTGTTTTATTCTTTTTCTTACCCTTTGATTTTGTTCTAGCTTTAGACAAAATTGAATCGATCTCTTCATCAGTTTTTATGGTACGTGGTTCACGTTCATGTTTATGTAATTTTGGCCACAATACACCCTTCATAAAACGTTTTCTTTCGTACTTCTCCATATGGAACAGTTTTACAGGTTGCCAAGCAGGTAATAGATCCTCGATACCGTATCTTTTAGCCAATTTAACGATGTCTGACATTCTACGACGAGAATAGACAGGATCTCTGAACTTACCCGTCACAGGATTCCTATTTGATAAGAAGGGGTTTGCCTTTGGGGAAGTGATGTCTGTTGGATGAGTCAAATATTTGCTTCTACCTGGAGGATATCGTTGAAAAAAGTTTTTCAACTTTAATGGTAATGATTCAAAATAGCGTGTACTGCTGCTCATGTTGTTATTTTGTTTTATTTATTTATTTATTTATTTTCCTTTTCCCACAGTGTATAAACTTTCTTAACCAGTTGAAACGTACATATGCATGCATACACTTACGTGTGTATCTATCTGTATAGTTTATATGTACATGCATATCTGCTTATTTAAACGGATAGATAACCCTTTCTTATCGAATCTTTCCATCGAACCGTTTGTTAGCCCTTTGTGGAAATTATTTCTCTACCAAAACAAAAAATTCTTCCTCGAGGGAATCGAACCAACAAAAAAATATATATATAATACAAAAACGGAAAGTTTCTTTTCTTGGTAATAGTTACCACTCTAGGAAAATGTGCTGTTGCCATGACTACGATTTTTTTTTCATTTCTATCTATTTATTTTTCTTTATAGAGAGATCACAACTCTAAACACAACTCTTAATGCTATATATTACCATCATTTAATATTTCACAAGAGTATATACTACATATATTTATTCTTTATTTGTTGTTTCTACGCTGTTCAACATCCCAATTATACAATCTAGCACACATGACTTCCATTGTGGTAATATTTTCTCTTAAAAATTCAAGATCTTCTTTACACTCTTTTAGACCGACGTTTGAATCGTTCAATTTATTTTCTAACAGCTCAATTGCTTCATTCAATGGATACTCCAACATGATATCTGCACCAAGCCATAGCCCCACATTCTTCACTTCACTTGGTTTAACTGTAGCTTTAGTATATAGCGTATCATTCAAAGAGTAATTAAACAACATCTTGTCGTCTTCTTCCTCCTTCTCCTTATCTCCCTGTTGTTGCTGTTTTATAAGTTGACAAATTTTCAAAGATTGAGAAATCTCAGGAATTCTTGTATTCAGTTGCTTTAAAGTGACTTGTTTTGACTCTTGCATAAACTTGTATTTTTGTAACCTTTCCTGGAATCTATTAAAGATCAATTGGAAATCGTTGTCATTTTTGCCAGTGCCCTTAAATAATACAGAAATGTCTTCTACAAAAGGCGCTTCTGGAATACCTCTTGGGTTAGTCTTTGTACTATTGAATAACGTGTCCATGCTAAATAATTAAACAGTATTCGCTTCAAAAAATGTTATGTATTATTTACAAATTCAATACTATGTAGAAGTTAATCTTTTTTTTCTTGTCAATAGACAATAGACAGAAATAGAGGAATTGAGATTACTTCCAATAATACACACACATGTATATACAAATATGTACATAGATGCGTGTATAGTTCAGTTCAGCTTGTTAAATTTTTAATCTATCCAGTTTTGTTTTTTTTTCTTCTTCTTCTTCTTTTTTTTAATCTCTCTGAAAATTTCCCTCTATTCTATATTTCAGTCTATAAACAAAACTGAGATAAGTGGAGAAAGAGCATTATCTGGATATCTATTAATTGTATTTCAAGATAATATTATACCATGTATATCCTAGAGATCAGAAAAGTACTTATGATTAAACTGCATATTTCTACAACTGTAAATCTAAATATTCATGTAAGTAAATGCATACATATATATATATATATATTTGATTGCATTAATTGAATAACATATGGTTATAATGCAATCACCAATATTGGTTTAATTAATAGTTAACAACTGTCTGAAGTTAATACTAATAGTATTAGACTTTAATTTGAACTACTATAATTGAATTAGACGTAAAGAAAGTATTAGCAAACATCGTGGTTTTTGTCACTCTTTATATCAATATCGAGAAGGGAAATTGGAGCTCAAAACAAAAATTCTTTTGTAGTTGTGCTAATTACGCATTCTATGCTCGTGCTATCTTGCTATATATATATGAAATTTTGGAATTCATTATCGTTATTCTTAACTTATTCTAGTTTAATATTTCCTCCCTCCTTTCTTCTTTTGTTTCTTTTATCATTTCCATCATATATATACATATATGCGTATATTTTTATGAGTATTCCTACTTTAATAAATCCTTTAATGCTTGTTTCAATTTATTGGAGAACCCCTTTTGTTTATTATTACTATCATTACTATGAATAATGCTATTATCTAATATTGGGGAACTTAAATATTCATAATTGTTTATAGTTTCAATCATTGAATTGTATGATTTGATACAATTTGAACACACACAATCTTTCAATCTATCTGCTTTTTCATAAAGTATTAAATCATACAAAATCCTATTACACATGATACATCGGATAATAATATCACTATTGGAATATATACTTGTGTTTTGATTTTTCTCCTTTGATAATGTGTCTACTACGTAATCTAGACTTGTATTCATCTCATCTTCCACAAGGTATGACTGTAACAATTTACTATCCCCTTGCAAAGGTTTATTATCTTCTTCTGCCCTCTCCATTCTATTTTTACTTGGTTCGCAATACCGAGACCTATATTGCATAATCTGTCTCTGACTCTTTTTCTTATGCAACTGTCTCTTGAAATCTGTAATACTTATCCTTGAATGGAATCTTCTTGACTTATCATCGCTTAAAATATAATCCTCCACTATCATAATAGACTGTCTTTTATACGAAAGTTCATTTTCGTCGATATCGTAAATCATAGAATTCCTTTTGGATAGAGGAGGTTTCAGTGGAAGACTCTCTAGACCACTCTCCTCTGAATTGATCTCTATCTGCTTTTGATCCAATTTATTCTCATCTGACCGTCCTAACACACCTTTCATTATTCTTTCCTCCTTACAGTACCTAGCTTGATATGCACACAAACATACTCAATAAACACAACCTTTATATTGTTACTATTGGTTCAAATCTCTTTTGTATACTGTTCTTTTAAATATAAATACATCTCATATGCATACATCTATATAGAGTATTTATATAACATTGTGTATAATTACAGTTAATGAATGTTTTTTTTCTCACGTTTTTACCTTTCCACTTATTTGTCTCCTTATTAAAATATAGACACATTTTTAACATACACATGTATTATTCATCGACAATTCTGTACAAAATTACACGCTACTATTTCACAAATTTCTAACAAATTTTTGAATAGATAACAAAGCGTCCAAGAACATAGACTCCTGTAAGGGTTGGTATTCTAGTTCAGTTAATAAATTGTCCTTAGCTATCTTCGATAGACTATCCTTAATAGCATCACGATAATTAAAAAATATCTCATCACACGAGTTACGTAAGACAGTTAATTGTCCTTGAATAATCGGTTTTAATAATTGACATCCTTTCAATCCTACAATACTTTTTAATGTATTCAAATGTGTCAGATAATTATGTAGGAGTAACCAGTTTTCCTGTTTCGAGTCATGTGGTCTTTCCAGTAATGTTCTTATACGTTCTGTATTTTCTATCTCATTTCCTTCTTCAGAGTAATATATTGATGAAATTACTTTATAAGACCATTTCTCCATTGGAGTCATACACTCATTCTCCTCAATATCTCCGATTTTATCTACTAATCTTTGAATTATATCTTTATTACTATCATTAGAAATACTTTCTAACATAAATTCCTTTATTACTTTGACTAATAACCATTCCACATTGATTTTTGAATAGAGATTGTACTGATCATGCATATAGGACATGTCTCTATTATCACTGAAAATTTCGATTGTTTCATCATTGCCACTCATTTTAGCACAGTGTACCATATCATTCCATTCCTCATGGAATTGAATTAATAGAGTGGTACGTTTTTTCCTATCATTGTATAGACGCGCCATCTCCAATTGTTCACACATCAAAATCCAACGAGTCATAGATTTGACTAATTTATTTTGAAGATCAATCATCCCTTCAATCTTGCTATATGACTGTCTCTCTAATGCAATTCTGACAAATTGACTTAATTTCCCATTGATATTTTGATACGTCTTCAAATGTTCAATCAAATCATTAGATATCATTTCATGCTGCTTATTAGGAAATATACTACCAAACCTTGTATACAGAACATAGTCCATCGAATCAACTTGAACATTTTTTATTTTTAACCCTTTAAATACTAAATGTGCTAATGTTGGTAACCCTATATCCATATATAATTGTATCAGTAAAAGTGCAGTCTGAAAATTATGTATATCTCTTTGTTGATAATTCTCAAGTATGGTAATAGCCAATAATTTATCTTTCAATGTTTTATTTGGTAAAATTTTCCTATTAATTATATCCATGATAAAAACAGAGTTGCTTGAATAATCAGTCTTTAATTTTTTATCTAATGATTTCTTGTGACGTTGATATAAAATTACACTATCTTCTTTGGGTACTAAGTTTAACTTAAAAATATTGGAATCATGAATTGGAGAATCATTGGGTAAGTTATGCATAATTATCTCCAATGTTTTTTCATTGATATTTTCTCTATATTTTTGAATGTCTGTTTCACAACATGACTTATCATGGAATTTTTTTAGATAATAAGATAACGATTCTTGAGATACTGCCTTATTGTATGTAAGATCAACTTCAAATCTGGATAGTCTACTATTTCTTGAATCGCCAACAGTTTGGTCAATCAAATTTAAAATTTCTTGCTCAGTTTTTCCCAACTGAAATCCAGAATCAATCAATTTTTGTATTAATTGAAAATCATCGATTTTAGTAAGTAAAGATAAACATGCATCAAATAACAATTGTTGATCTTTTACATGTTTAATCAAAAATTGTTTCATATATAAATTTAAAGAATCTTTCAATCCACCTAAAATCATATTTGAATCAATTCCATTATCAGAATATAATTCCTCACATACCATGCAATAAATTATAGTTTCTTGTTCAGATTTTAATGGTTTCAACTTCTCCAACCTCTCAAATGCAAGCCTTGGTAAAATTTTAGATTCTTGAACTGTAACTCTATTCTTCTGATATCTAAAGTATGCAATAGTAGCAATTGCATTCCAAAAATTAAACATTCTACCATAGTTTTTACTGGTACCAGTGGTAGTAACAGTGTTGCCACTATTGTTATATGGGAAAAGATTAGAATATGAACATAAAGCAGCACTAGCCTCAATTAAACGACGATAGTCAAAACATTGTAGAGCTCTATCAAAATATTCATACGCCAATTCTAATCCACCAAATTTTGAATGTGCTAAATCAAAAGCATTCAACGCATAATCATGATAATTCATCTCTATCAACATTCTATACAAAAGATCTAAAGCTCTTAAATCATTAGTAATTTTGTTGCTTACTGTTTTATTTATTGCATATGGTTTGATTAGTATTTTGTCAATATCGAATTGTTGAGGTAAATGTTTATATTTCACATACAATTCCAGTATTTCATAGTAGGCAGATTTGGGATATCTTGATCTTAATTCGTTTATTCTTTTATAACATTGTTTAAATGCAGATTGTTTGATAAGAGCTCTAATTTCTGTTTCAATGGATTGAGTACCATTCATTATCAAAATCCAGTTTCTTCTTCTAGATATAATAATAGAAAAGAAGAGGGGGGGATGAAACTCTTACTATGAGTATATAGTAATCTTTATTAGTTAATTGATCGAGCCAAGCGACCACTTCTGGGTATGTAGAGCAAAGTTTAAGTAGATAATGAATTTTAATGGTCTATCTAAATAAAATGATAATACATAACCTTGAACATCTTAGAAATTTATAAATTATAAATATTTCTTTTTTGTTTCTATTTTTTCAAAATGAGATTTTTCACATATGAAAGTAGCCCAAACACAAACCCTATTACACGCAGGTAAACCACCAGAGAAAAATAACAAAAATTCTACAGAAATATTAGGTTATGAAAATGAAAATTTATCTTTTCTAAAATTTTATTACGGAGAACTAAGAGCTTTGTAAATAATTCGTAACAACTATTTCATCGTTGACTCTTTCATCTCTTTCTGTAGAAATTATACACAATAATATACAGGATGTAATCACATAGCTACAAAGATTAACACATGAATATATATATATATCTACACAACTGCAACAAGCTGTTGTAGATGAAGCGTCCTATAAAGATACAGTTCATAGACCTTGCTCCTATTCTCATCCCATCTTTTTTGTTTTCATAAAATGCTTATATTCGCCAACATTAAAAGAAAAAAAATTCTCCTTATATCATCATTATGATGAAGAAGAACAAACATACTTATTGTAACCTATCTAAAATCTGTAATCTCTCATTTAATACATCTTTAGAAACTTCTTGGATTTCACCAGCAAGGAACATCTCATCTAAAACCATATAAACTTTGTAAAAATTAAATACAATATCCAACTCACAGACATTTCCAAAGAAACTATCCAACACCTCGATAAAAAGATGAATATGTGATAAATATATTGGTTCTTCATCATCTATGTCGACACCCATAACAAAATAAAGCCCTGCATATCTTTTGTATACCAACTTAGTAGTATCTGAAAATTCAACAAAGTTACTTTGATGTTTATGGTCTCTGCTACTAATTAGTCTATATATTTGAGCAATAAAATCTTGTGTTACATACCCAGAATCTATTACTGTGTACCACCGTACCAACCTTACAACACCTTGCTTATTAAAACATAGAATAAATCGTATACCCATCACAACTATCCAAAAAAATAAAAGAAAAAAAAGAAAAAGGAAAAGAAAATATTAATCTATTTGGTATCTATCTCTCTATATCTTTATATGTATTTTGTTTGTTATGATCTGATTAATACTTTATTATGTAATATGTATATCCTTATATAGTGACACAAACCAAACTGTGCAATCGTTCTGTGTACCTAAAGATATGTTCGAAGATACTCGTTTGTTTTATTGTAGTTGAATCAACTCCACAAACATTGGTGATTCTTTCATGGATAATATTGAACGTGACACTGTTTTTAGAATCATTGTCCTCTTTTAGATCAAATGCTGTGAAGCCTTTTTTTTTTCTTCCCTTTCATATCTTTTTCTGTTTTTTACAATTAGTTTTTCTTTTCTTGCCCCCCCATAATTATTTATCTTTGGAATAATAAAGGATCCTTTAGACTATATGATGAGGCAAAAAAAAAAAAAGACAGGGTCGACAAAAAAAGTCATGAAGTGGATGTATAATGTGTTGTGAATACATGATTAAAGTGCAATAGTGAAAGTGTCTGCTCCATTTTTTGTCGAAGAAATAGAATCTTGTTATCGACCTATTCATAGTATTACAAGACCAGCTAGTTGTATTTATTAACAGATGAATGGAAATCCCATTAAGTTGAATATTAAATTTGATAATGCTATCAAGGGAAATTTTATAAGGTTACCTCCAGAATTGGCTACTGAGATTTATTCCAGTGATATACCTATCCAAGAATTTTATTTCAAAATAAATGATCGTTGGTTTGTGTCATGGGATGGATTTTACTCATCGTCTTCAAATTGTGTTGAGATTAATCCTGTTTTAGCCAATATGCTAGGCTCTTTAAGACATAATGATATTATAAAATTTTCTGTATGTCGATTACCGGTCGAAAACATACGAGTAGCATTATCCGAGGTGTATGTCAAACCGTACCATAGTGATGATTGGGAGATATTAGAAAATAATGCAGAATTCTTACAATCTGAATTATTGAATCAAGTTAAAATTGTGGCATTAAATAATCCAATAATTTGTTCCATAAATAATATTATATCCAGAGTTATAGTGGATAAAATAATTCCTGCTAATAGTGGGTTTGGGAGACTTGATAATGGGACTTTGATTGTTGTAGAGCCAAAAGTGAACAAAAACAGGAATAATAGATATAAGAATGGTAACAAACAAAAAAAATCATTTAACTCAGATACATCAATCACAATAGAAAGAAGTTTGGCATGGAATATTGAGCATGACAATCCAAATAGTTTAAAAGTATTTGTTAATAGGGAAAACTTTGAAAGTAAGTTTGGTTTTATTAAAATAATAAGTTGTGATCCCATAAGCATACAGGATGTCACAAAAAATGCAAACTCTTCTAACTTACAACTAAAATTGAATAAGATCTTTATTGAGATTGAGAACAAAACTGATTTACATTTACCGAAAAATCATATTTGTTTTTCTAAAAGGTTATGGGATGTTCTTGGTTTCAAACACAAAAATAATGGTTATATTCTCCAGTTAGAATTGTTTAAAGATAATTCATGGGTAGATATATTCACAGATATTGAACATTTAGATATAACAATTACTCATTATATAGAACAAGATGAAAGACAATTAGAAAATTTAGTCAAAAAGATGCAATATTTAACAAATAATATGTCTATTAATGATGAAAAATTTCAATTCAATATATCCTTATCAGCGGAAATTAGTTTTATAAAAAAAGAAATTCCATATGTTGACATCAAGAATATCAAAAGTTATCATTTTATACATAAATTAGTCAAGAAAACTAGAAATGTTGCCAACTTGGAATCAATTTCTGATCCCTCATATTGTTATACCAATAGTATAATATCAGATATGATAAACCATTTATCTTGCCCATTTAGTACATCTAGTGGATCACTTCTATGTGGTAAATCCGGTATGGGCAAGACTGTAACAGCATTAAAATTGTATTACAATCTCCTTTATCAAACTAAATATCGAGTAGATTATTTAAACTGTGAAACACTTATAAACAGCTTTTCGCTGGAGAAGTTAAAAACTATTATCGAACAACAGGTATACCAGGGATATATATATAAACCCTCAATTTGGATTCTAGATAAAGCCGATTTCATATTTAATCAAATCAAGTCAAATGAAAATTCTAGTTCAACCCAAAATAAATCCAATTTATCTGATAAAATTACACATTATTTAATCAATACTGTGGAAGCAGTTAATCAAAAATTTAATAATTGTATTCACATAATATTTGTAGCAGATAGCAGAGATAGTCTGAATAACATATTATTTGATAAGCATTTCATTAATAAAATATGGACGTTAAAACCTCCAAACAAAGAAGAAAGATTAAAATTTTTTGAATATTTCAGTGCAAATAGTGTATTGTTTACAGATATTCTTTCATGCGATGAGACAAATATAACTTTCTCCGATATAGCTTTGGAAACAGAAGGCTATTCACCATTAGATATATCTAATTTTGTAATAAAATTATATTATGAATGTAAATTAAACGGCAGTACCACAATATCTGATCTAGATTTCCAAAGGGTTTTAAAGGATTTTGTACCGTCGGCTCTACAAAACGTGAAATTACAGAATAAAAATAATGGTATGAAATGGGATCAAATTGGAGGATTAAGCGAAGCTAAAAAAATTTTATTAGAGACTCTAGAATGGCCTACAAGATATTCACCAATTTTTCAAAATTGCCCACTGAGATTAAGATCAGGTATCTTACTATACGGTTATCCAGGTTGTGGAAAGACGCTGCTCGCTAGTGCAGTGGCTTCACAATGTGGATTAAATTTCATATCTGTGAAGGGTCCAGAAGTATTGAACAAATATATTGGTGCCAGTGAACAAAATATAAGAGAATTATTTGAAAGAGCAGAATCTGTGAAACCATGTATTTTATTCTTTGACGAATTTGATTCTATTGCACCGAAGAGAGGACATGATTCCACGGGTGTTACCGATCGAGTTGTCAATCAACTGCTTACACAAATGGATGGTGCAGAGGGATTGGAAGGTGTTTATGTTCTTGCTGCAACTAGCAGACCTGATTTGATTGATCCAGCATTATTAAGGCCAGGAAGATTGGATAAGAGTGTTATATGCGATATTCCAAATGAAATAGAAAGGTTAGATATCTTAACTAAGATTGTAAAGAAACATAATATACATTTAGAGAATGAACATGATTTAAAAGAGATAGCTTCATTGACTGAAAATTATTCAGGAGCTGATTTGCAAGCATTGTGTTATAATGCAAACTTAAAGGGTATCCATAGGAAATTGGACAAACAAAAGGATAATCAATTGGAATCAAACACTTCTAGTACTACTAATAATGATGATTCTACAAAGCTCCATAAGTTTCTGCTTGTTAATGAAACAGAAAGTAAAGAAAATAGAGAAAGGGTCAATAAATATCTTAACAAATTTTGTAGTTCAAAGAGGAATGATTTAGACCCTGAGAGACTAGAGGATAACAGAATTCTAAAACAAGAGAATAGTGTAAATGACAGTCAAGAGGAAGTGATAACTCGAGAGGATTTGTTGGCGGTGTTACAAACAACAAAAGCAAGTATTTCACCAAGTGAACTCAATAAGTTAGGTTATATTTATAACATGTTTCAAGGTAAAAATAAACGTGAAGATAATAACATTATGATAAATGAGAATCCTGATAAAATAGTATCTGATGTGGGTACCCGTTTATCACTGATGTAAAGGACGAAATCTATATTTAACACTGCCAACAGTCATTTAAAACTCTCACACACATAACATACAAATATGTGCAGAAGTTCCGCCTTCAAAAACCTACAATTCCTGTATTTTCAAAGACATAGCGTAAATTAGATCTTGGCAAATCTGATTAGTTTAGTTTGTCCTTTATTAAATTACTCAATAGGGAAATGCAATGTAATTGTTACTTTTTTTTTCTTTTTTTTTTTTTCTTATTTTTATTTACACGTTAAAAGCGGCAATGTCTGGGTGGACGCTTAATTCCCCGCATATCCCCATCTTCCACCCCACGTTGTACTTTTTTTTTTCTATTTGCGTTTCAGGTGTATCTTTTCTCCGATTTTATCTCCTTTTAATTCCCAGTTCTCGCAATGAAACATTTTCATGGGAAAGCAGAAACAGGAACAACATAACTCTCATTCAAATTAAATTTAATATCCCATGTCACTTTTTCCTTCTTCTTATCAGTTATCCAATTGCAAGGGAGGTAATCTATAAATTAGATCTTGAACTCTAATTTTTCTTTTTTTTATTCTTATGTATATTCCTTTTGTTTAATAGTGATTCACAAAGATTCATAAATAAAATATCTTTACAATCTCCCATCTTCAGAAGGAAATATTTCTGCCACGAAAAACCTAATACCGGTACAAGAGAATAAGTCTTTATCTCACAATCAGTTTAAACATATATAACTCATGAATCTCATATTTTTATACTACCTCATTATTTTTCTTTAATTAAAGGAAACTGAAAAAAAGCAAGCAAGCGAACATCGTCATTACTAGTGATAATATATAATCAAGAGTTCTTAGTCAAAATTATTCAATTAACCTACTTGAAAATATTTTATTTTATAATAATATCATTTATCCAATTTTAATACACATATATATAAGTTTTTTTTCCTGTGTGTTTATAGAGTTTTAAGGAGAAAGAAATAACAACTTAGAAATTCCAAATATTGGTCTGTGTACAGGATATATATGTTGATTACTTGGGGACATATAGAAGCAAAAAAATGTTGAAGAAGAATAAGAGCAATTCAAATTTAAAGGCATCTACGTTTTCTTCTGTATCTACTATTAAGTCATTAGGTAAGAAACTATTAACTTCAAAATCTTTCGACCATAATGATGTTAATAAAAATGTTAAACCAATCAAGACGTTGAAAAAGAGAAGTACAGTTCCAGCTGTGTCCAATACTGAATCAAAAACTCAAAATATACCGACTAACACTCCAAAACCTATAAGTTCTTCTGTTACTTCAGCAAGAAGGTCTAAGATGAATGAATCTAGAAATAATTCTGTTAGTGAAAGGAAAATGGTCTACAATCCATATGGTGTTATGTCATCCAGTATTAATAGTAGCAGTGGTGCTAGTTATAGTTATATGAGTAAGAATTTGAGTTCACATTTCAGTATGGGGTATAACAGTCTTGGTTCGATTAATTCTTCATCCTTGAGTAGAAGAGATCCAAGTTTATACCTGCACGAGGGCTCCCAATCTATTAGAATCTTGCAATTGCCAATTGCAAGTCCGAACGATTATTTGCCAGAAGAATTTCAACAGAAATCTATTCAATTATATGATAATTTTAAATTTGAGAACGATAATAAAAGTATTGGTAGTGGTGGGTCTGCAGATGTTACGAAAGTGGTCACGAAAGGAGTTAAGGCCAAGCACTATGCATTCAAAAGATTAAATTTGATTTACCAGGAGACTGATGAACAATATTATAAAAGATGTTCCAAGGAATATATTATTGGAAGACATCTGAATTCCATAAAAGGATATGGTAGTATGAACATTATTGGGATTTACCAGTTATGTAAAATACCAACTACTACGAAATCTGTACGAGGATGGGGCTATATCATGGAATTAGCTAAATATGATTTGTTTCATTTGATGACCCGTACAGGCTGGAAAAGTGTTGATGTTTCTGAAAAATACTGTATATTTAAACAAATTGCAAATGGTGTTAAATTCATGCATGATAATGGGATTTCACACAGAGATTTAAAACCTGAGAATGTTTTGTTATGTGAAAATGGTATATGTAAAATTACAGATTTTGGTATATCTTCGTGGGTATATAACGATCCGAAGGATCCTGAGAGTGGAATCAAAATGTGCTGTGGTATGATTGGATCACCACCGTATGCGCCTCCAGAAGTGATGATGTGGGATTCAAAGAAAAGTTATTCGAAAGAGTTACAGAATTCATACAATCCATTTTTAATCGACACTTATTCGTTAGGTATAATATTAATGACCTTACTTAATAATGTTATACCTTTTATTGAATCATGCGATAAAGATTCGAAGTTTAGAGACTATGAATTGGCGTATGAAAGTTACTTTAAATATGAAAATAGATTGTTTCGTAAGAAGGGCATTTACAAGCCTGGACCGGGCCCAGAATATATGTTTGCTAGAATGTTCAACGATAGGGAGATGTCTCGTATAGCATGGAGATTAGCAGATCCTTGTGCTGCTACAAGATATAATATGGATGATTTATTTAATGATCCACGATTTCAAAAGATTGAAATGTGCATGGATCCATTTGATGAGATTACATATAAATATTCAGAACCTGAATTGTTGTATAGTTCATTAGAAGAGAGTGGAATATCAAATATAGGTTCAAAGACAAATACAGTTGTGGCGTCTACAGAGAACCATATATCAAGGTCGATGATAAGTATTGCTGAATCACCAAAGGAGATGGAAAAGAAACCTGTATGTTCGTTATTAACAAAAATGCTATCGGACTCTAACAGTAGCGTATCTTCAACAACTTCCTCGACCATGAATTATGATGAAATGAACGTATCAACCTCCTTCTCTTCTTCTTCCTCATCCTCTTCTTCTCCCTCTCCTGCATTACCTACAATATCTTTAGGTAAGGATACAGATTTATTCACATTGGAGGAAGAAGAAACTGAGGAGACGAATAATAAGGATGTATCAGACAGAGATATTAAGTCTATAGTATCAAATGAGACAATAACAAGGAAAACGGTAGATAAATCATCTGACCGAATGAAAGTTAGTGAATTTTCAAGACAAAGGAGACGCAGAATGGTTGTTCATCATCATCTACAAGTCGTTAATAGTGTGTCTTCTATGAATTCACCTATATTTTCAAACTCAATGCCATCGTCAATTATGTCATCTGTTGGTTCTTCATCGTTTAGAAAATGGTAAATATATAGTGTATAAGTAATAGAAAGGTATACATATTATCATTATTATTGTGTTTTTTCCACCACTTTGTTGATGCACAAATGCTATTCATTCATAAACATCTAGATCAGTTAGAATTTTAGTGGAGGTGGAGAAAGTCAATCCAGTAAATCAATTAATACAATAAGGTTAACTAAGCAAGAATTATTGTTAAACAAAAAATCTTTAATTTATTGAAATATGAATATTTTTAATCAAGAAATAAGCAATAAACAGAGATAATACAATAGCAACAACAAGATTACATTAAATGAATCTAAGCCATGTAGGGTGGAGATGACTTGACAATACGAAAGATTAAGAAAGTTTATCATCTTCAACGACAGCTGTATCAAGTTTTTCATAATTTTGAAAAATTGTCTTCCCTTCAGTACATTTGTGTGTGGATCAAATAAAACCCCGCGGAGTTAAACATGTGATAAAGCATATATTCTTTTCTCTTCTAAGTCATTTTTTTTTCTTCCTTTTTTCTTTTTTTGCTTGTTTGCTTGCTTTTTTTCTTCTTATTTTCTTTTTTCAGATGAGCGAATGTTGGAAACACAATAATTCAATTAGAGTGTTTTTTTTTGTTTTCCTTTGTTTTTTCACAGTTAATTCTTCACTCGGTCCCGTTATTGTTCCTCTCCTCTCCGCAAAAATAACAAAAGAAAAAAAACGAAAAACATTACAAATAAGAAACAAAGGTATACATAAAAAAAATGATGGCTAACTATTGTGCTGCTTATAATATAAAAAACATTTCTGACCTCTATTGTCCATTTGCCTTCTTTTCTCCTTTGTTTTTTTGTTCTTTTTTGATTTCCCGATTGTTCCAGCACCTGTCAAAGGGAAAAAAACAATAAAATAAAACAAATATTCAGATAGACTTGCACCCAAAAACGTTTGTTTTGTTTTGTCTTGTTTTGTATTTTTCCTATTAAAGTTTTAATTTTGAGTCATGGAATCAATATCTTTCTTTTCTTTCTTTTTCTTTCTTTATTCTCTCCAATTTCTCTCCCTGTGTATTTGCCGCTTGTTGTATTTTGGAGTTTGCAAATCTGTCGATATCTCAATTCCTCGAGCTGTTGTTCATCTTATGAAAAAGATAAGTTCTGAAAAGGCTATTATACTTCAAGTGTTGCAAGAAACTATAATATTTAAAAATACGTACAAGCTGTAGAAGGAAGTTATTTGCTACAATGTATTTCCATATACACACACAAATACATGTTGTTCAAGAATATTTTATAAAACTGGTATCATCATTTGTACATTAGATTCTTTTTTTTTTCTTTCCTTTTTTTTTGGATTGGTTTCTGTATTCATTCTTTCATTTTATAAATAATAAGAATAAGAATAAGAATAATAAAAAGTAGTCGTTAAAAGAACATATATACCTATATCTATTATATCCATCCACATGTCCAAAATGCATAAGGGTAAAATTCATATAGGTAACACAGCTTTAAATGAAATTTCTCGAATGTTTTTCTTTCTCTTCCGTAGATTATCAAGGTATCATCTAAAAAGATTTTTATTTGGTATAATATTTATTCAATTTATTTTATTCATTATCATATGGTCCTCGAGTTATAAAAGAACCACTGAAAAAGCTTTAACTCAACAACAAATACTAGATTTGGAGCATCAGACTAGGATTAATCCCCACTTGGTTGATCCAGATTATGAGTATTTTAGAAATTCTAATAATAATAACGGTAATGATGTCTCAGATGATTATATAAGTTTTCTATCCGACTATTTCTCTAGTTGGTATTCATCAGATGGCTCAGACATGGATCAATCTGTTGCAGATGTAGACACTGTATCTAGATTATATGAAAAATTCAGATACAATACAAAACCTTTCTGGTTTGATGACTATACTTTACAAAAAAACCTATTGACTATCCCATATGGTCCAAACAGAGGTCAAAAATGGACTTGTATCGATGATATTCAATACTATAACAGTGACCCAAGATTGATTTGGTCTGTTTATATGGACTATATCATAAATAATTATCCACAACATAACCAAAAAAATATTGCCTACAATTGGAAGTTTCCTTTCTCTTGGTATGATTGGATTGATATGCATGATTTAAATAAATTGATCTCTTTGAACGAAACAAGACCCACATGTGAGTTCTTATTTGAGGGCTCTTTTTATAAAGACACTTTGTTGAAGATCGAGAATGAAGTAGGAGAAACTTTATTTGATAATGGTCGTTCCAAATATGATCAGGATGGATGGTACGTTTATGCAAAACAGTATGGTGATAATGATATCCTTGGAAAATTGAAGGATTATTGTACCTATTTGGTGGATAAACCAAAGTTTTCAACTGGCCTAAATATTACTAAGCAAGATCCAAAATGTAGACCTGAAGTGTTTCAACTACAAAATAGAAATTATGTTTATTCTTCACTGAAACCTCCTTTATCTCTCTCGGTCACTGCATTGAATGGGAAAACTTATCAATTTTATTTTGATCAAAATGGTCCACGACAAAATATGATAGAATCTAATCTTCTACAAGATTTTATTAAGAATAACTTGGATTTGCCTTCTCTAAATAACACACAGAACCTTTTAGATTATAATGATCTGGTATTTAACCATTTCGAGAAATTTAATAATTTCTTGGAGAATTATAATATATCCAAAAATTTTGTTGTTAATGTTAAAGAAACAGATAGCAATCTAATAAACTTAGAAGAATTGATCCTAGATGAAGCTGATTTTGAATTCGATCCAATTGCTAAAATCAAAGAACTGGAAGCTATCCCTGAAGAAGAAATGACTCCACATTTTAAGAATTATTTGGACAGTCTACGTACCTCAATCACTTATGCACCTGAATTTAGTCCCAAATATTTTCAAGAGAGTGGTGATATTCAAGATTATTACGGGATTGGGTATCATCGTGATAGTAGGTTTTTCAACGTGGACAGTTTCCTTTTTGACAAACAAGAATATGCAAATAGATTGAATTCAATGATTAGAACTTTTCAAAAATTTACTCTATCTAATGGTATCATATCTTGGTTGTCACATGGTACACTCTATGGGTATATGTTCAACGGTGAAACTTTTCCATGGGATGAAGATTTCGACTTGCAATTACCTATCAAGCATTTAAATTATTTAGCACAATATTTTAATCAAAGTATTATTCTGCAGGATCCAAGAGAAGGTAATGGGAGGTATCTTATCGATGTATCAAGTTCTATCACAGTACGTACTAAAGGCAATGGTAATAACAATATCGATGCAAGGTTTATTGATTTGGATTCTGGGTTATATATTGATTTGACTGGACTTAGTGTTTCTTCCATTTTCGCTAATGTTAAAGTTAGGGGGTATATGCAAGAACAATTAAAAGAACTGCATTTACATACAAATAATTCCGTGTTACAAGTCCCAGAGGATTCAAACGCAAAGAATTCAGATTATCTAGGGTTAATGGATATATATCAATTACATGATTATGTTCATAAAAATAACAAGGAGTTTAGTGAATCAGACAGGTCCTCCGTTGATAAATTTTTGAGAGAGGAACAAACAACGCAAAGGAACATCAATTCTATGGAGAAATTATTGAAACCTGCACAAAGATATTATTTACATAAAATAATGAAACTGTACAATTGTAGAAATAATCATATCAGTCCTCTATCATATCTGTCCCCTATGTATAATAGAATGTTCCATGGCGTTCCTGCTTTTGTGCCTAAAAAATATTTACATTTTTTGAAAAATGAATACTATGTATCAGAGGATTATGCTTACATTACTTACAAATCTCATGTTTTCTTTCCAGGTGTAATGCATTGGGTTAATGAACATTTTGTTAAGAAATGTTCAAATATTAATAATTGGTATAGAGACACAAAGAAACTATCAAATATCACAAGCATTGAACAAATGGAGTTTAAAGATATGAAAACCTTCGTTGCTAATATGAAGTTTTATGGGACCGATAATATGACTACGTTTGCCAATCTCTATAATGCATTTGACCAGTTTGCCTACAGAATGAAGGAATTGGCGATTGAATTCGATCCTACGTTGAAGCAAAAAGAGAAAAAAGAGTTATTGAATATTTTAAAGAACCAATGTAGTGAAAAGATTAAATCGCCCGGAAAAGATGCACTTTTATATGTATATGAAAAGAGACTTTTTAAGAAATTAGCTAGAAATTTTGATCCTGCTTTAATCGAAGATGTGAAAGATAACATCGATAAAATGTACTTGAATAAATACTGGAAGCAATTGTTAGGATTGAAGAACCGTGAATTGTCTCTATTCCATACAAACTTTGAAAGTTCATCTGAATATATTGTGAGACCATCCAATTCTACATCTAAATTGGTTGATATGAATTATCAAGGGAGAAAGGATATGTATCCTGATAAGTTTAGTAATTGTCCAAAGTTATTTAGTAAAGATCCAAATTGATTTGAGTTTTATTGGCATTCAATTATTATTAACTAAAAAATAAAAAAAAAAACTGCATACTTGATATCCTAATAAAGGATTATCTTTTTTATTTCTAGCATTAAGTTATATTTGAATATTGCATTAATTTTCCTCTAAATACTTTTTGTGCCCGCGCGCCCCTCTCATTTATATAATATAGGGATATAATCATATACAATTATAAAATAAGAAAGTAATAAAAGTTATAACGTTCCGTATTGAATAAAATAATAATTATTTTCTATTAGATTAATTCATATAAAAATATAAAGATTTATTTTTCAATAATAGATACTAATATTGATTACATTGCAACAATTAACACATTATATACAACATTTGTATCATATATCTTAGGATAAAATAATTTCCAAAATTATTAAGCCAAAGTCTTTTCAAATCCTTGCTTCAAGTCTTCAATTAAATCATCTGCATTTTCACAACCAATGGAAAATCTTAATAAAGTTTGATCGATTTCAGGGTCACTTAAAGCCCTCCATTCGACCAATGATTCAACACCACCTAATGAAGTAGCGTGTTGGAAAAGTTTCAATTTACTTGGAAAATGTTTGGCTTGTTCCACATTTTGTAGTGTGATAGAAAATACAGGTGTATGACCACCAGTAGCTTGTTCTTTAACAAAATTTTCCTTTTGTAAAGATGAATGATAGACATGTTTCAAAACGTTCTTGTATTTTTCCATATTATCCTTTAAGAAATTAACAATCTTAGTTGCATTTTCAGATTGCTTCGAAATTCTCATCTCGTAAGTTCTTAAAGATCTTAATAATAGGAAAGATTCCAAATTACCAATGATTGTACCAAGGTACATTCTATCAACTTTCAATTTGTTGTAAACAGTGTGATCTTTAGTAACAAGAACACCAGCTAGCAAATCAGAATGGCCACCGAAATATTTAGTAGCAGAATACATAATAATATCAGCACCAAATTTCCATGTATCTTGTAAAGGTGGTGGTGCAAAAGTAGCATCTACAATCAATGTAGCACCTTTAGCATGTGCTTTATCAGCATATTCTTGAATGTTTACCGAAACACCATATGGGTTAACTGGTGATTCAATATGGATTAAATCACCTGGTTGAGCAAACTTTTCAATGTCTTCCAATTTGTGCTGTTCAAGACCATAGTTTCTAGTCATGATATCAGCAATTGCACGAACACCGTGATAACTTTCACCAATAAATAATCTCTTTGGATTGAAGTGAACCATAGCAGCATAGAAGGAAGAAACACCGGTGCTATAAACCACGGCATAACCATCTAAAACTTTAGATAATACGCTTTCAACTCTTGTTGCATTTGGATGACCACAACGAGAATAGACAGGATTTCTATCCATTTCTTCGATGCATTCACTTTCGTCACAGATTTCTAAATTAGAATTATCGTAACGGAAAGTAGTTGCCACATTAATGGGAGGGGCCACATCACTAACACGATTGTCCTTATCATCTGCATGAATCAAAGAAGTAGCTAAATAAGTCATGGTATGTTTTGTTTTTTTATTATATTATTTTTTTCTTTCTTTAAAATTTGGTTTGTGTAATTAAGATAAGTATAATACAAGACTGTTATTCTATAAGAATTAAAAAAGAGATAATGAAAGGATTAAAAAAAAGATGAAAAAAAGGATTAAATAAAAGAAAAGATAGATTTAATAATACATCTAGTAACATCAAAGTACCTTTTTTCAAAAAATATGATCGGGAATGATGAGGAATAATAAGAAAAAAAAGATGAGAATACTCTTAGGAAAATTTACTCCCCCTAGATATACTTTCAAAATTTGCTTGTATGCACTTTCTTGTCAATTTTATTTACAGTGAGTCATGTAGGGGAAACAAATTAGAGATTTCACTCTTCCATCTTGATTTAAAAAGTTGACTTATCACGCCTTTATCGACATATTTGTCGCAGAAAAATGCCAAAAAAAAAAAAAAAAAAAAAAAATAAAAATAAGCGCCAAAATTAAAGATAGAGTTATTAAAACCAAAAAAGCGTGGGTGAACTGATGTTAAAACTATTGGTCTGTAGAGAAAAACAGTCCTAATTCCTCAGAACAACCACAAGGACTTATGAAGATGATTGCAAATGATACCAATTTGAATTGGGATAGTTTAGCAATCAATTTTGAACCAATTGAATTGCATTTCGCCTCGTTAAGTTGTAATTTACTCAATTTTAAGAGTTTTAGTAATCATGGCCAGGCTTTAAAATAAGCTACATTGTAAAATCCAAAAGAAATGATATGAGATTTAGTAATTATAGAGCCAGAAACGAATAAAAGATGAAGAGAAGAATTAATATCACTATAAATACGTATGTAGATTAGTATTTTATTACATCGGTTCGTTTATTTGGCCATTATAACTTATTAATGTGAATACCAGAGAAGACAGATAACTGTTATTATAATATATATGTAGCAACTTTGTAGAAGAAGAATACTGATAAGACATCAAGAATGAAATTGACAATGTCAAGTTCTTTAAACTTGCCGGAATTACTATATTTGTCCTAATTTCATGAAGGTAATCATAGTTATGCTCTTGATATTACTAATTTCAACCGTATTACACCGAAGACATATTATTATATCTTTATCCAAGCGGTTTTTACACATTTCTAAAAATATTTTTCTTATTAAATAACGTTACGTAGAAGATCTTAATGATCTAGTTTACAATATCAGAGATACTCTTTTATTTTTAAATCAGGACAAAGATTTGTGTCGATGTAATATAAGTAAGATATCATACTAATTCCTAGCAAAGATCTATTGAATTTTTGGGCATGTGAGAAAACACCTAGTAAAAAAATAATAAGAATGACAGGAATGATAAATCTACACAATTGCAAAGAGTATACACAAGAAGATGTTATATAATTTATCTTTGTATTAACAATTACATATTTAATACCTTCTTCAAAATTTTAACACAACAAACCTATTTATCGTTAAAAACATTTTGGTTTGCTTTGTTTAGTTTGTATTATGTTATCGCATTATTTGAAACAAAGATAATAGATTCTACAGTTAAGGTTATTCAGAAAAGCTAATACAAATTGAGTCTGAAGAGCAAAAAAATATTAAGTGCTAACCATGTGTCTCATACATGGTTATATATATGATATTCTTCTATATTTTATAAAATTATGGAGATGAGAATGATATATATTAATCTTCAGGCTCCTCTAATATATATTTAGTTTATCATTCTCTATATCTTTCTTATTTATTGCAGTCAGATAACATTTTATATAATGTGTTAATGGCAAGTATTATAGCTTGCTTATGTTTCTTCCGATTCCTTTTATTCCGATTCCTTTTATTGTGTCGTGGGCATCTGTTATTTAACCTTGTTATAAATTTGGGATTAATAACATATTAGGAAAATTATTTAGCGGTTAAAAGAAATGGTAAAAGAAAAAAGAAGAATATAGAATGTTGTTCAAAAGCGGGATCTTGTCAAACTTCATACGAAAAACATATGAATATAAGAATATAATTGCCAGATACACAGCCAGCATAGAATATTAAAACAATAGTAATTATTTCAAATTCTCTACTATCTGTCTCACTTCAAAAATGATTCTTTCCTTAAAAAAAAAGGTAGATCCAATCCATCCTCACTCACGAAAGCAACGACTGGTATCTAAGAATCATTTACAAGACGACATATCACCAACCTCACTAAATTTAAGTACTACACCATCCATAAATGAAAATACATTAATTAACGGATCTATTGGTCCAGATATAAACGCTTTGATGGATATTAGTAAACATAAATATATTGATGGATTTCCGGATTGTAATAATATTATCTTTGATCAATTAAAGAGTTCAAATTTGCAAGAAAGAGAACATGCAGCACAACAACTATCTAAAAATTTATTATCTATTGAAAGAGAATTATCAGTAGAACAATTCCAAAGATTCATCACTACCTTACATAATAAAATATTTGAATTAATTCATGGGTCTACGTCAAACGAAAAGATTGCAGGAATCAAAGCTGTAGATGTCTTGATATCCTTTTATAGTTCTCATGACGAACTTCCCAACCAAACATCACGTTTAGCAAATTATTTGAGAACTTTACTACCTTCAAATGATTCAGAAGTTATGAAACAAGCTGCGATGGCCCTGGGTAGATTAGCCGTCCCAGGTAACACAATAACAACAGATTTCGTTGATGTACAAGTTAATACGTGTATTGAATGGTTGACTGTATTACCAGAAAATAATTATAGTGGTAAGGTAGAATATCAAAAACACGCCGCCCTATTAATATTAATTTCATTTACCAAAAATTCACCATATTTGTTGTATCCATATGTTAATCCAATTCTTGAAAATATTTGGAGACCGCTTAGGGAAACTAAGGTTGCAATTCGTCTAGATGCAGCTGAATTATTAGGAAATTGTCTTTGTGTACTTCAAGAAAGAAATGATGATAACTGTAAACAAAAATGGGTCAAATCTCTATATAGTACTGTCACAGATAGTTCATTGCCAATCACACCGGAGTTAATACATGGATCCTTGTTAGTGTATCGAGAATTACTTAAAGTTGGTTCTGGTAAGTTTTTAAAGAGTAAGATAACTGAAATTTTTTATAAGATTATGACTTTTAAAAATTATAAATTAGATATAATACGGCATGAGATTTATACAATATTACCACTGGTTGCAACATTTGATCAAAAAAAATTTATCAAAAAGTATTTGGATATTATCATGGTGCATTATTTGACTGTACTGAAGAATATGAGTATTAATTCAACAATGAGCTGTGATAGACCATATATATATGTGTCAATAGGTGATATTTCTAGTCAAGTAAGGTCTCATATCAATCCTTACGTGAAACAAATAGTAGAAAATTTACAAGATGCTTTGAAAAGTAAATTGAAGGTTCGAAAACTCTATGAGAAGGAATTATTTTATTGTCTAAATAAATTAGTTATTGCAATGGGACCTGCTCTAGCGAAATACTTGCATAATGATTTATTGCGACTTATCTTTGCATGTACTCTAACTGGCTATATGGAAGAGACATTATTAATACTAGTAGACAATATTCCTTCTCTGGAAAAGATTATCAAAAAAAGAGTACTTACTATTATCAGTTACTATTTATCAGGTGAAAGTTTTGACCACTTTGAAAAACAGAAGATACCTAATGAATCTGTCTTAGAAAATGGACAACGATGGAGAAATAAGTATATTTTTAATAAAAATGACGAACCCAAGGATAAAACAAAAGATGCACAATTGATTTCACAGGCTTTAAAAACGCTACGTAATATAAAGCTTGAACAATCCCTAACATCTTTTGCCAGAACTGTATTAATTACTTATTGTGAACATGACGATCCCATTGTTAGAAAATTTGCAACTTTGACAACCTGTGAAATTTATTCTAAGAACCATAAAGTTATGTCTTCAAATGACAAATATACATTAATAGCTGTTAATGAGGTTGTTTCAAGAGTCATAATTACAGCTCTTGCAGATCCGGTTTCAGAAATTCGCTTGGAGACTTTGAAAAAACTAAACAATGTATTTGATGCCCAGCTTGCACAACCAGATAATGCTAGACTTTTAATCACGAGTTTGAAAGATGAAGTATTCAACATTCAGAAAGAGGGTATGAATCTACTGGGTAGATTAAGTCTTGTTAATCCTGCATATATTGTACCACTTTTAAGAAAAACGCTACTGGAGTTATTAACTGAATTAAAATATACAAATTGGCGCAGAAAAAAAGAAGAGTGTTTGATCTTGCTTAAGATTTTATGCAGTTCTAATAAAACTATTGTAGAGCCATATACTGACATATTAATGGATCTTTTGCTGAACAATGCTAAAGATACTTCCTCTATTGTAACTTGTGGTGCTTTGGAAGCGATATCAAAATTATCAGTAACTATTGAACAGGACATGATGCTATATATGGATAGAATAATAAAATTGATAATTGATATACTGAAGGATAAATCCAATATCTATAAAAAACAAGTTGCTGTGAAAACTTTAATTAAATTAGTGTCATCTACTGGTTATGTGATCTCACCACTATTAGATTATAGTGAATTGTTAGGGATACTACTGGGTATTCTTCAGAGTGATGCCTTAAAGGATATTAGTCTAGATACATTACAATTAATTGGTACTTTAGGAGCATTAGATCCATACAAACACAGAGAGATTTCCACTACTAATATCTCTTCTAAAGATTCATCTATGATTAACGCACATACAGATATCAATCTACTAATAAGTGGAATGTCACCAGGTGATGAAAATTATTATCCCCTTGTGGTGATTGATGTGTTAACTGGGATAATGGCAGACACTAGTTATTCACCTCATCATACAGTAATTGTACAGTCAATTGTACATATATTTCAAGATATGGGAAAGAGGTGTTCTGTTCTCCTAGACAAGGTGCTCCCAACCTTATTATCGGTAATGCGAACATGTCCTCCTTCTATGTTAGAGTTTTATTTCCAACAATTAGGTCTGATAACCAAAATAGTTGGAGATTATATGAGTCCATTTGTAGATGATATCTTGCAGCTAATAAATGACTTTTTAACAATCAAAACTTTACAACCAACCATGGTGATGCTGATAGAGTCACTGGCGAAAGGCTTACTGACAAAATTCAAAGTATTTGTACCTGCGACTTTATCTATCTATGTAAATATTTTAGATACAGATAAGTCAAGTGGTAAGAAAACTTCAATTATTTTGCTTAAGTCATTAATATCCTTTGGTTCTAGTTTGGAAAATTATTCATATTTAATACTACCTACAGTAATTCGGATTTCAGAATATGGCATAAAATCTTTGAGAAAAGTAGCTATTGTTACTATTGGTAAGTTGGCAAAAATTATTGACCTATCAGAAATGACATCTCGGATAATCCAAAGTCTTTTGAGAACACTAAACAGTAATGATGATGAATTGAATAAAGCAGTGATGAATACTTTTTGTCTTTTGTTACTTCAGACTAATTTAGATTTTTTGATTTACGCTCCTATAATAAATAAAATTTTATTACAAAAAAATATTCAACATTCAGTTTATGATCAACTTATAACTAAATTAATGAATAATGAAAGAATTCCTAACAACTTTTTCTTTGAGAGGGAACAAGAAAATTTGAATAGAATCCAAAAAGGAAGTTTTAAGGAGCCTGAAAAATTGCCAATAAATCAGAATGTGTTGAAGTCAAGTTGGAATTGCAGCAACGTAAAAACTACTGAGGCATGGAGAGAATGGTTTAGAAGATTTTCCATTCAACTTCTTAAAGAATCTCCTTCTTCGACATTAAGAGCATGCTCTTCTTTAGTAGATATCCCATATCCACTAACTAAGGAACTTTTTAATATATCTTTTGCAAGTTGTTGGAAAGAGCTTTTTAGTGAAAATCGTGATGACTTCATAACTTCATTATCAATGGCATTGACTTCGAACGAATGTCCTTTAGACATTCATCAAAATCTACTTGCATTGATTGAATATATGGATCATAATAATACACCACTACCATTATCATTAGAGAAGTTGAGTAGCTTTTCTCAAAAATGTAATTTTTATACTAAAACACTTTATTATAAGGAATTGGAATATAAGGAAGATCAAGATTCTAAGATTATTGAAACTTTACTTAATTTAAATAATCAATTACATCAAACTGATTCAGTGATCGGAATTTTAAAATATGCACAAAAGGTTCAAAAATCACAATCAAGAGAGGTATGGTATGAGAAACTACAACGTTGGGAGGATGCCTTGGATTCATATAAAGAACGAGAGTCAGCAGGTGAAAATTCTTTCGAAATAACATTAGGTAAAATGCGTTCGTTATATGCCTTAGGTAATTGGTCTGAGTTGTATAGTCTTACTAAAGAGTATTGGGATGTTTTAGATTTAACTACTAAAAAGAAAATTGCTCCATTAGCTGCTACTGCAACTTGGATGACTGGGAAATGGAATTTCATAAGAGAATATGTTAACAATATGTCTCATAATACCCAAGAGTATGAATTTATTAATGTAATTTGCAATATTCATAGTAATAATTTTAAAGCTGCAGAATATCATCTCAAAAAAACAAGAGAATTGATTATGAAAGATATTATTAATCTGGGAAACGAAAGCTACTCTAGGTTGTATAATCTATTTACTAGAGCACAGGTGGTTACAGAATTAGAAGAAGTTATTGAATACAAACAGTCACCCCTAGACTCGAATAAAAGAAGCAGGATAAAAGAAATATGGGATAAAAGATTAAAGGGTGTCCAGAAGAATGTTGATATTTGGCGTAATTTTTTGCAGGTTCGTTCATTGGTACTTACACCCAAAGAACAATTAGATATATCTATTAAATTTGCCAATTTATGTAGAAAGTCTGGTAGATTGGCGTTATGTAATTCAATATTAAACCAGTTAATGGATCCAGTTGAATCACCTGATCAAATACCAAAAGTTAAGGCACCACCGACAGTAATATATGCAAAGATAAAGTATTTATGGGCATGTGATTCCTATAATGAAGCGTTGGATAACTTGATTATCTTAACTTCAAAGATGATGACAGATTTGGGATTTGAAACAAGTGATGTTATGACGGGAACAAGCTGTGTCAGGTGTAGTGTACCTTCATATAAATTAGATATGTACAAAGAGTTATTGGCTAGGTGCTTTGTTAAACAAGGGAAATGGATGGTACATTTAGAACCAACGTGGAGAAAAACTAACCCTGACAAAATTCTAAGCTCATATCTTTTAGCAACGCATTTTGATCCACTATCATACAAGGCATGGCACAGTTGGGCATTAGCCAATTATGAAGTAATATCTGCGAAACTATCAGATATGGAAGGTGAAGATGGAAATCAAAAAGACAGTCATGCAACTTTGGATGTGCATGAATTAGACATCCAGCATTATCAAGATGATCCACATTTGATTTATAAGCATGTTGTCCCAGCTATTCAAGGATTTTTTCAATCTATTGCGTTGTCTGAATCAAGTTCTATGCAAGATGCGTTAAGAATATTGAGTCTTTGGTTTTCATTTGGTGGTATCCCTGAAGTATCACAGGCTATGCAACAAGGGTTTGCATCCACCAAAATTGGAACATGGTTAGAAGTTCTACCACAGCTAATCTCTCGGATCCATCAGCCTAATTATATTGTGAGTAGATCATTACTGGCTTTGTTATCTGATTTAAGTAAGGTCCATCCTCAGGCTTTAATATATCCTTTGACTGTTGCTATTAAATCTGAGTCTGTTTCGAGAAGAAATGCCGCACAGTCAATTATAGATAAAATGTTATCGCACAGTCCAATATTAGTTCAACAAGGTGAATTGGTAAGTGATGAACTAATTAGGGTAGCCGTATTGTGGCATGAACAGTGGTATGAAGGTCTAGAGGAAGCTAGTAGACAATATTTCAGTGAGCATGATGTTGATAAGATGCTTGCTGTCTTGGAACCACTTTATAAAACTTTGGATGATGGTCCTGAGACATTGCGTGAAATATCCTTTTACAATGCATATGGGCATGACTTAGTCATAGCGAAACATCTAATTGAGAAATATCAAAACAAAAACGAGAAGAAGTATATTAAGGAAGCATGGGATACATATTACTTAGTTTTTAAGAAAATAACAGAGACATTACCACTGTTACAAAATTTGGAACTACAACATATATCCCCTAAATTGTTGGCTCTTGAAAATTTAGAATTGGCTATTCCGGGTACCTATTTTATTGATAAACCTATAATCAAAATTGCTAAATTCCATAAAACTATTTCTGTTATCTCTTCGAAACAAAGACCACGAAAGATCACAATTAAAGGTGATGATGGAAAAGACTATCATTATGCTTTGAAAGGTCATGAAGATATTAGACAAGATAGTTTAGTAATGCAATTATTTGGTTTGGTCAATACCTTATTGCAAAAGGATACAGAATCTTTTAAGAGGCATTTGGATATTCAACAGTTCCCAGCCATCCCACTTTCACCTAAGACAGGTTTGTTAGGATGGGTTTCTAATAGTGATACTTTCCATGCTTTAGTTAAATCACAGAGAGAAGCTAATAAGATTCCTTTGAACATTGAACACTGGATAATGTTACAAATGGCGCCTGATTATGATAATCTGGAACTCTTACAAAAGATTGAGGTGTTCCAATATTCTATGGATAACACAAAAGGTGATGACATGGCGAGGGCCTTTTGGTTAAAGAGTAAGTCATCAGAAGTGTGGTTAGAAAGAAGAACTACGTACACTCGTTCTTTGGCTGTGATGTCTATGGTTGGTTACATTTTGGGACTTGGTGATCGTCATCCTAGTAACTTTTTAATAGATAGAAGCACAGGTAAAGTCGTTCATATTGATTTTGGTGACTGTTTTGAGTCAACTATTTTAAGAACTAAATTCCCAGAGAAAGTTCCATTTCGTTTAACTAGGATGTTAGTAAATGCAATGGAAATTGGTGGTATTGAAGGTAGTTTCAGGATTGCATCTGAGCATGTAATGAGAGTTTTACGTAACAATCAAGACTCATTGATTGCCTTACTTGAAGCATTTGCCTTAGATCCGTTGATATATTGGGGGTCTGATTTGCCAAAGACAAAAATTGAAGAACAAACGGGGATCAATTTGTCAATGCCTAACCCAAATGAATTATATAGAAGAGGTTTAATATCACAAGATGATGTGCATTCTATGGAAGTGGAGCAAGAACGAAAATTGAAAAATGCCAGAGCAACTTTGGTGCTGAATCGTATTAACGACAAGTTAGTGGGAAACGATATCCCACATCTATCAAATTTAGATGTGCCAGAGCAAGTAGATAAATTGATACAGCAAGCTACTTCTATTGAGAATCTTTGTCAGCATTATATTGGTTGGTGCCCATTCTGGTAAATGTTGTTAATAAGCACTATGATCTTATTCCCTCTGTTTAAAAATGTTTAGACTATTTTTGATTTCTTCTTAATCTGGACATATATAAGTGTGCAGATGTTTTTTGTAATGTATAGGGTTGTTTACAATGTGTACGTTGTAGTATAGATAATTATCTACTTTTGTATTTTTTGTTTGTTAGCAAAAAATTTTTTTTTTTGAAAATTTGATGCTTAGATAGCTAGTACATTATTGAAAGGAAGAAGAGTTGATAGGAAAAGATTGATCTAGTAGAGTGATAGCAAGCAGGTTACTCATATAATACCATCGTTTAGTAAAGTGAATTTAATAGTAGCAATACAGTGGCTACTATTTGCGTGACTTAAAAAAGCTCATAAGGATATAAAAATATAAGAAATATGGACCATTTTACTAGTAATAAAAGACGGAGAGTTATTAGTAATGTAGATAAAGAACAATCAATACCATGGGTTGAAAAATATAGACCTAAAACTTTGGATGAAGTTACAGCCCAGGATCATGCAGTTACTGTCTTGAAAAAAACCTTAGAATCTGCTAATTTATCCCATATGTTATTTTATGGTCCGCCTGGTACAGGTAAGACTTCGACAATTTTAGCTTTAACAAAAGAATTGTTCGGTCCAGAATTGATGAAGACTAGAGTATTGGAATTGAATGCTTCTGATGAACGTGGTATATCAATTGTTAGGGAGAAAATCAAAAATTTTGCACGTTTAACTGTATCTAAACCATCTAGGAAAAATTTAGAGGATTATCCATGTCCACCATACAAGATTATCATTTTAGATGAAGCTGATTCAATGACAGCAGATGCTCAAAGTGCTCTACGTAGGACTATGGAAACTTATTCTAATGTGACCAGATTTTGTTTGATCTGTAACTATGTCACAAGAATAATAGATCCATTAGCATCTAGGTGTGCAAAATTTAGGTTTAAATCATTGGAGACTTCAAATGCATTAGAAAGATTACAGTATATAGCTACACAAGAATGTGTCAAATATGAGGACGGTGTTCTAGAAAAAATTTTAACCATATCAGCTGGTGATTTAAGAAAGGCTATAACTTTATTACAGTCAGGATTTAAGTTAGTAGATTATATGGGGAATAATCAAATTACCATTAAACAAATTGAGGAACTAGCTGGAGTGGTTCCTTCAACAGTAGTGGAAGAAATAGTTAAACAAATTAATAGCAAAGATTTAAATCAACTGATTTCCTTTACCAACGATTTCATAAAAAGTGGATGGTCTGGTGTCTCTATTGTTGATCAATTACACGATTATTATATAACAAATGAAAATTACGATACTAACTTCAAAAACAAATTGTCACTTCTGTTATTTGATACTGATTCCAAATTAACCAATGGTACGAATGAGCATATACAGTTGTTGAATCTTTTGGTCAAGATATCACAGTTGAGTTAGTAAAAAAAGATACAGGATTAATGTAGTAGTGTTTATTTTTATCACCCTAAGATAGCTGGTTATTATTGACAATTATTTGTGGAAAATGCTAGAAGGATATATATACGTATATAGATGAAGAATGGCATATTACGTATGTCTTTATATATCAATGAAGTCGGTAAGATATCAAGCTTTGTATGTATGCAAAGCATAACTACGTTGGTATTGTCTATGAATTTTTTATATTTTTGTAGCTTACTTGGTTTATTTTTTTTCAGTTTGGATTGGATATTTATCAAATCCATGGCATAAATTCTATGCAAAAAAAAATTATCAATTGGACATTCCGTTTTACCTGAAGTAAGTAGTCATGCTTTATTGTTGATTTTTGATCCTTTGTTGTAAAAGGCTTGTTCTTAATAAACATTCAGTTTAAGACATTAATCTGTCCATTAATGTAATATAATACTTTTCAAAAGTTTTTTGGTCTTGAGTGACTAATACTTCGATCAATTCTAAAGCAAATTGGCTTGGAAACTGAATTTGTGGCAAGTATATATGAGATAAATATTTAAGTAATGGATTTGTATTAATATCTGTTGGAGTATTTGGATCTTGTATGCTCTGTAAATATAATTCCTTTAATAAACGGGACAGATCACAAGCTACAATTCTATAAGTACCTTCCTTTACATTAAACTTATATTCGGGATTGAATGGAATTTCAAAAACTAAAGGAACCACTTTTGAGATAAAAAATTCATTTAAACCTTCAATTTTTTGTATTTCCATGGCATGTGGGTCTTTAGGATCCATACATTTACCTGAACCAAAAAATTTAATAAAATTAGCTAATACATTTAATGCCAACTTCATAGCAGATGTCTCTTGTATTTCAGCAGGTGTATATGTCAATAAATCAGTTAATATAATAGATAGAGTGTTTGCATTATTAGGAGATAAAAGTAGTGATGTGACATTGTTGGTGACAAACGATTGTAGAAATGCAAAATAAGCCTTTTTTAATAAAATTTTATCTCTGAAAGAGTCTGTCACAATAATATTCTTGTTGTGTGCATCTTTTATTTCTATTGTTACATTGTTATTATTAACGTTAGAATTGTTACTAATACCGTCCCTTTGATTTTGGGCCAAATGTTCGTTTTCAATCAAGCTCATCATCTGATGAACTTTGTTTATGGTTGGGGTTAAAAGGTTGTTAAATAATTGTAAGCAATTTTCATCTTTATGGAAAGTATGGATCATTTGACCTAAAAATCCAAGGAAATCGTTCAACTCTAGCATTTTCAAATCGGACTCTAAAAATAGTGCAATTAACTTATTAGCAAATGGTATAATTCCACTGTTTAAGATAGGGATCAATCTCGAGAAGGCAAACCTTGAAGCGTCTCTAATATTTTCGTGTTTACTGAAATATGAAAATGTTACGAGGATTACTTCTGCGATGTTTGAAAACTTCTCAATCAAAGATTGATGGATTAACTGTTTACTAACAAGGGTGTTATTAACTTGATTTTCCGGTACCAGTCCTCCGTGAACACCTCTCGCTAATGTACCAATTGCCATTAAGATATGATGACATTGCAATACAACTTCTGGTGTTTGAATTTGACTAGAGATACAGCCCTCCAGTTGAGTGAACATTGGTTTTAAAACATTATCTAGGATGTCATAATTTGAATCAGAATTAGCACCAATTAGTAAACCAATACCTTCAAAAAGGTACATTTGATTATCAAAAGTGGTGTCATTCTCTGAGCCATCCAAATTTATTGATGTCACTTTTATTGTTAATAATGGGTGAATTTTGGCGATGATTTCGGATAAAATAGAGATTGAGTATTTTGGTTTAATCATTTTAATGAATCTAGTGAATAGATACCATGTTCTTAATCTGACTCTTTCTCTTTTATTAAACATCGCAAAGTCTGAGCAAAACACATTTAATAATGTGAAATATTCTTTCTCACCTGTAATGAAATTACTATGTCTAACAATCAACTCAAAGAATGCAATTTGTATATATGAGTTATCGGTTTGAAATATTGAACTATTGTTTAATAAAATATTCATAAATTTAAACATTAAAGTTGCTGGTGGTGAGGACATAATTTCATTTTTTGGTAAACCAAATAGATTATTTCTGATGGTTTCACATAAATTATTTATTTGCCATAATGCTAATTCTAAATCTCTCCAATTGATACTATTTCCATTAGTGGTAGCTGTTAGTAAACTTTGTATCATATTAGATATATTTTCAAGAAACAGTTGTGGATTGATGACACATATACTCTCCTGGAAAGTTTTCAATTTGGATCTGATAGTTTCTGTAAACTCCTCTATATCATCTTGAGAATCTTCATCATCAGAATCTTCATCTATTCTCATTTTTTTAAACATAACAGACATCAATGTGACTAAGAAATTTGAATGTTCGGAATCTAGAGGTTGTTTCTTGGAATTTATTGCTACTGCAGAACCTGGTTTACCACCGATTGCAAACGATTTTTTCAAGATTGAAAGGTATTGGCTTATAAATGGGAAACATTGTTGTGTTACAGAATCATATTCATGGGACATAAATTTCAGAATTAATGGAACACATTGGTTTAAAATTCTTGAGTCTGTAGCTATCAATACTTGTTGAAGTTCCATATCATTATTTGATGAATTATGCAATGTTGAATTGTTGTTGTTATTATTATTTAGATTTATGTTTTGATTATTATTCTTATTCTGAGGGTTATTGTTATCGATAATATCTTGGCATTGTTCCATAATTAGGGACAGCTCGACACCTATAGTAGAAGCTAATTTTGCTAAGTTTTCGTGAATAGCCAGATCATCGTTATGATTTATTGAATTTAATTTATTCATTAAGTCTAGAAGTGATAATAATGACAACTTATCAACTGGTTTCATCTTTTTTGTAATAATCTCACAAAGACAGTTTGAACAAGCGATCTTTGTCTCATTGTAATCTAAGAAATTATAGATCAAATTTATATAGGTTGGATTAATAATTAAATTGATATCGATCCATGAGATATAGGATCCAATACAGGACAATGACCATGTCGTTAATTCCATTAGATTTGTATCTACATTTTGTTTTGTACCATTTAAAACGTATTTTAGTGTATTGATCCAGATCTGCACCAATAGTTTGATATCATTCAATCTCATTTGGTCCTTCAGACAATTGTTTTTCAATTGAATTTCTTTTGATCTGATAAAAGTTTGATCAGCAATTTCAGAATTTATATAAATACAGATTCGTAGAAGATAATCGAGGCCTAAAGTTGAAAACGATAGAGTGTGAGTATCTAATAAAGAATTGATTTGTAGTATTGTAAAAAGGTCGATGAAGAAGTTATTCCATTGATTACCATTACATTCCCCATACATTAGCAGAAACAATTTAGTTATTAATTCAGAAAATTTACTTCTCATATACTCCGGATCCCTGTCATTACGGTTAATTTTATCCTTCAGAATATTTAGAATAGAATCTTTAATTAGAGTAATATTTGGTAGTATGGAAGCAGTGCTACTAGTAGTGGTATTATTTATATGAGACATTATAAGATCTGATAGGATCTGTAATGAAACAAATTTACACATTTCATCGGACTCTAAATCATTGAGTAACGTGATTAGCCATTGAACTACGTTTGGATTACTTTTTATTTCATTTAGATATTCAATTGCTTGTCTCTTAGTGATAGCATCTGAAGTAGGATTGTTCGCCACTTGGATAGCTTCTTTGATCCTTGCTAACATGTTAACTGACACCTAACAAAAAAAATGTTATGTACCCACTCAACTAGTTACTATATTTAATTAAAACTATAGATATATATATGTATGTACGAATGTATTTATATGTACGTGTATGTATTATATGTTCTGTGTATACGTTTTTCTCCTTCAAATACTCTTTCAATACAAATATTCAAATATCACATTTAGTGGGTATTTCTAAATATTGCAAAAAAAAAAAAATTTTTTTTCACTTTTTGATGATGGAAGAAAAAATTTTTTTCTGTTTATTATTTTTTTTTTTGTTAAACGTGAAGAATTCATCTTTCAATTTGGTAGCGGAAGAAGACAGAAGGATCTTTCGAATCGCAAACTTCAAGTGACAGATCTGTTTCACATTGAAATTGTTGGTTGATCAATAGTATATTGGAGGGTTGAATTTGTTTAACTATGTGTTATTTACGTAACTCTATATATGATACACTCACACTCACACATATACACATATATATATAAATATATATATATTGTATCTATGTGAACTATATAACGGCAATGATAGTGGCTGGTTTTCTCTTTTTGTTTTCTCTTTTTTACTCAGCGGTGGCCAGATATTCTCTGAATTGTTCAAATGCTCTGGATCTGTGGGAGATTTTGTTCTTCTCCTCTTTGGACATCTCTGCATATGTCAAATTATTAGTCTCAATAGGTTCAAAGATTGAATCCCATCCAAAATTTAATGAGCCACGGCTTGGTACGATATTCCCCTGTGTGATACCTTGGAACACATGGATCTCACCGTTCTTGTCTGCGTATGCAATAGTGGTGATTGCTTTTGCACCCTTGTTTGGAAAGGAATCCAACATTTGTACAATTTTGTCCAGCCCCATACTTTTCACAAACCATTTAATGTATGCACCTGGTAATCCATTGAATTCGTCAAACGCCAACGCAGTGTCTTCCACAAAGACTTCTTGGCCTGGTTCAAGGAACTTCATTGCTTGCTTACATTTGTCTCTGGCAATCTTGACCAAATCAGTGTCTTGTAACTCATCTAAATCTAATGCTTTATTGATCACATTAATCGATGAGGTGGAGTCAGATGATAATAACATCTTGACTTCTTTTAACTTGTTAGCATTCCCCGTGACAAATATGATATCTCTCATTTTCGTACTGTGTTCTATCTCCTTTTGTTTCTGTTTTTGTTTCTGTTTGTTTTAGTTGCCTTGTAATGCTTCTTTCTCTGTCTTCCTCACCATAACTCGTTTACGTATTTAAGTTGATGATTCAATGTCTTAAGATGCAAAAGATGATGATGATGATGAGGTGGGATGAGGGGAAGGAAAAAATAAATAAACAAATAAACAAAAAAAATTTTATTTTTTGGTTCTTTCTCTCTAATTCGCTATATTTGAATAATATGACATCCATATTTGTTTGCTATAAGATGAGATTTAAACTAATAATAAATACATGTTTAATAGTATGTGAATACACATTTGTTATGAATTAAAAAAAGATCAGCGATATATATAAATAAATAAACAAATAAAAACAAAAACAGTAGGAATGACGTATACTGTCGTCAAAACAAAAAAAGCATATAAAATATATAAATAGTTTATAATGAATGCACAATTCTTGATAAATTATTGGTACAATACAACTAAAAATAAACATAAAATAAAACGAACTCTCAAATTTTATTTTTATTTTTAATAAATTTAGTTGGCTTCTGGAGCGTATTCCAAGTCATTAGAGTTTTCATACTCGTACATATCTAATGCAACGATAGCAGATTCTCTAACAACGTCAACTGGATCATTCAAGTAATGTTTTAAGACTGGGACGACATCTGGGGTAGCAATGGCACCAAGAGCTTCAGCAGCTTCATGTCTAACCATTGGAGCTTCTTCCATTCTACCTAAGACTTCGACTAATCTTGGAACAGCAGCTGGGTTACCCATTTGACCGAAAACATAGGCGATTTCGTGTTTGAAAAGAGCACTTGGGTCATTGAAACCAGAAGCTAAAGCAGATACAGCTTCGCTGGTACCGATGTCTCTTAATCTGAACATAGCTCTGTAACGGTCAAATAATGGCTTGTTTTGATCGTTTAATAAGTTTTTCAATTGTTCAACGGTGAAATCTTTTTCCAAAGATAGAGGTGGAGCTGGGTCAGTAGAAGAGTATAGAGATTGTTGCAACTTTTCAGTTTCAGCAGCTGGAGAATGTTCCCATTGGATTCTAGCAAGAGCCAACTCAGCAGTTTGAATGACTGCTGGATGTGGGTCATTTTGTAAACATTTTTGTAAATCTTCGACGGAATCCTTGTCACCAAGGGCACCAAGGGCTTCAGCAGCTTCGTGTCTGACCATTGGTTGTTGATTGGCGTCTAACATAACTTTTCTCAAGAAAGGAGCAGCATATAAGTTCTTGGTTTGACCTAAAACATAAGCAACTTCATGCTTTAATAATTCGGAGTCGTCACCAAAAGTTTCATGCATGTATTCAACAGCTTTGTTGGCACGTTCCTTGTCTTCCTTGAAGTTTTCAGCAGTAGTCTTCAAGTTAAATAAAGCTCTAAATCTGTTGGATAACTTGGAATCCTTAGAGACTAAGATGTCTCTTAATTGTTCCAAGTTGTTGTCATCAATAATCTTCGTGTAGTGTTTTTCAAAGTTAGTAGACATTATTTAGATATTAGCTGTTGGTTGTAATCGAGTATCTCGGCAACCAAGCTAGGAAGAAAAGAAACAAGAGGAAAAAAAAAAAGAGGAAATGAAGAAGGAACACTGCGAAGCAAGAGAAGTTCTCCAACAACCTTGAACAAAAAGGGAAACAAATAAAGAAGTCGGAGGATGTCTGAATGTGCTCCTCATCTCATCGCAGTCTGACTCTCTCTCTCTTTATATATGTAATAAATTCAAGGTTCTTTTTTTTTTGGTTTATTTGAATTTTTGTTTTTTGTTTTTTTTTTTCTAAAATGAAATTTTCATTGAAGTCTCGAGAAATTTTTTTTTGTTTTTATTTTTCGAAAACAAACGAAGACAAAAAAAGAAAACAAAGAAAAAAAAAAACAAAAAACGATAGTTCTATTGTGTTATTTTGTCCATAATACTACTATTTTTGAACATTATTTCCTAGTACGGACGGTAATGCATTCATCAGTCCTAATTTGGAAAGCAGTTCTGTTTTTAGCAAACAGTTCTCCTTTTGTCCCTCTCTCTCTCTCTCTCTTGTCTTTTTTTCTTGAATTGATGTCTTAAGGGTCTCTTTGATGAACTTCTTTAACAATTCTGAAAATTCGGTAAGTATTTAATGTAGTTGATATGAAATAATACATATTTATATGTACTATATATTGGTGATTTTTATTGTCTTTTTTTTGTTTTTATTTCTGTAGGGGGAAAGAAAAATACTTAATGGTAACGCTTTACTGTCTGATATATTTTGCAATGTCTTCTGCTACGCTAGAACTTGCAGGCTTGGCTTGTGATTCAAATGCAGCTTGGTATCTTTTTTGTAAATCTGGATAACTCTTATCTGTAATTTCACCTTCTAGCCTATCATTTTCGGGGAAAGTATACTCTCTTTGGGATTTAAATTCATTATCTGTGGTTTCTTCGATGTCAGGTTCTACAAAACCATCATTTTCGTCCTCTTCAATATCACTGATCACTTCTACTTCAGAATTATTGTTATTCTCTTGTTTCTTACTATCACCAGAACTCTTATCATTTAATCCAAGATCTTTCATTAATCCGGATAGAGACTTCTCCTTGCGTTTCTTTTCTTTTGCTTCCTTTTCACGTAAGATTCTTTCTCTTTCTTGTTTGTAATAAGTCTCATACTCTATCACTTTATCATCAACTGCTTTTAAAAATGAGTCAAAGCCATCACCTGTGTATGAGGATACGCCAACTACGTCCAACTGACTATAAAATTCTTCCAGCATTAATGACATAGAATTGATCAATGAATTCATGTATCCAGATCCATTAGCACTCTCATTTGATTCTTGATCATTCATTATTGCTGTTTGAAATGCTTCAAAATCTGTCATCCATTCACGTGCAAAATCTTCCTTTTTGACGTCTGTTTTATTGAAAACAATAATCATTGGTAATTTTGTCTTATACAAAATGGAACAAGCATATAACATATTACTCATGAAAGTCGTCGGATTTGTGTTTCTTGGAGTATCAATAATATATGCAATGACGGTTGGGAAGGTTGATGCAAAGGATTCAGTGATGATCGCACCTGATGCAGACCAAACAAAGCATTCAATTTGACCCGGTGTATCAATAATGACATGTTCATATTTATCATTTTTGGTCTCCACTAATTTAATCACTTGATCGATCTTAGTACTAAAAAGGTTTAAACTTGTTACAATAGCTCCATTGGGACCTAAACCGTAAGTTTCCATAACTTTGTTGTATTTGATAGAATCACGGATATCAATGTTACATCCATATGGAACTATTAATACGGCTGGATCTAGATTGATTACATATGGAACTTCTTTCTTTGAAGAACGAAAATAACTGTTTAATCTTTGCATGAAAGTGGTTTTCCCAGAACCAGCCATACCAATACATATAATAGTACTTAAAGTCATTTTGTAAAATTGGAAATTGTCTGTTTTGTATTTCTATATGTATATATATATATATGTGTGTGTGTGTGTGTGTGTGTGTGTGTGTGTGTGTGTGTGAATCCTTGTAAACTATTTTATTCAATCTTTCAAACTCAGAAAATGAAAGAATATGTTTAAGTTGGGATATGCGTATTTGTGATCCTTAAAACAGGACATATATTGCTACCTAAGCAGTTGATTTACTCCTCTTCCATGTCTCTTTGGATGTATCTTGCATTTACGTAATGAAAAATTATTTACAAGATGATAAAAAAAGCCATCGAAATTCTCTGGAGGAAAAAAAAAAAATTAAAGATAGAATCATTTTTGGAAAAATTGATGAGGTGAAAGTGAGCGCTTTTATATAGACAATAAATAGTTTTTGACTAGATATATAAATGTGTAGGTATGTACGGTAGATATGCATTGATAGGGATTTAGTTGGAATAATTGTAAGGAGGAATGAGTCTTGATACCAGATAATATGTTCACAAAAAAAAAAGAGAAAAAGAAAAAGAAAAAGGAAAAGGAAAAGGAAAAGGAAAAGGAAAAAACCATTCCAGTTATTCATACATTTTCAATACTCTTGATTCAATGTTTACAAAACATGATTCATGTCTTGTGGCAATTGTTAAATCATTAGCTAAATTCTTCATCAAAGTTTCTGGAGCAGGTTGACCAGGACCACCAAGAATTTGATTAGTATTGTTGCCTGTAGTGTTATCATTTATCACTTGTTGTTCATCTGAACCTTGTATTAGATTGTACAATGGATTCATACCAAGCACTGAGATGAAGTACCACGAGATTGCACTGACCCAACGTACATCCAAATTTTCAGTCATTACCCCATTTTGTAACATATCTTTGAACTTGATGGTTAGAGGGAATGGAAGTTTCATAATAACAAAACCACCAAAAAAATAGTTCACCCACCACATAATGACGGTTTGCGGAATAAAATTTGCCATGTTTCCCTTTGCCATAGTCATTAAAGAATCGTTAATATTTGGATCGCTGAATGGGTTAGTCACTCCAGATTCCCCAGTATTATTACTGCCATTATTACTGTTATTCTTATTTTGTTTAGCTAGATATGTGCCACTACTTAGAATGTTGATCATTTCATGACGTCTAGATTCAAATGAATCATCATCAAGGTTGGTTCCATTACCTAATAACATTTGGCCTCTCATAAACCATTGTGATTCTGTTAGTTTGACACGTGGATAACCACGATATTTGGGACTTATCAAGAGCAATAGATTCTGTTTTAATAGACCAGTTAATACCATCATTACTGAAATTGGCAATAGTACCCATTTTTTAAAATTGGGATCTAACATTAACTCAGGAATCGAATAGTCATCTTCGCTTAATAATATTTCTAACAATTTCATGATTTTGCTGTTGGTATTTATAAGTCTAATGAGAAACACAAGAAAAAGCCTAAGGAAAGAGGAAAAAAAAAGAAGAAAAGACACTGTTAATTATAGGAACCAACCAGTATGGGATAAATATTTATTTCAAGGTGACAATACTTTGCTCGAATATAACTAATAATATTTTCTTAAGTGGTGTCTACATACATGTCTGTATTATATTTTTTAATCTTCTTTGTGTGATGCCAAAGATTTCGTTTTGTTTGGGAGAAAAGCAAAAACTTTTTGTTGTGGCTTTACCCCTCGTATAGTCACCGTTATTGGTAGCGCCACCGTTCAGTTACCATACAATATCTACAAAGACACAAGGAGGAACATGTATTCATTTGCTGTTAGTGCTGGTTCAATCAGATGAATGGCAATAGAAGACTGGACTGCTTTTGTTTTGTTCACTGCTAATGAGATAATACTAACCATTTTTCATTGAGGAGAGAATCATAGACCAATGAAGGTTTATTGAAACCATAGTTTTTGATCAATAATTTCATTAATTTCTGTAGATCTGTCTCTTCTCTAGATAACGTCGCCAATTTTAGCAACCCTTTGTAATCCAAAACTTTATCTTCAATTTTGTCTGGACTATTATTTTGTGAAGAGATGGAAGCTGAATCTAAATTTTCATGAAGATTTATGCTATGAGCACCGGATATTTTTAAGCATAAATGAGAAAGATTTAAACTGTATACGTTCTTTTCATATAGATCTGAATCTTTTAATAACTGTGAGAGCTCAATTAACGATCGAATTAGAACATTTAATGTTCCATGATTATTATTGTTGTTCCCATTATTTGTACTTATTTCTTGAAATATGCATCTTATATCGTTATTTGTTTCCCAACTTATATTCAAATTATCGTATATGTTATTGTTATTATTATCATCAATGTCACGATGTGAACAAACCCAATCTGTATTCATGTCATTCTTCAAAGTCTTTGAAAAAATTTGAGTGTATATCTTTGATCGTATAATGGACAGGCTGTTATTTTTGTTAAGATTGTGTTTATTTATATTGTGACTAAATGACCACCAACATTGATCTTTATTTAAGAACTCTGTATCCTCACTCATATCCCACTTAAATAGATATATGATGTTATTCATGTGTAAATATTCACTATATTTCGTTGAAATATATTCAGGGGATATCTTATTTTCTAAAATCTTTATATTTTGCCACTTTAGTTTAGAACCGTACTTTTGAATAAATCTTGGTGTAACAAAAGACATAATGCGAATAGTTTTTTTGTTTTGTGTTATTCACCCCCTATATCTCGTTGAATATTCTTTCCAGTCTGTAAATTAGTTATTCGGAATTATCACTCTGTCTCCATATATATATGAGTGTGTCTGTGTCTGTGTGTTTGTGTAATTGTGTATTTGTAGAGGTATTGAGAGCCAGTTATATGATAGATTTTATTTGTAGTGTTTTCTGTTTTTTTTAATAAGAGATTAATGGGAGGGGGAGAAAAAAAATGGACTATCAAAGTAATGGAATATATGGAAGATGTTATGGAGGCTACAATGAGAAAGAGGCACAAACAACTACAAACACAAGGGACTTTACTGTAGATGGGTGGTCTAAACAGGTTTACTTATTCAGGATTATAAAAGCTATCATTCAAAGATATAATGTATTTTTATTTCTGATTCAAAAGAAGTTCAGAAGACCTTTCGGCTGGGATTTGAACTTATTGTACATAAAGATTTTCTTATTATGTAATGCAACTATATTTTTATGATGATGTAGTTGTGTTCGCATATTTCAACATTTATTGGGTGAATGTTCTTTTATTTTGTTCATATGTATATCAGTATACTAAAGTGTCTTAACAAGTATAGTGTGTTCCATATATTAGTTTGTTTGTTTGTTTTTGTGGTTTTTAGTTCGCACTTTTTCCAGGACTAATGCAATATTATCAGTTGGATCAAAATTTGAATCTGTTGCTGCTATAGAAGTCTTTCCTTATTATTATTGTGTTTTAGATGATTGTTATAGCGATGAGGTTTGAATTTTTATGAAACATATGTAAATTTCCTTATTAGGATATTTACACGGCTGGCAACAGGGTACAAAAAGTGCTTTTTTTTTCTTTCTATTACCATCATCTGCTTTTACCTTGTGACATTTTAATACTAATTATTAGTTTAGTTCATTACACTTTTGTTGAGGAATATTATAGTCATTGGTTTTGATTTAAAACAATTTCAGATTTTCCTTTGTCTGCTTTATCGACAGATAATTATTGGGTTAAAATTTGACAATTTGGTAAATTATTTATTTAATGTTTAATATTAAATAGCTCTTTATTCCTTTTTATATATTTTCTAATAAAACTATGTGAATGGAATTCTAATGGAAAAAAAAAGGTCATAATAATTTATTGAATTTGGCATAATTTTTTTACTTTGTTATATTAGTGATGTGTGGTTTAATTTATTTTGCTAATTTATTTACTGGTCAGTTCTATTTGTTATACTTTCATCTGAATATCATTAAAACATTATTTTATTCAATGAACTTTTATATTACTACCATTAAAATTATATTTTGATAGATAGGGGAGAGCTATAGAAAATAAAAAATATAAAGAAAAAGTTATTAAACATTATGATCCCGAAAGAGCATATTTTTATGAATGTGTCTTTAAAAAATGATAAATTTATTGTTTGTCTGGTAATCGTATCTACAGTATGTTCAGGTATTATTCCTGCTGTCACATCAATTTTAACAGGTAAAGTATTTAACTTATTGGAGCATTCTTCATTAGATTATTCAGTGCCAAATGATTTAATTATTAAATCAATGTCTATTATGATATTGGGTGCAGTCAGTTTCCCTATTATATGGATTTTGATTTCTTCATGGATGCTTATCGCTGAAAGACAATGTATCAGATTGAGATATCAATTATTATACACGTATATAAGCAAATCCTTCCAATGGTATGACTCAAATAGTGTTAACCTCCTAGGTGAATTTACTCAATTGAACAGATGTATCGAAGAAATACGGCAAGGTAGTTCAGAATCAGCTGCTATATTATTTCAAAGTTTGATCACAGTATGTACTCTTATTGGTACATCTTTCTATTATTCATGGTCTATGACATTAGTTATTCTTTGTTCTTCACCATTAATAATTATAATTACATTAATTTTATCCAAATTAATCAATAAATCTATTGATTTAGAGAATCAGGAGACATCAAAAGCAGCAGAACTATTAGTTTGGTCCATGAACTCTGTATCGTTAGTAAAATTCAGCAATACTCAAGATATAGAGATCAGAAAATTTAATAAACTTGTAAAAAAATGCAATAGCATCTTTATTAGAATCTGTCTTTTGAATTCTTTGAATTACAGTTTGATTCGGATGTTGTCACTTCTTATGTTCATTCAAGGATTTTGGTATGGTTGTACAATGATTAAGCGTGGTAAATTGCAGATTGATAACGTTATCACCTGTTTCCATTCGTGTCTTATGTTAGCTTCTACATTTAATGAATTATTTCATCAACTTATCATCCTACAAAAGGGCCATGTTGCCAATATTAAAATTAACAAATTTTTAAATAGTTTTGATCCTGGTCTAATATTTTCAATTAATATAAAAAATGATATGCAAAAATCATTGATAATACCACCTAAACCGTTGATTTGTGATAATTCCTTAGGTATCACTTTTCATAATGTTTCTTTTAAATATCCAACTAGACCACATGTATCAGTTTTATCAAATGTCAACATTAATTTTAGAATGAATGAATTAACTTTTATTATTGGGAAATCAGGATCAGGGAAATCTACTTTACCCAAATTATTATTAAAATTTTTCAGTGGATTTGAGGGTGAAATAAAGATTAACGGTGTGCCAATAGACCAAATTGACCAGGAATGGATCATTGATAATGTCACGGTTGTAGAACAACGTTGCAGACTTTTTAATGATACTCTGAAAAACAACATATTATTAGCCTATCCAGGTCTCGATGAACAGAACGATCCTTCTACTTCAGGTGCAATCCAAGATAGATTAATGGAAGCATGTTCTTTTGCTGAGTTAGATAATGTGATATCTCAGCTTCCAAATGGATTGAATACAAAGATTGGAGTTGATGGGGTAAATTCGAGTGGTGGTCAATCTCAAAAAGTTGCATTATCGAGAATATATATAAGAGATACACCAGTTCTGATACTCGATGAATCAGTATCAGCAATTGACATTATTAGTCGCCAAATATTGATGGATAATATAAGGGAATGGAGAAAAGGTAAAACGACAATCATTTTGACACATGAATTGGATCAAATTAAAGCAAATGATTTCTTATATGTTATGGAGAATGGAAAAGTTGTGGATAGTGGATATAAAAGTACATTATTAAATACTGAAGGTAGCAAGTTTAAAAAATTTTATGAAATACAGAAAATGGATAGATCTGAAGAAGGTTCGACCGGTTCTATTATAGATTCATATGATTGTGGTAGTGAGGCATATAAAAATGAGAAAAGAACATGTTTGAATCAGACCGCAATAATTTATGATAATTGGGAGAATCCTACTAAAATTTTAGAGGGGGAAACTCAAAAAAATCTAATTAATGATGTGGTTTACGAAGAGGATGTTTCATGTGATTCAATAGATTATTCAATAAATGATGTTCAATACAAAAAAGATGGTTCTAAAAATGATTTAGATAGGGAGATGTCATTTATAGATATAATTAAACATATGTTAAGAGATTCTGATAAAAAATTATTATTGATTTTTGGAATTTTATGTTCTTTGTTGGCTGGTGTCTCTAATCCAATATTTTCTTTTGGATTTAGCTATCTTTTAAACGGAATAGTGTTAAGTGAAACCCATGAATCCACCTCACATTATCTTTTAAAGTGGTCACTTATACTAATTGCCATTTCAATAGCAGATTCCATTTTTAATTTTTTAAGGTCCTTTATACTTGCATATTGTAGTGAAATTTGGATTTTAAACTTAAGAGAATTGACTATGAGAGTTATTCAGTACAATAAGTTTGAATGGTTTAAAAAGGATCAAAATAGGTCATCTGAGTTATCTGCAGTTTTGTTGAATGATCTGAGAGATTTACGAAATTTAATCAGTGAATTTTTAAGCACATTTATTATTTTTGTGGTAGTCTCTTTTTGTGGATTAATCTGGGCTATAGTTGTTGGTTGGAAATTAAGTTTGGTTTGTATATCAATGTTCCCTATACTTGTGTTATTTTCTGTTTTATATGGATTTATTTTACAAAAAGTTGAAACATCATATAAGACAGAGATTACTCGACTGGAAAATTGCTTCTTTGAGATAATAGTAGGAATTAAGACTATTAAATATTTACATGTTCAAGACCATTTTATCAAAAAATATGCTAAGTTGATCCAGAATATCAAAAAAGTAGCCATGAAGCGAGCTTTGGTCACTGGTATAGGTATTTCATTCAGTCATACATTAACGTTATGTATCCAAGCAGTTTTATATTATTATGGTTTAAAACTAGTGTTTGTTGGGGAATATACCTCTAAAAGAATGTTTGAAACTTTAACTTTAGTATTATTCACAATTGTAACATGTTCTAACCTGACTAATCAAATTCCAGAAGTAGCTAGAGGCAAGAGGACAGCCGTATGGACCTATAGAATTATTGATGAGCGTGCTAGTACTACAGAACAGATGGATTTTCAAGGAAGATATGCTCCAATATTTGTACAAAAAAAAAATCAACAATTAATAAAAATTCATAATTTAACTTTTGCTTATCCAAACATCAAGAGTAAAAAGGTTTATTCAAATCTTAATATGGAATTATACTCTGATCAAACAGTGGCGTTAGTAGGGGCATCAGGTTCTGGAAAATCGACTTTAATTTCTTTAGTTACAAGATTATATTCACCAGATTGTGACTGTATATTTGTAGATGGCACAGATGTCCACAAATGGGATTTGAGAACATTGAGACAACAAATTGGAATTGTGGAACAAACACCAATGTTATTCAATGGCACTATTAAAGATAATTTGTTATATGGTATAGAGCAACAGATCACAGAGAAAGATATCATGAAGGTATTAAAAACAGTAAATATTTATGATTTTATTTTATCTTTACCTTATGGGTTGGATACTTATATTAATACTGATTTGTTGTCTGGAGGACAATTACAAAGATTATGTATAGCAAGAGTATTATTGACTAAAAAACGAATTTTAATTTTTGATGAATGCACATCTGCACTTGATGCAGAAAGTGCAAAAGTCATACATGATATTGTTGCAATAGGGATACCCCAAACTCTGATAATTTCAATCACACATGATTTACAAATGATGCAAGTTTGTAAGAAGATTCTTGTTCTAAAAGATGGTGTGATAGTTCAAGAAGGAAGTTATGAAGATCTTATTTGTGTTGAAGGTGAATTTAAAAGGATCGTAACTTGGTGAAATCTGTAAATAAAATTATATATATAATTCTATATAGTTATTTTTTTTATGTTTGTTCCTTTTTATGCTATGAATTAACATCAGCATTGAAAAATTATACAAAATATTAAAAAGCACATACTAAATGTTAATACAAGGCTTCTATATTAAACGCTTTATTAAAACTTCTAAAATAAAGTATTTTAAGGTGAAATAAATAGAAAAATAAAACTTTAGCAGATAAAATATTGGAGAATACTGAATTTTTATTATTTATATATCACTAGGCATTTATGAAATTATTAGGTTAATTTTTTGGGATTTGTAAAAAAAAATATTCAATATCTGCTTATGTAAGGCTAAAGATTTCTGTATATCATATTTCTATTTAATTTACATCATTTTCTATATTATTATTTGTATATTGTATATAAAGTAGAAAAATGAAAGTCCACTAGTTTAATTTTATACATTAATGATTACAAAATAGTTATAGGAAACAATTGAAAATGTATCCAACTTACAAAATACTAGTTCTTGACAACAATCCATTATACAATTAATTACATAACATGACGCAAACTTACAATGAGATATTGGTAATGTTATAAACCCTCAACTTATTTATAGTAAGAACTTAGTGGTACTTTAAATTTCTCTTATTTACCTTGTTTTTCATTGTGTTCATAATTTGTATTCAAGGTACAATATATAATGTAAATAATTCTATATTCAAATTTTCTTTAGTATATCATTTTAAAACTTTTTATCCATTTAATATGGTAGATTAAATTTATCAAGCATATCTTTAATGATATTTCAACCCCAAGTAACAAAAACTAAAGAAAAGAAAACAAACATACTACTAAAAAAAAAGAGTAACATTAATACCTTAATATAATAATGATATTATTGTATTTGAAATAAGAATGTTTTTGATATGTATATAAAAACGTTAAATTAATTTTCTTGTTAGATGAGAGTGACTATAAATGGATTGTGATAAATGGAACTTCAACATCTTCGCCTTGCTTATCATCGGCACAAATTTCCAAAATCATAGTCTTAACATGTGCTGGGATTTCATGTTTGGTAACTAACTTTACTACTTGAGAGATTGGAAGATCGTATCTATCCTTTAATTTCTTTGGTGGAAAGAATGATGCATATAACAATGAAACACCATATGATAACATAGTGATTTCTAAACCTTCTTCCTTTTCAAAGTGTTCTAACAATGCTTTTAGTGTAATATCACCATAAATATTAAATCTATCCCATATCTTATCATATGTCTTATCATTATATTTACCTTTTGGAGAGGCAATTGGCTCGGAAAAGCCAAAAAATGGTAGAGCCAAATTAACGAACCCATTTTTGTATTGTTCAATATCTGTCTTTTGATCTACAACCTTATATAATTCTAAATTAACCAACCCAGTTACTAAAGAAGTAGTAGTAGCAATAGCTGGAATAATCCTACCGGCAATAAATTTAGTTTTTTGACGGTCTGCTAGTTCAATAGAATAATTTTCAGCTCTACAGTTTGAGCATGCAGTGATGAATTGAATATGATGGTTAGTATCATCATCCTTTTCAAATTCAACTGCATTCATATGGAATCCTCTTAATACAAATGGATCTGGTAAAGAGGCAACCAAGGCATCTAATTCATCACCTATTGGATTATTGGCATTTGGAACAGGATCTTCATCATTCACTTGAATCTTTAAGTTAGTGATTGGGACAAATTCGGGAATAGGCATATTGTCAATAATTTTCTTAAAATGGTCAACTGGTAAAGCTTCATCAACTGGAATATCATAATTAAAAGCACGAAGACAAGCACCCCCAATGATAAAATCCAAATGATTTGGATTATTAATATCAAAGATTAATGGAGATGGGGCACGTTTAGCACCAGACCAAAATGGTTCACCATTAGAAGTCTTTGCATCAAGTGGAAAGTTGTACAATAGTTGCTTAATATCATGATTAAATTTCTTTTCAAATTCTAAACGAGCCCATCTTACACAATCGTCGAAAGTTTCAGGTCTGTTATTTAGAGAATCATTAATAGATTCTAAAATACCTTTAACATCGCCTGTTTGCTTCATTGTTTGTTCAATAAAGTTGTCTTGTGTTAAGTACATATTTACATTTTCAGCAGCATCAGAGAAGTAACCCTGGAATAGTGATTTAGCCCAAGCAATAGTGTGATCAATCTTACTTGGGAAAGAACGTAAAGTACACAAAGGAATGGACTTTTCTGGTGGATCTCTAGAAGAAGAATATGATTCAGTTAATTTTGGAATAACAACTTGTGTGTTACCCTTAGTACCTAAGGTTCCTGATTCTAACAAAGGTTTACCATAGAAAACACAACGACGATCCACATAGGTACGAGCATCTACATTATCTAAAGCGTTAGTGACAAAGTCTAATGATTGCCAAAATGCATCATCAAAGATATCTTCGGTTTCAGTACCTACTTTATCAATCTTAGGTGTGATTTTTCCTGCTAAATCTTGATTCATTGCAATCACAGATTCTGCAGCCACTTCAGATTTATTTCTTCCAACATCTTTAGATCTAAATAAGAACTGTCTGTTCAAATTAGATTTCTCAATAGAATCATTATCAGTAACGATAATCCCTCCTCTCTCACCTGAACCAAGACCCATTAAAGCCCAATTCTTTAACATTTCACAACCAATAGCACCAGAGCCAACAAGGAAAACTTTAGAATTGGCCATCTTTCTTTGGAAATCAGCACCGAAGACAGCGATTTGGTTATCATAACGAGACCCAATTGGTGCTGTAGTGATTTCATTTCTTGGGAACTCCTTTGAATCAGGTAATGATTCCAAAGAGTCGAAATACATGTATTGTTTCAATGGTGTAAATTTACCAGAACATGCTTTCAACACTTCTTGGGCAACAAGACCACCAAAGAAGGCGACAACACCTGGAATATCACCTCTAGCCTGATATGATAATTCTTTAATTAACTTTTTATCAACTGGAGCGTCGCCAAGGACATTTGGTTGTTGTACAGCTAGGTCAGAGACTAATTTAATTAGTTCATTAGCATCTTCTTCATTCATTGGTCTTGGCAATTGACCATTATGTTTTATGACAAAATAATGCAAAGCTTGGAAACCTAAATGTAGTTGACCACTTCTATCAAACTTAGCAAAGTCCGAGAAGATAAATTCTGGGTTTGATATAGAATCTTGCAAAGATTTAAAAGACATCTTAATAGGTACTTTAACTTCAGTGAAAATACCACCTTTCTTATAAGTACCGTATTTTTCAACATTACCTATCCTGAATGCGAATGGCCCCAATACTTCTATTTTAAATAGTGTGCCATCATTCAATTTTTCCAAACCTTCGACTTCAGTGAATCTAACATATTTCCCATCTTCTAGACCATGTCTTGTATCGTCTAACATGGTAACAGTTCCGTCTGGTTCAATATCTGAGACAATACCGGAACGTGGTTCTTCACCTGTGGAATCTATCACAGTAAATTTATCACCGAAGTCTACAAACACATTACCGAATAAACCTCTAGTCTCAGTAGAGATAAACTTAATACCACGCTTATGGCAATAATTGTTCAATTTAATTTTATCTTCTAGAGACATAGTCTCAGTGGCCACAATAACTTGGAAGGGTTCCAATTGTCTTTCTTCTAAAATTGGTTCGAGTACTGAGATTGGCACGTATGCGTTTAATTCAGCCAGTTTAATCTTGGAGACTTCATCTCTTGGCTTACCTATATCGGCTTCAGTGAAGAAAAATTGCGTTGATAAATCTTCTAATTCAATGGGTTTATTGTCTTGTAAAGTCAATGATTTAACACCTGCCAATGCCACATTCTTAGCAATTTCAATACCCAAACCCTTTAACCCGATGATTAAGACATTAGAATTTTGCATTTTCAACATAGCTTCTTTACCAAGGACATAAAGTTGACGAGAGTAAAGACTTTCGTCAATTTGATCGTCCTTAACGTTGTTTGTCATGACAGATGAACTCATGCTAATTGTTTTTCCCTTGTATTATATTATTTTGTAATATTATAAGAATAAATTTGTTTATTTCCCCACTTACTATTCTTTCTGTTCTAAATTTCTCCTACAAAACAGTAAAAAGGAAATAAAATTCTTTTTTTCTTTTTTCAAAAGATACAAACCTACAGATGGATAAACAACCTACCACTAATAAATAATTTGGATTGTATATGTATGTGTGCAATTAATAAACATAATTGTATAGTGGAAGTAAGTAAAAAACTACACATTATATCCCTTAGTAAACGTAACCTGTTTTTTTAAACATTCTTTCAGTTTCAATGAATAAATATTATTAGTAAGAAAAATATAAAAGAATTTTCAATAAACAAAAACAGAAGAAAATAAAACCCTAAACATTCGTACATAATGATATTAGGGCATTCACGACTTTGTCTCATTTTTCTCATTTTTTTTCACTTTCTCTTGCATTGATGGAAGACCTAAAACAAAATTGCTAAGGTTCAAGAGAAATAATATAATAATAATGCATCAAGAATAAATGATAAGAAGAGTTGATGACGCAAAAAAAAAACAATAAAAAAAATAGAGAACAACAGCTTTCCTCCAAATCAGCAATAACGTCCAAGCTCTACTAAAACTGGACTAATTAAAGATAAATCAACACTCTCCTGAATCTTTTCTATTGATCAGGTTCAGTTGTCCCTATCTTAGAAACTCATCATATTTTGGAAGGAAATAATCTAGTCCAAATACAATTGAACAGTATCAAATCAGAAGCAAAAATAAAAAAGGAAAAAGAAGAAATACCACATAATGAATATAAATTAATATGGAATATGCAGAAAGCTATAGAGTGGTGTATCCACAAAAACCAACTTTCCAATACATAGCACGATCCCAAGCCGATATCTTGATCTTATAAAAAGATGATAGTTCTGTTCCAACACAGAAAGCGAAATTTGAAGGAAAAAAGAATATGTCTGCTGTTTAACGTCAAAACATTGGTGGGTGATCCTTTAAAACATCTCTCTCTCTCTTTTATATATATATATATATATATATATTTTTCTTTATGAATGTGGGTACAAAATCGCTGTTTGTATGGCAAAAACGAAAAATATAAAAAATAAAAAATAAAAAAGAAACGAAAGAAAAAAATAAAAAATAAAAAAGAAACGAAAGAAAAAAATAAAAACAAAAAGAACAATAGACCCTCCACATCATTGGTGTGGTGTATGGGCGTACTACAAGCTGTTCCTTTTGTTTTTGTGTTTGTTTTTGACATTTCCTATTTAAGTACAAAAAGTGTTTTGTTTTGAGTTCATCTTTGCTCACGTAATACAAATTACAAATCATATTTTTCTTTTGAACACACTTATCACTGGCCTATATGTCCAATATAATGTATCTCTCTTTTTATTATATATATATATATATATATATTGTTGTCTATACACATAAATACTTTTTTTCTGTATACCAGTCACCGTTCTATAGAAATGTGAATCATAACCACACATACGTATAAACACACACACAAAAAAAAAATAAAGCAGAAAATGAAAAGAGGGATCTAAAGATATGGTTATTAACAACTACACAATGAAAGAAAGCAGACATTTTCTTACTGTTTCTGTCCTACTCTACTCTTTCCTCCAATTATCTATTCTTCATTGTATAAACCTTCTTGTGCCTCTCTTTCTAAACGTGCCTCAATTTCTTTTAATTCCTGTTCACGAGCAAGTAACTCTTGTCTTTTTAGTAACAGCTCTTGTTGAACTCTTTCCTCAAATGCCTTAAGTCTTTCTTCCTCCAATCTGATTTGTTCTTCACGAGCCAAATAAGTATCGTTGTCATTCATAGGGGCATTGTATCCCGATTGATATGTGCTTGATTGATTGGATATTTGTTTTGTTTGCTGTCCATCAAAGTGTTGGTCTGTTGGCGTGCTTGTATTACTGTTATTGGTCATGGAATTGCTATTAACACCCAACCTAACTATTTGATTATTTCCTTTTAATCTTGAGTCCATGTTATTCGCTGACATGTTTTTACCTCCAGACAATGCCTCAGTTCTATAATTTTCATACAATATTTCGTGAGTGTATTCTTTTAGGTCATGTAAATGAGATATCAACAAAGTGTTTCTTAATATAACAAAATCCGAAAAATTTGTATCCTCTACATCAATCGTACCCCAGTTATATTTTCTACCACGTATCATAGTTTTCGTCTCACTATCTTCAAAAACATCATTAGAACCTATCATTGACAATGGAATCAAGGAACGCAAATACATGTTTGTTTCATAATCCTCTTGAGAGATTTCATCCTCGTCAAATGGGAAATCGTAAATTGGTAAATTAAATCTGTTAATATCTTCTTGGATCAATTTTTTATTAGTTCGCAATTCTTCCCTTGTCAAGGAATCGGCTTTACAGATAACTGGAATAATATTAACTAGTGTCCCCAATTGTCTAATGAATTCTACATCCATTTCCTTGAGTCCATGACCTGTTGGCTGAATCAAATATATACAAACATGGACTCTACCGTCTTTAAATCTTGGGTTTCTTCTCACACGACTCTCTTCAAGTAAAATTTCATCGTATTGATGGCGGATATAATCAGATATAATCTCAAAGGAGGATGTGTTATCTAACGATAAACCAAGCCCTGGTGTATCGATAATATTCAGCTGGATTTTCACACCTTCATCGTCTTCCAGTTCAACGGTTTCCTCTCTTAGTTGCAAATCAATCTCTGTGGAAGTGTCAGTTGGTAAAAGGATACTGCTGGACGTGTCGACCACTTGCTGTCCACATAATGTGTTGATAAAAGTAGACCTACCTGATCCAGACTCACCTACCACCATCACAGTGAAATTGATACCTCTTTTTAAATGTTTTCTCTTTCTTAAAGCAGATGAAGCTTCAATAATACCAGACATGTTTCTTTTATTTTCTTTTCTGTTCTGCTCTCTCCTCTACTTTTATTTTATTTTTTTTTTTCTTTTTTCAATATAATCTTTATTCTTTAATTCTTCAACACTAACTATTTAAACATATAGAGAGCCATGTCAAAAAAAAGAAACAAGTTTCTATTGAAGTGAATCCTCAACAAGAAGTTAAATCAAACTTCGAATTCACCATCTTAATATTTTTTCTGATCTTTTGCACTTTTTATTTTCCCGTTTATTTATTTATTTTTTTCTTTTCTTTTTTACTTTTCTTTTTTTCTTTTTACTTTTTTTAATTAGGCGGAAATCGGAAAAATGTTAATAAAAAAAAAAAAACTAAATCCGCCCATCCAACCACAGTATTTTAACGGAATAAAAGATTCCGTTAAAAATATTTGGAGGGATGAAGGGGGGTAGAGAAATTAATAACAACGTTTTGCAGACAGAGAAGAAAGAAGAAAAGAAGCATTAGTTATACTTCATTTCTTAGTAGCTTGAATATTAGCAAAATAAAAAAACAAAGACAAAGAAAAACTTTACGTTTGAGTTCACGAACGTCTCCTTTTTTCTTTCTTTTCTCTCTCTTTTTTTTTCTGTTTTCCCATCCTTCCCCATTGAAAAATTAAATCGTAGACAAAATATTAAAATCATAAATAAAGAAATAATCTCAATAAGTAATGCTTTTATTAAAAACAAAAACAAAAACAAACAAACTTTTATATAATTTCCTTTTTGTTTTTTTTTTTATTTAAGGATTAATCAAACTGTTAGGTGAGATTATACTAGTACATCTACATTATTATTATTATTATTATTATTATTATTATTAGAAGTCCATTTTCATCAACAAAATATTTCGTTCCAGTTAGCAGTTCAATATATTTACTTGCTGCTAAAGATGATGAGTGAATCATTAGATTATTAAATATTAATACAACTAATTTGGATCTCTTCATTTTCATTATTGAAAAGATTCAATTCTCTCTGTCACCAATGTTAAAGATTCTTTGACAGTAACAACCAATTACGAAAAGATGCGGAAATTACAGGAATTAGAAACCTCAAACTCAAAACACACAGCACGCGGGTTGGTTTCCGATTGGGCGGCATCTGCTACAATTCCGCCAAAATGATAAGAAAAAACAAAAAGAGAAAGATGTGAGAGAAAAATGGAAGAGCAGAGCATTTTTGTTTTGTTTTGTTTTGTTTGTTTTTCGATCTTTTTGACGTGAAATATACTAATGACTAATTTATGAGCATCTTTCTTATATTGCGCTCTCATATATTAGTATGCAAATCGAATTAGAACCCTTTCTGCTTCGTACCCTTCATTCATACACACACACACACACACACACATATATATATATATATATATAGATATATTAATCCTATTTGACTTCTTTTTCAAACTTCTCACGCAAGCAGACAAACATCTGAGTTATCATATTTATTCATTTATCTCATATTTATTATATTTTTTTGTTTTCTTTTTTTTTTTTTTTTTAAGTAAACAAGTAAACAAAAATGGTACAAAAACATGTTGTTATGATCGATAATTATGATTCCTTTACATGGAATATCTATGAATACCTATGTCAAGAAGGTGCAAAAGTTAGTGTCTATCGTAATGACAAAATCACAGTAGATGAAGTAGCCTCACTAAATCCAGATATCATTTTGATCTCCCCAGGCCCTGGTGCCCCAGCCACAGATTCAGGAATCTCTAAGGATTGTATCAGCTATTTCGCAGGTAAAATCCCAGTCTTTGGTGTTTGCATGGGTCAGCAGTGTATGTATGAGGTCTTTGGTGGTAAAGTAGGATTTGCTGGTGAAATTGTCCATGGTAAAACATCTCCTATAACTCATGACAATAAAGGATTTTTCAAAAATGTCCCACAGGGAATCCTGGTCACCAGATATCATTCCTTGGCTGGGACTAAAGATACTTTACCCGATGTATTGGAAGTCACCGCAAGAACCGAGAGTGGTGTGATTATGGGTGTTAGACACAAGAAATTTACCGTGGAAGGTGTACAGTTCCACCCAGAATCCATTTTGACCGAAGAAGGCCATCTAATGATTAGAAATATTTTAAACATTACTGGTGGTACATGGGAAGAAAACGCTGCTAATCTTAATAACACTATAACCAACGCAACCGTTAATGGTTCCTCAATCTTAGATCGTATTTATAATAAAAGAAAAGAAGACATTGAGATACAAATGGATACCCCAGGCTTTACATATAGAGACCTAGAAGCATCTTTCAAATTAGGGTTGGCTCCAACTGTTCAGAATTTTGCAGACAGGTTGATGAAGTCAAATAAAAGAGCTGTCGTCCTTTCTGAAATTAAACGTGCTTCGCCATCAAAGGGGGATATTAACCTTGAAGTTATCGCTTCAGAACAAGGTTTGAAATATGCACAGGCTGGTGCCTCAGCTATCTCTGTCTTGACCGAACCACATTGGTTTAAAGGCCATTTACAAGATTTAATAAATGTGAGAAAAGTGCTGGACCTCGAGTATAAAAACAGACCAGAAGATAGACCATGTGTACTAAGAAAAGAATTCATATTCTCCAAGTACCAAATCTTGGAAGCTCGATTGGCTGGTGCAGATACAGTATTATTAATCGTTAAGATGTTGACTCAGGATGAATTAAAAGACTTATATACTTTCGCCACCAAGGAGATGAACATGGAACCATTAGTCGAAGTTAACTCTAAAGAAGAATTAGATCGTGCTTTGAAGATTGGTGCTAAAGTGATTGGTGTCAACAACAGAGACTTACATTCCTTTAATGTTGACTTGAATACAACTAGCAAATTAATCGATTCAACCCCAAAGGACACAATATTGATTGCATTATCTGGTATCTTATCTCCTAAGGATGCCGACCTGTATAAAGAACAAGGTGTTCATGGATTCCTCGTTGGTGAAGCTTTAATGAGAACAAATGATGTGAAACAATTTATCCAAGATTTATGTAATTAAAGTAAATATTAGTTACAGTATATTTATTTTTATTTTTTTTATTCTATATAGACCCTGTTATTACTATTTTAATATTACTGTTAATTTTAATATAACACCTTCATATATTAATATTTCTGAATATTCTTATTTCTTAATATTAGTATTTGTTTTATCTATTTTGATTGGTACTATATACATAAGTTGGAAAATCAACCTAATTTTCTTCATCAAAATAGATGTACTATAAAAAATCATCTGGATATAACAAATAACAAAATAAACCAGTAATACACAGAACACCGTATAACAAACCATATATCAAAACATTAGATAATAAAATAAATAAACATAAACTTTACATACTAATCGTAAATACGATCCTGTAAAAACAGTCAAAAAAAAGATTAAAAAGATCAAGAAAAAAAAAAAATAGAAGTATCAAATGTTTGAAAATTTCAAAATCTAAAAAGACTAGTGATCATCATGGTGGGAGTAAATAATAATAACAATGAAATATTTGAATGGCAGGCTTATTCTCTCTTGGAAGAAGCCGACTTCATGTACTTGCTACTTGGAACAAACTTGAAATTGTTTGATTTATCACCCTTATTCTTATATGGGGTATTTGATTCCAAGAAACCAACCTCAACAAGTTTTGGCCAATTAACATATTGCATCCCGTTTTGGAAGATATTCTTTAATGATAAGATTACCGCCACTAAAGAACCTAAGAAAAATAATATATTCTTTCTGCTAGTGAAATAATTCTTTGGGAAAAATATTGTGGCCAACAATACTGTAAGAGCTGCATACAATATGGTTGGTAGCATTTGAGTTAAGAATGGTCGTTTATCAGTAAATGGAGACGTCATTGCAAGTTCGTATGGTTTAAAATTACCAAGGAACAAATCATAGGAATCCTGTCTTGGCCCATCTGTCAAATTATTCTGATAATATCTGGATGCTGAATTGATAAAATCATTAAATGCACCCATGTATGTACGCTTACCTGTTCTTGTGAAATCTGTTTTTAAAGCACCAGTACCTGAATATGAAACACTAACAGCATCTGCGTTATCAGCCCAAAGATTCTGGAACATTGATAATAATGCTTTGTCAGATTCCCAAAGGCAGCCCTCAGGAGTCACTTTAGAGACTTCAAATTCCCTTTGTAAAATCCAATGTGCCAAAACAGATTGAACAACGTTAGTTCTATCTAAACAATCCATACAATTGGTCCTGACTGTAGATAATTGATTATTAACAACCTTGATTGTTGTGGTTCCATCAGCATCTACAATTTTATGGAAGAAGTCATTGTTTGATAAACCCATTTCAGATAATTGGTTGAGCAATAATTTGACTCTATGCCATTGCATTTTACGACATTCATGATGGAAATCGAAGTATATGTAATGCAATTTCGGATTATTTAATCGATTAACAGCATTTTCATATGCTTGTTTAACAGGTAACTCGTGACCCTTTTGATTAACCAAATTGACCAAATAATTATCACCATACAATTCAACTTGTTGATCAAAATGTTTCTTTGTGGCTTCTAAAGAAGAATTATCACCTAAAACTAAATTTGGTTTATATTTTAAATTATTAATCTCTGCCCAGTAGACTGGAACAGAGCCTCTTGTTTGTAAAAATGAAAAGACATCACAAGTGGAATCTTTATTGTTTTGGACAATTAAGATTTGTTCATTTTCATTATAATTCCCAACATTACCCCCGTTGTCTACCCCACGACGGAAATATCTGGTACCTGCTCTGAATCTACTGCGTCTTGTAATCAAACCGATAGCAATTGGGGTGTTGTTGAAAATTGTGTCAAGAACTTTAGCATACCCATAGATAACAGGTTGGATGAATCTACCAATCGTTTTATCTGTCAGAGCAACAGATCTTAAATCTTCAGTGATATAATAATTCCAAAAGAATCTAGTATCTACATTGTTCCAATGATATGAAGTAATGTTTCCTAAATTTTCATTTCTTTGTAAAGAATTAGTTAAATCATAAGTATAGGAGAAATATAAAGTGGCATTATTCATTTGAGTCTCCAAAAGTTTCAAATATTCCACATCATCAGAATCGATTAGGCAGTTAGTAGACTTGATTGGGATGATAGAATGCTGGGCCACCTTATAGATGATATGGCCACCATTCAATCTCCCAGTCTCCTCCACAGTGTTGGCAATAATAGCATATTTGTTCAATTTGAGTTGAATAAAACCTAACAAAGCTGCAATCTTGGTGATATTTGCCTGGATCGGAAATTCCTCGGTTGGAATAGATTCAATTGACTGGCTTTGTGCGTTTACTAGGATTGCATTTTCCTTATCTGGTGAAGCACCTGATATGGCAGTCTTGAAATATAGTCCTTCTAAAGTCTGAACAAAGAGTAAAGGACAGGACATTTTGGTAGAACGGAATAAAACAAACTAGAACAGCAACAAAACAAATATATATATATATATATATGAAAGGAATAATAACAAAACGACCAACCTCGAAAAAAGAAAGACAGATATGTAATATAATACCTCCTTCCAGCTTTTTCTCTATCTATCAAGCCGTTTAGTGTAGTCTTAATTGAAAATGAACAAATAAGACAACTAGCTGAGAAGTACACCTGTTGAAAAGAAAGATAACACACACACTTGCAAATAACTATTATAAATACAGCACAGAACTTGCTGTCTAGACCTGTCAATAAAGATCTCTGTTGTTGTTACGCTAGCTAACTCTATTTCTCTCTGTACATTCCCCAATTCTTCGCTCGAGATTCTTTCTTTAGGAACGAGGGAGAAACAAAAAAAAAAAAGAAACGACAAATTGCAATAAACAATGACAGGAATCCTCGATCAAACACGAAGAAGAAGAAGACGAAGAAGAGGTCAAACAGGGGAAAGCGTATTTTGATATAGTGGTTGATTGCTTTGCACTACATAGAACGTTAAATTGGGTTCAATTGTCAGTTTGCTAACATACTATTCTTATTGACAAGTATTCTAAAGTTTGTAAAGGGTTTCTCATTTGGCCGTTACCCCTTTTGTTGTTCTACAATTAAGTAAATATTTTGCAGAGTAAGGAACATTTATTTGTGAAACTTTTCATACACATACAGATTAGAAGAAAAAATATGTTGCCCCAATATCAACTAAGTTCAATTTTGAGAGGACATACCCAGGATGTGAAAGATTTGGTAGCCATAGATAGTAATAAAATTGCAAGTGTCTCTAGGGATGGAGATGTCAAAGTTTGGAATAAGAACGAGTCTAATGATGGAAATGACCGTTGGGAAAGTACTACAATATATTCAAATCCACATTTTCTAAACAGTATCTGTTATGATAAGAATAACCAAGTTGTCTTTTATGGTGGTAAAGATTGTTTAATCAACGGACATTCTATTTTTGCCACTTTAGGTGAAACATCTGAGCCCTTATACACACTAGTGGGACATAACTCAAATGTTTGTTCTTTAAATTTACATGAGAATGAATTAATTAGTGGTAGTTGGGATACGACTGCAAAAGTTTGGTCCAATGGGATATGTAAGTATACTTTAGCTAACCATGAGGGTCCAGTCTGGGGTGCTAAAATCCTTCCTGGTAACAATAATCATTTCGTTACAGTAGCTGCTGACAAAATTGTACGTCTTTGGGAAAATGATTCAATCTTAAAAGAATTTAAGAATATTCACAATGATGTAATTAGAGATGTGGAAATTTTGAATAATGATGGCACACTATTTGCTACATGTTCTAATGATTCCACAATAAAAATTTTTGATTTCAGTGGGAATGTAAAACATGTATTAGATGGGCACGAGAGTTTTGTCTATAAAATTAAATTCAATAAACATACAAACCAGTTGTTTAGTTGTGGTGAGGATAGATCTTTAAGAATTTGGAATTTGGATGTTGAAAATGATTATAAACCATCCATCACTCAGGTTATAAGACTGCCCGCAATATCTCTATGGTGTTGTGATTTTTTACCAAATGGTGACATTGTGGTCGGTTCAAGTGATAATAATATCTATATCTTCACAAGGAATAAATTACATCTTGCATCAAAACAGGAGATTGAAACTTTTAAAAAAAGCATAGAGACTACTGCATTAAATTCAGCTACTATGGGGTTTGATGAATCCAAGATTTCACCTTATGAAATATTGCAGACAAAGGGTCATAAAGAGGGTCACTTGGTTATCGTCAAAGCTCCCACTGGTATCTTAGAAGCACATCAATATTCAAATGAATCTTGGACTAAAGTTGGGGATGTAGTAGGATCCTCTAGTGCAGGTAGTGATAAGAAAAAAGAATACGAGGGTGAAATGTACGATTACATCTTTGATGTCGATATTGAAGAGGGAAAGCCACCCCTAAAATTAGCCTTGAATGTGACTGATAATCCATATGATGTAGCTGATAAGTTTATCATAAAACACGAGTTACCATCAGACTATAGAGAACAAATAGTTCAATTTATTATTAAAAATGCCACAGGGATTTCACTAGACAATGTACAATTTACGTCTAATCAGCACACTGTTTCATCTCAACTAGCCTCTATGGGCAAACAAATGAAGGTTTTGCCTGTAAAGACTTACTTGACAATGAAGTCTTATAAGGCGGAAACTATCTTTAATGGTATTGTGAAACTAAATACAAAGGAACAAACTTTCAATGATGAAGATTTGGCGCTTATTGGAACATCACTAGAAAATTTAAACAGTAATTATGAGATCTTATACGACATTGCCAAAAAAATTTTTAATTTATGGACCAACAAATTACCATCATTTGATATTATCAGATTAATAGTAGATAAATTACCAGACTCGAGCAATATTCTTGATTATATCAAAGAAGGATTAGATAATGAAGATATTAATATCACAATGCTTACAGTACGCATCTTAACAAACTGCTTCAATAACAAAGCGTGGGGTACTAAATTAATGCCAAGTCCTGATGTTTATAATTCTGTTTTTGAAACAATTGGCACGGTATATCCAGATGCGACCCTACGTCAATCACAAACATTAGCTATCTCTGTTGCTACTCTTTTACTAAATTATTCAAGTCTAATAGTCCAAGATAATTCAAATCGAAAGAGTTTAGACATTGTACCAGTGTTAGCAGATGTCATCAACAACAAATATGGAGTTCTGGAAGAATATCAAACGTCGGAAGAAGCGGCCTATAGATTGACTGTGGCATATGGGAATTTATCTACTGTAGAACCTACATTAAAACAATTTGCTAAATCTGTCGTATGGTTAAATCAAATAAGAAGAAAGTACAGTAATATCCCCAGATTCCACGACATTTTCAAAGATTTAGAAATTGCGTGAAGTGGTCAAGGTTTTATCCACATATCTTTTTTCCTTTTTTTTATCTATTTTTATCAATAGATAAATGTGTTTTATTTCTCACGGTCATCCTTGCTTACGGGCCTTGTTCGTGTTGAAAACTTCTTTATACTATCATACATCTGTATATATTCACATTTATATATATAATGTCAATACGTATGTATTCTTCTAATTCATACATTGTTTCCCATCTGTGCCATAATAATGTTCTCTTCATTGTGAGAGGCCTCTTCAAAAAATTAAATTCTAAAGAAATACACTCTATAGCAACAAAAAAAAAAAAAAGAGAGAGAAAGAGAGATGGAAGGAGAAAACACATTTAAAAACAACAAACCACTGATAAAATCGTTGGTGATAACCTATCTACTTCACTCCAGCGGTAATTAAAGTTGTGCAGAAGGTTATTACTACTTCTACAGTTTGAATATTTGTATATTTCTCCTGCGTTGTTAATACGTACAACATATCAATAGTGTCAGACAGTACCTGCAATAATTGGAACAACCACAACAATTACATTATTAATCCCTATATTAGTTAAAAATGGATCAATCTTTACAACAAGTATGACCTCAATTTTTTAAAGAATAAACAGATAAGACAACCAACCAACTTAACACAGTATTAGAGAAGTCCACATTACTAACAACGCATCAATGGTTGTGATACAATCTAGTATTTTGAGATGTCTCTCTCTCTCTCTCTCTCCCCTTATTTCCCAATCTATTATTTTGTTTATATAGGAAAGACCAACAGATGAACCAAAACATCATACTACCGTATGTAATCTTTCAAAAGCCTTCTCTATGGGTATATATTAACCTTGGGTTTTCCATATGATCTATTTATACTTAAAAAAAGAAAAAATTGCCATTATATGTAACCTAAGAGAATTTTAGTAAACCCATAGTTCCAATAACTTTTAGGTTCTTACTATCTAGTTTGAAGTTGTTCTAATTACTAACGTTTCCTTTCATGCTTTTTCTTTTTTATATGTTACAGAGATACCGTCGAAGAGATTTAAGAGCTGATATTTTAGGGTCCCGTCTTGACAAGCCATCTCTCCCAGCGCCAAAATACAAAATCAAGATGTCACATATCCCATTAAATGTATCAGATTATACTCTTGATGATTTGGTTAAAGAGTTTGGACATAAACCGCTTTATTCAAAAGTCTTTGATACTAAAGAAGATAGGACTTTTATAATAGAATTCAAGAGTCTTGATATTATGAACAATTTCGTTAATAAATACAATGGTTATGAAATTGAAGAGAATTGTAAAGTCACTGTGGAAGTATTCGAGCAGAAATCCAGGAAACAAAAAGGCAGATTTTCTAGGAGTGATTTATCACACTATGGTAGTCATTATAAAAAAACATCCCAGAGTCAACTCCGTCGTGGTATATCAAAACCGACCTCTAGAAGACAAACCGCAAAAAGACCCACCCTAGAAGAACTTGATGCTCAATTAGAAGCGTATATGAATAGTGGTTCTACCACTCCGGCTACACAAGAAAGTCCCCACCAAGCTGAAGAGCAATTTTCAACCGAGAACTAAAAGAATAAGGTATTGGAAAGTGCTAGCTACTGTATATTACTACATACTAACGTAAATAAAGGTAACTGTGTAAACATATATAAAGATATTTATTAAAATATCTTGGTGTCCCAATTCTTACCGTCCTGAAAACCATCACCACTATTAATCAGTTTGTGTATCTGACTAAAAGTGGTAAAAAAATCAGAATGACTCAAACTTTTCATTTTATTTTTTTAAAGGATTCCAAAGATCTTTTACAGAAATTAAAGCACCTACAGTTGAAAGACTAAAGACAGTGATCCCAATGTGTTATGCAACTTGCCTTTTTATTTACACAAAGAGAGGAATAGAACTCAAATCTATACATCTACAACAGTATGACTATTATTGATAAAAAGAAAAATTTAATTCGAATAGCTATCGATCGTGGTGGGACTTTCACAGACGTTATTGCTAATCCCGGCTCAGGAAAACCAGAAGACGATTTGGTGATCAAGTTACTTTCAGTTGATCCTAAAAACTATAGAGATGCCCCGTTAGAAGGTATTAGAAGGGTATTAGAAAAATTTGAAAATAAGAGTATCCCCCGTAATGTACCTTTAGACATTTCTAACATTGCATCTATTAGAATGGGGACCACATTAGCAACCAACTGTGCATTAGAGAGAACTGGCGAACGTTGTGCTCTTTTGGTTACCAAGGGGTTTAGGGATGCCTTATTGATCGGTGATCAAACTAGGCCTGATATCTTCGACTTAAACATCAGAAAATGTAAACCCTTATATGAAATTGTTGCTGAAGTCGATGAAAGGGTTACTCTGGAAGATTACACAGAGCAACTGCCATTTAAAAAATCCATAGTTTCTAAAGAAAAAAACACTTTGACTGGAAAGAGTGGTGAGGTTGTTCGTATATTAAAGGAACTGGATGTGAAGTCAGTTGAAAATTTATTATCAAATATATATAACAAAGGGATTAGATCAATTGCTGTATCCTTTCTTCATTCTTATACATATCCGGAACATGAATTGTTAGTAGGCACAATTGCTAAGAAGATTGGTTTTAAACATGTTTCACTATCCTGCAAAACTTCACCTATGATAAAATTTTTACCAAGAGCCCACAGTTCTGTAGCAGATGCATATCTAACTCCCGTTATTAAAGAATATCTCGACAGTATATTTCATGGTCTAACTAATTGGGAAAATACAAGTGTTCAATTTATGCAATCAGATGGTGGATTAGTAGACAGAAACAAGTTTTCTGGTTTAAAATCCATTTTATCAGGTCCGGCAGGTGGTGTAGTAGGCTACTCAACTACTTGTTATGATAAGACTAATAATATTCCTTTGATTGGCTTTGATATGGGAGGCACATCAACTGATGTTAGTAGATTTGGAGATAACAAGTTGGAACACGTCTTTGAAACGACCACAGCAGGAATAATCATTCAGTCACCTCAATTGAATATCCACACTGTTGCAGCTGGAGGCAGTTCCATACTTTCATGGGAAAATGGTATGTTTAAAGTAGGCCCTGGTTCTGCTACGGCTGATCCAGGCCCTGCTGCCTACAGAAAAGGTGGACCATTGACTATTACAGATGCTAATCTATTTTTGGGTAGATTAGTCCCAGAATTTTTCCCTAAAATTTTTGGTCCAAATGAGAATGAACCCCTAGATTTAGCAACCACGACCAAGCTATTTAATGAAATCACAACAGTAATTAATAAAGACCTACATTCAAATTTTACTCCTGAAGAAGTTGCATATGGTTTCATCAATGTTGCCAACGAAGTGATGGCTAGACCCATTAGAGCAATTACTGAGGCTAAGGGCCACATTGTATCAGACCATTATTTAATCACTTTTGGTGGTGCTGGTGGACAGCATGCAGTTGCAGTAGCGGAAGCCCTAGGAATCAAGACTGTTATTGCTCATAGATACTCTTCCATTCTGTCTGCTTATGGTATATATTTAGCTGATGTGGTTGAAGAAAGACAAGAACCGTGCTCATATGTTTTAGGATCACCAGAAACCACCTCTTTTATCAATGATAGGTTTAATAAATTAACTCATGAGTGTATCTCCGAATTAGTTAAGCAAGGGTTTTCCCTAGAAGATATAGAAGTACAAAAATACTTAAATTTAAGATATGAAACTACTGAAACAGCCTTAATGATTATGCAAGTGGGAATAAATTGTGATTTCAAGTCACTTTTCCATGATAGTTACAAGAGAGAATTCGGTTTTGCATTTGAAAACAAAAACATCATTGTAGATGACATTAGAGTAAGAACTATTGGAAAATCGCATGTTCGTGAACAGCACTCAGTGGACGAAGAGATGAAAGCTATCAAGACCTTCAACCCTGTTAATATATCTAAGGAAGCTAGTTTTTTTAAAGATGTTTATTTTAATGGTGGTTTTATACAAACACCAATTTATAGAATTGGTAATATGAAAGTTGGGACAGTTGTATCTGGTCCTGCTATATTAGCTGATGGTACCCAAACAAATATCATTCCACCTAATGCAGAAGCAACTGTATTAAAAGCCCATATTTTTATCAAGATAAAGGAAAAGCATGTTTTAAAAGAAAAGGAAAAGGATGACTTTGTTGATCCTATAATGTTATCTATATTTAGCCATAGATTCATGGATATTGCTGAACAGATGGGAACACAATTAAGAAAGACTTCAGTGTCTACTAATGTAAAGGAAAGGTTAGATTTTTCTTGTGCACTTTTTGACCAGACTGGTGGATTGGTTGCAAATGCACCACACGTACCTGTCCACTTAGGATCTATGTCTACATGCATTGCAGCTCAAGCTAAATTATGGAAAGGGAAATTGAAACCTGGTGATGTAATCATTACTAACCATCCAGATATTGGTGGAACCCATTTGCCTGATATCACTGTAATCACCCCAGCCTTTTCTAAAAAAGGTGAGCTATTGTTTTATGTTGCCTCTAGAGCACATCACGCAGATATTGGAGGTATTCTTCCTGGATCAATCCCTCCAAATTCAAAAGAACTATACGAAGAAGGTGCCACCATATTCTCCGAATTGTTGATAAAGAATGGTATCTTCCAAGAGGATTTGGTATACAAATTATTTGTCGAAGAACCTTCAAAATATCCTGGCTGTTCGGGTGCAAGAAGAATTAGTGACAATATTAGTGATTTGAAGGCACAAGTTGCAGCTAACACAAAGGGTATTCAACTAATTGAACAATTGGTTGATACATTTTCTTTCCCAATGACCTTAAAGTACATGGTTGCTATCCAAAACAATGCTTCAGAAACAATTAAAGACACACTAAAAAAGTTGGTGCAGCATTTTGGTTCAAGTATATTTGAAGGTGAGGATTACATGGATGATGGTTCTGTTATTAAATTAAAAGTGACGTTAGATGTTGATGCTGAAAATTATATCTTCGATTTTACTGGTACCTCTCCCCAAATATATGGGAATATTAATGCTCCAATTGCCATTACTAACTCTGCGATATTGTATTCTTTGAGATGTCTTGTAGGGGAAGACATCCCACTGAATCAAGGTTGTCTAGAGCCAATAACTATTATAATACCTAGTGGCTCAATCTTGAATCCAAACTGCGGTGCTGCTGTTGTAGGTGGAAATGTGCTAACATCACAGCGTGTTACCGATGTTATATTAAAAACATTAAATGTTATGGCAGATTCTCAAGGCGATTGTAATAACTTTACTTTTGGTTGTAGTGATGTTATAGATCCAAAGACAGATGAAGTAATTAGAGGTTTTGGATACTATGAAACAATATGTGGTGGATCTGGTGCTGGTTGTGATTCTTGGATGGGTCCTGGATGGAATGGTTGCGATGCGGTGCATACCAATATGACAAATACACGAATGACTGATGTTGAGGTGTTTGAAAGACGCTATCCGGTAATATTGAGAGAGTTTTCAATAAGAGAAGGATCTGGTGGTGCTGGGAAATACACCGGTGGAAATGGTGTAATTCGGGATGTAGAATTTAGAATCCCTGTAACCGCTTCTATATTATCTGAAAGAAGAGCAATCGCTCCTCATGGATTGCATGGAGGTAAAGATGGTCAACGTGGACAAAACATATGGATCAGAAAAGATACAAACGCGACCATTAACATTGGAGGTAAGAATTCCTTTCAAGCTAAACCAGGAGATAGATTAATAATTATGACTCCAGGTGGTGGTGGCGTGGGTGAAGTGTGATTACAAAAGCCATTTTTTCATTGGTCCAGTTGTTTCAAAGTCTACATAGAAATATATGTGTATATAGTTATGTAAATGAGTTATGATGATTTTGTAATGAATTATATTATACGATAACACTTATTAAATAAGCTATTGTAATAAATAATGATTTTTTTGTATTAGCCAATGGGATTATTTCGTTATATGCCTGCATATTTTTTTTCGCAATGGGAACAGCATAAAGAAAAAAAAATTAAGTTATTTAAGATGACTGAAACAAATACGTATTGTTTACAGTGATGATAGATAAAAAAAATGAATTGATTAAGAGTATAATAATAAAAATATTAAAGAGATATTTCTTATGTAAATAAATAGTCATAGTGATTCTTCTTTATTTGTATCATAGATGAGTTTTAGATCGATTCTTTCAGGTATAGTTGGCTTAGGATCTGGTTGTGGGTTAACATATTATTTATTAAAAAGAGACAATAGTGCTGGCTCCATCAGCAATCCACCAATTGGTAGTAACATCTCTTTAGTCCCAAATAGTGGTTCTTCCGATTCTTCTTTAGTTCAATTGAAACCAAAGGAATTATTTAAATATGGCTTTCCTGGTCCAATCCATGACATCGAGGATAGATACCAGTATATTTCCTGTTACAACAGACAAACAAGAAATCCATATTGGGTTCTTGAACACATTACGCCAGAATCTTTGGCTTTAAGAAATGGTGATAGGAAAAATTCCTTCTTTAAAGAAGATGAAAGGATTCCAGAGATGTTTAGAGCTAAGTTAAAAGATTATTTTGGATCTGGTTATGATCGTGGTCATCAAGTACCAGCTGCAGATGCTAAATTTTCACAGAATTCTATGGATCAAACTTTCTATTTGACTAACATTAGTCCTCAAGTGGGGGTGGGGTTTAACAGAGATTATTGGTCTCATTTTGAATATTTTTGTCGTCAATTGACTCAAAAATATAATAATGTAAGAATTATCACAGGTCCACTATTTCTACCTAAAAAGGATGAGAAAGATGGCAAATTTAGAGTCACCTACGAAGTTATTGGAAACCCGCCAAATGTTTCAGTTCCAACCCATTTCTTCAAGTTGATTGTTGCAGAGAATCCAAAACAAAATCCAACTAGTGATAAGGTCTCTGTTGCAGCCTTTGTTTTACCCAATGAACCTATTCCGAATGAAACTAAGATAACTGATTTTGAAGTTCCAGTCAATGCATTAGAGAGAAGTACAGGTTTAGAACTGTTGAAAAATTTACCTGAAAATAAGACAGTTCCATTATGTAAGGAAGTTAAGTGTCAATTGGTTATTAGAGAATTTAATAATAGTGTTAAATCATTACCACCAAAATAAAATAAAAAAAATAAGAATAAAAAAATTTTTCCCCAAATAGGGATGCGTAGATAAAATCCAAATAACAAGAATATATTCTGTATTTAGACATTTTAAGTGTAATTGTATTGTATTTTAATTTTTGTTCTCTTGGAAAATATATTACATATTTATTTATTCATTCATTTATTTTTTTAAGAAGTAGATTACATGTTACTTATTAACTTCCTTCCTTTATTTTCTTTCCTTAATTATATATAAAAAAATGATATAAAATGGATCGTTATGTTACTTGATTAGTACTAGTATAGAATAGAAATATACAAAAAGAAAGAACACAAAAAAAAGAAGAAATCACACACACATATACATATGGTTTTTTTTCATTCTATTCATTATTCTTATTTAAAAGAATCTTCTAAAAATTATCTTTCGTACAATATATTTTAGATCACAGATCAGTGCCATTTTTTATATTATAAAGAATGATGATCAAGACTCTACTTGACAAAAAAGAGGAAAAGAATCAGAAAAGTTTTGTTATTGACGCAGTGTTTAAATTTTAAAACATTTCGTTCATATCTTCTTTTTCTGGAAAGTAATAACCGTTTTTAATTTAAATATTTGGAAACTACGAATAGAGAATGTTAATCTTAACCATTAGTTGAAAAAACTTATGAAGAAAAAGCAGAAAACAGCGCATTTTTTATTAGTTTTGGATGTTCACTTTTGGATATCATATAGAAACTCTGGAGTAAGCGTGTCACACTTTAATATGTAATACAAAATTAATACATAATATTATCTCTCCTAACTATCTATATATAGAGGAGGCATTACCAAAAATAATGATGATAATATAACTATCAATACACTATTATACACTAAATATACCTTTATAGAACCTTATAATATACATTTATAATCCTACCGCTTTATATCTATGTATAAATATGGCTTCTGAACTCCTAAAACTTATCAAAACTTTTAACTCAAAACTATTATTCCAACAAACTTTATATATTCTTACAGGTCTTCCTTATTTTATGAATATTTTTTGTCCAAAATAAAGAATATTAAATATAAACAAAATATGTCTTTTCTTCTAACAGGACTTTATTGAAAATTATAATTCTATATCAACGATTCTAAGTTTGGTTGTTTACTCTTGACAAAATTCTATAATGCTCTATTTATGGTGTTATAGAATATATATCAATTATTGAGCTTTTCCTAACTTGTCTACTATACAATATAGAATTCTTACTACATATTATTCTGATTTACAGACTGCATCTTCTTAAATCTCAACCTTTTTGAGTTCTACGATCGTCCTTCATGAAGAAATTTGTATTATTGTTACTTTTATTGTTTCTTTCAGTAAAGACTTTTAGTGATCTTTTAATATTGGCAGTGGTTCAAACAGTTCTACTAGGCACTATTGTTTTACCCGAGAAAATGTCCGACTTTGTGAAACCCTGTATTAGTAAAGAAACATTGTGCCGGTCATAGATTAACAATGAAAAACTCCACTTTTTTCTTTCGAGATGATTCAGTTTTTTTTTTCTTTTGTTTTTTCTTTCTTTTTTTTATCTATTAAGTAACAGCAGAATGGACAAAAAGAACGAGTCAATTATTTTTTTTTTGCATTAGGTAAAGTCATCATTATGAGATTCCTCATTTTAAAGTTGGATCATAAGATGATATAAATTAAAGCATTTTTTTCTAAATAATCGCAACTACTTTAACATGGTGGCGAAAAGTTGACGTACCATGATTCTACCTATCCTGTGGACTTTATTTTGTTCCCCAAGAAAAAGTGCTAATTTGCATAGTGCTAAATGTGTGTCATGAAATAATTAACTGTCAAATTTTTTTTTCTCTACTGAATCATTGCAACTTCAATATCAAATAGTGTATCATATCTAGTCAGTTTCTTTTTCGCTACAAATATCCTACAGTATATTGTGATGTCCATGTATACAACATTATTGGCTTCTTTGAAGAATACTGCGTTTGCTGATGTCTTGGAATTTTTGCAAATATACAACTTTCCTGAAATTGTTCCAGACAATCTATTTCCCCCACAATATTCGAGTGTTTCCGATAAATCCAAATACATAATCGAATGCACAGAATTTACACACTATAAGGAAGCAAATGAATCTGTACAGTCTAACGATCAACTATCAGATTGTATAGAATTAGATTCTGTCCAATGTAGTGAAATAAAACTTTCTAAAGACCCATTTCTTATAACATGGAATGGTAAAAACGATCCAGAAATACCATATAATTGGAGCAATTTTAAAAAATGTTTAACGGTGGGTCAATTGCTTTTTGCTTCTTGGATTAGTTACACTACATCATCTATTTATGTTCCGGGTCAGGACGATATTGAAAAGGATTTCAACTGCTCGCATGTGGTGGGAACTTTAAATTTATCGATGTTTGTTTTAGGTTATGGTATTGCTCCAATGATATTATCTCCTTTATCAGAAGTGGCATTTGTTGGACGTCAACCAATATTCGTTTGGACTTTTTTCATTTTTACATTCATTCAACTGGGTTGTGCGACTGTTAATAATATCGTAGGGCTAATTATTCTAAGATTCTTTTCTGGTGTATTCTGTTCCCCCTTATTAACTCATGCGGGTGCTAGTATTTTTGATTGTATCACTGAAAAGTATTCAATGATTATGCTAGCCTCATGGTCATTTTGCACAGTTTTAGCTCCAGTTACAGCTCCATTATTAGGTGCGTGTATGACAGTAGCAAAAAATTGGAGGTGGATATTTTGGTTTTTATTTTTTATATCTGGATTTGCAACTTTTCTTCTTCTTTTTACTCTGCCTGAGACATCACATACAGCAATTTTATCGAGACGTGCTAGAAGAATAAGAAAACAGACGTGTGATTCAAGATATTATACCATTCAAGAAAAAATTGACTCCAAAATGAAAATTAGTGAATTTTTAATCGATACTTTATATAGACCGATCTGTATGATCGTTCAAGATCCTATTGTACTGGCATTCGACCTTTATTTATCCGTTGTCTATGGGGTGTTCAACCTTTTTTTCGAAGCATTCCCTATTGTGTTTATTGATGTTTATCATTTTTCATTGATTGAATTGGGTTTATCTTACATGGGATATTCTGTTGGCGCGGCAACAGCTTTCATCACTGTAGTAACATTCACTTATAAAGTAGTTAATCCTAGTAGAAAAAATGGGACGTTTACTCCAGAAATTTATTTATTACCTCCAATGTACTTTAGTTGGTTTTTACCATTAGCTCTGTTTTTATTCGGTTGGGGTTCTGCTGCACATTGGATAATTCCAATTATATCTGAAGCGTTCTTCCTTACTGCTACAGAAAGTCTATTTCAAGCAACATTTTCATATTTTGCAGAGAGTTACCCAAATCATATTGCATCATCATATGCCGGTAATGGGTTAATGAGATGTTTTTTTGCATTTGCATTTCCACTGTTTGGTAAAGCCATGTATAACAAATTAGCTATTAAAGGATATCCTGTTGCTTGGGGATCTTCGTTGCTTGGATTCATTACTATTGCATTAGCTGTTATTCCTTTTGCCTTGTACAAATATGGTCCAGCATTAAGAGCCAGATCTAAATTTGCAGATTAAAATACGGTTTTTCTTTAATATTTTGATTAAATAGAACGGATAGGTATATCATTTGATAAGATACTATGTCATACATATGGTTATACTTTTGGTAATAAAATGCTTACAGTTTTAAGTTTGGTCCAGGCGTTAACATAATATGAGATAATCTAAGGGATATTATTCTGGAATTACTAACTGTTCCATTGTTTTATAAACATAATATTTAAACGACAGAACATCTTTTTTTAACATCAACTTTTGATATCTGAATAAAGACAACTAGCATATTCCATATATGGAGGCTACCCAATGCTTTCTTGATAACACGTATATAAAGTTTTTTTTTTGTCAGCATTTCTTTCTGCTTAGAACTGTACTAACAAACATTACCATTGTGAGTAAATATTTTAAATGTTTAAAATAAAATAGAGGATTTTTTGACCTGGGATCATTCTTCTAGTAACAATTTATTTATTTCTTGTACGAGAGGAGTATGCAACAAACATGTGCAATAAATATGTAAGGAACCTATTTGGAAATCTGATAGATACGCAATTCAGCGGGTGACACCTGAGTTTCTGGGTGGAGGATTTCCAGGGAGTGATAATTATATCAGATATTGTCAAGAGGCCTTTGACTATTGAGAGATATGGCAGGGGTAATCATCTTATTTAAATACATCTTAGTAATGATATTAAGAAGTAACTCTTAATATCATACAAGAAAAAGAAAACAACAAGGAGAAGTAATAATATAACATCAGGGTTATTAATTAGTAATATATAGAGCTTACGAAAGAGCGTTTATAGTTGTACTAATTGATATGATTTATCCATTTACATACGACAACTCTTACATATATATAGTATATACATCTTACAACGAACTTTCGTGTAGCCATTTTTTGCATTTCGCTCGAATTGTGATAACATCCAGGGGAATTGTGACATGACTTTGTCTTCAGAAACCTGGTAATATAATAATGGGTTCTACTGTTTTTAAAACTTCCACTATTTAAAAGAGAAATGCAAAGTGGCACAAGTCAGTCATAGGAAATCTTTTTTTTGAACGGTTGCTATTATCCATTGTTGCAGATACTATTACTCCACCAGAGCTCTTGACAACTATCGAAGTAAGTTTAATCATGGCACTTATCAAAAAAGAATCTATGCTACATTTTTGGACCACCTTCGTTCTTAGAGTTATTTTCATAGCAGCATCTATACTGTTGATTTTGTGGTTTTATTCTATAACTGTTGCTCCTATATTTGGTGGTAGGTCGTGGAAAAAGAAAGCCATTATTGGAGCTGTTGGAGTTGTGCTAATTACAGCTACCTTTGCAAAAACCTATCCTGTTCTTTTTAAACGTGCACGTTGGACCTTTGCTGTAGGCTCAACATTGGCAGGTTTAGTGTTAGCAGCTGGAAGTGTAGCTATTCCATCCTGGACAGCAGCCATATGCTTAGCTTTTTCAAGTCCTGCTTGTGTTCCTGTTACAGATTCTATTTTGATTGCTGTTGATGTTGCAATTGCTGCTGCTATTATTTGGAAAACCGAAGATTTTGAAATGCATAAAAAACGGAGTACAGCTGCTAGGTAAGTTTCTATTTTCGGTTCTGATATTATAGCTTTGTTACATTATTTTATAGACACAACGCAAATTTCCTCATCTACAAGAGAGGCAATTAGTTTTGAACTTGTTGGAGAGATTAGTCAGGTTAATCCTTTGCAAAAACGAGACAGTGCAGTTAACCATAATTTTATCCAGTTTAATACTACGTTCGGGGTTCATATTGCAGTATCACCAGTGTTATCTATTGAGGAGTTAGCAAAGCATATTCTAGTTGCTGAGCTAGGTGTGCCTTTTGGGAATAGTAGTTTGGTAAAACGTCAAGAGTTTTCGGTTAATTGGGTATCTTATGGTTGGGATAATGCAAATCATGATTTTTCTTAAGAGTGGTATAACTATGAGGGCGGTAATTTCGATTCTCTATTAGAAGATGCTGTTCAAGACGCACTTGGCAAATATCCCGATTGGAAGTACTGCGTGGCACCAAATGATTTAAAACGAGGTGAAGCAACCAATTATCAAGATAATCCAGGTGTAGGCACAGGAACAGGGAATGTCATGCACGATGAAGTCTATTTTAATACTTATGGCGGTATTGATGGTTATTATAATAACAACGAAGACGGAGCACAGAATTCCAGTGATTGCTAGTTTTCATATTTGTTTCAGTTAACTTTATCTCTTTTTTGTTACTTACGGACTCAATATTTGCTTTTTTTTAAATATAACCTGCTAGAATGATTTCCCACCTACTTAAGAAGTAAATCACTACTTCAAACAAGAGAAATGTTTGTTTTGCACAATCCAGTGTTGTGAAGATATTTCACAAAACTCAAAATTATAAGAAAAAGTTATAAAAAACTTTTCCAAATGCAAAGAATATATAAATGAATAACTTTACTTATTGAATTCTCGGTCTGGATGAAGCATATACATACATTGTGTTTTTATGTTTCATTTATAGTTGTATAATTGTTTATTCTCTGGACAGAGATCAAGGGAAAATAGTCTATAATATCATTGAATAATAATATAAATATTGTTCGTAAAATATGATCATCAATGCTAAAGAAATGTATATTGATACTCTTCCTCCAGAGGAAATGATTACTCAATATTCTATAGTTTAGTATCTGCTAAAATCTCATTGTTCTATCTATTTCTTTTTAGAAGATTCTATTTCATAGAAACAGAACTCATTCGGTAGAATCTACAACTTCTCAATATACACACAACTGTCCTTTTATCTTTTTCCGTTTTATTTTTTTTCTCTTCTGGAATCCAAATTTTCTTAAATCTCAAAAACATTTTCACTCAAATAAATAACTCACACAGATATGGACCGCTCTACAGCGCAAATACATAAACAAAACAGATATATAGACAGTTCCTCAGTTGTAATCTACCTACTCCAAGCATTTGTGTGATATAAATATAAACATACACTACCATTCAATATGATATAATTATGCCAAATTACATCTAGCAGTTATTCATAAATATCCTTATTCCAGTCCTCTGAGATATCGTAAAACGTAGAGAACACATTCACAACAATCCACGTAATAAATATAGTATTACTAGAGAATGTGTATATAAATGGAATACACTTATTTCTATGTTATGATTACTTTATCACTATGAGTATTTAGGAAAACATGAACACATATACTCATTGACATCTTCCATTTAAATGATACAATCTGATATCACACATTAATCCCACATAGTAATTACTTTAGTGCCACTATCATGAAATGTACAATACATTCATACGAATGAACCTCACACTATAATTATCAACACTGTACAAACTACCATTGCATTCCATAAAGAACTGTTTGTCATTGCTTGTCGTCAATTGGTAAAATTCAATAATACTGTTATCTATTCTTACAACTCTAACATCGTATCTGATAATTACCAATATTAAATCAAATAATAAGCATGGATGATCTTGTAATCAAATGGTAATTACAAACAAAAATGGTTCAAGTATGGGATATACAACAGAAAATTGGTTGTTTACTGATTTGCATTGGATCTGTGGAAATTATTTTACCTGGATTACTATATATATACAGTTGGGGAAGATGGAACAGTATTTGCTTTGAGTGTTACTATCAACATTATAATTGATATTTCTTACTTTATACAGTGTTATCTCATTTACCCAAATCAAGAACATCAACATAGTCAAAGTAAGTAATTTTCAAGACACTCTCAGATATTTAATATACTGAAGCAAGATGTTAATTTCTATGAAACATCAACTTTGAACAAACGGCTAAAGGTTCTTTTATTATGTCTCTTTTTCTGGATTAAGATTAATGTTGTATGGTGTATTCTTGCCATAAGTCCTTTTTTTTCTGTGAGTTACACGTGGGTAAAGAATAAAATATTTTACTATACATTTTATGTATAATAATGCACAAAAATATTGAATAATCATCTGGGTTTTCTTTCGCAAAAACATATATAGGTTAATATCTAGTACAGTCACGTAGATCATTCTCCATTGGTTCTAGTTTGCCTTATTTCTATAACGAATTGTAATACATGCAATAAGTTCCACATTCCATTGTTTTTAGTTACAATTGTTATTTTTTCAGTAGGTCGTAGTGCAAAATCATGTTCTATTGAAATGTTCCAGTTAAATAAGATTCTAATGATGTTACCAGATAAAAAAATAAAGGCAAGTATATCTTCTGTTTTTATGAAGTCTCAAAAAAGTATTGGTGTATATCAGTTTTGTTGAAAATTAGGGAAATTTTACTACAAGATTTATTAGTAATCAAGTTGAGTTATTTATACATGTATATGTATCGAAATGATTAAAAGTCGAATTGTTGTTTTGTTAATTAAAATTTATTAAGATAAAGAATGAGAAAGAGTTGAATGTACAATACATACACAACAGCTTAAGTCAGTATATTTCTAAAATGTTTGACTTCTTAGATAGTAAGATGTTATTCAAAATAGTTGTAATTATTAAGCGATATAATACTAGTGCTTGTGTATAAATTAAGTGTAATAGTGTAAAAGTGTTTTGAGTGATGATATATTTCTTGGTTAGAATATAAATATTTATTAATGTTGATAACTTCAAAAATATCTTCAATAAATAACGGTAATAGATTTAGAGATTATCATCCTTTTTTATCTTATGTCATAATCTTATGTTAATAATCAAACAGTTCATTTTAATATAATGTAGTATCATAAAATAATTCTGTTAAATTAATACAATTAATAATCTAGTAGTAAAATGTTTATAACCGAGAATGTAATTATAGACATAATGGTAGAAGAATTTTAAAACATTTATAACACTGTAGATAGTACAAACATGTTGGTTGTATTCTTGTTTTATTAATTATCTTTATATTCGTAATATTGTTATTTAATTAGAGATAGTATCCATTTTAGAGTAGACACTATATTAGTC